GTGGATACATCCTTCACAGGTATACTTGAGGTGGTGGTGGTAGAGGTGCTCATGCTGCTGGTGGATACATCCTTCACAGGTATACTTGAGGTGGAGGTGGAGCTGGTGCTGGTAGAGGCACTCATGCTGCTGGTGGATACATCCTCCACAGGGATGCTGGAGGTGGTGGTAGTGGTAGTGGTGCTTATGCTGCTGGTGGATACATCCTTCACAGGTATGCTGGAGGTGGTGGTCGTCATGCTGCTTGTGGTTGTATGGTCAAGAGTCAAGCGGGTTGTAGTTGTCTCAGGCCAATCAGACCATGCAGTCTTATTGCCATATTGACGCCCAGCTAGTTTACCTTCAGGGAGAGCCTCCGCCAAGGTCAAAGAAGCCAGCAAGAATGCCACTGTTTTGAAATGCATTTTTGCCTGTTAATTCGCCGGTGCTCTTGTGGTTGGGGTCTCGTTTCGGGTGTTTTCTGGAGCCTGTCAAAGTGTCTCGGGTCTGTCTCTTCTGTCTATGGCGGAGTCAACCCGCAGGAAAGAATGTCAAATGTATCAAAAAAGGAGTGACCGGAGGAAAAAGGAGCGACTGACGTCTCTGGGACGTTGAAGAAAGATGTAAACAAAAGAGTGACAAGGAGTCGAGATGAGGCTACGAGCAAAGGAAAAAGAGAGTCGAAGGAAAATGAAAGAGAAGAAAAGGTACATGCGAGCGAATTCACCATTTTGGTAATTGGATGGATAGGAAATTATAGGAGCATGGGAGGTTGCGAATGAGCCGGGTAATCCCAGGCGTATCCAGGGCTGGATGTTCGATGGTAGATCCAGTATGAAACAAAGACCGATAAACGGGAAAACGGTCGGCAGGGAGGATCGATGGTTGGGAAGTGGGACTGATTGGGACAGGAGGCGAGGAGACTGGTGTCGCACGAGTGGTCACGGTGGTCCTGAAGGTGGTCCAGATGGTAAGGAGAGAAGAAAAGAAAAGGTGGAGGTCTGTTAGTGACCAGGGGTGACGAGGAGAATCTTCATGTTTGAGATCCAGGCAACAAGGCGCCTGATTGGCGGGAATTCGACTTAGCCAGCGCCAAACCCGATTTCGCCAAGTAATTGGTGCCAAGTCTCAACCTTCTCCTAAAGTCAGAACAAGAAGCTCTTATCTGCTTTTTCCACTACGACTAACCAGGGCACAAAACACTGGAGAAAGTTGCCATCAAAAAGCAGGATTGGGGAAATTATATCAGACCCGGCATCCCCAGCAAAAGAGAATCCTCTCCGAAACCACATCAACTCTGAGTCTTGTCTCACATCCAATCGGCAATCTGCCTGTGCTACGGAAAGGAATGCACGTCAACTCCCCTTGTGGAGAAATGTGATGGACCTATGGTATAATTTGCTGGGCTAGATTCCTGGTCAAGGGGCACGTTGGTCAAGGTTTCTCATAGCTGACGACCTCGCCATACCCATGTCTTCGCTCGACAATCGGAGATTTCAATTTGGTGTGACATGTCAGACATAGGAACACCACTCATTGCGAGCGCCTCTGCAGTTGAGAGTCACTGTTACTCAAACGCCGGGCTTGAGTTATTTGCATGGCCTTTTCTTGGTTTTTTGGAGGGGGGAAATCCAATTGAAAGGCATTGGGTTGGTCATGTCGGCAAACCGGTGGTTATCAGTTTGAAAAATTGATGATCTGCCAGGGTTAAGTGCTGCTAAAAGGAAGAGCATACGCGTTCCATTATCTCTGCATTTCACTCCCTGGCATTCTCTTCACGGGAACAATTTAAACTGAATCGATCAACAAGGTTCTTGTTCAAGCTTTGTGATTAAGATATCAGCCCAGGCCCTGGGATAGGAAGAAGCCAATCTAGGCTCTGGAGCGCACCATGAAAAAAAAACAAATTGTCGGCATCTCATCTCGGGTAGGCCTTTGAGGAACTTCCTTTTCTACTGCAAATCTTCGTGTCTTATAGCTACCTAACATTGATGGGGCTCACCCTCATCTACAAATTCGTCGTCAGCGGCATCAATTTCAAACATGTAACACTCACTCACTTTTGATCATCTTCTTCATGGCCAGCACCAAGCTGACCGTCATTACTGCAAATCCAAATACAATGCAGGCCACCGCTGGTATGGTCCTCCAGCTTCTAGTACTTAACTTGAGATAGCACAACGGTGGTAAAATGTAGGCAAGGGCACAAGCGCTGGTGGCTCCGATCAATTCAAACACAGCTCCAAGATCACAAGTGATCAAGCTGATGCCCATGGCACTAATCACTAGAGCACTGGTGAAAATCAAATGTCGATTGGGCTGATAAGGCTCTTCGGGAAACCAAAAATTGTTCATCACCTCTCTGCAAACGAAACATTCCAGTGGAAGTGTGGTGAGCATGTTGAGTCCAAAACATAATCGGGCAATTTGAACCATTAAGTGTCCTTGCGAAGGAAAATTGTTCAACACATTCCCCTTGGTTCGGTCACCAAATGTAAGGAATCCTGCTAACGCCATGACCAGGCATGCCACCAGCGAGGTAAAGGTGCTGTAATGCGTTACAGTGGAGAAACGATCCAGTGTCGGTGTTTTGAGAGAGCCGTAGATAAGCAAGGAGTTATGGTGGCAGACAAAAGCTGCAGCGGTTAGAAAAAATTCATCACCGTGGAAGTATTCGTACCGAAAGAGATCACCCCTACTGCCTGGAAAATGCCATCATTGACAAACAATAAACCCTTGAGATCTCCTCGTAGATCTGGATCGACAACGGCTCCTTGAGTGACGACCGTCACAATGATTATGAGCATACTGATCAACGCCAAAGTAGATGCTTTGGAAAGCTGTGTCGTCAGCAGTCGGCCGCTGGACAAGGACGAGAGGTAGTCTCACCTTCGCAATATCCCTGTACAAGCTCAGTGGCCAGCTGATGCCGAGAATGAAGAGAACAATAACTGCCCTCCTATCTGTCAGAAGCCACAGAAAAGGAACATCTCTCAGCCCGGGAATCAGTGCTTCAAGGACGTGTGGGATGGTATCTCCCACAATGATGCAGAATGCGATCATCCCGCCAAAGGCAAATGCCCACTGAGCCAGCGAGATGGCGACAAATCCACTTTTGCCAAAGCAGTGTTGCATGGTTGCCTGGAAGGAATCTGCCCCGGACAATTTGCTGTTGATCACAATCAAGCGAATTGTCCAATCTACCGTAATTGTAAGTCCAACAAGCAAAAGCATGCCCATGGTCAGACCAGCTTGACGAAAAGCATACGGCTGACCGATAATTCCGGCTCCAATGATGGAGTTGGCCATGTTCATGAACGCACTTCGCATCCCACTCTTAGGCCTGGCATTAGGCAAATAATCCTCGGGCTGGAAGGCTTCCGACCGAAAGGGAGATTCGGCCGGCGGTGTGATATCGGTCAGGAGCGATGCACGTTGACTGGGTGAGTTGAGATAGTCCTCCTCATCCATCCATTCTTCGGGCGAATGTCCATTTGCTTGATCGTCGCCCAGATCGAATCGTACTCGGTGGGTAGTTCGAGGGGTGCCATCAGGTCGAGGCTGGGAAAGGGAGGATTGTCTCTGGGCAGGAGGACGGGCCGCATTGACGGAGCCAGCGGACGAGTCTCGAGTCAATGTAGGAGCGTCCTCCGTTGAGGAGAGAAGGGGAGCATGGCTTTGGCTCTCGAGCTTGCCGTTTGGAGTGCTTGTGACGGATCCATCAGAATCTTCGTCATCTGCTGTCATCTCGCACAAATTGCATCTCGCCTGTTGAGGGAACAGGAAGCGTGGATATTCATCAGAATTAAAAAAGAAAAACGAGAGTTGTCATCTTCCATCCGAGCCCTGAGCCATGCACGTGCTGCCAAGGCATCCAATCGGCGCCTTGCCGATACAGGGCCAAGGCTTCAGCCTCGTTCGACCTTGCCAGCCACCAGGGCCCTTGACAAGCGCAAACAGAAAATTACGCGCATTTCAATCCAATGGAGAAGGGGAAAAAAAGAAGACAAAAATTTAAACGAACGACTATTTTTGGTGGTATGAAATGAGCGTCGTAGCTATGCTGAGTAATGACCGTGGTTCTTCTGCTGAAGACACAAAAGCCTCAAGATAACGCCAGACCGGTCTTTCGCTGCTGAAAACATGTACAAGCTCGCCATATCTAATTTTTGTGTCGTTGCCTAAAACACCTTTGTCTATGCCCTCCCGTAAATCATGTTCATGGAACCCTCCGCCTGCTTTCGTTGTTTTTCACACCATTTCCTTGTCCATTTCTTTGACAGGTGAGGTGCCAAACGTAATCCTTCGCTCCCTGATATCTGTCCGGTAGTATCCCGATTTTTCCTCCGATCGGCCGTCGGAGAATTGGAAATTCGGTTGAGGCCAAGCACTCTGCTGGGGCAAGCTGTGCTGTACGAGGGGTCCAGAAATATTCGCGGCCCCTGATCGGCTGAACCGATTGTTAACCACAAGACTTCGTCTCTTAGGGTCGCTGGAACGTCGGGCATTCTTAGGTATAGGTTCATGCTCACTGAGAACGTTCACCTCAACGGGGCCACATTCGTCCTGAATTGGCGCCACACCACGCCATTTTAGGAAGGCGTTGAGTGCGGGGATTGAGAGACCGTGGACAATAATGCTGAACAGGACAAGCCAGTAAACAACCGGTATCATCACCCGAGTGAGGACGTTTTCTTCGACCGTAAGCGCCTCTCCTGACTCCGGAAACAAGTGCCGTGTGTGTTCGACGTAGAAAACGGCACCAATTCCAATCGGACCGAAATATCCCATGAAGAGCGCTTCTTTCCAGTCTTTACAAACTTCAGGATAGAGTTTGTAGGTGGCTAAGATGGCAGGAATTCGCCGGAAAAGCAGAACGAGAATGCCCAACCCAATCAAGCGGGGATAGGTGAGACCAGTGCCGTTGGGATCGTTAAAGTCGGACCACGGGATGATTGTACCAATGTACATGAAGCCGCCGAAATTCAGTAGGACATCAACGCAGGAGTTTACCTCATCGTGCCTTGCTTCAGTTTCGGCCAAGTATTGACCATCCCAGTTGAGAGCATTGCCCGCAACAAAGCAAGCGAGAAGGTCATCGGTGCCCAGGGCACCACAGGTGCCGACAATGAACAGTCCGAGCCCAGTAGGCCATAGCAAGTAGGACTCGGTGTCAATCCACTGCCTTTCACCAAGTCAGCAAGAATAGCATATCGGAGTCTTCGTAACTTAGCTGACTTTCGAAGTGCGTGTCTGGTCAGATACAAGCTCCCAAACCCGCAGACGGCACCGTAAGCGACAGACATGAGAACAATATAAAGCCACGTCTCAACAGTCCATTCAGTAAGAGCCTTTCCTACGCCGCCTCCTAAACGACCGACGTCCTCTTCAGACTCTCGGACGACCAACATAGCGCGAGCCAGCAAGTGGCTGACGCCCTCAGTAACATTGTGGACCAGTTCTTCGCCTCCCTCTTTGGCATTCAGTGCCGCAGCATGATCTGCCATCTCTTGCTCCATGCCCGGATATTCGGCGTGACGGATGAGGTAGACAGCCAACATCAGAAATGGGAAGCCAAATCCGTCGTTGGCTCCAGCTTCTGATGATATAATTTCTCGCAATTGACGACGAACATACTTGTCGGCAAAAGGCCCTTTGGCAATTGCTTGAGAAAGGATTGGATCGGTGCAAGTAACGCAAGATCCAATGACGAGGCCGGCGAGTAACGAAATCTTGGGGACAGTGGCAAGCATGCAGGCTGTGGTACATAGCCACATGATAGTCATGATGAGGATAAGAAGCATGAGCATTTCCTTCCATCTGCGCAGTTGGTATTTCGCTGGCAGTTGGAAACCAGCAATGACGAGCTGGACGCCAATGACCACACGACACATTCCTAACGTGATTGCATTCTGTTGGCCTTCCGTAGCAGAGCCCCATCGAGTCGAATCGAGGAATTTAGCTGCTATGGGACCTAAGATGATGCCAAACGCCACAGCAGGAACTTGTGGCAGTCAGAAAACCGACAGAGATAAGGTCAAATGGGATCTTTCGCGCTTACGTGCTTCACCGAGATACCAGACTTGCTTGATCTTTACAGATTGGAAGCCATAAGCGACGATAAAGAAGCCCAGTACGGCAATCACAATGTTGAGCTCGCTAACATCAAGGACAGGCATGATGAGATTTGTCGGGCACCCCCAACACGGGCGTTGGAAAATCGCAAAATTGGGAGAACGCCGAACGGTACATCAACAATGCAAGAATATCGGCTTGAAGGAGGGGCCAAGGATGCAGAAAACAAAGATGAAGACGAAAACTGTGAAAAGGAAGAGCAAGGGATTCAGCAATGACGGCTGCCAGCAGCCTCGAGGTAGCCTTTGTTTTTGTTGAAATGGACTGAACAAAGAAAACGGGAGGAATGGGATGTGGAAAAAGCAAAGCCTAGAGGTGATATCCCGATATACACCAAGAGGTGAGGCCCCAGGGCGATTCCAAATGGTTTGCGGGCTGTGAGCCATGGCCAAGCTGATCGACGGCCAAATATTGCTCCCCTGAGACGATGTGTTGACGTGCTCCACAAGATCAGTGACATGTTTTTGTTTTAGATGTTCGAGGTCCAAGACTGAGTCCCGGTGCCAAGCTGGGAATCAATTCTTCAACTGGGCTAAAGGGTAACGAGGCTGCTACAAGCAGATGAAGCCAAGATGTCAGAGATAGGAGGGACAAGCGATTGTCATTGCCTGTGGAGCAGCGGAGCGGAGCTGGAACTGATGCCCAGCTCTTGGCGAGGCTGCCGTGAAACGTCCTTCCACTTGGCCAAGATTTTGTCAAGGTTCTCTTCCTGGCGTCTCGCCCTGGGACTTCCAATCATGGCTCTAGATTTAGCTACATAGCTAAGAACCCCATAGCACCAGGTCGAGATTTGGACAACACTCCTGGGACTTCTTGCTGCGACTTTACAGTTGCCGGTTTCATAGGATGTGTTATCGTGTTTTACCAGATCCGTTTCATTAACAGGAAAGTCAGAAAAGGGCCCTGGCTTGAGCCTATCACTATCGCCAAGCGCATTTAATCTCGGCCTTATTGAATATTAAGTCTTGTTCAAATCAAGTTATTTCCTGGCGGAGCTTCTGGACCATCAAGCGATCGATTAGTTGGCCGAGAATGTTGGCCAATGCAATGTTGTGCCAGGACACAATGCCGACATCTCCTGGCTGACTGCTTGTTCTCTTGATGCAAAGTTTTACGGCCAAGACCTTGATTTTGTTCTCCTTTGTGCATCAATAGAATCCGAGGTTTCAAGTGGGGGGGATTTTCGTGAGAGTGCGTGCCAGAGCGGCGGGGAACATTGAGCCAGCTCAAAATATAGTAAAGATTTTCCCATTGCATCCTGAAATTGTCAATTAAACGGGACGTCCTCACAAATCCACACTTGAATCATAATTTTTCAGGCCCGATATGTGACTTTTGGGGCACGAGAAAGTCCGTGACGTCTGGTGGTCCGCCAAGTGCGCCGTGCTGGGGAAGAACACCAGAATTAGCCATGCTGGAGATGACGACCTGCGACAACACCCAAGTCGGCAACTTGCAGTAACTAGAATATAAGCATATGATCAAATGGATGCCAATCATCTCGGAAATTCGCCCAAGAACTCAGGCTGGGCCGTAGGATAGAATCGACCGTGTTGAGGAGTTACGGCACATGAATAGCCTTGATTCCAGTAAAAAATGATTTTGGCAGTGGCGAGTCGTTTTGAAGAGTTAGCTGTAGCCAATGCTCAAATCCGAAGGAGCGTAAAGGACAAGTCTGCGGACTCTTGGATAACAGATGTATTAATTTTGGAAACACAGCGGTTGTAAACAGCAAAGGCATAACATATGCTGTATCGTAAAAGGGGAGCTTGACCCATAACGGAGTTTGTCTTGATGGTGCACAGCCCACCCGAAAGTCATATTGTACCCTCAATCGAGAATAGGAGTCCAGTCTTCGCTTTTGAAACAAGTTTCGAGTGGAGCTACTTTGTCAGCGATTCCAAGCTGGACAACACGTTAGCAATGACTTCACCAAAGCCGAGCGAACAACCAGTATGTGGGTGGACAAGACTGTTTTGCGAATTCAGTCCGGCGCCGAGAGAGCTTACATCCATGAGATGAAGAACGCCCAGATCTCCGCCGTTGTACCCGAATTCTTCCATAGAAGCAAAAGGATCGACAAGCTCATCCTTTGCTAAGTCAACCCCAGCCAAATTCCTCATCTCTTCCTTGGTCGGAGTTCGATGGACTTCTTTGCTAAGGGACACTCAAAGGTTTTGACCAAGCGTCCATGAATTCCCGCCAGCTGACGAAGCGACTTATACCCGAACAAGGCATTTCTAGGCTCGGTATCCACAAACGCTTTGACCATTGTGCCGGTGTCCTTCTGCGTCCACACGAAAGGCAGCTTTGTGGCACTCCGTGGTGATCGTTTGATAATCCAACATGAAGGACAGTAGAATGTCAGCTTCTATGGCAGCGAGAGTTACCAAGAACATACAACATTTGTCCGACTTGTGCCTCGAGGCATGGTTCGTCAAGACAAACAAGATCCTGCCCCATGAAGCAGGGTGGAAGATTTGTAAAGAGGTATGCGCGCTTGTTTGCAGCTGGCAGTCTGCAGATCTAGATACGGCCGATGGTGCGGTAGATGGGAGTGGATGAATGAAGACAACAGGTAGAATGGTAATAATGATTTTGGCCAAGCCGGCCGAACGGTCTGTCTTGAAGATCGCCCCTTTTCTTGTTTCTCCTCGAAGGAGTAGAGTGCGCAAGGTATCTGGTTTAATTCTCAATGATATGTCTCTCATGTAGACAATTGGACTGGTGCCTCTCTGCCTCGGTCCTAGATTATTTACTACACGTTTCTCTGCTTAGAGACAGACTCCGCTGATACGGTTCTCACAACATGGAATTTACAATTTGAGCCCGACCAAAAGTGCTAGGAATAATACCGAGACCATATTTAATGTCGTTTCAGGTGCTGCGGAGGTGCTCGACTGCCCGAATGGACTGCTGTCATCTGCTCCAGCCGAAGTCGTTGTTGTCGCACTGGCTGACTCCGTTGAGCTACTCCCGACTGTCGACATAGTCACGGCTGTCGATGGCCTCGAAGCCGCCGTATTGGAGGCTGTAGGCATCTTGCTAGATGCGGGTGCGCTGGATGAGGATGGAGAGGTCGTGGTGGATGATGCGCCCCCCCCGTCGGCTGCTGACTCGGTCCCAAAACCTATCCTGTTGTTGTCGAAGTCAAATACGGTGTATACGTTTTTCAGAAAAACATCCCCCAATATCCATTCATTGGGTCCGAACGCTTGGTGTCCAATGATGTTGCTCTGGCATCCGTCTCCACTTTGTCTTCCTACATAGTCTTTGGGGGAAACCGGGTACTTAACCCCAGAGAAGGCGAAGTAGACGTTCGAGTCGGATGAGCAAGGGACAATGTAGACCTCGCCGTTATGAGAGCTGCCAGGAATCAGGTCATGCAGAGCCTGAGCGTCCGATGGTGGCATCAAGATATAGGACGTGCCGCTGTCGATGATGGCGGTCTTGCCATTGAAACCGACTGCTTTTCCATCCACACCAGCATCTTGGGCCGCGATTTCCCAGTTTTGGTCGTTGACGGTCCTGGAGTATCCCAGCTTGCCGTTGAATTTAGACGAATCCACGCCGCCCAACGTTATTTGACCGTCCTTGGCCCCATCCGAGCTTCGCTGAAGATGAATGCCGACAACGTTGTCTGACACATTGGCTTGTTCATCCAACACCTCCATGATGGTCGGCGTCCCAAGTGAATTGGAGCTTGGTCGTCCAAGGCCTAAAATGCCGTCCATGGCATAGTTGTTGAAGTCATCTGACGCAGAAGAGGCGAGGCCAAACCCCATCTCCACGGTGTAATTCGCCAGACTGACTGTATCTTTGGCCACAATTCCCTGCACCTCGCCAGTTCCATAACTCATACTCCAGGTTTGCGTGGTAGTTTCCAAGGTATCGGAGTCTTCACTGCCGAAGGTACTATGAATTTGACAGGCGTTGGAATCGCAGTCTGAACCCATGACCCAAGTGTTGGCTGATCCGCTGTCGATCAACATGTACATCTCTTGACCCTTTGAACCAAATTTCATGGTGGAGAAGTAGGTATAATCTGAACCGTCCTGGTTGATTGCCGCAGCATTGGGCATTGTTGGCTTTGAGGACATGACAACAGAAAATTTATTGTCTCGCTTGGTCTGGAGGGGATCAGAATTGCTCAAGAAAAAAAAAGGCCGCGGACCTCCATGACTTACATTGACCTTCTTGATGTCGAGTGTTATTCTTCCCGAGTCCTCCGAGGGCGGAGGGTCAAGGTCCATAGGTATAAATCTCTTGCTTTTCCCGTCTCCACCATCACCGCTGTTATAGGGATAAAATGCAGACACACAGCTGGAAAGTAATGGTAATGATAGCCATCGTCGATGCATAGTTGGGTTTTGTGTTGGTAGGGCAAAACGAGTGCCGCATAGATGCAAGTCTTTTTCCTGCTCCGAAGATGCCCGTCCTAATTATATTACTCTCTTATTTTGTTGTTTGGTAGCCAGCCCAAGATGACGAAGATGAAGGTACGCAAGAAGTAATGGATGATGAAATCAAGTCACAGCAATCGGAACAAGCGAGAAATACTCAATTAAGAGATCCCGAAGCAGTGCAATATGATAGAAGAACAGTACCAGTAGTGAAGGAGAATGGAATCCTAGATGCATAAGTACGAATTAGAACAACTAGAACAGGAGCGAGTTAGCAGAACAAGAGGCCCGACGGCAGCCACATCGTCCCATTGACCACTGACCACCAAGGACGAAGCCAGATGCAGCGCCAGTGTCGCCATGCCAAGTGCATCTGTGCATTTCCATATTTTTTTTTTTTTTTGGAGTTTCCGAAGCGGGTCGTCATCCAGGGGTTTTGAAAGACACTTAACTGGATTGGATTCACTAGCTGGGCGTCGCTTGACTGGATGGATGGGGCCTTAGTACTAGGGTATTCGCGTACCTGGCGATCAACGTGCGTGGCCACTCGATTGGTCCCTGACTCCTTGGGAATGCGCCACGAAGCCATGGCAGTAGGCCGGCACCCAGTCCCAAACTTCTTCAGCCCCGAGACCATTTTGTTCGTATGCCCCGCCAGCTTTCGTGGCTGAAACAAAACAGGAAGCGGAGGTCGCCGAGATCTAGCCTTGATTAGATCTTGTGTCACAAAAATGGGGCGAGACGTTTCCAAACGTGTCGATTTGGCTAGGAGAACGAATGGCCTGGTCTGGAGAAGAAAAGAGAACTTGCTCTCAACTACGTCCGGAGGTATACGGAATGGTAGCATCGTTCGGCCAGGGGTCAAGCATCCAATTCTCAAGAAGTTGAAATGGTCTATCAAGAATGGAACAGGAAAGGAGGCGGTCCATTACTTGTGGGTTGTGGAGACGAGGTGGAGTTTAAGATCCGAAGCACTGCCACGCAGCTGATCGATCATAATTTCGCATCTCTGAAATGCTCAAACATTGGAACCAGCAATAACACACCGATCACAGGTTCAGAAGGTGCGCTGTGCGCAGAATTAAAAGAAGAATGTGGAGTCTCCTGTCCCACGGGATCTGTAAGACGTTTTTCAGGCTACAAAAACTTGAAGCTGTCATTATTTCACAAAGGCAACAGCGACGAGGACTGTTCATGCCTTGGCCCCCTTCTGTGGGCCGCCAAACAGATCATCGAGAAACCCAGTCCAAATTTGGCGAATAGTTTCTTCATCCTTGTCCTTAACGAATTTCCGTGCACTCTTGCCCACGGTGTCAGTTAATCCAGTGAGCATCTCGACTGACATTTCTGTCTCGTGGTGACCGTCATGCACATCACTCATGGCACTCGCCGGACTGCCCAATACATCATTCACCGTGGAGATTTGGGGCTTCATGATAGTTTCATGGCCTGGTGTGTCTTGATACCCACCGGCAGCTGAGTCAAGCTCAGGATATTTCTCCAAAACTGCTTCGGCATATTCGGAATTGATGTCAGGCAAGATGGGCACTCGAATCGTGGCGGGTTCGGGGCCATGAGAGTCCTCGAACAGTCTGGGAAGGTAAGCAAAGTCGATAGTGGAGGAATCATTGACTGCCTTCAACTTGCGCGAGGTGTTGAAGTGTCTCTGGGGACCGGTTTCAGACGGGCTACGGTTGGGTCAGTTGATCATCTCGCGAGGGAGGGAGTGGAAGTCTGACATACCCAGAAACAGGCTTCTTGGTCTGTTCAATGGCAATCCTCTTCATCGCAATCGAGAAGGCTCTTGCCTGCAGGCTATCGTGACCCGCCAATCGGTCAATCAGTTCATGCTTGGTACCCGATGCCGAGAGGGTTCGCTTCTGGCATTCTTGACGAAGGTCTTGCAAACTCCAAGGCATATAGGTCATCTTGTGGGTAGGATCGATGGGTCGCGGGGAGGCATGGACTCCGGTGATATGGAGACTCCGTTTGGCCGGGGTTGATCCGCTTGACCTCTGAAGGTTGCGTAGAGCTTTAAAGGAGGAAGCACGGGGAGCAGCCATGGTCAGTGATTCGATTTCGGTGGAGAGGTTGTCGATTTAGTGGATGGTGTGGAAGATGTTGTGGTCAATGTAGTCTTGGTGAGGAGGGTTCATGGGCAACAAGGATTGAGATAGATGAGGGTGAGAATGGGAGGTGGCCGTAGTTGTAGTCGCCAGAGGGAGGTGACGAAATGGCGGTCACGAATCACCAGAGAGGGCAGTGGCCAGTTGCAGGACGCAGTCGGATGATACGAATGTTGGTGGTGGTGAGACAAAAGGCGCTCCTTAAAGCTCGAGGTGCAGCGCATACGAGAGGGTTCGGCGTTCAATTGTCGGGGGAGGATGCACCTGCGCATTTGTTTGAGCACAGCTTCGGACCCCGCAGGAAAGACCGGAGCGAATAGGCTAAGCCGAGATGGAAACCCAGTGGAGACATCTCAACAAGCCTCCATGCCTTCCCGCCAGTGCCTGATGTGGTTAGAGGTCACGGGTGGCGCTGCAGAATCCATTGTCATTCGTGGACCGTTGCTGGGCGGTGAATGGAGAAAAGTACATTACGGAAAGCTAAGCGTATTTTGCCTACTGATCGAAAAGTGCGGAGAAGCGAACAAACAAACCGGAGCATCTCGGAATCTGATGTAGGGTCAAGGTTGTTTCCGGGAAAACGTATAAACCAGACATGCGACACACGTCACGCACGGAGCATGTAGCAGGTTGCTGGTGATATGCTAGAGTTCCGTATGTCGAATGTCGTTGTCTGCGATTTTCCCGGTGGCGTCCATAGTAGCGGTACCTGGGATTAGTTGTCAGTAGTACGGCGTTGGATCCGTGAGGCTGACGATGCCAAAATATGGCCGGCTCCACAGGCCTAGGCTGGCGCCGGGGAATGACATCCGGGATGGTACCCTACCTGTTTGTTTCCACTCAACTCAGTTCCAGAAGTCTTTCCAGAAAATCTTCAATACCATTCTGCCAGACCTTTTGCTGCGACTTGGACGGCACCAAGGGTCGCGTATCTCGTGCACTGCTACCTCGAGAGCGGGAAGATCTACCGCAAGTTTGATTGTCACCGAATTTATCTGCAATATTTCAGGTTGCAAAGAGGAATCACGAACGAGACAAGATGAACAAATGTGCTCCGTCCAGAGCCAGGACCTCGAGAAAATGGGACTGCAGAGTAACAGAAGGACTTTATGGACACCCGCTAAGAAAGAAACAATTTGTGAAGGCGGAGAGGACCTGAGCCCAATTTCTTATGAATGATTTTCTGACCCTTGCATGCGCTCTTGATATATTTTTGCTGTTTCTTGCCTGCACAGACATGGTCAACTGTTCTTCACTTTCGAAGACAAAATTTCTTACCACAGGGCCCGGATTGATTCGATATGAAGATAAACCCCCTCGATTTACTTCCCTTGATCTTGTCGTGGCCCTTTCTTCCTTCTGCGCTATGATTTCCTGTTCAGCTTTCAAGTGCAACGCAACTCGTCTTCCTTCGTTTATCTTTCCTTACTCATTCATGCCAATGCAAGCTGGTGTCTACGTTGGATCTGGCTCCATCTTTTCGTTGGCATGCGTTGTGCTTCGCTTACCTCGTTTCTCCTTCCACTCCTCCCTCCTCGCGCACCCCAACATCATGTCGATGCGGACTACCATCTCTCGTGTCCCTTAAGCGCTTCCCCCTCGTTCTTGAATGAATGAACTGTCTTGAAGAATCATTCATCGAGAAAGACACCCATGCCTAGCGGGACTGCCACATCTTCTTTGACCAGATCTTCCAAGATCCAAAATCCTGTCACTTTACATTTTTTTCCCACGATGTCACCACCACAAACTCCTTCAGCTTCTCCTCTACCTTCTTCGACCCTGTACAGTATCCCAAACTCTCTCTCTCTGTTGTCGAAACACCTTCCTCACGGTGTCGGGACCTCAGCCAGAGAGGATTCCGCACTGATATCAGTAAGTCAGACTGCGCAACACCACCGACCGTACATCCTCGCGCCGATGGCTAATTCTACGAGGATAGTAACGGAGCCTTACCAAACCCTTCCTGTCCCATCCCGATAGTCAGAAAATACTTGTACAAACACCTCACTTCAAGTCCGCAATGATGCGCCGCCAGGTACGGGTGGTTCATGACGATTCCGACGACGACGACTATAGCAACTGGCCGGTGAACCGGCAAAAGGTGTTGGAGCAATCGGTAATGGAAGTAAGAGTCATCCTGCCTTGTTTCACCTGAACCCAAAGACTGATCAAATTTCAAAGAGCAATTTAGGCAATGTCGCGGCGGATTTCATCAAGCTCAACGATTATCGACGTCGAAGCTCAAACATTGTCCAAATCCGTAAATGTGATATTGAAGGTACTGAAGAGGCAAACGCCACACGTGAAGATCGACAATTCATATCAGCATGGAACAGTAAGCACCGTCTCTTTTCACACGGCCTTTGATATCTGACAAGTTTCTAGCTTGGGGTTCGACCGAAGAGGCAATGAAGACTGCGTACGGCCCACCCTCTACCGGTACAGGCAGTAGCCATCGACCCGCTTCAACGCAGAGAATGAGAGATGAAGAAGCTTTCCTCGGACGCCCGTTGACATTGGAGGACACATATGATGAGTACCCACCCAGTCATTCTCTGGAGACGTTGCGACATCGTCGGATTTCGCCTCAGACCCCTTGAATGGTGGCCGCGGTGACAACCGAGCCATGGTCATCTCACATCCTGCCACGCTCTCTGGAACTGGAAAACCGCATCGCCGTCAAACTTCAAGCATACAGTTAGTGGATCCGTCCACTTTTATGTCTCAGGCCAATAAGATCATGTCATCTCTGTCACGAGTGAGTGAGCAACCGCAGGCACAAGGCCCAAGCCCTTCCGAAGTTATCCATTCACATGAAAATGTGCCGGCCCTTCCATACGGCCCTAATCAGCCATTTACTCAGAATCCTGACCAAGATATTCGAAAGGTTCCTGTCGACGAATTGGCCTATCCCATTAATGCAGTGATCAGACCGGCTGAAATTTCTACGCACACTCATGGTGCTCCAAATCTTGCAAACCTGTCTGATTTCTCGGGGTCTCTTGGGGTTCATGAGTCTCCTGCAGCTGCTGCAACACATCCAAATACGCATGCAGATACCCTTGTTGGCCTTGGTATCGAAGGTATAGATACTCAGACTACATGTGCGAACGCAGATTTCCAGCCTACCGATGTCACTTCGCTCAAAGCAGAGCAGTGCAAGGGTGGTACTATAGAATCCACCATTTTGTCCCAGGGGCCCATTGATACGCATTTTGTAGAGGAAGGCAAAGTTCTTGTTGATGGCGTCAGATACATTCCCGAATCTGAACTTTTGCAGAAGTTGGACTTGAAAGAAGCCCTCGTGACAGCTTTCAAAGATATCGACAGTCGTGTCTCGTCGAGTCAGAAGTCCGATTCCGAGAGAGTCGACTCCAAACGAGTTCCAGTCAAGCAATTGGAGTCCAAGCCTGGCATTCAGCTGTCATTGATTTCAACAACCTCCATGTCAAGCAATGTTGTCCAATCTATCATCAAGGCCAATCCCTTCAGTCCTCGAGAACCAATTCCTCCTGCAGGCACGGCTGACAAAGCTCCACAGTCCTCTCCGTAACTTAAGAAGAATGAATTCATGCCAGGCAGTTTGAATCTGACGTTGGTTGCCGCTGTCTGTCCTGGGTTCGCTGGTGGTCCGCTTTCTTCTGGCGCTTCTGTGGCCACACCGTTCTCCAACGTTGGCACGAGGCATCAAGCTGCCATGACAGGCAAGACGATCGTTTCCAAATGGGCAGCACCTGATCTGTCGTCGTCTTTTCCAAAAAAGCATCCTGCCCCCGGACCCCTCGTCGCTGGTTCCACTGGCTCCTTGGGCACTCACGGCTCCTCCATTGGTTCATCTCAAGCCACAATCAGCGGCAGACCATTCTCTGCTCCGCAGTCACATGTCTCTCGTCCTGTTCAGTGACCAACAAACCAAATCGTGGGTGATTCACGAGTCTTTGGTCAACATGCGTCCAAACGGAACTCCCTAGCCAAATTGCCTACCGTGCCTTCCTCGGCAAAAGCACGCATACGCATCAAACCTGGTCCGGGCTTTTCCGAACTTCTCCAGCAATTACAAAAGCAGAACCCCACGACCCGAGAGGTATCTCATTGCCTGGACTGACCGCACCATCATCCACCTCAGCAGAAAACACCACCCCCAAAAAGTACCGTAAAGCCCGGCCAGACTACCGCCGCGGAGTCCGATGAAGAGCCAGATTTGTGATTCGGATGACAATGCTGCTTGTCTTCATGGTTCTGTTGACATGGGCCTTCGATATCCGGTTGTATTCTTGTCTGTGACCAAGGACCAATCGGTTCTTTTGTTCAGTTTGTCTTTCCTTCCGACATCTTTCAAGAAGCTGTTTCCAACGGGGTAATGGGACTGCCACCGAAAATAGTACTAGAGACCCCTTGATTTGTTATAGCATGGCGTGGCCAAACCTCACACTCCCAGCACGACAATCAAGCTAGGTTTCCTACCGGAGAGAGCTTTTTAATGAAACACTGTTGTGCGTCAAAATGTACAACATAACAGCAACCCTCTTTGATCCTTGCAAATGATATTGAACATTTTAGACATCATGGAGCTCGTGAAGCTGTACGGTCATGGCGGCGCGGCACACCAAGATAAAAAGAGAGGCAGGGCGTATCTGCATGCGACGACCACCGTTGACAACTGTCCGGGAGGAATTTATTTCGTTGCTTGAATAATACATGTTTCTCCCTCATGGCATATTCATTACTTTTCGTTTCATCTGCAAATTTATGTTCATCGCTCGTCGAGATCTATCTTCTCTACCCTATCGCACCGCGAACTCTGCTTTCAACATCCGCTCCGGCACGTTGTCCTACCATCCGCACGACCCATTCTTGCTGCGTGCTCCGCAGGAGTTTGAGGCGCGAAATATACAGGTCCAGCGTCTCGGGTTTGGATCGCAGGTCCATTAAGCCTGTGGTGAGAAGCCAGCGTTGAACGCGTTGAGGGTCGGAGGGGCTGAAGTCTTCGGAAGCCGAGACAGATGTCGTTGCGTCGGCCTGAGTTGGGTGAATAGCAGATTGTAATGGGTTGGTTGGTCTGGTGGTGGAACCGTTTCCCTCGTCTTCCGAGTCGGAGTCGACGTGGCGCAGGACTGTACGTCCAGCGGTCAAGTGTGGTAGTTGAGCCAAATCTTCGTCCTCTTCATCCTCTTCAACCATCGGAGCTCGTGGATTACGTGGCACATTTGGCGCCGCTGGCGGCAACTCATCATCTGATATTGATTCGAGCTCAGGTATGCTGTCGTCATCATTGTCTGCTGTCGAATTGTTCCGCTCCGCATCCTCATAGTAGTCCCAGCCTCCAGCAATCCCGAGGCCGGCGGGCGTGACTCCTTCATCCATATTCCCAGCGTCGTCCAAGTGAATTTGCAGGAGCCGTTCGAGTAAATCCTCTGGGATGTCCCCTCCAAGTTGCTCCTGGAGGTTGCGGAGAGCCGCCTCGCCTTCAGACTCGTCATTCACATCATCTGGTCTCGCAGGTGTCTGGAACCAGTTCAGGACTCGCTGCAATAAACTGCCCGTGGCCCCTGCAGTAGCTCCAGCGGCGTTGAAAATCGTTTGCATAGTCCCACCCTGTCCCGCACCGAAATTTCCGGGAGTGCGGCGTACAAAGCCTGATTGTGAGTCTGGTGGGGGCAGGATATCGGAAGAGGATGTGGGCATGGTAGTGAAGTGGCGTGGGAGGAGAGCGATGAGTGACGGGATCTCTAGGAGCATGATATGTCTGGCTTCTTCGAGGGAGACTTCGAGTTTAGGCGCTGCTGGGGCGGCTGCGATCGCTTCACTGTAATGTGATAGAGTTTCAGCAACTTCGACTAAGAGGCTGATGGTCTCCGGAGTGTTCCACAGATCCTTTGCGCGGGTGACGTAGAGCTGCGTGTACAGCTTTTCAGCGTCTGTTGATGGGAGCTTTGCCCATAAAGATTTCGGAAGAGGAGAAATGTCGAGTGCTGAGGCCAGGGCGGACAATATGTATGGGTATTTGTGCATTGCAACAGCGAGTTGTGTCCGTGACTCTCGCAGTTTGCCGGCTCTTTGATAAGCCAGAGCCAGTGAGATTTGAATGTTGGGTAAGAAATCCCATGATTGGCCATATCCGTCGTCTGAACAGAGGGCTATTAGTTGAGCATGTTGGCGCCCTCGGAGAGCAAGTTGATCGACCATCAAAGTCACTCCGTACGGGTCTGTTTGTGTATTGAGCTGAAGGAGGACCTTGGCCCATTCAAATGCTGTTCGCCAGGTTCCTCTCATCTCTAGATTCTTGATGTATCGCCAAATCGCCAGATACAATTCCCGATTTGCAGGTTTGTCGAAGGGAACTCGAGCGACGCCACTTCTCAAAGCTGCTGGGAACGAGCTGTGGACGGATTTGCCAAAGGAGAACAATGCTCGCTCTACCAAATCTCCAGATACAGCATGATCGCCTTGGTGTTTGGCAATTTCTGAAACTTGCAGCAGAGTGGCGATGTGATAAGGATACATGGAGAGCAAACCTACCATTCTTTGAGGATTCATGGATTCGACTGCCATTTGGAAATGCATCTGGGTTTCCTGATACAGGTTGTTGTGTATGATGTTATATGTTTTCTCGAAGGACACCGGATCAGGGACGTATTCCATGCCCAGCCCTCCACTGGTGGCTGAAGGCCATTCCTCCTTTCCTTGCACGAATACGTTCCGTCTTGATGCGAGGGTCCCAAGTTCTTTACCTTTGCTTGCAACACAATATCTTCCAGTCAGCGCGGTGGCCAGATCAACTCCGCCTTGCAGGTTCTGCTCTCGCCGTCGCTGGTGACGAGGTGCGGACCGCGACTCATGTTCTTCCAGTGCGATATTGCCAAATAAACTCTTCATCTCATTTACCGGGTTAAGATTATTTGCGTCAATAGCGAGTAGTTTCGTGGCTGTTGCCTCCCAACTAGGTGTTTGTTCGACCTCAACTAGTACTGGATATCTGTGTCCGTGTTTTGCCGCCAACTCTCGCAGCGCTCGGTCAACTTCATCCCCCGACACGTCCTTTTCTTCCGTGGGTTGTGTGTGCTTAACGCTACCCTTTTTCTTCCCTTTTTTCCTCCTTTTCTTTGACTTGGTGGATGACGCTTGGTTGGATTGTGATCCATCCTCCGCTTGAGGTTCTGTGGGGGCGTTCGGACGTGCTATCGCCTCCCGCTCTTTTGAATCCGGTTCATCTTCATCACCGACATCCTCTAGCATGTCAAAAGCATTTGCAGGTCGAGATGGAGTAGAGATGTGCCCTGGTATATCATCATCTTCTGACTCTTGGGTCTCTTCGTAGGCTGTTTTGGCCGCGGCGACTTGTCTTTGTAGCTCCTGCTCTCGCTGGAGTTTCCGTAGGGCTCTGGAGGACATCTTGATTCGGCAGGAAGAGTCTGGACTCTGCTGGGTGGTAAGAGAGGTTGAAGTGAATTATTTGTATGGAGCGGCAAAGTGACGTGCATTTGCACGGGCAACAGGTGAATTTAGCGTTTGCCTGATTCGCATTAGGCCCTCGGTTGAGTTGCCGCCGAAAAAAGCAACTTGGGAATCTGGCCGCAGCCCTTGAACGACACCGATCTTGAATCTAGTAGCTTCTCAATTGTCTCATTCGTTCTGTCTCCCTGCAAGGTCCAACTCCCTTATTTCCTTGACCTCACCATCTCGATGCGGCGAGCCGCTGTTTTTGCTTTGCGCACGGCTCGACGCTCTGCCTTTGGAAAGCTCATATCCAAGAACTCCCTCTCTTTTCCGAGTCATGTCGTAGCCGTTCCCCATTCCACATCTCTCGTACGAAGATACAGTATATCACGACAGCCATTGCAGGCTTCTATGCGGTTACCGAAGATACCTATTGTTTTGGGAACGCTGGGGGCTATTGGAGCATGGTACGCCTATTCGGGTGATGGGTCAGACCGTCTGCTACGGAATCCGGCCTCGCCAATATCCTCCCAACCGACAAGGAGTTTGAACACCACACCAGATATTACCCCACCCACGCCAGAGCCGACGAGTCCTGCGCCTGTGACGGCCGGGCCGGAGCCAAATCGAAAAGCCCTGGTCGTCGACAACGATCAGTTTTTCACCGGATCTATTGTTGGCGAAGGTCCATTGGCGAAGGATACCGATGATCGCGGCCGAAAGGTTCTCGAGATGATGACACCAGAGCAGGCCACGGAAAGACTCCGGAAAAATGAGCACTCATATTTAGTAGGTCGCGGTCGTGGCGTGGTCAGATATGATGTTGTACAACTACCGAGCAACGACCCTATTGAAGACGATCATGCGGAGAAGATTGTGGAGGTTCCGAGCAGTGTCGCCGCAACAGATGGATCAGCTTCCTCGGATTGGATGTTTTGGGGTGTCTTTGACGGTCATTCCGGATGGACAACATCTGCCAAACTGCGCCAAGTACTCATCTCCTTTGCTGCTCGTGAACTCAACAACACATATAAGGCTGCTCTGTCGAATGCAAAGTCGCCGTTTCCTTCGCCTGCAGCGATTGACCAAGCGCTGAAGTCCGCTTTTGTTAAATTAGACAACGAAATATGCCTAGACAGTGTCAGCAAGTTGAGTAAGAATCCAAGCAAGAGGCTTGCTGCAGAGATACTCGCTCCTGCGCTCTCCGGGTCATGCGCTCTACTATCATTCTACGACTCGCAAAGCAAAACCTTACGCGTGGCATGTACAGGAGATAGTAGAGCAGTGCTTGGGCGGCGGAACATGCAGACAGGGAAATGGTTCGCTACTCCTCTATCAGAAGATCAGACCGGCTCGAATCCCAACGAAGAAGCGAGGATGCGAGCAGAACATCCGGGCGAAGAGTTTGTCATCCGAGCCGGCCGTGTCTTGGGCAATCTGGAACCAACCCGGGCGTTTGGCGATGCTTTCTACAAGTGGTCTCGCGATACGCAGGACCGAATAAAGAAACATTTCTTCGGACGAACACCACACCAGCTGCTCAAGACACCACCCTATGTGACCGCCGAACCCGTCGTAACAAGCACATCTATTGAACCCTCCAAGGGCGATTTCCTGGTTATGGCTACTGATGGGCTATGGGAGATGCTCACCAATGAGGAAGTTGTCGGACTCGTCGGTCAATGGATCGATCAGCAGAATAAACAAGCCACCACATCATCAAATTCCAGCACAGCCTGGCTATCATCTTGGTTCAAGTCATCCTCTCCACCGGCACTACCGGTCGAGAAGGGAGGCAACATGGATAAAACAGGACGTATTGACACCGGAAAAGATGGCAATCACGAGAAACCGATCCGACAGCAGCAATGGGATGTGAGGTCTGAGAACAATGGGCGTTTCGTGGTCGAGGACAAGAACGCTGCGACGCACTTGATCCGCAATGCATTGGGCGGAAAGGATAGGGATATGGTCTGTGCATTGCTCACTCTGCCGAGTCCCTATAGCAGACGATATAGAGACGATCTGACCGTCGAAGTCATCTTCTTTGGCGAAGGCGAGGATACCGGGGCGGTGGTGATCAATGCCGAAGCAACGGCACAAAGTGGCAATGGGAAAGAGAAGGGTTTGAAAGCCAAGTTGTGATGAAGCAAGCAAGGGTTCAAGTGATAGGATCGAAGAAGCGAGATGCAGATCACCTCATGGCCGTGGCTCGTCGAAGTCTTGGCTTTTTGCTTCATGTCTGAGCAAAATGACATCTTCTCGGCTGCACTATTTTCCACCTGCATTTTGGAGATTGATCGACTGATAGATGGAAGGCCGCATTGTCATCGGAGTTGGTCATATTCCTGATTGCGGCGAACGACTTTCTGAGCATTTTGTATTAAGTTCTTGCATTGTGAATTTTCGTCGTCAGACATTGGATGGGTATGCATGGGTCGGTACAGGAGACAATCATGTAAAGGACATATTGAAAACCTTTCAGTTGTGTTGATATGATTGTTTAAGGTCGAAAATTTGGCCACTCAATCAGAAGGATTTCGCTCACAAGAACCTTTTGCGGTCTCTGTGTGCCACATCCTGCGATGTGTTGCGTGAATTGAGGATTCTTGTTGCATTCGCCGCCATTCATCCTCTGAATTGGAGTTTGGAGGTGTTTGCCTGTCTCTCCCAACTATAAACTGAGATTCGATAAATTTGGCGACGGGTCTTGGAAATGACGCCCATCCCCGTGGGCACTCGATAAATTCAACAGCACACCTCGTCGAGGCTTCACTCGCCAGGACGGACATCTCACGCTGATGCCTTTCTTCCGCACCCAACTTTACGGTCTGGATCATGACAAATCGTCTTTCCGTCCTTTCATTTTCGGCAACTTAGCGTCCAAAGGCTCAAGGGCGTTGGACCCTCCGAGCAGATAGCCGATCAAAGGTCGCTGAACCAGCTGCGTTCCGACACTAGCAATGAGATACAAGACTACGGCCGTAGCCGTCTCAGATCGGATGAGGAGAAATGGGAAGATAAAAGAAGCCGCGATGATAGATTGAGATAGTTGTAAGTAAAAACTCTCTCGAGTTCTCATCGGACCAGCTTCCATGGCGCTGACTCTCCGTTCTAGCCTCGTCAATCCCTTGCCCCTTCCCACGGCCATCCATGCACTGGTCACCGACAATGTCCCAAAGGTCAGGGGAAGGATCCAGAGTTGATCTGGGGACACTAAATTAGGAATCCACCAAAGGCTTTCGGCTGCTAGACCTGGTTCTGCTGGCACAATGCTCACATCCACCTTTTCGTTGGTTTTGAACAACATCGACGTTATAGTCCTCTCATCGCCTGTCATCCGCCTAACAACATCGGCATTGATTATCCAGATTGGGAGGAAGGACAGTTGAAGTGCCATCACCAGCGACGGATTCAAGACCTTGCAATGCTTTTCGATACTCTTTTGTCGTGCCGCTAGTTGGGTAGACACCCAAGACTCTGCATTCTTCGCCGCTTTTTCATCTCCAAAGGGGAATTTCAATGCCGCAACAGACTGATAGGCTTTGCGCCATCCCACCAGAAGTTGGGATACGGTTTGTCTCCGTTTGGCATTTCTGTTCGTGACTACCAGGATGGGAATCCAAGAAAGTCGGAAGAGCGCCGCCGTCAGTGGTATGGATAGACACCACGGGAGGCCACTGAATGTGTGAATCTCTTGAAAGGCAGTGTGTGACAGTTGTAATGCTTCTGCTACTAAATGGTTTTGCTGTGTGGAATGGAAGGTTCGTGACAGGACATGTTGGGGCAACGGAGCTCGAGGAGGCTGTAGTTTTGGGATATGGGATAGAGATCGCGAGCATCGTAGAAATTGGCGGGACGGCATTTGAATGAAGGAGCAAAGCCGTGTCGTAGATGAAGGATTCTATCGTAGTTTGGGCGAGGGTAGATCAAACGATGCATCACATTTGCTCTCGCTCCCGCAAAAAGCTTGCCGTCCGTGCCTGCGGCTGCGGTACGTCTCCGATATACGCGCTCGTTTAAAAAGGATACCCATTTCTTGCGCTCTCTTCTAACCCAAATTTCCTAGCTAATCTTTCCCACCAACGGCTCCGGAAGCATGTACCTCGTTGAGTGTCGAATCCTTCTCCAGCAATGGTTGCCTCCAGCGTCGTGGCAGTTCTTGCGGTAGCACCGCTTTTACCCCTCTTTTTCCTGTTGCTCATACAATTGTCACTTCGCGCCCTTGGCTGGACTCTACGAGTCAAGACGAGAGATAAAAAGGCAGCAGTCACTGCCCGGGTTCAGCGGGAGAGACCTTCCTTCATAGAACATCAACAGATCTCCCAGGAGACCGAGGACGGCTGGGAAAAGATCGAGAAAACGGGCACGGCGGAAAATGGCAGACCCTTACAAGATGAATGGTGCGGTGTTGTTGGCTTCTTTCACCCCTTCTGGTGAGTCCTCTTTCCGTCCATGTAGGCGTATGGGTATCTGACTCATCACAGCAATGCCGCCGGTGGTGGTGAGAGGGTGCTATGGGCTGCCATCGCCGCGACTCAGAAACGATGGCCTCATGCAACTTGCGCAGTCTATACCGGTGACCACGACATTGACCGAAGTGTCGTGGTAGCAACAGTCAGGAGTCGTTTTGGAATCACGCTTCAAGAATATTCACTGGTTTTTCTATATCTATCTAGACGTCGTTATGTACTCGCGAGTACTTACCCTTATTTTACCCTGTTGGGTCAGTCTCTTGGTTCCGTTGTCCTCGCTTACGATGCCTTTGAGCTGCTCGTTCCCGACATTTTCATCGACACCATGGGGTATGCCTTTGCCCTGGCATTCTGCAAACACTTGTTTCCTAGCGTCCCCACTGCGGCATACGTGCACTATCCCACCATCTCCACCGACATGCTCGAAAGTCTCGACGACAAAACTGGTCAGCGTGGCATTCATTCCGGTGCAGGGGCAGGATGGAAGGGAATGGGGAAGAGGTATTATTGGCACGCTTTTGCATGGCTGTATGGTTGGGTGGGAAGCCAAATTGATGTTGTTCTATGCAACTCGACCTGGACCCAGGGCCACATCAGGCAGCTTTGGAAGCCCAAGAAGACATCACCCTCGTTTGGAGCTGTCGTCTATCCGCCATGCCCTGTGGAAGAACTGGTATCCCAGATTCAATTGACTCCGGAAAGCGAAAAGCGAAGAGAGAATATTGTTCTCTATATTGCACAATTCCGCCCTGAAAAGAATCACTCACTCATTCTTCGAGCATTCTCCAAATTCTATCATGCAGCAAAGGATAAACCCAGGCTTGTTCTCATTGGTTCTGTTCGGAGCAATACGCCGGATGAGAAACACATTTACAATCTCCGACTCGAAGCTCGCGAATTGAAAATCAAGGACTCCACTTCCTTCATTTGTGATGCCCCGTTCTCGGTGATTCTCGAGTATCTCCAGAAGTCCAGTATCACGACTAATGGCATGTACTCGGAGCATTTCGGCATCGGCAATGTGGAAGGCCTAGCAGCAGGACTCATCCCGGTCGTGCATAATAGTGGCGGACCCAAGCTGGACATCGTCGTCCCCTATGAAGGTCGGCCTATTGGGTTTCTTGCGGAGACCGACGAGGAGTTTGCTGCAGCGTTTGGCCGTGTGGCGTCACTTGAGTCACAAGAAAGATTCGCCATGAGACTGCGAGGGCGAGCAAGCACGAAGAGATTCACCGAGGAAGCATTTGCCAGCAAATGGATTGAGGAGATGGAGACCCTGGTCAAGATGCAGGTTTCAAGGCAAAATTAGTTCGTCCCGATTTGGAGATCGGACATCATGAAGGTTGTCATGACTTTTAGACCAATGATACCCTAGTTTGTTGTTTAGCTGTCCAGGGATACACCTTCCTGTCGCAGAATTTGATCGTGTGCTCCTCTTACTCTTCGCTCTTACATTGTCTTCTCTCAGGCTGAGGGGTTCTGTTGCACGTGATATGAATATTGCCAAGACCACCTTTTTTCAAGTCGATGGACTGATCTCGTCGCAGCCTTTAGTTTGCGCCCATGGCCTCTTGTCCAACTCAACCTTTGTTCATCTGCGCACTTTCATGGGGTTTGCTCGCCATACTAAGTAGTAGACATATACAGCGTTCTTCTCCGTTGCCTTTTGGCGAACTTTGACTCCTTCCTTCTATCCCTCAACCGATCATCCACCATGTCACTCTGTCTAAATCGTCTCCAAGAGGAGAGGTAAGAGGATAACCTCAGGGGTTTCTTCTTGCATCCACTAAAAATTGACTTACAGGAAACAATGGCGTCGTGATCATCCTTTCGGCTTCTTCGCGAAACCTGTGCGGGGCGCGAATGGAGTGCTTGATCTCAAGAACTGGGAAGTCGGCATACCAGGAAGAGAAAAGACCATCTGGGAAGGCGGCTTGTTCAAATTGACGCTGACGTTTCCGGATGAATACCCTACAAAACCACCAAAATGTAAGGCAATTTCATGTGCAGGTTGCATCAAGCGCGTTCTTCTGACAGGTTTAGGCAAATTCGTCCCGCCACTCTTCCATCCCAATGTCTATCCTTCAGGCACCGTCTGTCTATCAATCCTCAACGAGGAAGAAGGCTGGAAGCCAGCAATCACAATCAAGGAGATTCTCTTGGGAATTCAGGATTTGTTGAACGACCCTAACCCCGAATCTCCTGCCCAAGCCGACGCGTACAATCTATTCAAAAAGGATCGGGCCGCATACGAACGAAAGATCAGAAGCGTAGTCAAAGAAAACCCCGCACCTTGAGTAGGCTTATCGGCAATTTGGCGTTCAGAGAAGGCATGGATCGCGAATCGACGGGAAATGCATCCATCATTTGCATGTGAATTATTGGGATCGAGCGAGGCGTTCGGGTGGACACACGGCGGGGACATTGTGGAAGTTTTGGGAAAGGAATAGTTGGCTCGGGAAGACGGAGCCCACGATATGCACTCCACGTGTTGTGCTGTCGCGAGGAGAGTAGTTTTTTTTTTCAAGGTTGTTTCTTTAGCATGGAGAGAGGCCAGGGAGGACAGGGAAGATGGGCTGATCACCCCCTCAGGATCATAAAAGGGGCCCAAAAATGAAAGCGTGGGGGTCCTTCATAGGCTGTCCGCATAAGAAAAAAAAATGCGGGGGATTCGGATATCTGCATTACGAGCACCAGATGTCACCCACATTGGCTCAGGTCAGGACTAATGAGGCCAACGGAAGTCCTAGAAGCCCCTTGATGCCCAAGAGCCTTAAGGGACAGCCCATCCACCACTGAGCTTCAACTTTTGTGTAATACTCGTCAGAAAAATGAGGTCGCGTGCCGAAAGTTGGTCCCTTCGGAGAGGAGCGGTCAGGCACAAACAAGGTCATTCTGCGTGAAGTTTTTCATGGGCCAGGCTCATTAGGTTTGGGTCGTCGTCGTGCTTTCGGCAAGGGTAATAGATGACAGGTCACAGGTAGAAGCTTGAATTGAAGAGGGGCGGTGGCTCAGTCATGTTCAGCTCCACTGGCCACCATTCGTTCCTTATCATTGAAAGGGGGAATGAATGTGAAATGAGGTGGGTTGAACACGTTGGTGGTTTGGAGTAATAAAAGCCGCTCTGCTGGTTCCCGAATCTCCAGTTCTCGGTTTTGAGTCTGAGCCTCAGTGAGGGAGAACGAATGAATAGAGGTGAGATTGCTAGTCACCGTCATTGCCCGTATTGCCATTAGTCTCCTGAGCGGCGACATCGACCTGCACATTGAGTCATCCCGCTCTCAAAATTTTGGCCCTGCGTTCATCTGGCGCCGGATTTTTATTTCCTCCCACGCCCACCCACCCACGCCCACCACACTTTTTCTCACACCTTGCATCTGCATATACACAATCACAATCTAAGGCATACAAGCAGGCAGCTCGTGGGCAGTCATGTGTGGTATCTTTGCCTGCCATGGGTAAGTCCTGGTCATCGATCTGCATCCGCTCGTGTTTCCGGCTGCTAATTCAGTCCCCAGCCATCCCTCCATAGCCAGCTTTAAAGCCACTGCCCTGCAGTGTATAAAATGCCTCCGACACCGTGGCCCTGACTGGTCGGGAAACTGGACCGGAAAAAATACCATTCTCTGCCATGAACGCCTTAGTATCGTGGGCGTGGATAGCGGCGCACAACCCTTGGTCAACGATGAAGGCACTATTGCTTTGGCCGTCAACGGCGAAATTTACAACCACCGAATATTGCGCAAGCATTTCAAGACTCCCTACAGCTTCAAGACCAACAGCGATTGTGAGGTCATCATTCCTCTCTATCAGGAATACGACACAGATGCGCCCAAGCACTTGGACGGCATGTTCTCTTTCGTCCTCTACGACATGAACCAAGACCGAACAATCGCTGCGCGGGATCCCATTGGTATCACCTCCTTCTACCTCGGTCGATCAAGTCAAACGCCAGGAGCCGTGTTTTTTGCTTCCGAGCTTAAGGCCTTAGCTCCAGTGTGCGACGATATCATATCATTCCCTCCGGGCCATGTTTATGATTCCAAGACCGATATGATCGCTCGATATTTCGAACCAACATGGTGGGATCCAACCAACGTCCCAACCACACCGATTGATTACAAGCTGATTCGAAAGACGTTGGAAAAGTCGGTTCTCAAGCGACTCATGGCTGAAGTGCCGTATGGTGTTCTCCTATCTGGCGGACTTGATTCGAGTTTGACGGCTTCAATCGCCCAGCGGGAATCTCTTCGACAACGGGCACTCGCCAATCGTCAAACCAACGGTCAGACCAATGGCGTGGTAAACGGGGAAGTCAATGGGTTCAAACCGCCAAAGGCTGGAACCAGGTTGGTGGGGATTGACGATGACGATGAGTTGTCCACGGTCACATCTCTACCTCAATTGCATTCTTTCTCCATTGGTCTTCCAGACGCCCCAGATACGAAAGCGGCCATTGAGGTGGCCAAATTTCTCGGTACCAAGCATCACGACTTCACGTTCACCATTCAGGAAGGACTAGATGCTCTGTCAGATGTCATCTACCATCTCGAGACGTACGACGTCACCACCATTCGTGCCTCCACACCCATGTATCTGCTGAGTCGAAAAATCAAAGCCATGGGAGTGAAGATGGTTCTGAGTGGTGAAGGAAGCGACGAAATCTTTGGGGGTTACCTGTATTTCCATGCCGCTCCAAGCAAAGAAGACTTCCACAAGGAGACGGTCAGAAGAGTCAAGAATCTCCATCTTTCCGATTGTCTGCGCGCCAACAAATCGACAGCTGCGTGGGGGGTTGAGGCTCGAGTGCCTTTCCTGGATAAGCAATTCCTTGAGGTTGCCATGAATATTGACCCGGCTGAGAAGATGATCACCAAAGACCGGATAGAAAAATACATTCTCCGCAAAGCATTCGACACAAGTGACGAACCGGATGTGGACCCTTATCTGCCAGATCATATCTTGTGGCGCCAGAAGGAGCAATTCAGCGACGGGGTAGGCTATGGCTGGATTGATGCACTGAAAGACAACGCCGAGATCAACGTGACAGATGAAATGATGGAAAACCCCAAACCTGAATGGGGCGAAGACGTACCAACTAACAAGGAAGCATACTGGTATCGATTGATGTTTGATCAGCATTTCCCCTCCTACTGTGCATCCACGGTGATGAGATGGACACCAACCTGGTCCAAACTAACCGACCCCAGCGGCAGAGCCATCCCCATCCATGTTGCGCGATACGATGAAAACGAGAGTGGTTCATGAGAGTGAAGGGGCCGGATGAGTGCTCATGTGTATATGGACTCTATTATCATCATGGGAGGGCGTTTTGAGGAGGTCATTTGAAAGCCATCTCTAACTGAGCGAGAACTTTTCAAGTTTCGGGAAGGCTGTATCTCCTATTTGATGACGAGTTGAAAAAAGTAGCATTTTGGGCTGTAGCTTGACGTGTTCACGTCCATTCAAGTAACAGAAGATAGGCAATCAAATACCACTGGACTTGACGCCGTTTAGGGACGGAAATGATGTGGACGGTTCCCTTCTTTCGCCCTTTAACCATTTGCAGTGAGCAAAGACCCTAAAGGGCAAGTTGGCCGAGGCAAACCGAAACCACCTTCTTCCAATCGAGGAAGTGATTGGTCAACCGCCAGCTGCGACGCAAAAGCACATCTCCGACCTATTTTCTTAAGCAGTCAGTTGCTGTTCCAGTTCAGTCTCAATCACTGTTCTGCATTCTGCTCTCCCGGTGCCATTTACCACCTCCTTACCATCCCTTCCTCAACCGCCACCATGTCTGGTATCCCAGTCCCTTTCAGCGACATCGCCAAGCCAGCGAACGATGTGAGAGATGCAACAGTCAAATTCCCTCAATGGAATGCTCTAACCAGACCACCAGCTCCTCAACAAGGACTTCTACCACACCACGGCTGCAAATCTCGAGGTCAAATCGAAGGCCCCGAATGGTGTTGTGTAAGTCTTTCTGGACCCTACGAGAGTAATCGACTCTGACCGCTCTCAGCTTCAACGTCAAGGGGAAATCCGCCCACGATGGTCCAATTTCTGGCTCGGTGAGCACCACGATATCAAGATCCAACTTCAGAATATCACATATTAACGGCAGCGGAAAGATTGAAGGCAAATACACCGACAAGGCCACTGGTAACCCTCACCATCCTACCCTCGCCGCAATCGCTTGGACCCTCGAGTCCTCTCTTATCTCTCAACCAATGCTAACTTGGAGCTATTTAGGCCTGGCCCTGACTCAGACATGGACAACTTCCAACAGCCTTGATACCAAGCTTGAGCTTGAGGACAACCTCACCAAGGGACTGAAGGCTGAGGTTCTCTCCAACTACTTGCCCGCGAATAGTACCTACGGTGGAAAGTTCAACCTCCTGTACAAGCAACCAAACATCCACACTCGATTGTTCACCGACCTCTTCAAAGGACCTACTGCCACCTTTGATGTAACCCTTGGCCACGAAGGTTTCTTAATTGGCGCAGAAGGTGGATATGATGTTGGCAAGGCTGCAATCACCAAATATGCTCTTGCAGCAGGATACAGCCAGGGTTCCTATGCTGCTGCAGTCACTGCCACCAACAACTTGACCATCTTCTCCGCAAGCTACTACCATAAGGTCAATGCCGAAGTCGAGGCTGGTGCAAAGGCCACTTGGGACTCGACCGCCGGTAGTAATGTTGGTCTCGAGGTTGCTACAAAGTACAAGCTCGACCCCAGCTCTTTCGCAAAGGTGATTCATCATCCCGCTCCGGACCTTTAAGTGGAAAATTACTGACATTTGCAGGCCAAAATTAATGACCGTGGTATCGCTGCTCTTGCCTATAACGTCAAGCTCGGAACTGGTGTTACCCTGGGCCTAGGTGCCTCGTTGGACACTCAAAACCTCAACCAAGCGGCCCACAAAGTTGGTGCCTCATTCACGTTTGAAGGATAAGCGCAATTCCATTCTCATGTACTCCGTATTGAAGCAAAGAAGCGGTTCCGCCTGTACAAAGTAGCATAGAGTGAGCAATGGCAATATTCCATCTTGGTTTCAGCGGTAGATGGGGTATCATCAAAATTCATGCATTGATCAAAACAAACCAATCTTACACTTCTTCTATGTGTGACGCAAATCGGGCGCCTTCATCTGCACACATTGAGGTGAATGTACCATCCTTGTGGCCAGCCTTTTAGCCTTTGGTCCAATCATTTCGGGCCGCGTCTCGTCGACTGCCATCTCCTCTGGTAAGTCCGCCTCGAGGAGTGTTGGCCACTGAAACAATGAGGCTCCCCAACGACAGACTCAATACCAGGATGACCGAGACGAGGACAAATCTTCCCCAGAAATTGTCATCCATCTCCATTTCTGCTTGGGCTGCCGCTAATTCCCCCGCCCGCCTACTGGCACGCCTGTAGTCTTCGTGCGTCTGCGTTTTATATGTACTTCGGGGATCGAAGGCCGGATCGAATTTCCCTTCCTCCGTATACGCACCGGTATTGAATGTCCCCGCCATATGCGGATGAGGTCTAGCTCCTCCCTGACCTCCGCGTGCCTGGTTCATCGTGTTCGCGGTAGGTTTCCCATGTGCGTAGAACGATGGCGGTGGCCCTTTGAATGCGCTCCGTCGCTTGCTCAGTCCACTAGCTGGCCGAGAGCCCGCGTAGGTGCCTCCTCTATGCTGGTGGCTCGAGTGGGAGCCATGCATGTGCCCACCATGGCCGTGACGATGGGCCTGGTGCGAGCGCATCACGTCGCGGTCATAGCGTTTTCTCTTCTCCGGGTCTGCGAGCACGCTGTATGACTCGCTGATCTGCGCGAACCGTTTGCCCGCGTCCGGGTTGTTCGGATTGATGTCCGGGTGCGTCTCCTTTGAAAGCACGTAGAATTGCTTTTTCAGCTCAGCTTGTGTTGCGTGTGGTGCGATCTTGAGGATGTCGTAGTGGGTTTGTCGGCTATCGCGCCGGGAGAATGCTGCTGAGGTCTGTGAGAAGTGTCGCTCGCTTGAGCGATAGATTAGACATCTTATAGCAGGGTTGGGGGATGAAGTGGTGACGCGGAGAGATGATAGGTATAGGGTCGCGGAGATCGAGGCCGGGCGAAAGATCATGCCTCATGCTTGTGATTGTTCTGGGTCTGGTAGGTACGTAATAGAAAGAATAGTTCAATTGAGGGCTTGGAGAAAGATGAAGATAATGGGGGTGCGTGACGTCTTTCAATTTTGGTGATTGAAACTTGAGCCCATGATGGTCATCGCCCGCAATTTCCCCGAAGCCGGTCTCGCTGGTTCGCGTCAGGTGCCTGCGGTGACGGTGCGGAAAACGAATGCAGGGGAACCTCTGCCTGTCCTTTCTCAACCTTACATTCCAGCCTTACGTCTTTGATATTTTTCTGTTTGCTCCCTTCGAACCAGCAGTTCATATCTTCTATCGAATGGCTGCCAAAGCAGCAGACGAGCTCTCGAAGCTCGCACTAAATGGCACCGCCAATCAACCCAACCCACAAGTCAACGGCACAAACGGCGTTAATGGCCACTTATCAGATCAAGACGATTCGGATGACGACAAAGACGACGATGCCACTGCTGCCGCCAACAGGGCACACGACAACACTGCCAGCGGGACCGTAAAGAAGAAAAAGAAGAAGAAGCCCAAAAAGAAGAAGGCAGGCGGTGCAAAGGTTCAATCTGACCCGCCCCGTGTGCCTATCAGCCAACTCTTCCCTAATGGCACATACCCTGTTGGCGAAGAGGTGGAATACAAGAACGACAATGCCTATCGCACCACGAATGAGGAGAAACGCCATCTCGACCGCATGAACAATGACTTCCTCCAGGAATACCGCCAGGGCGCCGAGGTGCACCGCCAAGTCCGTAAATGGGTGCATGAGCACGTGAAGCCCGGCATGAGCTTGACGGAGATTGCAGAAGGGATTGAAGACGGGACTCGCGCTCTCACGGGCCATTGGGGCCTTGAAGAAGGAGACAATATCAAAGGCGGTGTGGGCTTCCCCACGGGTTTGAGCATCAATCACATTGCTGCACACTATACCCCCAACGCCGGGAACAAATGGATCCTAGGCGAGAAGGATGTGATGAAAGTTGATTTCGGAGTCCACGTCAACGGAAGAATTGTGGACTCGGCATTCACGATGGCGTTTGATCCAAAATACGACAATCTGCTTGCGGCGGTCAAGGACGCTACAAACACCGGGGTTCGGGAAGCCGGCATCGATGTGCGGGTCTGCGACATTGGCGCCGCAATTCAAGAGGCAATGGAGTCGTACGAAGTCGAGCTCGATGGCAAAACGTACCCTGTCAAAGCGATCAGGAATCTCAACGGGCACGACATCGTGCAGTACAGCATTCACGGTGGCAAATCCGTGCCCATCGTCAAGGGAGGCGATCAAACCAAGATGGAAGAAGGCGAGATCTTTGCCATCGAGACCTTCGGCTCCACCGGACGCGGCTACGTCGTCGATGACCTCGAGGTCTCGCATTACGCCATGCGCTCTGATCCTCCCAATGTACCATTACGTGTCCAGTCTGCGAGATCCCTTCTCAATGTGATCAAGAAGAACTTCGGCACCATTCCATTCTGCCGTCGCTACCTTGATCGTCTTGGCCAGGAGAAGTATTTGCTCGGCTTGAATAATTTGGTCAGCTCGGGCATTGTCGAGTCGTACCCGCCCCTTGTCGATGTCAAGGGCAGCTACACTGCTCAGTTCGAGCATACAATCTTGTTGAGGCCTACAGTTAAGGAGGTCATTAGCCGTGGTGATGATTATTAAGCGGTACATTGCTAAGGCGGCCAAGTCTGAAAGAAAGGGCACTGCGCAATCAGTCTTGGATTGCTCCACGTGAAGAAGAGCGTCAAGGTCCCCAAGAATCATTCATTGGGTATGCTGCATGACGCTCGAAGGTCTTGGATCATCGGCCAGCGAACGTGTTTTTTCCCCCAAGCTGTCGAAATGGAATTGAACGGAATGAAAAGCACGAAGGAAGATTATGAACTCCAACTCACAAAACGCCAGAAATTGGCGAAACTTTTCCTTATCCATTTACTGCTCGCTCTCACACTCGTGCTTTGTGACTGTTGTCACTACGGAATATATATGCTGTAACGTCCAAATTAAAAGTCTGATCCTGTCCGAGTCCACATCCGTATCCTGGAGACATCCGTATTTAATGCCATTACCTAGGACTTGATTCTCAGGGAGGGACTCGGTAATGTTTTGGAATTCGTTGATCAAATATGCTCGGGATGAAGATTCCGTTCTATTCCATCTTAACGAATATCCCGTGCTGAATACTCACCTCTTCAACTAATCTAAAGTCCATACCCAGAGCACATTTGATCTCACTATCCCAATCCCTTCCCGATCCCTGTAATTTTCAAACTTCCTTGACAATCCAACCTCAAACACCCGAACCATCTGGAACTTGAGACTGGCGATTTCACTGTGTGTGTTCTCACGCAGCCTGATGAACGCGTGGAGTATCGCTTTCCATACCAGGCTCGTCCCAGGTTTTGGTGGTATGCTTCTCCGAGGACAGAGAGCGCTGAAGCAGTGAAGGGAAGGGAAAAGTGTGGGAGGATTCGGGAGAGACGGTTGTGCCATCGAGACTGGAGGGGTTGCCTTCTGTGGCTGTCAATATGCGTCGAGGAGGCGCTCTCTCTCATTGTCATTGGCCAAGTTATATGCAGAATTGGTGATTTGAATCGTTCTTTTCCTCTACAGTGATTTCTCCAAGGCATCTTCTTCGCTCTCGACCGGTGGAGAAGTCACTGACTTGGTAACCCCACGAATGCTCCCAGTCTTGATCTCAAAGTTTCTGACCTGCTCGAAGATCAACGAGGCCAGATCCGGTATAATTATCTCATCCATAAACCCATGCCTCACAATGAGACGATGGCAGTGCGGTATCGCCAATCTTGAAACCGTATATTTGTCTTCAGGGAGAACTGATGGCGTCTTCAATGATCGGGGATGGAAGAAAAAGATGGCATCAGGCTTTGCGATGAGTTTTATCACAAGTTGGCTGAACACAATCGGGGTGGTGTCGCCTGCCTTGTCGAAATAGATTCCAAAGGATAAAGTATGCTGCGAGAATGGCGGCTAGTTTGGGGTAAACCAGGTATCATCAGGGACTTTGATCAACGATGATGATAGATAGACTCCGTCTAGACAGGCAATTGTAAGCCGGGGAAGGAACATATAGAGCGGCAAGAACGCGCCAGACGAAAAGCGCTGCAAGAAAAACCATGTAGGTACCGAAGAACGTAACAAACATGACGCAGACTCTGCGTAGACGTTAGTGATTACGATCAAAATCGAGAATACGGAGCGGTGTTACTTGTCGGCGCTTCCCACCGAAGTGGTCTGATTGTGTTAGCTTCTCGCCTATGGAAAGCTGGCGTCGACGTACGTTGTTATAGATAGTTAGGCACCAAGACCGTGCCCATCATGAGTAGCCAGCTCAACACTGGTATGTATAATTGTCCGTGGAAGTCCTTGGAGGTATGAACGGCTTTTATTTGAGGAACGTAAGAAAGTCTCATAATCTGCACTAGAAACTGACCGGATAATTTAACCAGGTCTTCAATCGACTGTGACAGGTTCCCTACCTGAGACGTAGCGGTAATGATCGCTTGTGAAGCAAACAATTGCTGCGAGAATTGCGACCGCTAGAGACGGGTATCAAATGTCTGGCGGGGCACAATTGAAAAAGGGGTTTGAGTATGCTGCTAGATGAACACTTATATACGCCGCCTGGTCGATGCAAGCGAGCAATAGACAAGGAAATACATAGCAAATCCAGCTGAGTTGAATGGCCTTCCTCCTAAAGGCTCCTAGGTCGGCAAATAATGCCTCGACACCGGTAAAAGCAAGGAGGACACTTCCCAGCATTATCCAGCCTTCTTCCTTGTTCGAATCAAAGTATCAAAAACGAGACCTGGATTAAAGGCTTTTGGGACAGCACAACCGAATCATCTCTATCAAGGATGTTTCGTGTGGGTCTCGGTTGGTGATGTTCAGCTAAACAGATCGTATTAGCATCGATCGCTCAGAAAGATGCATAAGCACATCAACGAAGCCCTGGTATTCAGGAGGGCCACGAAAGGCTGATGAGCAGACATGAAGTGGACTAGTTCCAATGTCACCATAGATGACGCTCAATCGATTGATATGAAAGCCACAGGAGCACTTTTTCCTGAAAGACATGCGTTGCTCAGCGAAAGAAGAACACAGGCAAAGCGACATGTCCTCGGATTTGTCTTGACTTGATATCTCCTGATCGTCGCGAGCCTGAATCCTCATTTTCAATGTCGACAGTCTTCACACTTCGTCTGTCCATGGAAGGAACGCTCGAAATAGCACGCATGTTGTAGATACCATCATCGAAGTCGGTGGAGGTCGTATTGGATCTGGTGGAGAGGGTGAACGGCTTCTTCGATACGGACAGTGGTCATATTGATGGTCTAGAGGATGTAGAGAGGAAAGAATAGGTGCGATCACAGGAAGCGGTTCTCGAGACGACAAAACTTGCATACTGCGCCTGTTCAACATTCTGAAGGCCTATGCCCCTGGACATGGGTAAGAAACAACGCATTGACATTGTATGGGATAATGATGAGATGGAATGTCGCTGTTGACACCATGGCACGGCCGTTGACTGCCTCAGGATGGGGAAAAGCAGGATTTGGGCAGACCAGGCCGGCCTGGATGAATTGCGAAGCATGTCAGGGACGGACAACGAGGGCGAAAATTTTTCCAGGCAAGGAAAAATAGGAGCTAGACTGAACTGTGTTCATGTGTCGGAGCCATCCGGAGAAAGCTTGAACATCAAAGCAATGGTCTGAATGAAGTTTAAACGCCCAGCGCGCCTTGGTCAGCGGGGATTCATGTTGAGTCCCAGGACACCGCTGATCAAGGACGAGAAATTGTCAGAAGACAAGGCATGTCGAAACTGCCGCTCTCGAAGTGTCGTCCTCGGTAGGTCGAGAGAAGAGAGTGACATAAGGAGGCTTCTGACTGCACATACGACGTTGAGATAGAGTCTGCAATCACGTGATAATAAGAACGTCGAGATGCTCTCGCTTCAATTTCCCGGGTGGGATTTATACCAAGTGTGCAAAACTTTCTCAGGAGATCAAGTGGTCCCCATTACTCATTTACTGCAACCTCAATCTGATTGGATTCTGCGCAAAAGCTCTGTAGATTAATCTGTGGTTTCCGTTGTGCATTGCGAAAACTCATTTCTAAGGTCTTGATTACCTGTCATCGTTCAAAAAGGGCCATATACTTGCTCAAGGTTCTGAGTCACCGCCAAACCGTTCGTTCCCATTTTGGTCGAACTTTTCCTGTTGAGAATTTCAATGTCGACCTTTGGCCGTTATTTTCGAGTCACCACTTATGGCGAATCTCATTGCCGTTCCGTCGGCTGCATTGTCGATGGCTGCCCTCCAGGCATGCAACTAACAGAGGACGATATACAGCCTCAGATGAGTCGCCGCAGACCTGGCCAATCTGCTCTGACCACCCCTAGAAATGAAAAGGACCGAGTAGAAATTCAATCCGGCACCGAGTTCGGCGTCACTCTGGGTACTCCTATTGGCCTCATAGTGCGGAATGAAGACCAAAGACCGAAGGATTACGGCGGAAAGACGATGGACCTATATCCTCGCCCAAGCCATGCAGACTTCACTTACCTGGAAAAATACGGGATCAAGGCAAGCAGTGGAGGAGGGAGGAGTAGTGCTCGAGAAACGATCGGTACGTTTTCCTCGGTATCGTGAGCCCGGATACTGACTCGATGTTAACAGGAAGAGTGGCGGCGGGGGCCATCGCCGAGAAGTATCTATCATTAGCACACGGTATCGAGATCGTGGCTTTCGTATCTTCCGTTGGCTCAGAGCACCTCTTTCCACCAACATCGACACACGCAAGCCCTGCAACAAACCCATCATTCCTCGCGTTAATCTCGAAAATAACCAGAAAAGAAGTGGATTCCTTTGTTCCGGTGAGGTGTCCCGATGCGGGCGCCACCGAGCGTATGACTAAGGTGATCGAGAAGTTTCGCGACACACAGGACAGTATTGGAGGCACTGTTACGTGTGTGATTCGAAATTGCCCCATTGGATTGGGTGAACCCTGCTTCGACAAACTTGAAGCTGAACTTGCACATGCTATGCTGAGCATCCCCGCCACGAAAGGCTTCGAGATTGGATCAGGTTTCCGCGGGTGTGAGATACCGGGTTCGATTCACAATGACCCCTTTATTGCGGCGCCAGGAGTAGCTCCGGGTCAGCGGGCGCCAAACCGAAAGTTAACGACTAAAACAAACAACTCGGGCGGCATCCAGGGTGGAATTTCCAACGGTCAAGATATTTACTTCCGAGTTGCATTCAAGCCTCCAGCAACAATTGGCCAGGCGCAACAGACGGCCACTTATGATGCAGAGGATGGGGTGTTGGAGGCCAAAGGTCGACATGATCCTTGTGTTGTACCAAGAGCAGTACCTATCGTGGAAGCAATGTCGGCGCTTGTCCTCATTGATGCACTCATGGCACAGCAAGCCAGGGAGTCCGCACGGAGCCTCTTGCCGCCGTTGACGTCAACATTGCCTGTGAAAGAGACTGGAGCCTCGACAACTTCAGGAAAAGCTGGAGAACTTTTGAATGGTGCTGCCAATGGACAAACGTAAATTGGCGATACCAGTCTCAGCAAATGTCTTGTACTTGGTACCAATTAGAATCTGTACACATTAGATGGCATGGGAGCTTGCAACCATTGTTGCAATGGAGTCGACGGATAGATCCAAAATATGTTCGAACTGCGCGCTTACCTGAGGAATAAACATTGTCGATGTGTTCCAGCCGTCTCTTCCCCTCCATCAGCTTTCTGGAAACGTCACCTTGGCCATTTCGGAACTCCATACCGAAGTTCTAGCACCCACGCCGTGGTTGGAGTCAAGCTGTGGCTAGTAAGGTGACTCAACCGGCAAATTAAATCTTGGGCAGAGCTCGGCAGGCGTATTTTATTTTGTACCATGCACCCCATCCCGCGATGCTCCTGTGTATTCTGAGACTGTCTTCCTCTTAACGGTAGAGTACTGTAATGCTAACCAGCGTCTGTTGCGAAGGCTCTGCGTGCATATCGATACCCAACAATCTCTTCAATCTGATGTTCTTCACGTGCCCAACGAAAGTAAATTAGTTCGTCGATCGTGTTTGCAGGCTTGGATCGCGTTCGCTTCTTGGCCAGCGGCCGTCCGCGTGTCTGAGTTTTGCGTTGGCCTGGCAACCGAAACTCCTGCAGATTGTTTTTGCCCGCGACTGATCCTCCGTGTGGCTAGAAGGCGTAACCCTCCTTGCAGTGGTTCGAAGACCATTGGACGCCATCAAAGAGTACGTCAAACTCGTCCTGCCATCTTTCGTCAAGAAACTCTGGATCCGATCTCGAGTTTGGGTGTGGCTAGCGTTTATTCTGCGTCTGTTTACCACTACCACCGCCACCACCACCAACTTGCCCCGCGACTATTGCGACTTCACGACCAACCTCTTGATGCCCTAGACCAGATTGAAATCTTTTTGAAGCCCCTTTCCGACAGCAAACAGGTCATCTTCCACCACGGAAAGCTGCAGATGGGGTGTTCACCGGGCCGATTCACAACTTGGAAGCCGACAATGACCTGAATCCGAACAACGAGATATGCTACCACGACTTCTCCTTCTCTCCGCAGGTCTCTTGACCTTGACGACACCCATCCTTGCACAATTGCCCTACAATCCCACCCGCATCATTCCAGCAAAAGGTGGCTCATACGCCTATCTCTTCTCCCCGCAGCCATCTTCCTTCCAGTTTTCCCTTCATCTGCTCGACACATCCGAGGAACTGAATAAGACATCTCCAAGGACAAAACTGTCCGACACCCTGCCCTTTCTCTCGGGTTCAACCTCCAAGGCTTTCATAACTCTCGCCGACCACGAAGGTATAACAGTGCTCGCTGGAGACTGTAAAGAGGCGACAAATGGCTTAGAACTCTGGAGGTTGACAACCGGCAATGATGGGAAGAACAGCACATGGTCTACGCTGCCCGTCACCGCGAGTGATGGCTCCCTGGGATCTAGGTACCTTGCAGCCGGGTTTACCTTCTCCCCGACAGCTTCAGTTCCAGATACTTCGTTGTACGTTTTTGGAGGGATGTGCCCTGATAGAGACTCTTCTGATGCTTCCAATTGGGTGTCGGGTGCCACTTATTCAAACACAATGCTTACCCTCACCCCGGACTCTCCGTCGGACGCCAGTTCACCATATCAATTGTCATTGACCGGGTCGAGAGCTCCACCCATTGCCGAGGCAGGATTGACCATAACACCCTTAGCACCAACCTTCTCCAATACCTCAGACAACAACGTATCACAGCAGCAGAATTTTGTCCTTCTCGGTGGCCATACTCAAAGTGCCTTTATCAACATGTCACAACTAGCTATATTTGCCTTGCCTCAGGCGTCTTGGGCTTTTGTGGGAGTATCCCAGTCCCGGGGGACTGGAGGCGGAAAAATAAAGTCTAGAGATGCAATCACTGTTGAGCCACGATCTGGCCATACTGCAATCTTGACCGAGGATGGATCCAAAGTTGTGGTGCTTGGAGGCTGGGTAGGTGACATCAATACTCCGGCACAGCCTCAGCTGGCTATACTGGAAGTTGCTCAGGAATACGGCGGCCGGGGCGATTGGACGTGGACCGTTCCCACTTCCACATCTAATCCTTTCACGTCTGGCGCTGGCATATATGGCCACGGCGTAGCTCTGCTGCCTGGCGGCGTCATGATGGTCACGGGAGGCTATCCCATCAGTTCATCTGGCTCGAAGCATAAACGAAAACTCTCCGATCAGATTTTTTTCCTGAACACGACAACTTTGGACTGGACCAGTACGTACGCGAACCCTTACCCCTCAGGCTCATCGTCAGATTCGGCCAGTGCAGAGTCGTCTTCTTCAGGACTGAAGACTTCCGAAAAGGCGGGTTTGGGCGCGGGCCTTGGTCTCGGCCTGGCAACCGCTGCTGGGGTGGCTATTGTCTGGATCTGGTATTCGCGTAAGCTTAGGGCGAGACGTGCTGTACGTGAGAAAGGGCTTCGAGAACTTGCTTTAGGGGCCGAACGCTATCATTCACCGGCACCCCTGGATGAAGATGATCCAAGATATTCTGGCATGCGGACTGCCAGCTGGGGTGCTGCCCAGGAACGCCAGATCGAGAGCTCGGGGCATCCTGACCCTTGGGCACCAATGGCTCCACCGGATCAGAACGGAAGGTCGCGTATGAACCCTGACGGTGGAGACAGCAACAATTCTCGGTATGCTGGAGGCACGGAGGTCTTGATGGAAATACCTAGTCCCACGAGGGGATTGAGAAAGAGCTTGAATTCTAGGCTTCCCATGGGATACGGACCCTTTAACCAGCATCCGCCAACTGGACCAGGCGCAGTCTTCCGCATCGATGAAGAGGATGAGGGGAGTCAAACAGGTTCTCTAAAGCGATCGAAAACTCCCAAGATCGCGGGCGACAGAAGCTCGGTCACGAGCGATCCCTTTAAAGATCCATCACCCGCGGCTGATGGTTCTCGGCACGAGGACGTGGCAGCTCAGCGTAAAAAGGAAGTGGAAGGTTGGGTTGAAGACTGGCAATCAGCAGCCGAGTCGATGAGCCTGTCAAGAAGTACGAGTCAAGCACACAGTCGAACATATTCTAACCTTTCACAATTTCGCTCCCAGGACGTCGTCGTGGGGGGATCAGGGCGCGGATCTCCAGAGAAGTCAGATCGCACGGGCAGCAACTTATCCGAAAGCAGTGTGATGAGCACTTCATCCTTTCAGAGATCCTTGACTGGTACGTTGTCGCGCAACATTTCACAGCGGAGCGCTAGCGCGGGACATGCACTCATTTCTAGCGCCGCGGCGGCCATGGGCCGGTTTGGATACACGCGACAAGGCCCAGTAGATCGTGAAACCAATCCGGGCCTCGCTCGAGCACCTTCCAATCGAAGTCTGTCTCTCAACGCTGACTCAGCTCGGCCTTCAAGTTCAAGAGATCGCACCGAGACATTCTCGTCTGCACGGAGTGATTGGGGTCCTTCAACGCCAGGGGAGGATCAAGCGCTTCTGAATCGAAATCGTCAGCGGCAACAATTCGCCGAACGGGACTACAGGACGCTTCCTGAAAGCCCCGGCAAGGAGAAATATGCTCGAACTGGCAGCTTGACGGGATCTGGTCGACGAGCGTTGAATCTATTCGAGAGCGCGAAGCGGGTCTTCACGGGAACCGGCGGTGTTGACGTTCAAGATCGCGTTGCCGCGTTTGAAAGCCATAGTGGTCAATCTAGTCCGACGAAGCGCGCTGGCCAGCCTGAGATGGCCGAGGCAGCTCCAAACAGAACCCTCAGCGCGGGAGCGTCGTTCTGGCGAGGCAAGAGAGGTGCCAAAGACTGGGACACCGATTTGTCTGGTCCAAGCGATGTTGGGTCGGCTTCGACAGTGCGAAGGAAACCTGTCCCCGGTCTGATCTTGAACGACAACACCGGAGCTCTTGATGACGACGAAGAGGACTGGGATGTAGAAACAGCTGTTCAGAGACGGGTGGTGCAAGTCATGTTTACAGTTCCGAAAGAAAAGCTGAGGGTGGTCAATGCTGATGCCTTGAGTCTGCTCAGCAGCAATCGAAGCGATGTTGATCATGAAGAAGATAAGGAGAGGGATCAGATCAAAAGGATGAGTAGTGTGAGGGAAGGGGATGAGGATAATGACCCTGATGACGAAACGACCAAGGGTAAAGGGAAAGAGAGGGAATATTGAGTGACCGTTCTGGACGATGGCCTGAGATAAGACCGTTCCAAGCTAGAGATTCTTGTACCTTTATGATATCGATGGGAAATCTTGAAAGGGTGGTCATCTTTGTTCGAGCGCAGGTGTTGATGAGATTCGGGATGGCCCAGCTAGGTGGATTTTGGACACCTCTGTCCGCAGCCTCGCATTTGTCCGGTCGTGTAGGTTTGTATGGTTAATAAGGTCTAGAAAGCATTGCAAATGGTTGGTCAGCACCGGTGGACGTTGCAAACGTAGTTATAAGGCGACGACGATCTCGACACCAGGAGCTGGTTTTGGTGGAGGATGTTGTCGAGGCTCACTCACCCGAGTCGCACGCCTCGACCCATCCATCGGTAATATTTGACTAATTAACGCCCGGATAAGACACGAAAACGCGTACTGTGGAGCGCGTCCACGGTGGGCTGCTATTTGAATGTTTTCTTTTCCTTGTCGTCCTTCGTTTCCTTCCCTACACAACAGTTGTGAAGTCGTACCTGCGTCTCTCTGGCGACCTCTCGTTACCTGTGTATACATAGGAGCAGGCTCGGTGGTCATCTTTGGCCTCCATTCCTCCCTTCTCCCAGTTGCCACTCAGACCCTCGCGACGACTGAATCACAACTACAAACCAGACCGCAGACTCCATACCACCAAGATGTTTGTCTTCAAGCGAGGTAAGATCCTTCCTCCAGTAGAGCATCGACAAGCTTTGTCATCTCACTTCCATCACGACGATGTCACTGACCGATTTTTTTTTCCCTTTCCTCCAGATGGACGCAAAGAACGCGTGCAATTCGACAAGATCACCGCCCGCGTCTCCAGATTATGCTATGGCCTCGACCCGGAACACGTTGATGCAGCAGCTATCACGCAGAAAGTGATTTCTGGTGTCTATCAAGGCGTGACCACCATTGAGCTCGACAATCTCGTCAGTATCACCGCGTGTCCGATCCCATTTCCGTCAACTGCTAACATCTTGCCAGGCCGCGGAGACGGCAGCATACATGACGGTTACCCATCCCGATTATGCCATCCTCGCAGCGCGTATCGCCGTGTCCAATCTCCACAAGCAGACTAAGAAACAATTCTCTTCGGTGGTGTCGGATCTCTACTACTATATCAACCCCAAGAACAAGAAGCACTCTCCTATGATCTCCCAGGAGACGTATGAATGTGTTATGAGACATGCTGATGAGCTGAACTCGGCCATCGTTTACGACCGAGACTTCAACTACCAATACTTCGGCTTCAAGACTTTGGAAAGATCATATCTGCTCAAGATTGGCAAACAAGTGGCCGAGAGACCGCAACACATGCTCATGCGTGTGGCAGTTGGCATCCATGGAGATGACATCGAGAAGGCGATAGAGACCTACAACCTCATGTCCCAGAAGTGCTTCACCCACGCCTCTCCAACTCTGTTCAATGCCGGCACTCCGCAACCTCAATTGTCCTCATGCTTCTTGGTCGACATGAAAGAGGACAGCATTGAGGGAATTTACGACACTCTCAAGACTTGTGCTATGATCTCCAAGACTGCTGGCGGTATTGGCCTCAACGCTCATTGCATTCGTGCTACTGGTTCCTATATTGCCGGGACCAACGGCACTTCCAATGGTCTCATTCCCATGCTTCGTGTCTTCAACAACACTGCCCGTTATGTGGACCAGGGTGGCAATAAGCGTCCCGGTGCCTTTGCCATCTATCTGGAGCCATGGCACGCGGATGTCTTCGATTGGCTGAACCTGAGAAAGAACCACGGAAAGGAAGAGGTTCGCGCCCGTGACTTGTTTTATGCACTTTGGACTCCGGATCTATTCATGAGACGTATCGAGAAGAACCAAGACTGGACTCTGTTCTGTCCTCATGAGGCACCGGGCCTTGCTGATGTCTATGGCGAGGAATTCGATGCCCTCTATGAACAGTATGAGAAAGAGGGACGAGGTCGTCAGACGGTCAAGGCCCAGAAGTTGTGGTATGCGATCCTAGAAGCACAGACCGAGACTGGGACTCCTTATATGCTTTACAAGGATGCCTGCAACAAGAAGAGCAACCAGAAGAACCTGGGGACAATCCGGAGCTCCAATCTGTGCACGGAAATTGTCGAGTACAGTGCCCCAGATGAGATCGCTGTCTGCAATCTCGCCTCTCTGGCTCTTCCAACCTTCGTCGATCAAGCCCGAGGTGAATATGACTTTGGCCGTCTTCATGAAGTTACCCAAGTCGTCACTCGAAACTTGAACAAGATCATCGATATCAACTACTACCCTGTGCCCGAAGCCAGGAAGAGCAACTTCCGACACCGACCTGTTGGTCTTGGTGTTCAGGGTCTTGCAGATGCCTTCCTTGCTTTGCGTCTTCCTTTCGACTCTCCAGAGGCCCGTCAACTCAACATCCAAATTTTCGAAACCATCTACCATGCAGCTCTGACTGCGTCATGCGAACTCGCCAAGGAACAAGGTCCCTATGAGACCTATGAGGGCAGCCCGGTCTCACAAGGTATCCTTCAGTATGATATGTGGAATGTTACTCCTTCAGATCTATGGGATTGGGATGCATTGAAAGCTGAGATTGCTAAACATGGTGTTCGCAACTCTCTCCTTGTTGCCCCTATGCCTACTGCATCCACCTCTCAAATCTTGGGCAACAACGAATGCTTCGAGCCATACACGTCCAACATCTACTCCCGTCGTGTGTTGGCTGGTGAATTCCAAGTCGTCAATCCCTGGCTCTTGAAGGATTTGGTTGACCTTGGTCTCTGGTCCGACAACATGAAGAACAGAATCATTGCGGAAGGCGGCTCCATTCAGAACATCCCCAACATCCCTGCTGACATCAAAGCTCTATACAAGACGGTCTGGGAAATCAGCCAACGCGCCGTCCTCCAGATGGCTGCTGACCGTGGTGCTTTCATTGATCAATCCCAATCTCTCAACATCCATCTCAAGGAGCCCACTATGGGCAAGATCACATCCATGCACTTCGCTGGCTGGAAGATGGGGCTGAAGACTGGAATGTACTACCTCCGTACTATGGCTGCTACAGCCCCTATTCAATTCACCGTCGACCAGGAACAACTCAAAGTTGCTGATACCAATGTAGCTCGTGAGCGAAGCATGCCCAAGAAACGCACCTCGCTCGGCTATGGCCAGGGCTACAACTCTATTCCTCGACCCATGTATGCCTCAAAGACCTCTAATTTCAACGGAGGTGGATCCGCAACCTCGCTCAATGGTATCCCAACACCTACATCCAACCCTCCTTCATCTAGCGAGGATAAGCAATTCCAACTCGCCCACAAGCTGGCCAAGACTCATCTCACCGAGGGTTCCAGCAGCTCTGAACCCAGCCCCAAGGTCCTCCCAACAGACCCGGTTGGCACCCCCGATGTGGACGAGAGTCTTGAGAGCAGGGAACAATCCAAAGCCCAGCAGGATGAAGATAAGGAGAGCGATTCCGGGGAACGCGAAGGCGACATCTACGCACAGAAAGTTCTTGCTTGTAAGTCCCCTCCCTTCTGATTGATTTCCCATTGGTTTGCATTCTTTGAGACTGACGAGTTGCGAATGAACAGGCTCGATCGAGAACAAGGACGCCTGCGTCATGTGCAGTGGTTAAACTCTTCTGCCACTCCGCACCAAAGTTGAACCCCTGACGGGACCAAGTCCGTACCACGTACTGGTATTCAGACAAGAACACAGGCTCTCCCGTCTCTGCTCTGGCCACCTGTTCATCTACTTATCTCGCGTCCCCTTGACCCAAGCTTGGAAACACTGGCTAAAGCACATAAATGAGGAGTATACAGTGACGATTGAAGTAGCTGAGAAGAAATGGATATGGAGATGCTTTGCATGCATAGGAAATTTGAGCTTGTTTGAGATGGCATTGATTGCGATTGCGCCCTGCCATGGAAATGGAAATGGAAATAGTGGTGCCTGATTGTCATGGTTGTTTGTTTCGGATCCTGATCCCGTCGAGTCGATAACGCATACAGTAATGAGTCTTCAGTCAATCAATCGAAGTCGCGTTGTTTCTCTTGATCTTGCGTTGTTCTCTCTACTCGTCATTTTTATATGAAAGCGTCAAGGGCACGGTACCCCGCGTCAGGATGTGAGACATACACAAAACTCGCAGAATTATTGATTGGGCATCAAGTAGTGTAGTAGTATATCAACGTATCGAGCACGTAGTGATGACTACTAGCGGTAATGATAATCTAACATGGGGATACTCTACGTCTGACTCTACTCTCTCTTCAATGATTTCTTCATGAGCTCTTCCCATTGCTCCCCACAGATACTTTCGGTACCTTGTCATTCACCTGAGCTCGTAGGCTATCTCATCTTCCAGACCCCTTGCGCAGAGCCTGAATCTGCCGTCTTGCGTCTTCTCCAGTGCCTCAGATCGTGCCTTGGGGACCCACATCGTGTCTGTGACTATCTCCGTTCACACATGACTCTTGACGTTCGGCCAGTGTCATCAGATGATCATTTCTCGCTCACCGTTTCTGCTTTGTCCGGGAGGAAATTCTTTCAGGAAAAATAGTTTGAAAATGTGAAGGTTTGTCTGATCTGACTTAGAACTCGCACCAAGCTTTGCCAAACCTCGTCCACTCGTAATGACGAGCTTCTGGTGGAAATAAGATGTAGCCACCAAAAGGCCGATAGGTATCAATGCATAGAAATCGTCTAACACGCATTGTACAACGATGCATCGGACGTGTCCCTAAATAATATTGAAAGCAGAACCGAAACCCCTCCAACCCCATACAAACAATCAAGTCGTGAAGGGGAAAAAAAAAAAAAAAAGGATTGGGTTCTGGTCATATCGGGTATCAATCGGCCATATTTTTCAGTTGTTCACCTCTATCTTGCAAACGGTGAATGGAACTCTGCAACCATTCATACGTGAGCATAGTGGTCATGGCAGCCGGGACAGCTCGGATAAGATTTGTGCCGATCCCGACATAGAACGCCCGCCAGCCTTCTTCCTTGAGCATCACTTTGCACATATGCAGAATACCCGAATATCGCGCTTTCACGGCCAGGCCATCTGATGTCGATAGACCGGATCTTCTTTGTTGGGTTTGTAATCGAGTACGGAGGACTTCGTGAGGGTAAGTCGCTGTGCTGGCGCAGATTTTGCTTAAGAACGTGGCGGCCGAGATACCAATCCAATTCGCACTGCTGTCTTCGGGTGGATGTTCACCCATGCCATAGCCGGTGAATTTCATCTTGAAAAACTCATATAATGGAAACTGCACGGCGACATGCGTTAAGCCAAGAAGAGCGGGTGTCAGGCCGGAATAGAATGATCGGATGCCTTCGGTGCGATACATCTTCATGGCAGCATCCAAAGTTGAGGTATAATGCCATGGAGCGCGCATGCCGTCACTCGCAGCTTTGGTACTCTGAGACATCAGTCGAGTTTTGATGACCCAGATTGGATTTGTCAGAACCGTCGAACAAGCACCCGCCGTCAGAGATGAATAGCAACGAGCCACCCACCAACTTCCACATTGATCGTACCAAAACTCTCTCGTGTTCTCGTATACCGTCAAGTAGACGGCCCAGGTGGGCAAATATCCGAGTAGCATCGGACCAAGTCCTCGGTACATTCCCCGTATACCTTCTTCCTGCCAGATCACGCGACCGGTCCCGACGATGCCTCGATAAAGCTGATGTGATTGTGTGTATGGAGTTTTCTGATTTCGGACAGCAAAGCCGCCTTGAGCTTGTAGTTTTGTCTTGATTACATCGAGAGGGCAGGTGACAATGCCCGATGCGAAACCTGCCCCGGCACCACATATGGGACTAACCCACGCCTTCGGAATTTGTGTCGACTGTATCTGTATTCGGGCCATAAAGGAGTCCCTCGAAGGAGTCGGAGACATAGCAGTGGAGTTTCTGGACGAGGATGGTTCGTGAATCGGGGTAGCATATTGGGGAGACAAAATAGCAGGCGTTTGTTCAGGATCTCGGTCGTAGGACATTTCTCTGAAGACTCTGTCAAGAGTATTCGTATCCTAGCAGCCCATCTGACGTGCTCATGGCGGAGGGAGATAGGGTATGGAGCTTCGTAGTTCTCGACGAAGTTTTTGTTGGGCAATGCTATCTCCGTTGCACCGTGTTTCGGTGTTGTGGAAACTGCGGGGTCTGGCCGAAGCCGACGCAGTGCCCTGTCAGCGATTGACAAAGGCCATGAAGACAAACAATATCAGGCAAGATAAGTTGGAGCTTGACAGTTTACAGAGATACGGTGGAGATGGGCGGTGCTTTTGAGGAAGGATTGGGAACTGGAAAGCTGGATAATGAAGCAGGGCGCCGATATGCTGGGGAATGATGAAAGCGGGCGAGGAGAAGCAGTCGGTCAAGCTTCCCAGCTGGGAAAATATTGAGGCAGCTTCGTGCTCGCTGCTGCAGAGCATTGGCAGCAGCCAGTGCAAATCGATGCCAAGCGCCAGTCATTGGATGCGCAAATGCAATGCTCCCGAGTAAAACTCCCAAAGCTTTCCAACTCGAACTTCCATCTGCGCCAATACATTCCAGTTCAACGCTGCACCCGGCCTCAACATGAGCCGTATCACCAATCCGAACGTCTCCGCGATTTTCAAGCGGCCGTGGGTGGAAAAGTGGTTCATTCCACTTTCCAACTGGTATGTCAACTTGGCTGGATGGCGAAAATTAGGTTAGATATCCTGAGGACCTCATAATGTAGAACGCAACGTTGACCACGAGACAGGTCTGAGATACGAAGACTTGATTCCCGAAGAAAATGATGTCGTCCAGCTGGCCCTAAAGAGATTGCCACCCAAGGAGGCCTACGACCGCGTCTTCCGACTCCGAAGAGCTTTCCAAGTATGATCCCCCTTCCATGCTGGACCTCCCGAAACTAATAACTCAATTCTTACAACAGTGCTCCTTGTCTCATCAAATTCTACCTCCAGAAGAACATACAAAACCAGAAGATGTGAGACGTCTCACAGAGTCCTGTGGACGAGTTTTACTAACTCGTGCAGGATATTGCATATCTGAGCCCTATCATTGCGGAAATAGAGGCCGAGTTGAAGGAACGTCATGATTTGGACACCGCACAGGTTGAGAAGAAGAAGAAGTAGAAGGGGATGGGGATGGCCGGGGTTTCGGAAGAAGATTCACAAGTATCAACATAAAACGGGACTTGAAGTGCCGGCAGTCCTACAGTAACCACTATTGTACATGTACCGAAGGTTCAGACATGCAATCATTACATGGTGCTCTGCATAACGTCCACGTCCACGTCCTCCACCCTCCACATATACCACATAAACAGACTTCGATATGGAGCAAATGGTGCTGATTTTTCAAGCATGTCTTGTTCCGACATATATTTCCATTTTCCTCCACCCTTTGCTTTGAGCTTTTTTACATCTTTACCATAGAAAGCAGCCATGCCTCGTTGTACCCCAAGGTCTCCAGTGGAAAGAATGTCCATTCGCTTCAAACCAAAGCACGCGAACATTTCCACACTCCACTTTCCCAAGCCACGAACGGCGATCAATTTCTCCATGACTTCCTCGTCCGTGGCCTTCATGAGCATATCGGTGGAGAGCTCACCGGTCTTGAACTTCTCCGCCAAGCCCTGGATATACTCGGCCTTTCGCTGAGACAGCCCAGCGAGTCGCAATTTGGAGATGTCTGTGGCAGCGACCTGTGCCGGCGTCGGAAAATAGGCGTCTCCAGAGCCTTCCTCGTTGAACAAGGCGATGAACTTGTTCTTGATGGATTTTGCTGCAGCACCGGAAACTTGTTGGCCCATTATTCCGCTGGATAATGATCGAAAAGGGTCGATTGGCTCTGCCAGGCCATTAGCTGAGAATAGATGGCAGTGATGTTGTTCTATCAGAGGTTTCAATCGGGGATCAACGCTAATCAGATGGGCGCACGCCTGGTCGAGCAGTGTATTGGTGGTAGCGGTTGGGCAAGGAAGCCCAGTTTTTGAGGGAGTAGAGTCCGGGAGCTGGTCAGGATATGCGACCTTCTGCGTCCCTCCTGGGGTAACTAAGGTCGCATTGGTAACGTGTGGCTCAACTGGACGGTCGGGGGGCGGAGTAGCGTCATCAATATCGCCTGAACTATACGGTGCCCGAATGGCTTGGACGAGGCTTGGGGTTGGAGTCAATGGAGGCTTCTTCGGTTGTTTAGCAGGATTTCTTCTTGCATTCCTCCCTGACGTTACTGGAACTTTGAACTCAGGTTCTCCGTTCACGACGGTCTCGTCTTCTGTCGGTTTGGGCTTTTTGGCTTTGATCTCACGTGCCTGGGAACTCGTAGTTCGCTTCTTCGAATCAATGACAGGAGAAAGGGGCTTTTCTGGAGAAGGAATAACAATAGAAGAAATTCTAGCAGAGCGGCGAAGAGACATTTCGCAGAAAGAACGAGCCAGAGATGCCTCACAAAATCATGAGAATATACCTGAACGAGAGTGGCCGGTTGGACGAGCCATCACAACGTCCCACGGATGCTCGTCTTATTATACAAAACCCTCTCGCGGTCATTGAAATGCGCCGTTGAGGCCACAACAACCTACTTAGTAAGGAACTAGGGCGTTGCTGCCTTGTTGCCAAGAGATGCTGGCTGACCTAAGCCATGTCCCGTGACCAGCGCTATACGCGGTACTCTTGAAGTGTTTCTGTTGATTTGGATAGAGTTCTCGAGTATTCTTGGGGTTCGACGAGAAGGGCGGCCCGTATGATCAGAGCGTCCACACATGCATCAGTAAATGTATCATGTCGTGCAATATATATCTGGGCACACATCTTGCCGCTGTTACTCTGGGCTCGTTCCGAGGACAAGAGACGAAACCATTGTGAGAGAATCGAATCCCCCTCGTTGCTACCTTGGCCAATTGCAGATCTCGCAGTCCATGATATATATTCGAAGCCAATCCTAATATTGGAAAGCATATCACTGAGTCATTGCATCACCAACAGCATATACATGTTGATCTCATCATACAATGGTCATTGTTTACGGTGCATCAGCGGATCTCTTGGAAATTTGAAGCCTTCATATCGAAAGTGGACAGACCAGAATGGGGTAAGCTCTATCTACGGTGTGGACAAGGCCGGGATGTTTGGGTGTGGCTTGTATGGTATTGTCAGGAATAATGCAACTAGCATCAATGGTGGAACAAGCGTGGCGGGCTGCTTGACCCATTGGGCAACGATAAAATGGATGCCACACATATACCAGCGAGTAAGCTTCGCGCTATGGCGCTCATCGCTGGGGGACGCGACATGACCGGAAAAAAAGATTGAACCCAGTGCAGAGACCGATCAGCAGGCAACCCTGTCGCGGAAGAAGAAATCTCGCCGTGACGATCTGGTGATGTCTTGAGAAATGAGACTCGAGGCTTGACCAAAGAGGATGAAATAGGTTGGAAGTGGACTTGTGACAATTCTGGTGTCGGGGTTTTGTCATGATGAAGCACGTATTGACTGACAATTTTGCCCAGCATGTCATTGCATGTGTCCCAAAAGTCCGGACTCTGGGACTCCGTTGATTTATTTTGAATACCAACACACAATGCATGTGCCATTCGAGCCTAAGGTTCTGGGATCTAGCTGATGTGCGTGGTCTAACAACCATAAACGGACATTGCGACTCCATACGTATTGCCCAGTGGATCTGTGGCTCACAGCTGCAATCAAGACATTGAACAAGCGAGATAATCCGAGCGTCTGCGCTTGATAACAGTTGGTGGCTGTTTGTTATCGTCCACCGTCCATCAACGGGGATCGACTCGAGCGTCAAAATGTCTCAGATGTGCATGTCTGGTGCCAGGTCTTGGAGAGGATTCTCTCGAGCTTACGGGAAAGGTTGGTATGTAGCATCAGCATGCGCAACAGGATGGGTTGCTGGCAGCTGAAACGGATGACGGGGTTGGAAGAGAATGGCTGCGGTGGGGTTGCGAGAAGAGAAGAACATCTGGCTGGGAAATAAAGCTGGCCCACAGAGGAGCTAGTCTCAATAAGCGACGGATACGTAATAGATGACCGTACTGATACCGACTCCCCTTTTTTCTAGATTCTGCTACTGCAAGTTTCGTGAGTCTTAGTGTCCGCCCAGTGTCTGGTATTTTGTCCTTGCCTGACCCAGTCCCAGCCATTGAAGCCTCTTCCACCTGGAGCCCTGGCCCTGGCTTGCAGACTTTTTGCCGTCGACGGGCAACACACCAGAGTGCCGAATTGCTGCTTGCGCATCTTTGCTGCTCCCTGCACCTTCATACCCTGTGTCCGCAGCCAATCAGTCCACCCCAATCGACCGCCAGGCCACTTCAAGTCCAATTCATTCTTTTCCCTCCCATTTCCGTTCCCATTCCCATTCTCATCCTATTTTCCTGCCATCCCCCTTCTCCATTCACACTTTCAGCATATACGCCCTCGCTGCAAGTCCATCATTGCTACGGTTTATTCCTCTTTTCTTCACAGAGCCAGCCACGCGTCGAGCCTCTTTACCCAGGGGGTCGTACCTACCTGCCGGCCACCGCAGTTTTTCCCAATCTGAGCAACAACAAAATCAGCTTCTCCTTCGCTGAAGCTTTCTTTATCCCCAACCCCGTTGCGTGTTCGTCAAGAACCCAACAAATTAATTCTTGTACTCTCAAAAGTTCTTACGACTTTGCTTCAAAGTCAGCTCTATCTCTGCTTCACTTCTATTCTCTTTTAATATTGCATTCTCAGGTGAGTGTACCTTTACTCTGTTGGGTCTGCAGAGCACGCCCCGGTGACCGCGTCACCGTCGACCTTCCCTCACTTTCATCCTCTTAACGAACCCTTTCAGTGACAACTTCGCAACCTTGGAAAGCCCTCTTACTGACCTTGATCGCCAGCTTTTTCGCTGATTCATAGTCTCTCACAATGTCTTTCTCAAAATTCATCCTCCCTGCTCTCGCTCTCGCGAGCTCCGCCCTCGGTACGTTCCTCCTTCCGCCATAACTGGCCATTGGATGCCACGCGCAAGAGCTGGAGTGGATGAGATGGTCCAGTATTCTCGCAAGAACATGGAAGCTGACGTGTATGTCCAGCACAAGGTGACGTCTGCGATGGCCCTTCCATCACAATTGCAAGCAGCACAGATGCTGAACAGATCGCCAACTGCCAAACATACGACGGAGATGTCATTATTGATTCCACTGCCTCAGGACAAGTTGCCATCAACGGGGTTCAACAGATTACGGGTGATTTTTCCTGCGACAACGCTACCCAATTGACGGCCATTACCTCCGATCAGCTGAACTCCATTGGCGGTACTTTCAGTTTGACCGGTCTTACCATTTTATCCACCCTTCAATTCGACTCCCTCACCGCAGTAAATCGAATCAACTGGGTTGGGCTTCCTGCTCTGCAAAGCTTGAACTTTGCCCAGGGCGTGTCGAGATCCAACCAGATCTACATCTCCAACACCCAGTTGAACAACATCAATGGTATCGAGTTGACCGCCGTGGGGAACATGGATATCAACAACAACCCCTATCTCACCTCGGTCAATGTCAACGATCTGTCTAATGTGACCACCTTTCTTTCGTTCTCTGCCAACGGACGTGACTTGGAAATCAGTTTCCCCAACCTCGAAGACGCGGCCAACTTGACTTTCCGAAATGTCAGCAAGATTGACATGCCATCCCTCGCCAATGTCGCCGGCTCCATGGGTTTCTACTCTGACTCCTTCAAGACTTTCTCGGCCCCCAACTTGACTCAAACTGGTGGCACATTGGCCTTCGTCGACAGTCCTGACTTGAGCAACTTGTCTTTCCCTTCGCTCACTCAGATTGGGGGTGGTTTCTTGATCGCAAACAACACCGATCTCAAGACTATTAGCGGTTTCCCCAAGTTGGAGACCATTGTCGGTGCTCTTGACTTCGCAGGTACATTCAATAGGTGAGTGATGACGTTCGTCTCCGTCCCAACGGACACCGGTTCTGACTTTGACCCCAGTGTTACCATGCCTTCCCTTACCGATGTTCGTGGTGGATCCAATGTCCAGACCACCTCGACCAACGAAACCATCTGTGACGTCTTCGACACTGCTCACGAAAGGGGAGTTATCAAGGGTGTCAACACCTGCATCACCAACAAGGCCAACCCGGAGACGAACCCATCGGCCACTAGCGGTGGTTCCTCTTCAACTTCCACAAGCAGCTCCGACAACACCAACGCCGCCAATGCTTTTGGTCCTCAAGTTCCTATGACGGGCTTCAGCGCCCTGATTGCTGCCGTTCTCTTCATCTAAAGCATTGGTTCTGGCGTTTCCTTTTGCAATTACTTAGACTAACTTAATATGCGACGGGTAATGTCCTGCGATCCTTTGTTTTTCAATAAGTCTCGGACAAGAAAAAACAAAAATGGAGTGGCTCGTGAATCGGTCCCGCAAACCCCAAAATGGAAGCTCATGAGCATCTGGAGTGTGGGTTCCCCTAGGCTCTGTGTTGGGAAGGATCTACTGGCAGAGAGCGAACAGCGCTCACAAGGGTTTTGCGTGTGGGATAGGCATACAAACGAATATGTTTCCTTGTTTCAACCAAAGTTGGTTTTGCTCTGATCCTGTTTCTTGCCCTCGTCCTTGCGTGCATTCTGGCTTTGGGCTGTCGACCTGTCGAAATATGTACCTGCTTTCGTATTCCGTGATTCGGACGGCGACGTCTTCAATTAGATTCTCGTGTGACAGCCGGGTTTCGGCTCGCCGTGAGGTCATTCTCCAGGAGTCAATCGACACAGATCGTAGCCGACCGGACGGAAATTCCCCCGCAGTTCCTATTTGTGCTAGCACAAGGTGAATGATGATTGGCTTTTCGCTCGAAGTATGCTTTTTGTTCGAATTTCGGTCGGCTTCAGTCTCGCCTAGGTATCTAAATTTTCATAAATTGCTTTTTTTTTGCTGTCAATGACTTTCTCTTACTGAAATCTTGTTTGCCCTTTTGACATTTAGTTCTGGGTCTATGTGAAGGGCTTGAGTCTGTCTCCTCTCACTGGGGGGGGTACTGTTGGTGTGGTGGCTTATGAGATCCGAGGACTTTTGAACTTGTTTCTATGTCGGAGAGGGAAATGCCATGGGATAAAATTTGGTCGGTTGTCACCAGAACTCTCCAAATTAATAGGTCATTTAAGCAGCAGTCTTAAACGCCCTTTGGCTGTGAACACTACCTCTCTCCTCTTCGAGACGAAACCGATGCCGAACGATCGGATAGGAGCGGTGCGTGGGCGGCCAAGAAACATGTCATTGGAACTGATTGATATATATAAAGGACAACCGGAGGAGATTTCCAATGTTGGTTCTGTAATCACTGATCAGCATAGAGACCTGTGCAAGAGGCACCAGCTTACCAAGGCAGGCTACAGATCAAGGAAAGATCTCTCACCGACTGGCTGACTCGATCTGAATCCTGCCGTTCCTTGCTCTAACCTGGTTAGAATTGGAAAAAGGTGATCATTGAAGACTGGATGGGCAGAAGACGGCCATGTTTGTTTCCCAACGCACCTCAACCTTGCTGGCTTGACTCAGCTTGCGCTTATTTCCGTCGGTGGGTTTTCCATTTGCCCTTTGGCCGCTGGCCGGTACCGTTTGCCAGACCGTAAGTACTATATCGTCTAGGGAATGAAGCGTCCATGGGGTGTTAGTGGGCTAGGGAAACTGGCGATAGTGTGATTGAAGGATTTGGGGGTTGTTTACCAGATGGCGAGAAGTGTTAGCGTGGTACACGGTACGTATTTGGCACTCACGAAATGACTTGTTGGAAGCCGAGAAGGCGAAAGTTCTTCTGACTTGGAAACACAATAGAATGGCAAACCCAACGTGGTTTCAGGGTTCGCTCCTGATCTCGGATGCGGTGGGATCGTCTTTTTTCATATTTGCAACACTTGCTTCTATGGACTGATGACCCTCGCCGCTTCTACGCTGTCACTCTACAGTTTCGCTTTCCCGTCTGACGTCTGCCGGAGTTTCTCTACTAATCCATATGCCCATTCGCCGTACGGGGCCGTTTGAGCAGCGTAATTTCTAGCCGTGGTGCCGCTGGCTTGCCTCCGAGCATACCTGGCTGCAATACCTTGCATGATAATAGCACCTCGGAATCCTCCGAAGGCATTTCCCCAAGCCAACTCGGGCTTAGGGTCATATCCTGACACTTCGGAATACCATTGCACAGTCTGATCCAAAGATGGAAGCCCAGGGGTCGCCCCGGCCTTGAACGCGTCGTTGCCTCTGTCTGAATGAGCCGACCCGGTAACCCTTCCTACCCAAACCCATGGAGCGGTGAGGTTGACGAAATCCGAAAGTGGATGGCCAATCGTGGCCATTTCCCAATCCAAAATACCAATGACCCGAGGTTCGGTTTTATGGAACACCAAGTTATCAATTTTATAGTCTCCGTGGATCAGAGTGGTGCGGTCTTTGGGCTGCGTCGATTTTTGTTTGAAAAAGGCAACCATATCATCGAAATGTGGTATGTCTCCCACAGGCTTCTTGGTGTCGACATCCTCGGCGGCCGCCTGTGTTTTTGACAGCGTCCCAAAGGTCTTCAATTGTCGGTCATAAAAGCCTCCATGCCGACCAAAATCGGCAAGTCCAATCTTGTTGAAGTCCACACGATGGAATTTGCCGAGCGTTCGTACAGCATCGCGCCACCTGTATGAAGTCAGGACCCGACTCCCTCCTCGAGCATTGATATATATTGAAGAGTCTCACATCTCCGTTCTCTCCTCTGGGGTACATCCGGGGAAGTGGGGTTCAGTCACCATGCGCCCATCCAGGAATTCCATTATATAGAACGGCGTACCAATGACTTTATCATCTTCACACAAGCAGTAGACCTTTGGCACGGGCACATCCGTTTGGCCCAAAGCATTGAGGATTCTATACTCTCGGTCCACTCTGTGTGCGGTCTTAGACAAGAGCTTCCCCGGGGGCTTCTTGCGCATGACATATTTCGTGCCCGTTGCGTCTGTGATCTGGTAGGTAGGATTCGACTGGCCGAAGCCGAACTGGGACCAAAGCGTCAGGACCTCAGATCATGAATTTCGCGGGAACAGGAGCACACGATACCTGCTTCAGCCCCAGGGGGGGTTTGATCTGGCGGACATTGCTATCGATATAGCGCTCAAGAGAGGCCAAATCAATAGGTTGCCGGACTGGCCCTGCCATGTTTTCTTTCCGCCAGCACTTCGCGAGGACGGAAAACACAGAAGTGTACCTGAACAAAGAATGGGGATGTGCTTCCTCATGGTCATAAGATCAAGGATGCTCGATTCCGAGGGAACTTGTTTTCCGGGCCGCATTTTTAACCTCGGTTCCGAGTGTCGAGGGCAACCAGTAACGACCTGCTTAGTCCAAATTGGATCGGAGAGCCGGGCATACGGAGCACACGATCTCCAAGTGCAGGAACGCGACCAAAACGACTTTACGCGTCGTGTATGGGGGCATTCGGCTTCGTGTTCTATTCAACCTCTGCCTCTGCGTGCACTCTCCCCGCCAGCACGAAGCTTCTTCAGGCGAAGAATGATAAGAACATCAACACCTCCACCGCCGACTGAAATAAAGGACGGAGATCACGTACCACCCTCGCTGCCCAGCTCGCCAGTTCCCAAACGCCTGAAACCCGAGGCACCCACACCGTCCAAAATGGCACCCATCGCAGACCCGAACGGCCCTGCCGTTCCCCAACTCACCTCAGCATCTCAACCACCGCTACTGATTAAGAAGCTGTCACCTGACGCCACCACTCCGACTCGAGGATCCGCCTTTGCTGCGGGATACGACTTGTACGCGTCGAAGTCCATCACAATTCCCTCCCGGGGCAAGGCTCTCGTCTCAACGGACCTATCAATCGCGACACCAGAAGGAACATACGGCCGCGTGGCACCACGGTCAGGACTGGCGTCGAAACACTTCATCGACACAGGCGCCGGGGTGATTGACGCAGATTACCGTGGAGAAGTCAAGGTTCTACTCTTCAACCACGGCAACGTCGATTTCGAGGTCAACAAGGGCGACCGTATTGCTCAGCTGGTTCTGGAGCGCATATACACCCCTGACATTGTGGAAGTGGAGGCCTTGGAAGAGAGTGTGAGAGGGGCTGGTGGGTTTGGGAGCACCGGCTGAGCTTCTCACTGTACAACGATTCAAAACGAGGCAAGTTTGGGTCGAATAGATAACCAGGGCGACGGAGTTGAGAGTGGCACTAGTAGAACAGAGGCGTTATGAGAGAATAGGGCTTATGGTTTCTCTATCGCCATGGACATGATGCTAAACCGCTAGAAACTCGGGCATGGGCAATAAAAATCACCAGGCGGTGTATCTGGGGTATCAGTGTTGCATGCTTTCGCTTTTCTTACCCTTCCATTGCTTTCGCCCTGTACCTATCCTCAGGTATGAGCAAATCCTTCGCGTTCCTCACCGCCCTGACCTCCGCAGCTTTGGTTTCAGCCAGAAGTCTCCTCTTCGCCTCACCATTGCCGCCTTCTTCGCCCTCCATGCTGGCACCAGGGCTTTGGCCGAACTTGCTGATCTCCTGGTCTCGGGCCTTGACCGTCTTCTCTAGCACCGTCTGCATGCTGCTAAGGACCTTGGCCGTGGCTTTGGCCAGTGGCAGGTCAACACCTTCAACATCGTCGTCCGGCATCCAACCCGCTCGGTCGAGCAGGTTCATCTGCGCACACGCCTCACGCAGCCGGCCCACCATCAGTCCCGCAAACATATCGCCCGTGCCGCTAAAGAAACAGTCCAGCTTGGGCACCTCGATCTTGAACAGTCGGGCGCTCCCGTCTTGCCTCCTACTGCTGCCCACGACCGTGAGCTTGTCGCCACTGTCACCGACCGTCACGCTCGTGACGACGATATGCTTCGTCCCGTGGGTCTTGTGCATGGATCGCACAGCATTCGCCACGCCGCTGAGACTATTGATGCTGACACCGCTGAGGAGTTCGGCCTCGAACTGGTTCGGGAGAATCAGGTCTGCCTCGCGAACAAGTTGCTTGTACGCGGGTATGATATCTTCCGCCACGTAAAGTCTTCCCTGGTCACCCATGACGGGATCGAGCACCCAGAAGAACCGACCGGGCCTGACACTCGCGCGATACCGGAGGTTGCGAGCAATGATGCCAATGGCGTCGACGACTTCGGCGCTGGGCGCATAGCCTGATAGCAACACATCAAAATCCGTCAGATACGACTGCTTCAGGCCCTCGTAGAGCTCGTGAATCTCGGCCGCTGGGGTCCTTCGCCCCTTAAATTGGCGGTATCCGGTGTGATTACCTTTGAGAAATCGATTTGTCAGTCATATCGGCGGACTGATCTCAATCCTCGACCAAAAGGGGCAAAACGGGATTTACGACAAAGATCCCTGCAAAAGAAAGAGAACCCAAGAAAGGTGGCACGCCCGGATACCAGTATCTTCATCCAACTAAAAGTTCCTTCGCTAGCACATAGCGCCTCCAAAAAAATTGGTGAGATGGAGATCTGAATATTCCTCCTGAGAATGGATGGCTGAACGGCCAAGAAAGGGGAACTTACTGAATTGAACGGTATTGATGGCGCCCACATCGCACCCGAGTGTCTGCATGACAAAAGTCGCCATCGTGTTGCCCACATACCTGCCGATCGCTCAGAGATCAAATCTGCTGAACCTTCCCCGAGACCAAATTCCGTATCTCGCAAGTTACAGTGAAATGAAAGCACCTACCCGTAAACGACCTTGTTTTCCACATTTGTCAGCTCTGTAGTCGTTCAGGTTGTTGCAAAATTCAAGGGCAGATCACGGATTAGTGAAGCTCGTACATGGCTGGCGATGGCCAGAACTCTGGTCTCTGGTATCAACATTTTTGTCAAGAGTATTTGGACAGGGAGTGCATGTGGAAGGTAGGACGGAAATAAGGACGAAGAAACGAATTATGACGCCTGGATTGTTTTATCCTAGAGTAGGTGTGGTGATGGCTACGATGATGTGTGCGATTAAAATTTCACCGCGGATGACGCCACAAAGCCCCGAACGCCCCCCTTCCGATAAGGCTGAGCTTTCACACTACCAGCACCACCAGCACTCCTTGAGTTCGAGACTACCGACTCAGTCGTCAAACACACAGCACATTCATTCTACATTAGGTAATCGTCAATCCATGGCAATGATGTTCATCTACACATTTTTGGCAGTGGTCGACGTAATCTCGGGGAAAGCCGTGATCGCATTCGTGTGCTAAGTCCACGTTCACTCATCATCGCCAATCTGCAAATACCATTAGAGGGTGAATGCGTATGGACACTGGTCATTTAACATACCTTGGGAGCCAGATAGAATCGTAGGTAGCTGCTGCCAGAGAGACTGTACTCAACCAACAGTGGCACTTCTTGGGACAAGCAGAGCTTGACTCGGGTGGAGAGACCACTCGCTTTGCAGAAGTTGACCAGGTACTTGAGCGAAAACGTCAAGGAGACGGGTTCAGAAAGGTTGATAGTGACGTCTTGGTCTGGTTTGTCGATGTTCTTGTGCTGTCGAACAGTGACGCTACCGCTGCCGATATCACCTTGACATGCGAAACGTACTCCATCCTTGCTAGCCTCAATAGAAACTAATACAATCAGCATCGATTATTCCCTTGGACGGGATATCCGTACCGGATTCAGACATAAGAATGAGATCACGGCAGATGCGTTGAAATTCAGCACTAGGCATCTCAATGGTAGCGGCATACTCAGTGTCTGGAATTCCCAAATGCTCTTGATCAATGTCCATCAATTTGATGTCATATTCACTGAGTCTGTCCGTCTCACTGCTCTCAAAGACGAGATTGACGACATCCGGGGCGTCTTCTGCCTTGAGGGTGAGGATGTCCTCGTTTTGTGCTGCGCGGAGAACCTTGGTCAAGGAGTTCAAGTTGATGCCGAGGGCAATGTTGCGATCGCATCGGAAGGGGGAGAACATTTCTGCCTTGAGCATCATGGAAACGAGGGCGACGTGCGAGTTATCCATAGCTTGCAGTGCGACGCCGGAATCATTGCAGTCGAAATTGCAGTCCTGAACAAGGTCCTTGATTGCATCGACGACCTGAGGAATCATCAGCTCGGGTTTCTGGTCTGGATGGGGACTCATACCTTCTTCAACATGGAAGCCTGTTCTAGGCGGGCTTCCAACACTGCAACCCAAGTCAGACGAAATCACTGGGTACGACATTGTGGACTTACTTTTGGCAATCCGATTGTGAACGGATCAGCGACGAGCTAAGAACAAGGATACGTGAAGCCGAGAGGTGAAAAATGATACAACTATTGTAGTCATTCCAATTAGGATTTTGGACTCTGAGCTACACGGTTCTGTGAGAAGAGGGCGCGCCGTCGCGTCAAGGCTAACCGCTTTTGAGTCTAATTGAATCATTGTCTTGGCGTGTTTGATGCGTGTTTTGTGCAGACGTGATTCACCGTAGCAGCCCCCTACGACATAGGTCGAATGAGCGCACGTGAGTTCAAACTTCGTACTCACTGCCGTGGAATCAATACGTCATCCATCTTTGAGTGATGACCGGCGGCCTCGGATGGCCGAGGGAGGGATTTCTTCTCTATGGCCTGATCACAAGGAAATGCCACAGTAGAGTTTGGATATCACTCTATTGTCCTATTGCACATAGTGACTTTGTTCTCATTTTCGATTCTCTACCCAGCGATTCCCGCCCTGGGTCACAATCTGCCTGGCATGTCACGTGTAGGACATTCATAAGCAAGCTTCTAGGCAGCAATATGGGCACCCCGTATTCTCTCAGCCTCGTAGGGCCAGGCCGCCTAATTTCCATTTTCCGCAATCTAATCCCCACGCCACTTCAGCCCTAAGCCTATCTGAACATCCATCGGTCCTAGGGAGATGATACTGATATTCTAGGAGATGGTATTCTCACTCGGACTCGCCGTTGGTGGAAACCTTCTCCATATGCTTTCGACCACGTTCTTGGGTCCTGCAGTGAGCACACTTTCCGGCCCTTCCTATACCATGGTGTTTCCGCCACTGGCGCAGCACGCAAGAGGCGGTCGGCCTCCATCGGGGTCTGCACGCCTACATACTTTCTCACCGGGCCTTTTGGCAAGTGGCTTGTCACTTTTCCTTAGAAAGGATCGTGTATGAGGCCGTCTGGACAGTGGCGAGTCTGTGGTATCAAGTATGGACGTCATTCGAGATGTGATCTTGCACTAGCTGTAGGGTCTGCCATTCCGGTTTCTCAACACATGTGGTCCTTTTGACGAAAACTTCGGCGCTTGGCAATAATGCGTCGGGTGAGAATTGGACGGACACTCCTCCTGATCGGGTCCCCAAGAGTCTGTTAGGATTGTACGACCAATTGCAGGTGTGGGTGGCTCGTTCCTTACATTGGGCGCTTAGTATGGTTGAAGAGAGTAGAATTGTAGAAAGTGCTTGGATGTGCGCCAAATGAAGAGAGAGGGAAGGAAATACATTCATAGAACCCCCCTTCCAGAGGTAATACCCACAGGAAGGATGCATGAAAGCAAGTAAGCTTATCTGCGCCAGCGCTTTTGGTTGCCTGCAACCGTCCTTGAACTCAATTCTAGAAAAACACATACACTATGAAACCCTCCAGGGTATCAATCTACTAGCCGACCATAGTCATCAAGATAACTGCGCACGTAGTCAGCTATAGTTCTCGATTGCCTTTTTTGGGGGGGAGGAAACTCATCTCACACATACCTCTGTAAGTAAGGAGACAGGCGATACCCTGGAATTTGGGATGCCCTCCGTAGATACCGAATGGCTCTGTGGAAATGCTGCTCGTTTTGATGAGAGTATGAAACATTACCAAGACTCATGTTGGCTTCCGCAGCCTGCACGCAGTATGAATCACCATTAGTCAGTCGCCGGGCATGGTGGAGGAGTAGGTGTCCACTGTATATACTAACCTCACAAAGGAGCTCTCCAGTTAGACCTCCATCTCTTTCAGCCACGTCTATGGCTCTGGAGAAGTAGTCAACCGCGGGGATGAGCATACCACGTGCTTCCACATAGTCCGCCGTATGTGCTCTGGCATCAGCTTCTGCGGCCGCCCTTTCTGCATCTCTAGCTTCTTCAGCAGATGTATAGGAAAATCTGTCACTCATGCTCTGAGGTCGCCCACTGCTCCCACTGGACGAGCTTCCTTCTGTTCGATGGATACGTGCGAGGACGTTTTGAGATCGTGCTAACCATGCTTGACCCAACCCTAGCGTTATGTAAGTCAAATATCACAGGGTTGGTGAGCCATATACTCACCTCTGAGAGCATTGAGATCCTCGGCATTCCGTTGTAAGAGTGACAACCATTGATTCATGCACCACTCTGCTATATCAGTGATACCAGCGCTGTCTGCTTCATAGTACGCCAGTCGTTGCAATGAACTGATCACCAATATACGATCGCTGGTACGGTTGGGCATCTGCATGAACCCGGTTGAGTCGAATGTGGTGATCGCCCTCCTTGCAATGTGGATTCTTTGGTCCCACGACTCTGGGGGAGACGGATGCCTTTCAGAAATGCGTCGAACCTCGCGGACCGCGTTCTCCATCTGAGACTCCTCCAAGAGATTCAGTCCATCAGGTCCCCTTGTTTGACTGGACATATTCCGCTATGATACAGGTCGGTGAAATACACTTTCGGTGAAGCGCGAATAGAACAAGTACTGGCCGTCTCGAAATGACTATGAGCAGGATGTCGAAACGGACCACAGATAAGCATACCAACTCTCAAAGTGAGTAAGATATGGAGGTATGCAAAGACTCCCCTTTCTCAGAGCATGAACCGAGACCCAGGCACACCAGACTCGTACAATATATACTCACGGATACCGGGCATAAGACGTGGTTGCAATCGCTGCAGGCAAAGGGGTCGAAGAAGGGGAAGGCGAGGAGATTGCGAACGAATCATAGACGGATGGTCGAGTATCAGAAGACTCATACATGTGTTTTAGAGACAGCACCAAGAATAGTTGAGCCACTGAGAGGAGTATAACTCTTCTATAGGTTCATCGAGGTTGAACTTTGCAACTGGCGCGTGGCAAATGGGTCCTTTTACCCCCGCCTCAGGGGGGCAACACTCGACAAGAAAGTAGAGTCCTAGGCACACATGGCTGACGGCGAACGGCTTCGTCCATATGAAGGGGATCGTCGTCAAAGGCCAGAAAAGGGTAAGTGCTTCCCTGCTGGAACGGGGCTTGGACTTACCTGCAGCCACGATGCGACATACAAAATGGACCTGCCTGAGTTCTGTGGCGACAAAGGGCCTTTCGCGGATGGGGCTAAGAACCATCCAGACGTGACAAGAACGGATCACAATGTCCCTTCTAGGTCCTCAGCAACTTGAAGGGTTGAATACCAAGCCGCCGGTCGAGATAGCATAGCCGACAGTAGACGAAGCCGTTGAGCAAGTCGCTCGGGGGTAAGGGGAGATGAACGGACGAGGCTGCGAGGGAAAATTCACGTCATAGGATAACAGGGCGTGTGAGGTGGCCATGATCGGGGGGTCGGGATAAGGAACAAGAGGCTCAAGAGGAAAATAATCTGACCCATTCGCGAGGAATCAAGCATAGAAAGAATCGCGCGGGATGAGGGTTTTTTGGGAAGTGTCTGGAACTGGAAGAGTTGTATGTGGTTTATGAACAGTTCACAGGGTGTGATGAATGACGGGTAATTTTGTTCGTGACCGACCGAAAGTCCCAGAGGGCCTTCGACCAGCTATTTGGGGGCACGGCCTCTGGTCGGCGCCGGATTAATGGCTTCTCCGGGACCCAACGTCAGCAATCGAACAACGGAGAAATGCTCGTTGGTGAGTCGCGGTTCCTGCGACTTCCGGGTCATTCGGGCGAGATATTTCAGCCCTTTCCGATTCGCATTATTAATTCTGCTATTCCAGAACCATCACGTATGAAACGGAGGATGAGGTATGCTCTGGTATTCTGCAGGATTTAGATCTCAACTTTTTTCGCTTACCTAGTACATGTTTCGCTACGGCTATATCAAGTACCCCTCCTGCCCATGGCCAACTTCAGATTCGTGATCCTTATACGACATGACCGTCCTCTGCCCGGTTGCACGGCAAACGCCTATATCTGCCGTCCTCTACCTTTCGGCACGCGCCCATTACCTGCGGTCTTTTCACCATCCCAGCCATCCGCCGAGAAGATTTGATATACCACCCTCCCGGAAACACACCATAGCGCCATGGCGTAAAAGGCCCTGAAAGAACATGCTATTTGCCCCCAAATTCACAGACGGTGGAATTCCTGAATGGTTGGCTTTTACCTCGGTCAACGCCTGGAACCTTTTTTTTGGGCACTCGAACACCCAGATTGTCAGACCGAAATCGCTCATCCACCCCGATCCACCCACGAAAAGAAAATGCGCCCTAACTCCTGACATGTGCATCGTGAAAGTCGTCGTCAACAGTGAGACAAGGCCCCTTTCTCATCTGAGATCCCCGAAGGCCTGGACCATGGGACCGGGGTCCGATCGACAATCACCCTGACAATCGACTATATTGAAGTGGTTCGCGTATCAGACCGAGCGTTGGGGCGATGTTTGATGACCATCTGCAGTTCACGCAACATATTGGTCGTGTTCTCTGCATGCTCCTGCAATGTGGCTCGCTTTTTCCGGTCCTCTTGAAGTTTATTGAGCTTTTCTTCACGGCTCATTGGGGCCCATGACATTCTCTTGCGCGGCATGGCCACCGCTTCAAACACTTCTTCGTCCAATCCCATCCCGTCACAAGTACTTCGGTCTTCGCCACTCAGTAAGCTGAATGCTTCTGCAGGGCCCCCATCCACGATCGTCAAACCACCAAGACTACTTGGGGAGGGCGATGCGGGAGATCTTATTCCACTGGATGCTCGAGAAAACCGTTTCTCAGAGTCCCCACCGACATTGAGGAACATGGTGTTTCGTCCCTTCTCCCACTCGACTAGAATATTTCGGATTTCAGTGCCTAGATGGTCGTAGTGTCTGGTGATCGCCACGCTGCGCGAGGAGTCATCGCCATCTGTTGATGATGCGTTGATCTCTTCTCTTAGCAGGTGAATCTTAGCGTTCAGGGAGCGGACAGCGCTAGCCACAGCTTCGAATCGGCGCATCTGTGCTTTGGCATGACGCTTTTGAGGAGTAGCTGCCTCTGCTTCACGCTCAACAGGTGGGTCGGCATCCCCCGTCCAAGCATGCTGTGAATTGTCACCAAATTCTTCCCTGACAATTGCCGTTCGCAGTTCATGGGCTGCATGGGAAGTGGCAGTATCAAATTCTTGCAGAAGGTTCAAGGTGCTTCGCCATTGATGAATGTTATACCATGTGGACCCGGAATGAAGTGCGAGTAAGTCACAAAGGAAAACTTTCCTCGCGATCAGATGAAGTCGAAACAAAAACCGAAGTTCCTTCAGTGAGTCCTGTGGATCAAGGGTGGTACCATTGGCAAAGGTCACCGCATCGGCATAATCCTGTATTGAAACCTCGTATATGTCGTGGTATCTCTGCAGGTCAAGGTCTCGGACGAAAGGTTGGATTGCATTATGGGCTTCAACACCGTGACTGATACTCGCTGTTAAGATCGAGCCAATCGAAGCTCGTAACTCCCGGCACCGACTTGTGGGTTGTTTGTCTTCGAGACGACTGATTGGAGGGAGCGGGCTACTGCTGAAAGAAAGTTTTAGAAGATGTCGAACAAATCAACGGGCCAGCTTACAGGTCGTATCCTCGAGAGACAATCTCCACCTCTTGTACAAACCGAAGTCCCTCGGCAGCAATCCTGTCAAAATTATGTGAATTTGAAACCACTTTCCCCAATGTTGAGCCCGCTGAATGCCGGACAAAATCGAGGTACTGGCGGCGAGCGAAGTGAACTAAGAGAACGCATCCACCAATTAATAATACAATGGAGGTGCAAATTTCGGAAAGACGAAGTGATTGAGGAGTTTCATATCGGCGCCGTAGTAAATGCAGAAACCATGCTATTAAAAAGGATATCCCGGCGGTTATAGCCGCGCCTTTGACTGAGAAGGTGTTCGGATCGAAGGTTTGTTCATCTTGAAGGTGTCGTCTCGGCTTGGGATCATCGGACAGGAGTTGAGATGCAACAATGACATAACGAAATCGTTCGAGAAATTGCTCGTTAGCGACATCAGTGACAGAGGCCGCAGTCTGGCGGATATTTCGCAATCGTTCGCGTAGTTTGGGAAGACCTCGAGGTGCGAATGTTTGGGCGCAGGAGGAAGAGCGGGTGGGAGGATCAGCGGATTCGAATGGAACGGCGTCTGCTTCTAAATATGCGGCGATAGGTGATTCATGATAAATTAGAGCTTCCATGACATGATCGGCGATAGTGTCGAGAAAAGGAGCGACAGGGTGTGAGATGCGGAAGTGGTGAGACAGATAAAGTCGGGTTGAGAGGAAGGAGAGGCGCGTTACGAATTTGGACAACAAAAGATGACTCGTAGATGGAATTTGTCGATGACAGCGATGGCTAGAAACATGTCACTTGGGAGCACAAGCCACAGCGCAATTCGTTGTTGGTGACTGGGCCAGGATGCGGGATCAGGCAGCAAATGACCCAAACGGTGGGATCTCTGACTAACTTACTAGGCTAAGCAGCTGACAGCTTGGCTGCAACTTGCGGGCAATTTAGGAAGCTTGGAACCCAGCGAATTTTGTGGAACCTTGGACTTTGGAAGCGTGACACGAGTAGATGTGTCTAACAACGGCAGAGAGACTGACTTTGCCAGAAGCAGAGGCGTTATTTACGCTGGGCCAATTCCAGGTCAAGTCCCAGAATCTGGGGTGGCAGATCAAAGATTCGAGCCTCTGGCCTCGTGCCTGGAACCCTGAGCCAAAGACGCGGAACCGGATGTCGACCGACTGTACACTACTGTTTGCCACTACGTAGTCTAAACGAGCTGGTCCAATTTTGAAGACGAGCGTCTCTCGGCTTCAGCATCCACAAGTCGGCAATGTATCAGCATCTCAACAAAGAGCCGCCAGGCTTCCCGTGGATAAAGACAAGATGTCCCGCGGCACTGGTGAACGCAATAATGTGTTGTTTAGATCTTTTCGGCGAGGTTCGCTACAAAATGATATCGTTATGAACGACCGGTATCAAGAGTTGGAGAGTGTGGTTCTGCAAAACCTTCAGAACAATGTCGCACCTTATTGTGACTGCCCCTCCGTGTGGTCGCGATTCACTTCTTCTCAGTCTGGAAGATGCGTCTGCAAATAATGGGTGCGACAGAATGGCGCAACTTCGCAATAACTTTCATCGTCGATACCTCACTCTTCGCCTGTCGTCCATCACAATCCTCTAAGCCTCTGCCAACAACCACGTAATGCGGTCATGCTATGGCTTCTCCAGAGGAAGTGCCAGATTCAGCACTGGGCCTAGCGTCCGCATCTGATGCAGATACTATCATGGGAGACCCCGCTCAAGGATCTGACGAGGACACTGCGCAAACCAGCAACGATCTCAGTGGTCTCGGTGCCGACAAAGTGACCAAGCTATCAGAAGTCCTTTCCAGAAACAATGAAGTCCAAGGTCTCGCCTACGACACCATCTATCAACAACTGCAAATTCGCCCGGAGAAGCGTCAAGAATTCTACAATGGAGTCATTCGCAACATCCGCAACAAGCATCATGTCGAGATCAAGCGAGGTACAGATACTAGTATCAAGAACATCTCTAATCTACTCCTTCGAGCCTTTGGCTACCTTGTCTGGGCACCAGACTCGGCGTGGTTGGTTGATATTGCCGATCTGGATGAGGGAGAGACCAGATTAGTCTATGTGCGAGGTCGTGTCGCGTCTGACCGTCCTGAAAATGAGAGGTATGCTTCCTTGTGAATACAAAAGCCAAAAGTACGCGTCATCTTATTCCCTGACAGGTTCTTTCCTATCTTGGAACGCCTCTGGCGCCAGATGCGTAATCTCATGTTCATCGCGAAACCAAGCCGTCGCCGAGCTGCACAAGCACAATCCGGAACGCTCCCTCGAGCTGAAGAAGATGAAACTACCGAAATGAATTCTGGGCTCTCTGAGGGCGACATTCCTCCTCCCTCACCTCACTCACAAGCTCGAACATCTGCAACCGAAAAGATCGAAGCTTTGCAAGACAAATGGGAGATGGCCATGGCACCCATTAGTGAGATGACCGCAGATGAGACCGAAGAGGCAATCCTCAACCTCATCACTAAACTCTCTCAAATTCGAGCAAAGAGCAGACCTGAGATCTTCGAGCGTCTTTGGGTCCAGCACATCATGCGGCAGGAAGAAATTGACTCGGCTTCAAGCCAAGGCACAATCGAACCCGCACCCGTCACCGGAAATATGACTCCGCAGATTCTGGTCAAAGGTTCCTCTGTGCCGCCTATCGTCGCCAATCCTCCTCCGCAGCCTGGCGGTGGTGGCGCCTCTTCTCAGTCTCCCGTCGCCGATTCCTCTTCCCAGTCGAACCAACCATGGATGACAGAAGGCTCACCACTTCCACCTCGTTTACCTATGTCGTCGTTACTTCGGCCTGCCCTTCCAGCAGTCATGTCCGTCTACATCAGCGTCTTGTACATCCCATCTGCAGCAATCAGAGCTGGAACTCAACCTTGTGGTCCAATCATCCCAGCCAGAGGGGGTCATCGAGACCCTGCGTATCACTGGGTCGACGCCCCAGTCAGCACTACCGGAATGGCTCGTTTCTTTGAAGGAATCACCATGCGAACTCGTCCTCTTCTCCGCTCCGTCGTCGGTTGGGTCTTCAGCTACGGTTGGAACGATACCTGTCGCTTCATCTCGTCTGGCCGTTTCGACTACTACGATCGCACTGCTGGAACTGAGGTAGGAATTCCTCGTGATAATGCTCAATCAACCATTGTTAATACCATGATGCTCGGCTGGGGTGACTTTCAAGATGACCTGCGCCACGCTGCCCAGACGGGTGTACGTGTTTGGAGAATGAAGGTCGGCGTTGTTGCATTGCCCGAGTAAGCATGGAAACGAAATGAGACTGACCAATGAGATCGCACGTCAGTAACTGAGAGTAACGCTCATATATCGAGCTGACCAATGAAATTCGAGTTTGATCAAATGCATCATCAGACCTCTTCATAGAAATGTAATGTTGTAGATAGTCGAAATAAAATTTTTGTACCACGTGACGGGCTCTATATATGCATTAGTGAGGAGCGGGGGGAAATAGTCCTCGAAGAGAGTTCTCTGTATAGACAAGAAGAGAATAATCCTCCTTTCAATCGGAGGATGTCCAATAGGTAAAAAAGGGATCGATTCAGAAGGAATGGTTTCCAATTTACAGGAGAAAGGTACCTTTCCCCTGTGTAGGGTGATTATACGAGGGGGATTTTATTCCTGTCTGTATAAGCATTGGAGAACTATTTTGGATTTTGAACGTGAAAGTTCCCGGCAAGCAATGAGCATCGGTATTATCTTTGCTTTATGGAGCTCGTTGGGGTAGCCCGTGACGAATATACCTGAGATCATTTCCTTAGTATTGATAAAGTATACAAAATGCAAGGGATGGCAACTCGAAATGCTCATAAATCTCTTATCTCATTTCAGGTCATGGAGCCAATACTGCTTTGGGCGGACTGAGACCGCGGCTGGGGTAGAACTGGGCTGAAAAGTAATACAAACCCATGCAGAATAAAAGCCGACCTGTGCCTGAATCACGTTGCGACCCGGATCGGTGGACCAGTCTCATCTCATCTGGTCGCCAAATAGACTCATCCGTGAAGAAAAAGGGTATCACGGTGGAAAAAACATACAATCTCCCAAGCCGATCCTAGCTCGCACACAGTGAAGAATCATCTCGACATTCGAATCAGCGTCAAGGCCACCATCCCATCCTCTTGTAGCTTTCCACCATCTCCCTAACACCATCCGCCGTCAGGCCAGATTCCCGATTATATGTGAATCCGACCACCTTTTCAAACAGACTGCCGTCGAGACTCAAATCTGTATCTTTGAGTAGCTCCTTCTCTAGGAATGGGCTGAGGGGACCCGGCTTAGTGATGTTCTTTCGTTCAAGCATATCAGCCCACGGTTGCAGGACATCCTCGTTGAGCTCATCAACGACATGCTCGAGATTCATCTTGGCGAATTGAGAGATCAAGGACCCTTGAAATCCGGTCTCGATGCCGAAAACCTGGGAGACAATGTCCGCAAGTTTGCCTTGACTCGTTTGTCCATGATCCACAATGTTGAAAATGGGGACGTTACCGCTCGGAGCATCTTCCCCTTTCGAGCCAATGGTTGGTCTTCTGGTGGTGGTGGGTGACGATGAAGGAATAGTTGAATTAGTTGTTCTCCACTTGGCTGCCGCCCACAAGGCTCGCGCAACGTCTTCCACATGAACGGTGTTGATTCTCAGGTCTTCCGTCCAAAGCCATTTGAGTTCTTTCTGTTGTTCTTGATAAACACGTGCCAAGCATAATCCTTTGGCAATGAACTTGTAGTCGTATTCCCCATAGACATGTGCCAGTCGGAGGATGACCAGGTTCAATCCTGGTATTCGCGCAAGTTCCTGTTCGGCCTCCAATTTGACGTTGGCAAGTTTCAGCCAGGGCTTCAATTTGTCTTGTTCCGTGCGCGGGGTCCGGTTAGGGGCATAGACCATGCCAGTGCTAACTTCGACAAATGCTTTGACCCGACGTTTGGCCGCCTCTTTCGCCAGTGTGGTACTGACCAGCAATGACCGTAACTTGTATATCTCGGGTGTCTGTGACCAGGCCGTCTCACCGGCGAGGTTAAAGACATAGTCCCAGGTGGCATCTGGGCCTTCGGGATGTTCAAAGATGCGTGGCATGGAGGTCTCGCGCGAGGCGTCGGCTTGGATGAAGTTCTCCGACGAACATGCTTCGTTGAACTCTGGGGCAAGATGGGCCAACTGTGGAAGGACTTTATCGACGATGCGAATGGAAGACGCAAGGTTCTGAGAATGAACGTACTTTGCCAGAAAGCGTCCAATGTATCCTGCGGCGACGTCAGTATGCAGGAACAAGTTTTCCTCTCTATCCCCCCGCCGGGCCAGTGGAAACATACCAAGACCTCCCACTATCAATACTGAGGGCTTGGATGCGCCATTTGCAAGGACGAGGTGATCGGAAGTAGCCATACTGCAGTCGGCTAGCAATGACAGTCAAAAACAAAACTGAGCGGAATGAAGGACAATAATGAGAGTGCACAGGGAGCGGCGCAACAGGATAATCAAGTTTTTGGAACCCTGGCACCTGCAAAGAGTGGAACTGAGCGAAATAAAGAGAGGGGAATGTGAGGCCTGGTGCAAATTGGGTATTACGGAAGTAGCTAGTGTGCTTGGTTGAGCCGATCGAATAGCATGGACGGTGTATGAATAGAGGTTGTCGAGAACCCGAAACTCGATGGGAAGATTGCAGTGGGAGTCGGATGAGGGGTGGACGAGCCGAGGCGAGTTCGAACACAGATGGTCCATACAAAAAGTAGCTCAAAGTGACTCTTGGTGGCTCTTGGTGGCGGCCCCTTGTGCAGAAGCGGTGCCCACGGGGGCAAACCTGATTTTAACCAAGAAGATCGTGAGCTCTAAGTTGACTAGGATAAGCTGGCACGGCCCGGAGTGGCAGTTGGACGGGACACTAGGGGAGGAGAATGACCAGAGCCTGGGATGGCGCAATAATGCTTACTATCACAGACGGGTCCCGAATCAAATATATTATTTAACCCGGCGTGATATGGTTTTGTCAATAGTGATGAAGAAGCCCCTCGCAGGAGTTTGATCAATGATGATGAAAACGATGATGATTGCAGGGGTGAGAGACCGTAGTAGGGCACGGTATGAAATCAAGATCCGAGCAAGGAGGTCAACCACCGGCTACTGGTGCTAGGAGGAAAAGACTCTGTTTAGTTCGATAGTACCAGACTACCAGTCTCCTGTTCAAAAGACAAACGCAGGTTTGGTTCAGGGGATTCAACTTGGACATTCACGGAAACCCACGTGCCACGCCCTTATGCAGGTCCCAGGAGCTCAAGAAGTCGAATGGAAGAATCAGGGAATGAACCTGCAGGATACATATGCCATGTGCATATGATATATGCAATCGGCTGCAGCCCCCGTACGGATTGGGATTTGAACTGCCGGAGAGGGAGAGACGAAGACAGTCGAACTAGTTTTGCGGGTGGCCACTCACACTCCAGTCTAGTAATGGACTATTCTGGACGTGGAAAAGGGAAGGTTTGGGCCAGGCAAGAGTGTACCAGAGTGAGTCGCCCTGGCTTGCTACGACAATCAGGCGGGGAGCAAAATGTGTATTCAGACCAGCAAATAAAAATTCTCCGCGCCTGATGGTCCAGGATGGGGATTGATGACTGCTGCAAACAACCTGGAAGTCACTGTGAGATTCAATCTGGTCTGGCACCCAACTGGCGACATAGTGGCCCTCTGGCTTCAAGTTCGCTTAAGGATCTGTCAGCTCCAATCACCACTCGCCTCCTCTCCCGTTCATGCTGGTTACACCATTGTCACACAACAAGCATATCCCCGTCCAACATCTAATCCTCTTTCGTGCTCCCCTGATTTAGCACTTGGTTTGTTCCACCGTCCAGCCCTGTTTGTACATGCGGTTCCATCTGCCAAGTAACCTCTCCGTCGAGTCGACCCGTCGACTGGCCACTCAATTAATGGTATTGCAAAATATACGGCGGAAAAATTCAGCACAGAACTGGGGCTTTGAAGTTGCGACAGTGATAATGCACAATGACAGAGTCCCGCCCATAACAACCTCAGGTCGATGAGCCCGCTGAAGAAACGCCCGATCACTGACATCCCACCACCTCTGCTCTCAAAGGAAAACGCTCAAAGATATGGATCGTAGTCGATGATGTCCGGCTCATCGTCGAGTTTCAGAGCTTCATGAGTCAAACCAGCACGGTTTTATGGATTCTCATAGGTGAACCTGTATTTAAAAATGCTGTGGAGAGTTTATTTGGCCGCCGGCGGCCGTGGCTGTTGCTTCACATTGGTAGAGAGCCAGCTCTGAACGAGTCCATCAATCAGCGATTGTTCAGATCCCGCAGGTCGTCGTCCACTTACCAAACCCTCTAGCAATCCTTCACCCGTCGTGGCACAGCTAGGCACGACATACCACGTGCGGTCCTTCAATTGCGTCAATCTCAGTTTCTCCGTCACCTCCGTCGGCGTCATCGAGCCGGGGATATCTTGTTTGTTGGCGAACACCAGCAAGAGTGCCTCTTTCATCTCGCGATCAAGGATGATCCGGTGGAGTTCCTGTCGGGCTTCATCAATACGTGCTCGATCATTGGAATCAATCACGAATATCAGCCCTTGTGTGCCGGAGAAATAGTGTCGCCATAGGGGCCGAATCTTGTCTTGCCCTCCGACATCCCACACGTTGAACTTGACGTTTTTGTATGTGACGGTCTCGACGTTAAATCCGACGGTAGGAATCGTAGTAACATCCTGGTTGAGTTTCAATTTGTACAGGATTGCTGTTCCATAGTCAGTCTCCTTCATCGCTTGCGAACGGACTCGAACGCATCCGGTTTCGGTTGGCGCATGCTCTACTTACTGGTCTTGCCTGCGGCGTCGAGACCCAACATGAGCAGTCGCATCTCCCTCGATCCGAAGATCTTCCCCATCATCTTCGATATCTGATTGCCCATCTTGTTGTCTGGCTGCAGGTGCAGCTTGATGACGCTCCCGATCAACGATTTCTACTTGGGAGAGATAATTTTCCGAGGGGGTTCAGGTTGGTACTCGGATCGTCGGTGTGCCAGGTTCGAGCAGACAATCGGAGAGGAAGCGAAAGGTCAAACAATAACGGCAGGGTAAGATGTAGATGATACAAGGAAGAACGGGCTTTGCTGGACAGAGACTTGTTCTCAGGGCCTCACAACCGGTAATGACAGGGACTTGCGCAGCTATTCAGGAGGCAGCCTGGTCAATTGAGTATGGAGCCAGGAAATTATGATCGCGGCGCGATCAAAGGGCTAGACGCGGCAGCCACTGCAAGAAAGGGGCACGGGGCAATTCTTCAGACCAATTCTTTTAGCTTCGTACAATCACGGCCGTTCATCCCCGAGGAGACTTGACCCAAAAGAGCCTAAGCACACTGACCTCCCAATACGTCGCCCAAAGAGAGCGCACGTGCTCATCACAACTTGAGCGCTCGATCTTTGGGCTTCCACGTCTTGAATGTTCTTGTATTTCTTTTCTTTCATGTGCAAGCATGTCGGTTTGACTCTAGATTTCCTCAATTTCTGATCATAACATCGAGTGCCCTCCGCCTTCCTCCCCCTCCGTCTCTTCTGGTGACATCAACATCCCCTCTACAAACTTCCACCCTTCATGCTGCATCATCCTCCATTTCTGGGCCACCTTCACGCTGACTAAATCAGCCGTTGCCACGGCGTCTTCCTTGGAGTCATGACCAGCTTCGCCTCCTGTCTGAATTCCTCTGGAGAGGTACTGTTGACTGAGAGCTTTCAGCCCGTACCTGATGGGCAAGCCTCGCGGATGGGGATATAGCAGAACCGTGTCGATAACGAAGGGGTGTATGACACGGCACACGTTCAGATCATTCTCTATAGCGTGGCCGATGAGTGGTGTATCCGGGCTGAGGTGATCGAAGAGAAGTTGTCTGGCCATAGCAGGTGATCCTACCCTGGGTTGTTGACCTATATCTAAACGGCTTCCCGTCGTAGAAACGTGACCTGCTTCAGTGCTTGGAGGACTATAAGGGAGCGCATTGGCGTAAGATTCCACCGTCACACCCGAAAACCTAGTGTTCAAATCGAGGATTTCCCCGTAGGGCCGAACAAGAACGTCAAAGAGAAGTCTTCCTTGAGGCCAAGAGACTGCCGTCACTCGAATGACTTCCATGCCCAGAGTGGTGTATGCCATTTCACAATCGAAAGAGACCGGTGGTCTTCCGCGAACGTCAGATTTGGCCGGCGTATGCTCGAATTGCAGCACATCCGCTAACCGCTTAGGATCTTTGACACAGAAAACGTGTGTATCTGCCTCGACGCAGCCTTCACTGCCCTCCAACTGGTTACAACAGGGAAACATTGCTGCGGACTGGCCCAGAATCCTGTCAGTCCTCAGGCGAGCTGTTCGGTTGGGTCTTGCCCAATGGTATCGACACTTTCCGTGGGAAGCGAGACGGCCATTCTCGTCCCTCCCAGGGAATACTTGGAATCGCGTGCCGCATCGATCACAGTTTTCATATCCTGCCGCTGCGGCCACTGCGGCCCGTGCGGATGCGACCTCACTGGCCGTGGGCTTGCTCGTAACATATCCAAATCGCTCCATGCCTTCCAGTGGGGTGCGGAGGTGCTTCAAGACAGCGATTTGTTCACTCACAGAAGAAAAGCCTGCCGCAATGGCATCGGGAGGCTTGGCAGTAGATTTCTCCTCAGCCTGAACTCGACTTGCTGTTCCTGTCCATTCTGTCACCGTCTTGATCCACTCTTCTGTTGTTATTTTTTTGATCCGTAGTACTTTCTGTGTCATACTATTCTTGTAGATGTTCTCTCCGAGCTTCGTGGCGGCCTCCTCTTCGTCGAGGGCGAAGGTTATTAGCTCCTGATCGTTCAATACCATGGACCTCCACTTCTCGTCCCCCTCAGCGAGCTTTCGATTTTGAACCTGCATCTGATCATGCAGTTTCTGGAGCACCGCCAATCTCATCTTTAGCACAGCTGGAGCCTTTGCCACATTGCGCGGGATTAGCGATTCAACTTTTACAGGTTTTCTCGTACTGTGCAGCACGGTAAGGTTGCTTTCTTGGGTTGGTGGGGGTGACACCGCCCTTGTAATCGAAGTCGGCATTTCCTTCTTCTGCATGTGTCCTGAAGACCGAGGGGGCTGCGTTGAAGTCTTTCCACCTTTCAGGGGGGAGCCCGCGGTCTTTGACTCCGGAGCTCCTCGCTGGGCTGACGGCCTTGGATCTCGACAATTTGGGGGGGACGAAATTAAAGGCGCGACATCTTCACTCTCACAATATTGTTGGGCCGATCCCAGCCGCCTTCTCTTCGGTATTGGAGGTGAGATTTCCCCTGCACTGAAGGGGTCATATTCCTGAGCCGACTCGAGAGAATCATGCGCCTCCGGGGAAATTGCTGGTGGGCTATGTGAGAATATGCAGCTTGGGAGGCCACAATCATATTGCCGAGGGCAAGGGATGTTCTTGAAAAGACCCAGGGCGGAGAACATGTTGCAAAGGCGTCGTGGAGCGGATTATGAATGATTGTGCAACGTTTGGGCCAGTCTGCAGATTGGTTCTCTCACGAGGAGCGGCGCTATGCCTCCCGCCTTGTTAGGAAGCCTTGTCGTGTGCCCGTCCATCAACGATGGAGGGCATGTCCGTGTAACACTTGAATAAAAGCTGACACGGAGATATTTGCTTCTGTAAGTCCCTTGCAAGCCCCGATTCGTGGTTAGATTGGGGCTCAGCAATTCAACCAGTCAAACATATCGCAGGTGATTTCCATCAACTAATGACCCTAGACCTCGCAGCTGGGCGATAAGCACGCTCTAGAACTTCCGCCCAACTAGTACGATGATACCCACGCGATTTTCCAAGCAATGTCTCCAGCGCCGGATTATCCTCTTATCGCATGTGAACGAATGCACTAGATAGTGACTTGGACGTGGATCTCGGAATCCTCTGCAAATAAGTGGTTGACGCGGCAGCTAGAATGAGTGCAGAATAAGTGTAGTGGCCTTATGAGCCCAGGCGGCAGATTGTCACACGGCAGTCCCGTGAAAAATATATGAACTAGAGGACCGTCGTTTCCGGGCAGGCCAGTATGATATAGCTTCACGTTGTGAGACGTTGCGCGGGGCAGGGTACTTTCTGAGGCTCTGCGAGAAAAAGTTACTCATCCACCAATTGAGTAGGAAAACTTGGTATTGGTGCTCAACTGTGTACCTCTGTCTCGTCTCATTCACGAATAAAGTCGAGTAGTCTCCCCCAACAGATATTGCCCGAACTGAGACTGACTGAGTATTGGAGTTTGAACAATCACTTGCCTGGCTTCTTATCCATCTATCCCACGCAGCTGTTGCAACGGGCAGTGAAAGGCTAGGATCTTGTGACAACCGGACAAACCATACCGCCCCAGGAAACGAGTCAGCACCACCCACGGCATCCACGGGGCCAGCTGGAACCGACCAGTCGGGGGTTAAGAAGATCCCCGGTGCGTGCCCGTGTCCTTAAACGTGGGCGTGTAATTTTTTTTTTTTTTTTTGCGGGAGCCTTGCTGGCAAATCGGCCTCGCGATCCATCCGTGCTGAATCGACAGGGGCTGGCGCACAGCCACCAACCTTATCAACCGGGGCTTATAGATGGCATCATTCCCTTTCGACCTCCGCAGTATCGATAGACAAGCTCTTTTCTACAACTGGGACATGGCTGAAGCCGTGAGAAAGTCTCGACAGTCTTCTCCTTGTAAGGCTAACCATCTGGTAGTGCTTGTACACGGTCTCTGGGGCAATGCGAGCCATCTCAACTATGTCGCCCAGGCGCTCCTCGAACGCCACGGCGAGGACGAACTCGTCTTACTCTCCTGCCGCCGTAACAACGGTAGCCTCACTTACGATGGCATCGACGTCGGCGCCGAACGAGTGGCAAAAGAAATTGAGGATATACTAGAAGAGCTGGAACGGGATGGATTCAAGATCACAAAGTTCTCGGTGGTCGGATACTCTCTTGGGGGCCTGGTTGCTCGCTATGCCATTGGCTTGCTCTACCATAAGGGATACTTTGAGAGAATGATTCCGGTCAACTTTACGACCTTCGTCACCCCCCATCTGGGCGTCAGGACTCCGTTGACAGGATATCAGAATCATCTGTGGAATGTTTTAGGCGCGCGGACACTATCCACTTCTGGACGTCAACTGTTCATGATAGACCAGTTCCGCAATACCGGGAGACCGATCTTGAGCGTTTTGGCAGATCCCGATAGCATCTTCATCCATGCACTTGCGCAATTCCAACACCGCTCGCTTTACACCAATATTGTCAACGATCATTCTGCAGTTTTCTATACCACCGGAATCTCTAGGACAGATCCCTTCGCCAACCTGGACAAAGTTAATCTTCACTACATGAAAGACTATGAGCCGGTCATATTGGACCCAGACCATCCATGTGATCTGATTCCAGAGCACGAATTACCGACCTTCTACCAACGGTTTCGCTACCACAGCCAAACCTTGCCCCGGCGGGCCCCAATCCTTTTCGCTTTGGTCATCCTGGTTCCCATCGCCACTCTAGCATTCTTGGTCAATGCCTGCGTTCAGACACTGCTGAGCCGTCGTCGGATTCACCTTCACCAAAGTGATCACGATGGGGCGGGCTTTGGGGTATATCGAATACCGTATATGGTGAGAGAGATGCGGGTGGGCCTGGAAGACGCATTTGAGAACGTGAATTCGGCTCAGCAGCAGGAGTATCTGCCTGAAGGCTCAGAAGAGATGGTAGGCGCGTCGGGTTCTCCCCCGATGTCTGCCATTCCCCATACATCATCAGAATCACTACTCTCCGAAAAGCCAGATACTGATAGGTCGAAAAGGGAGATTGTGGCATCAGAAAGATCCCCAGAATTTCCTACGTTGGCATTGACTACGTCACAGTTTGCCATGATCAAGGCCCTCGACGACGTTGGGTTCCGGAAGTATCCCGTGTACATTCACAAGAGCAGTCACAGTCACGCTGCGATCATTGTGCGAGCTCCGAAAGCGGCTTTCGAAGAGGGAAAGCTGGTGGTCAAACACTGGTTGGAGAATGAATTTCACATCTAGCGCTGACGTAGCAGCATTTCGGTGTAGAGTTGAGCGGTGCATATTGTGGTTCGAGGTATCGCGAGACACGTCAGCATCAATTGCAGCGTTGATCTGGTTATTCAGCGAAGGTGTTGGATTATACTGGTAGTTGTGGCACTGATGAACCTGGGGATCTCTTTGTCGCTTTCTCTTGGATTAGAATTAAATGTTATTGCTACAGACAAAATTGCATCAACAATGTCAGCACGAACGACTCATTCCTTGGATCGGGCGAGAAGGCTAAAGTAACGGCAGGAGATCGCACATTGCTCACCGATTATGCGGCGCAGACCGCTAGCATTTATCAAAAAGGGGCTTGAATGTGAACCAGAGCGTATCACCGATGCACATGTAGCTGTACTTCGAGAATGGCCCCGGCCGTTCCTGACTAGGCACCCTGACCACTGTGTGACAAATGGATCCTAATGATATTGGTGGCGTCGACCATGACGAATGGCGTGTCGAGACGAGTGCAAGATTCTGCCAGACACGACAATCCAACACATTGAAGCGCTGTACATCCACCAAAGTACCTAGAGAAAGGATCGCAGAGTCTGACTGGATTGCCTTTCGGATATACGGACAGGCTCCTGTCTCCTAGCCGTCTGGACCACATTATCTCAGCTGTTCTGTCTCTGGCTCGCCAGCCACTCGCAGAAGTGGACCACGGCCGACTTTCTGCGGACTTCGCAGATACCTACTGCAACCCCATGCTTGAGGCAACCCGCCTCAACTGCCTCGCGCCTCTCTCCATCGGGTACCAGATGGCGACATGAAATTGAATCTGCTACAAAATCTTCGAGTCGGAGCCTTGAAGTGACCCTGGTCATACTTTCTTCTCATTCGCCCACCAGGCTGAAAGACTCCATCGTGTCGACGTCACTTGGCCTTCATGCAGAGATTTCTATGGGTAAGGCTTCCGAATCGCGACCCATGGTGGCAGACTCCAAACCACCGTCTCTTCCTGCGTTTTCGTGTTATCCACAACCGTGGTTATGGTTATCTTGTACCTTTCCACTTTTTTCCCACGTGTTATTCTTATTGCCTCACCGTTCTATCCACTGCCGCCGACTTACTCGGCCAGAATATGGTATAATAAGCCCCAGCGCCCTGCAGAGAAGGGGGCCATTTTTCTCCTCGATCAACTTCGTTCTTTGAGTTTGCAACATCCCAGCGTCTCCTTCAACTTTTTTAGAGAACCTTTCCCGCCGAAGATGGGAGTGGAAGAAGTGAAGGCCGTCGACACGGCGGCTGATGGCGCCGAGGAAGACAGCACTTTCTTGTCACCACCCAGAAAGTCCAGAAGCAAGACACGTAGACTCTCGAGTCAGAGCGCCACTCGTGCCGACCTTTTTGGGCCACCTACCGTCGTGGCACCCCCTGATCAACTGGATTCTGAAAGCAATGCCCATTCGACGGCCGAGGCTATGGAGATGGCCAAGCATCATTTGGCTGAAGGATCAGAAACTTCGACTCCTGACGATTCTGGTCCTGTCACTCCAGATGGCACAGACCTCACAACCACCGACAAATACGCCTTCGCCTTTGACATTGATGGCGTTCTGATCAGAGGAGGCGAGGTGATTCCTGAAGCCATTGAGGCCATGAAGGTGTTGAATGGGGAAAACGAATGGGGTATTAAAGTGTTCGTGTCGTCCTGGAAGCTGGATAACTTGAGATGCGTGATTAGAGTACTGACATCGTTTAACAGACCTTACATCTTCGTGACCAATGGAGGTGGCAAGACCGAAGAAGAGCGCTGCATCCAGCTCTCCAATCAACTGAAAATGGAAGTGTCCCCTGGACAATTCATTTGTGGGCACACTCCCATGAGAGAAATGGCCGAGAAATATCACACTGTTCTTGTCGTTGGTGGTGAAGGTGAGAAATGCCGGACCGTCGCCGAAGGCTATGGATTTAAGGACGTCATCACCCCGGGAGACATTATCAAAGACAACAAGGATACCACGCCGTTCAGAAAGTTGACCGAGGAGGAGCTCCGGAACTCGAAGAAGCGAAACTATGGAGAGGTCGATATCGAAGCGGTCTTTGTCTTCGCCGATAGCCGGGATTGGGCTGGTGACTCGCAAATCATTCTCGACCTCTGCATGAGTAAGAATGGCCGACTCGGCACACGGTCCGAGACTTTTGACGAGGGCCCTCCTGTTTACTTCTCCCATAACGACATCGTCTGGGCGACCTCCCACAGCTATTCCCGGATCGGCATGGGGGCCCTTCGTGCTTCTCTTGAGGCCATGTTTAAAGCTATCACGGGCAAAGAATTGAAAACAATTGCTTTTGGAAAGCCCCAGGTGGGAACCTTCCAATTTGCCACTCGACTTTTGCAACAATGGCGGAAAGACACTCACGGAATCAACCGACCTCCTGAGACGGTTTATTTTGTCGGCGATACCCCAGAATCAGATATCCGGGGCACGAATGAGTTTGACGCGACCGCCGAGGACGCCAGCTGGTACTCGATTCTGGTCAGAACGGGCGTCTTTAAAGAAGGTACAAAGCCCGCATACAAGCCCAAGATGACTGTGGACAACGTCCTTGAAGCAGTCAAACATGGCATACAGCGAGAATTTGACAAGGCCGTCAAGGATCTGACGGTTGGTGGGGCGGCACCTCAAATGGCGGATGCTATTGCTGAGGACGACGCCGAGCCTTGAATATGAATCACAACGACGCTACGAGAGCATTGACAAGGCGTTTGGTTTTCTTGAATGTGGACGCATTCCACAAGTGACGATCTTAAAAATTTTTGAGTCTAGATGGGAGAGGCGTAGGCAGCATCAACAGAGCCAGCTGGATCTGCATCACATCAGCAATTGTTCCTTGGGTTACAAGAGGCGTTGGTGGTGTCGTTTACGACCTCATGCAGAGTCGTCCCAGATCAGGCACTCATTGGTTTGGGGGCTGATATTGGGGGCCACAGTGATGGCACCCTGAGATAGATCGGTCAGAATATGTATGTTCAACACCCAGTGCTGGACAGATTCGCACAACAAGCCCAGCAATATTATGTTTCCTTGTTCTCGCCTACAGCTGTGCATACATTCGGCGACGAGAGGATAATGTCAGGGAATACGAGATACCAGAACAGTGGCCATGTTTCTTTTGGCTGCGCTTGGCCAGGGGAGCGTTCCAAGTGTTTCCTTGGTTTGACACGGGCTTGGTGCATTTCTAGCTCATCGAGGCTTGCATATGGGCAGACAACAATGCAATGTGTATGTAGGTAGCCTCCTGAGCCATGTCTTAAAAAATAGGGATGGATATCTTGATTTCCTGATTTCAAGGACCGGGCGCTGGTCGTTGTGGTGACACGTATAAGACACACACAATGCACGATGCGCTGGGAAAAGTGTATGGGAGGTGTAGGATTGATATAGCGATTGGGGGAACGGAGCAAGGCCAACACTAGCCTTCCGCAGGTACTTGTAAGACTACTCTCTACTTACGCAGCCTGGGAATGGGATGAGCACTAGTCCCGTCTGGCCGCGATTTCTCAAGACCAAGAAATAAGCAACCGGTGGTGACTGGGTCTTAACTGAATTGGTAGTGGCTTCTGGAGGCCGTCTATTTTCCTTTCCAGTGCTCTTAACCGGGTCCTTGCTGGGCCGTCATCTCTGCCAAAAAGCCCTGCAGGTTCTTCCGCCTGAAACTCTGACGACTTTGCCTAATGAAAACTGCCACCATTACTTGTCTAACCAATTCATGGATACATTGCATTGCACCGCTCGCCACATGGCAATTTGGTAGGCTGGTCGACTCATGTACTATTAGTATGGACGATGAGCAGCCCTTGACGACTTGACAACTGACAACTGACAACCGGCACTGGCGATTTTCGTGCCTTCTCCATTGCTTCTTACATACTCCGTGCCTACCACCCACCCAAACCCTTTCTTTCTCCTATCCACCACTGACTGGTTGCTGCGTCCTCTACCACTGCCAGAACACCCCCTGACCTTACAGCCGCCCAAAGTCGCGTCATCTCCAAACTTCATCCGCCTCTGCCAGCTTTCCCGTATCCTTCGTTAGAAGCCATTTCTACCTTGCAGTCAAACTCTCCTATCTTGATCGGCACCGGCGCCCTACTGCGCGCTTGGCCAGCCTCTCCTTCAGCTGATCCGCCTCGACACCCCGACTCATTCTCTCCCCCAGGCCTCAGAAACATCGTCTTTCTTGAACCTTCCTCCCTCTTGCCCTCGACGGCTTTCTGATCTTTCTTCGATAGCGCGACATCAGATAAATCGTCACGCCGACATTCCCGCGCCCGCGACTGTCGTTGATCCATTTTGAGTGCTTCTTCCATAACCAGTGCACGTCAGCCTTAAAATAAGCCGTGATCTTTCTTCTGGGAGTCCGTTGAAGCGCGCACTGCGTCTGTAGTCGCATTATGGCGACAGGAGGCGCAGGCACAACGACCTCTTCTCCACCCATCGCTCAATCTCTTCACCGCGGTGCACCTCCTACGCCTTCACCCTTGGCTACGGTATCCCCTCCGTCCAAGAGAGAGCTCGCATCATGGTGGAAAAAGTTTAGAAAAACAACGGAAAAGACAGATGAGAAAGGTGAGAGAACTCTGGCGCCTTGTCATCCAGTTGGTCTGCAATTCCGGACAGTTGATCATCCTTTGAAAAGAACGCTTTTGATGTTAACGGCCAGTCACTAACCGCTCACCAGCTGAGGCTGGACCAGGAATATTCGGCGTCCCTCTCGCAGAGAGCATCAGGTACGCGAATGTTGCCATCTCATTACAAAACGAGAACGGCGAAAGCTTCATCTACGGATACGTACCCATCGTGGTGGCCAAATGCGGCGTGTTTCTGAAAGAGAAAGGTATGCAGGAACATGTCTCTGAACATATTCACATGGTTAACAAACCTCTAGCCACTGATGTGGAGGGTATCTTCAGACTCAGTGGATCTGCAAAACGGATCAAGGATTTGCAGACCATATTCAATTCCCCCGACAGATATGGCAAAGGACTCGATTGGACTGGCTATACTGTCCATGACGCGGCTAACATCCTTCGTCGTTATCTCAATCAGCTACCGGAACCGATTGTTCCACTTGATTTCTACGAAAGGTTTCGCGATCCCCTCCGCCGGATAACGCCTTCTGGTGCGGCGGACGGAGAAATACAACCTCTCGACCTGAGCGTTAATGAACACAGTACTGCTGTAACCGCATATCAAAAGCTCATCACGGAGCTTCCGCCTCTGAATCGACAACTGCTTCTCTACATTCTCGATTTGTTAGCAGTATTCGCGTCCAAATCAGACCTCAACCGGATGACTGCCGCCAATCTCGCGGCCATTTTCCAACCCGGGATCATTTCACACCCGTCGCACGACATGTCGCCGCAGGAATATCGGCTTAGTCAAGATGTGTTGATCTTTTTGATTGAAAATCAGGACAATTTCCTCATTGGAATGTCCGGGACTGCTGTTGACGAGAAAACTCAGAAAGATGTCGAGAGCGGTGCTCCCTCTTTGCGATCTCCCAAACCTGTTGGACGCTCTGCATCGAACGCTAGTGCTGGTGCCGACAGTCTACGAAAATATGGTGTCAGACGCAATGTTTCCGTGTCTTCTCGAGGGTCGCGAGAAAGGGGCAGTCCAGGAGTTTCTAGTCCCGGCACTCCATCTGGAGTTACCTCATTTGCAGGCGCTGCAGTTGGTGGGGGGATAGCTCGAAGCAATACGGTCCCGTCCAAACGCTCCCCAGCCATTAACTCAAGTCGTTTTCAAAAGTTCAATGATACCTCGGATTCGACCGGGCCAACGGTCATCTCTCAAATGGCCAGCTCAGGAACTGCGGTTGCAACTAGAGAAGGCGCGGATTCCAAGTCATCACGATCTGGATCTGTTCAACCTGATGAAGCCGACGGTAAAAGGGGCCTGATACCTGAAGAAGACCGTGGTAAAAGAGGTTTGACACCTGTTCAGCCTCTCCCACAGCACATTCAGCCTTCCTCTGCAGCACAGCCAGCCTCAAATCAGGCTCCGGGCCCTGTCACTCTTCCCGCCCCGGCTCCAATTGCGACTCGTGACCGAAAGAAATCCAATCTATTTCCCAAGTCACCCATTTTTGGTCCATCGGATCCCCAGGGTAGGCAACCAAGAAAGCTTCAAAAGAAGCAGAGAATCCCGGGAAGCACCAACGAGAGTGCTCAGAGTTCCATGAACTCGCTCCATGGAGAAGAGCCGGCATCCTTCCACACACCACTTGTTTCCCCAGATGTTAGCAGCGCTGGCAGACTTGACCCTCTGGCCGTGCCTCAGGGCCCTACTTTGACGAACACAGGGGCTACTCCTGTCAATGAAACGGCCCCACCCAAGCAGTTCTCCTCACCCCTTGCTGGAGATGAAGGACAAAATCACGTAACCAGCCTAAAGCCGCCCAGGTCTCCTCCGGGCTCGACACATTCACGCTCTTCCTTCACCGACCATTCAGAGGCCGACGTCGTTGACGATACAGCGCAATTATCCGAAAAAGAGAAACGTCGTCACAGATGGAGATTTTCCTCATCTACGAAGAAGGGCGAGAATTCTCCACTAGCGCCTCCTCCTCCACTTGGGCAGAACCCAGGTGCGAGAGGAAGCAATAGCTCTCTCGGCAGTTCAAATCGACCACGGAAGAGTTTTACGGGCGATTCTCAACAGACGCCATCAGTCCATGCTGAGACTTTGAATGCAGGAGGCCAGCAAGCACTCGTCGGCCAATTCAACCAGGATTTGCCCGAGGCAAGAGATCCAAATGTGGAAACCGAGAAAAAAGGTCTATTTGGGAAGTGGAAGGCAAAAATTTCGCAAAGTAAGGAAGAAAGACAAGCCGAGAAGGAGAGAGCAAAGAGTCCTCCCAGAACCGAACAGAGTTCTTCTCGAAATAGTCTGTCAGCGTTTGCTCAGGAGGTGTTGGCTCCGAGAGGTAGATCGTTTGACAGGCCCCGAGAGGATACTTTGTCGAGTGTTCCGGAAAGGCCAGTTGCCGAAGCTTATACCCAAGGGAGAAAAGCGTCGATGGATCCAGGACGAGATCGACCAACAGCATGATGAGGATACCGTTGTGAAGCGAATACTTTGGGATCTGCAAAGGGCGGCATTGTTAGCATGGTGTTAAGGGACGTTGGACAATGAACCTGGTGGATCAATGACAGGAGAAATGAACTCTTTCAGGGCGAGACATCGAGAATTGGTCTTTGAGCAAAACAGCGCATGCCTGGGAAGAAAAGAGCATGGTACGGGAGTTGGGTTCAGTCCGTAGAATATCACCTCTTGTGACAGCATAGAATACTAGTTTGACGGCCACCATGGCTGTCGCGATAAATCGACCGGTCCCGGTTCCAAACTGATATTTCGCCCAAACCGGCTAGCGCCGCGGGCCCCCAAAATTTTGAGAGCTTTCACTTCGCAGAAGCATATAGTGGGTGCTCTCGAAAATTTTGGGAAAGGCTTTCCAATTATGGGTGAAGTGAGATACTAGTATTTCATTGCTTCCAGGAGAGTTGAATCTGTACTCAGCCTTCTCTGGGAAGTATCCTACCAAAGTTCCGGATCCTCACGTACTGCACCACACTGCGTTCGACGCACAAGAATTCCCTCCGACGGAGACGTGGCAATCCACTCTTCTCACCCCTTCTCTACGGTTGGAGCCTATTCAGAAGATTGCTGATATCAACCCGTTTGTCCAACAAGATTCAACCCCAAAGAAACCTCGACCACGCACAATGGCAAAAACTAAAGCCACCAGCGACGCCAAATTGTCAAAGGAAGAGCGCAAGGCGGCTCGCAAAGCTGAGAAGAAAGCCGTCAAAGTCGAAGATGCGGGCGTGAAGAAAGTCAAAACAGACAGGAAGGATAAAAAGGAGAAGCGCAAAGCACTAGCGGAGAAAGCTCTGAATGAACTCAAAAGTGAGAGCGGGAAGGTGAAGGCTAAAAAGGGGAAGAAAGCGCCCAAGGAAGAAAGTGATGAAGAAGCGGACGACGAGGGAGTTGCCGTGGAGGAGGTGAATGGAGCAGAGGAAGAGGATGGAGATGAGGATGAGGACGAGGTTGTCGAAGGGAAGACAGAGGTGGCACTACCATCCAAGCCGGTAGGCGCATTGGTGCCCTTTGCAAACCCCCTGGCCGACGAGAAGGGTGCGAAGAAGATATTCAAGTGTGTGAAAAAAGGTATGTCATTGTCTCTAATCATACTGTCTCTGGTCCCCAGCCCCCCAAACTAATAATTTCCCGTCAACAGCCGCCGTTCAGCGCACACTCAAGCGTGGTGTCAAGGAAGTTGTCAAGGCACTGCGCAAATCGCCTCACTCAATGCCTTCTTCCAACTCACTGCCCATCGGCATCGTCGTACTTGCCGCCGACATCTCCCCCATGGATGTTATTTCCCATATTCCCGTGCTCGCCGAGGACCATGCCGTTCCATACATCTATGTTACTAGCCGCGCGGAACTGGGCACTGCCGGTCAGACGAAGCGACCTACGAGTGTTGTCATGGTCAGTCGCGATGGAGGGAAAAAAAGCGGCAAGGAATCCAAGGAGAAAGACAAGGACAAGGAAGACGACCTCGAGAGTTGGGAGGAGACGTATAAGAGTCTCGTCAAGGTTGTGGAGAGGGAAGGTCGACATGTCAAGATTTAAGTTACTCGCCTCCCGTCTCGTCTGACTTTGTCTTCCTGCCTGTGGCGTTAATGCATTTGGGCCGAACAGTTCTTGCTGATCTCGGTCGCGCATTGTTGCTGCTGGACTTGGTCTCTCCGTCCCCGGCGCTCCGCGCCCTACGTTCTTAGGTCGAAAATGTTCAAATAAGCCGTTTTCGATAAACCGACTCGCTGGATCGTCTTCGGAATCTAGTGCGCATGGGAACATTTGCATGATCAAGCTGGCAACGCTCAGCTGCAACCTCCACTCCGAAAAAAGAATAGGACGGATTAGCTACTGCTTCGACACAATCATCCCCGTCCCAGTTTCACCACGCGAGTGGCAAGCGGTTGTGTGGAAAGCATTGTGCGGCATTCTCGATCAATTGAGTCCACTCTACCTTCATCTGCGTCGTCCAGGCTTCTCGATATTTAGATTCAACCTTTTCCTCCTACACATGATATACTTACCGATATGGGGAGACGGCGAACCACCAAAGACGACGATGCATGAATTGAAGACACGAATCTCCCCAGCAACAGCGGATACGGATCGGTGTTCTGTCGGTCATACCGAGATCTCATTTTTGCTCTTGGTTATTGCTCCATCTTTTCAAGAGGCGTAGCTGGAGTTGTCATGGAGAAAAGAGGGAGGACTCTATTCAAAAATGAATCGGTGACATAACGGACGGATGAATGGCTTTTTGCAATATCTGGCTAGATGGAGAGCTTCCATATATACACTCCTAGCATGTCCGTTCATGGATTATGTTCAATAAAGGAATACGAGTACGCAAAATCATTCCCTTTCCACACAGGATACGTTCTTTTCCCAAGGTTACGAGGCACTAGATATCTTCCAAAGCGCAGCAGCGACCGTTAAGGCATATTCCATGCCGCACGTATAAACAGAAGAATGGCTACAAAATTCCATTCATCACTCGCAGCGACTCTGCTGTTAAGTGTGACTTTTCATGAGCGGCATTGCCGCGATACCACTCATTCAATTCACTCAATCATCCATTCATGAACTCAAGCAGACGAAGTTCGACTTTTCTGTCAAACTGACTTAACTGGAATGAGACATTTGATCTAATCATTTTGGATAGAATGGCTTTGATGAATCGCTCCCCCTGCCCATCGAGACTCCGACCAGTTCCTCGATCTCCGTGGCGATGATACATTCCCAGCATTCTTGTATGATTCGGCCCAAAATGTGATTGATGAAGAGAAACCAAGTCCCCAGCCATGACAGCATACATTAACACATCAGCTCTGTGGTGCCACACTTTTTTTTGCTGGCTCATGAATGTATCCTAGACTGGTTCATCTCGGATACTCCACCCACACGGGCCAATGATGATTACTCTACTCAGTGTTTCTGAATTCATTTCTCTGTTTTCGTCACCGACCGCGCTTATATGTTGGTTCCACTGTCCGATCAAATGGCCGAAAGAATGACCACGAAATCAAGCATTCTCTGCCCAAAGCATATCCAAAAAAGTTTTGACCAAGGATATATACTGTACATCGGCCAAAACGATCCCATTGGTGCTCAGTCCTATCCCAGACTTTTCAGGATTTCATATGCGTCAGATACTTTCTCCAACGGGAGGCAACGCTTTCCTATGTTTTCTGGGCTGTCAGAGAGCCACCAGTTCGATCACGGAATAGAATCGATTTGTACTTGGGATACCAATGTCCCTAAGTGGGACGGCCGACCCTATCCAAAAGTTTTGATCTCGCAAGAACGTTGTGATGAATGGACCAAGAAGTCCCAAAGAAGAAAAGGACAAAGTTATCCAATTCCAGAGAGAATATCGTGCAAAGAGGATGGTTGATGCTGAGTTTTCAGAGAAGACCAAAAAATGGAGATGTGAAAAACTATCAGACATATGAATGCTGAGAAGGAAAGCGAGACGCAAAGAAGGTTAACGAACGGGCTAGACTGAGATATCGCAGAAAGGATGCAAATAATGTAGCATGCATGTCTGGTGGACAGCAGCTTCCCCAAAACCTTCATGTTTTGACGTGGATGTCAATCAGGGCTTGCTTTAGATTGAGATACGGGTATTTCTTGCTAAGTCTATTCATTGCATGCCGGGGCCGACACAACCTCTATCGCTGCCAACTTTCCAATTCTGTATCCCGCAAAGTCAAAACTCTAGGTAAGCCTGCCTTTATTTCTTTTGCTGGTGAAGACTAATGTTGGCAATCACTTCTTCGTCGTCCCCGTCACCCTGCCCAAATACGTCTTCCTCATCCGTCTCATCATGGTACTCGGACCTCTCATTCGGAGACTCATCGAAATAATCCATCGTATCATCGTCTCGTGCTATTGTGTTGGCAGCCACTTGCGCTTCAGGGTCATCGCTGAACTGGGGTGGAACATGACCCGTTCTTCGCATTGAGTTTCGTATGTCGTCGACTTCCTCCGCCTCGAGCTCTTTTGCGCGAGCCATCGTCTGTCGATAAATATACAATCCAGTCAACGCTCCCACCACTGCCCCAATGACAATACTGGAATAGTTGATGGCCCGATCACCCATGGTCATCTTCTCCCTTGTCCGCGCAATCACAGCCAGTCGACTGCCAATGAACACATGGATGAGCAATTTTGGGGAGACAATTGCTGTAGCCAATGCATACATCACAGGGTAGACTGTAGGGAATGTCGACATGGCACCATTTGACAGTGAATAAGGCAAAGGGCACAGCCGGATCATGCATAACAACTTCAGCCCGTCGTGTTTCAGGATCAACGAGAACGCCGCAAAACGTTTGTCGTGGGCAATCATCCTGTGGACCCATTTTCTCAGGACAGTTCTGGAGACGATAAAGGAGCAAAAGGACCCGGCCACGGTGGCGGTCGCGAGAATCATCCATCCCTCCCAAACGCCATAGACAAACCCGGCCGTCGTCCCGCAGGTCGAATAGCCAATCATCGGTGGGAATGCAGCCAGAAATATCAGTGCCCATAATATGGTCCATCCCCCAGTGGTATGTTTCCAGCGTTCAGCAAACGGTTCGAGCCAGCCGAAGATGCTTTCGCTGAAAATCAGAAACAGGATGCCCACAGTACTGAGAACAAGAAGCCCAACAACTGCCAGGACTCGTTGTAGAATAGACATCTTGCTCCACATCGCATACATGCGACGTTGAATTTTCTCTGCATTGTTGATGAGTTCATCTCGCCATGCAGCCGATCGACTCGGGACGAATGGAGAACTTCTTCCAGTACTAATGGATGCTCGAGGCGGCCTCCATGGGCTTAGAAGGCTTGCGCGAGGAGACTCGTCGTCGGTGTCGGATAATGAGACAGGATTCGGAGCCATTTTATAGTATGAGGGACTAAGAAGTGCGAAGTTGGGTTATAGACGGGATTGAGTAAGCCGAGCCAGATGGGGAACGAGGATTGAGGATGCGGACGGCTCGGGTTTCAAGAGACTGGATGTTTGGGCATTTTCAGGTGGAGGAGAAGTCGAATGCAAAGAAAAGTGAGAGCGAGAGTCTGATAGTAGAGTGCAAGACTGCACAGCGAAACGCAGGAAGAGTTGCATGTAGGCAGACATAAAAAAAGATGAAGCGGATTGAGATGGACTTGGAGGCGGGATGCTCGGGGAAGTGTCAGCTTCGTTGGTCCGGAGGCGCTTCCAGGAATTTGATACGTCATCTAAATTCCGCCCCAAGGGGATGAACAACTGGATGGTTTGACAGATCAGGCGTTGGGCCAAGGATACAGTGAGGATATAGAGTAGAGGGCCCTGTGTTCTGTAGATATCATTCATCATTTACAGTATACTAGCTCCATACAGAATCGAGTCGCCGGGAGGTGCCTATTAGGTGATGATTTTGTCGATTACCCGACTAGGATTAGGGTTACGCAGCACAATTTAGCGGGCGCCCCCCTCCGACCCCGAGGTCTGAGGAAGTAGTGATGCGCATACCCGTCCTACTCCCGGCGCCCTGGCCACCCTTGAATCGGCGGGCCAGTTGGCTGAGTACTTCATTGCTTCACCTCGGGGTAATATGGAGTCTGGAATACCCCTGAACATGCTCAACTTTGGAGTGAAATAAACATGCTACAGAACTATGTGTATTTACCCTTCAGCTTCGAGTTCCATCTTCTGATTGGGAATTTGACCCTTTACTTTTTGCACAGGGCTCTGCACCTCTTCGCCACAGCTTTGAATTTCCTGACTGTAAATCGCCCATCCTGGTCGCCTCGTTGCCTTATAGCCTAGACTGCACTGCACCTGTCCCTGGACTAACTTAGGCCCTAATTCGTCTTTTCATGTCATGGCTACGACAACCAACACCCTACTTACAGAAGCACACGATCTTCAAGCCACCTGTCCAGACACCGCTCGAGCATCCCACGAGTCTAGAGTATGGGATGGCCCAGGCCGTACGATCGATGAGCCTTCCGTACCAAAATCCTCGAATGTCCGCATAGCCACAACTATAGTGCAGCTTGCGAGTATAAACCTACTCTCAAGCTTTACAAATGGTGTTATCACGGTCGGCCTCCCTACTATAGCTCGGGATATTAGTCTCGCTCGAGAGCTGTACCTCTGGCCGATCTCCGTTTTTGGGCTAACATGTGGCTCGATGCTGCTTATGGCCGGGTCCATTGCAGACGTGGTCGGGGCACGCCGAGGTGAGCTTGTAGGCTGCTTCATGTTGGGCGTCTTCAGTCTCGCGTGCGGCCTAGGTCACACCGAGATACGACTGACTCTGTTCAGAGCGTTCCAAGGGGTCGCCATGGCCATTCACCTTCCAGCCACGGTCTCCATAGTGACTGCCACAATCCCCAAGGGCAAGGCAAGAAATATGGCCTTTGCGGCTTTGGGATTCGCTCGGGACATTGGTTACTCCGTTGGTCTCGTCCTCGGTGGTGTCTTGATTCAAACCAGCGGTTGGAGATTGAATTTTTATCTCGCAGGAGGAGCGATGCTGATTATCGCTACCGTGGCCGTTTGGGGTCTACCGAAGGAGAAAGATATAAGTACGGCTTCCGAGGGATTCATCAAGGAGCTTTGCCACAAAATCGACTAGGCAGGCAGTATTATAATAAGTGGTGGCCTCGCACTACTGACTTATGTTCTTGCGTGAGTATAACTCCTACCCAACAAAACCTGCGCTGAAATCTTTCAGAGTAATAAGCGCAGACCTTGCCTCTGTACGATCGGCTTCAACAAGTGCTCTTCTTGCGACGAGTCTGGTACTCCTGATTGCATTCCCCTTCTGGATGAGTTATAGAGAGCGTCATGGAAAGCCGGCACTGATTCCCAACTCCTTGTGGAAGCATGCATCCTTCGCAAGTACCTGCGTTATACTCGCGATGTCCAACGGTGTCGTCATCGCAATGGAGCTCTTTTCCAGCCTTTAGTATGTTGTCCTCTTTCTATGAACAACTTCTGCTAACAAGAAAACAGCTTTCAGGAGATTCAAGACGCAGGTACGTTCACAACGTCGTTACAGCTACTCCCAAACGTGGTCGTGGGTGTCGTCATCGGTCTCAGCTGTGGCCTTTTCGTGGACAAGGTAGCCGCCGGGTGGTTGGTAACTCTCACGTCTATCCTGTGCGCTTGTGCCCCGCTTCTTATGGCTGTCATGGACCCAAAATGGACCTACTGGTATGTGGCATTCTGGGCACAAGCCTTATCTCCATTCAGTGTAGATGTACTGGTCACTGTCGGCATGCTTATTGTCTCCGATGTCTTCCCGGACACGTCACAGGCGTTGGCAGGAGCAGTCTTCAACACGGTCGGGCAGTTTGGACTGAGTTTTGGTGTTGGTCTGTGCCAGCTGGTAGCCTCAGCCGTCACGGGTAACCAGGGGCAAGCAGAGAGTTCGGAATTGCTGGAAGGTGACACTTTGCTTCGAGGCTATCGGGCAAGTTTCTGGACAATGCATGGTTTCATGTTACTCTGCACAATAGTCGCCCTTTTTGGATTGAGGAGGGTCGGTAAAGTGGGATTGAAGCGAGACTAAAGCCAAATCGTGGAGGTGCTGGCTGGAATAAATGGCCGGGCATGATTCCGGCTGATATCCATAGTTGACACCACGATACCAGAAGAGCGAGTCTCGAAGATCAAATTGGGCGGAAGAAAGACGATTTTCGGCTCGCCGCGCTCTTTGATGAGGAGGATAGGTCCATATCATCGAAACTTCGCCTAGCTATGTGGTGTTCTAGACCAAACGTCAGGATGCTACCAGCTTCTACACAGAGCACTGCAAGATTTCTTCGCCATCTTGCTGGCTCCTTACGCCAGTCCACAAACAAGAACAAAGCGGACACCACCACGATCGGTGCCGTAATGACGAAAACATCCAAATACCGGTGTCTACTCCCGTCGTTAGTCTCTGTCACATTCATACCGAGGAATGAACACGTGAAGGTGATGGGTACGGCGAGGACGCTAAATTTAAATATACGTTGGCCCTGCCCAAAGCTACATTGCGCCTGTGCAACAGCATAAAAAGTACCCATACTAGTGAGCAATAGGTGGTCTACGAAACTGCAGGTAAGGCCGATAAGCTGGCCTCGACATAGCACGTGGTCTCACGTCAAGAATGACCATGTGCGCAGTAGCCTTGGATGATATTCGTACCGCAAGAAGTGCAGCTGAATGTTGGGGATGCGACCAGGCAGTTTTAATGATAGATACTGATTCGGATAGCCTGGTCATAGCTTGTAAAACAGAGGCCTCCAGACTGAGCTGGCCGATTCCAGCAACAAGACCCGCCTTGTAGTGTACTGAAGCGAACGTGGCGATTCATTTCCGCTTGCTCTCCAACTTGGCTTTTCTCAGTGGCCATGTGAAACTCGGCCAACGTTGGCGATGTCTCCGCCGGCCTTGACGCGGTTGACTCTGGCGGATACAAGTAGTTGTCAAGCTGCGTTCTCTCTGGCCTCTGTGTCTCTACAGGTGCCGTCGACTCTTGGTCTACAAAACTTTCCCTCTTGTCTGCGCCATCACAGGATTCCACATAGTGATCGTCGGGTGTCCACCACAACTTTATATCGTCGCAAAAGCTTGCTGAGACCGCTCTCAACTTCAAGAAGTCGATCCGCGTAATAGGTTCCGACAGGATGACAACGTCAGGCTGGTCCTCAAACTCCAGTCCACCTCTTTGTAAGGCTGCACGACTGACGTATATCTTCAACAGCTCTACTCCGTACGTAACAAGTTGGGGAGGAACGCTTGAGCTTGATTTCGACAAGAGGTTGAGGTCTCTTCTTGATTTCGCGAGGCAGGCTCTTAAGCTTGCCTGCCCAGGCGGCTACCCTCTCGCGCGAACTAGCGGGAAAGCAGGAAATGTCGGGCCTGCCAGCACGGGAGCATTGACCTGGGCTGTTTCCCTTTGGGATAAATCGGAGCCAATGCCCAAACGTCCCGTAACAGTCATTCCAAAAGAAAGCGGTCCGTCATCTCTGGGTGAGTCTGCGCTTGTGCCAAAACCTCTGGGGCGCATGTCGGTGGCTTCCATTACGTTGTCAGGGCTATCGCTGTATTGGGAAGACACTGTATCCTGGTGTGGCCCTCTGAAATTGTCCATCTGTATCATTATCCCAGACATAGACAAGCGTCTCAAATCAGGGGGCATTGGATCCTCGCTCCAATCAGACTCCGACTCATGGCGCTGGGCGGACCACATTGATGAGGCGTCGACGCGCTCGGCGGAGATTCCTGGAGAAACTGATGCTGAATGGCAAACACGCTGGGCTCTCGTTACTTCTTGAAGGTGGTGTCTCTGCTCCATAGAATCCACAACGACGTTTGGATCATGATCGAGATCATCCGTGATTACTGAATCGTCATCTTCTTCCACAATTGTCTCGTCTGCCATCACCCATTCTTTGGTCCGGACGGTACATCGGTAGTCGGTGTCTTCCGAGCCGGCGTAGTCAGAGTCGGCCCTCGATACGTTGTCGATTCCCAACTTGATCTGCATCTCCTTCATGCGTTGGTCGATCTTGGTAACGTGACGACCTGAACTGGCGTTCATGGTCCTAGAGCTGTCAAAAACGCAATGATGTAATGACAGGCCGTGATCATACAAGTCTGTGAAGCTTATGGCCATGTTCAGCGTTGGCTTGCACGTAATCACGTCTTTTTGCAGAAGCTGAACACCCCCTTGGAATTCAGAGCGTCTTTGATGGATTCCGGCGCGCCCACCATCCCGTCGATGAACTTGCTGGTCCGCTCGATGGCACCAATGGTGGCAATGACCGCTCCGATGATGGAGATCGGGTCCGCCATGCTCATCACTTGCAGCACTACAACATGAGACATAGTCGGCGGTCAAGCAAGCCTTCGAGGCCAGGCGGCAGAGGCCATGTTTGGTTTGTGGGCTTTAAGAAGGGAGAGCACTCACACGCAGTCAAACCGTCAGTAGTCGAGGCGCCGACTGCAGAGGAAGGTCGAAAGGACGATAACAACATGGCAGCAAGTGAGAAAAGCCCAAGATGGCGCTGAGGCCGGGGGAGACTGCCTTGCCACGTCTGCAGGTGATTGTGGCGTGGTCATTCAGCCGGTTCAATTAGCCCCGAGACGAGATTAGAGGGACCAGCGTTGGCTTGACGGGCTGCATATGAGCAGGCTGTATAATGTGTGCAGGTGGCTGATTCGCAAGAGACGCCCGACTTCGCCCACTTCACTGGAGAGCAGAGGTCTACACATGTAGACTCCAGCACAGCCATTTATATAAGTGCACGACGGTGTAGCAACGAAGCAAGGCTGCTAATTGAGAAAACAGTGCCGTGAGACTGAGATCTGACTGCATCGACCCAACGCGGAGCCCGGGAACGACCTCGCCATGTCGTTGGCGACGTTGGCCGCGGGAACCATCCCATCCACCCCCTCCGGCATACACGCAATCACCACGTTGTGCTAGCGGATACACCCCAACACGGAACTGTCATGATCCTGCGGGTCTTGTCCGGTTATCATCTCATGTTCATCGTCCAACATGGCCATCGCGGTAATCATGAATAGTGAGGCTGGACATTGTGAGAGAAGTCTATAGAAGACAGGGAAGGTAGCCGCAGGAAGGATCAGGCTGAACGGGAGTGTGAGAAGTACCCAAATTTTGAAGGGTGGATAGTTCGTCTAAGATGAGAGGGCCGGCGTGCCAGCAGGACAAGGGCTGAGATGGACGATGAGGGAGAAGAGCGAAGACATTAATAGGGCCCAATCACCCCGGTGGGTAACAGGAAGAAATGTCGGTCACGCTGAGGTCGAGAGAGAATCGTTTAGGGCGCAGAGAAAGGAGGTAGAACGCTGGGCGGACTTTCATTATTACCACGCAATAGAGCAGTACAGGAGGTGCCTAACTAGGTAGTGCGAGTACATAAGAGGGGGGCCGGGTTAGGATCCCCCAGTATCCTAAACAGGTCCTATCGTCTAAAGTTAATGAAAGTTAGTGTTATGAATAAAGAGGAAGAGGAATGACCAAAGGGCTCAGGTAAGCAAAGCGGCGAGCCGGCTAATCAAAAAAGGAGGAAGGGCTGTAGTAGCCGAGTAGGAAGCGAAAGGCATAGAGCAAGTTTCACCGAGGCCGATGTGCGTCATAGTCCATCGATGTTCGCTTCGCAGACGTAAATGGTATCTCATCCTAGAACTAACAACGTCCCAACATCTACACAATTGTAATGCAAGTACCGATTTGAGGTGGAAAGATATTAGCAGATAGCGTCTGAGTCAAGGGTGGAAACGCACTCACCGCCATCGCTTCCGAAGTCAGGATCTAATCACGGCGTTGATCATGTCCAGACAGGACTAAAAAAGCGATACCAAGGCCAAGAGACAGAAAGCTCAAGATCACATATGAAGCGGACAGTGCAGAAGACCTTACAAGCGATTCAGAAGCGCTATTGCCCTGGCGTAGAGTAATGTTAACCGTCCTTTCCCGTGTCTTCGTCAGAACTTGAATGGTCAACCCGCTTCATCTTCTCATGGTGTTGTGCATCGGTAGACTCGAGTTTGTTTCCTTTCTTCGATAACGGCCACCATGATTTTGAAGGGCCGTCGCTTTCAACTGCTGTTGGGCTGCTCTGGTCCTTGGTCTTGCCTTTTGTCTCTGTCCCTGTGCCGCCGAATGGCCACCACTGTTTAGCGTCGCCTTTCCTCGTCGCCTGAAGGTCTCTCTTGGGAGATTCGGCCAGTTGCCGTTCGCAGCCCTTGATATGGCGTTCAAGCACGTCGATCATGTCTTTATTCTTCTCTCCCTCGAGCCACGACCGCGCTCTCGATAGGTGGATGGAGGAAGATCGTCCTCTATTTCTCTTCTCGCTTAGTAGTACGTCGAGGACATCGGCACGTCGGTGGAACAGCGCTGAATTGATAGGAAAATCAAGGTGAGGGATATCGCGGGCCATCTTGCTGATGACGTCGATGGGTTGGCCGCATTCCACAGCTCGTGTCAGCGGTCCGCCCATGCGGGATGTGTAGTTGTGAGTCATTTTGTTCAAGGCTCCGTGGTCCAAGAGAACGTGTATGAAAGGCGCGTTATCGGCACCCCCTTCGCAAGCTTTACTCAATAAGCTCGTCATATGGTCTTCGTACTCAAAAAAGGAAATTTCAGGTGTGTGCGAGCAGACCAGTTTGAGCAGACCAGGATCCAGAGGCGGCTCCAGAAGTGCGCCGGGAATTGCACCGTCGCCAAGTTCGACTTCCGGGTAGACTGAATACAGGTATCGAACAATCGGCTGTTGTCCATGAGAAATGGCTGCGGCGAACAAGTTGCTCGTTGTCGGTGCACTCCCTGGTGTTCTTTCGTAGTATCGAATGGCAGGGCTACCATGCTTGATGCCGTGCTCATTGAACAGTATCTGTAGCTCATCCAGTCGACCGGCACAGCAGGCTTTCAGCGTTGCTTCCTGCCACTGGTCAGGAGGACGCTGTCTCGGACTCGGCCATTCTGAAAATGTGTGGTGTAGGTTTCAGAAATGACAGAAGTTAACAGAATTTCCGTACAAAGTCGATGAGGCTGGACTGTTATATGAAGGGGAAGCTTTTGACTAGCATGGTATGCTTACATCGAGCATCGCAGTCAGAGGGGACATTATTGACGGCGCCTAGTTTGGTGGCGGAGCGCTCTCTCGAGACCCACGAATACGCGCTGGCCCCTGTACGGAGAACGTAGTTTTGTTCACCATGTATGAATTGTTGGACTGGTTTAGGTCTTTTGTGGTTGCCTGGTGGCACGAACGACTGCTTGTAACCAGGAGGCCGCTGACGCTGGGCGTCTATCTAGGCTCTACTGCCGACCTACTTGCCGGCGGCACAGATGGTCACATGAAGTCACATGATGTTGTCAAGCCTTGGTTTTCTGCTAATTTCGACCTCTTCAACTGTCAAACTGGGTGCAACTCGAGATATATTGAATGCTCTGGGCTCTCCAAATGAGTATGGGATAGAGCCCATCTATATATCTATCTACGAGGTGTATGTTGGCGCTGTTGCCTGTCAATGGTGTTGCACGCCAGGAGGTTTGCCATGAACAATAGGCTATCGTTTGTTCAACATCAACTCACAGTCCAACATTTCGCGTCCCTGCAGTTGTCTGTCACTTTCTATACTGAAGTGGATTCGTATAATTCTCGCCTGGGTCTTGACAATCGGCCCAGTCTTTTGACCTCGAGATGTGCGGCATGTTTTTCGGCTTCGGATCCTTGGCTGACAGGACAGTGGTTGTTTCGTTGAGCCTCACAGCTCAAACGCTTGACCTTACGATGTCAGGCTGGGGAATCTGCCTCGCCGGCGCTATGTCACTTTGGTGTTAAGCGCTTCATTGTACCGAGACTACGGAGGCCGCGCTGCTCTGTCAGCGAAAATCCAATGTGACGTCTGAAGATACAGTATATGAAAACCTTCCGGAGGACCATTTCCGTTTGCTCCAAATCCATGGCAAAGTTGACGGGAAATTGTATTGCAGCCTGAGGGTTTTCTCTATGAATGACGTACCAAAGTTCCGCGCTCTATCCTACACATGGGGTCCGTCCGTACGTACCAGGCGGGTATGAAGCCTCTGAATCTAACGATGGCGTACACGCAATCATTGTGAACGGACAAACGGTTGAAGTTCGTCAGAACTTGTTTGATTTTCTCGATGAAGCGCATAGTCGGAATGGACGGATACACTTCCGGGTTGATACTTTCCACATTTGATCCCGCCAACGATAACGAGACCGCTAACGGAATCGAGCATGACATATTCGAATCACACATTGAAAGACTTATGAACTGGGACAGTCACATCTACTACTGGATCGATGCACTATGTATCAACCAATGGGACGAAGAGGAGAAGGCCGAACAAGTCAATCTGATGGGAAGCATCTATGAGGCCGCAGAGGTTGTGATATTGTGGCTAGGTAAAGCCGACAAATGCACTTCGGACGTCATTGGAATGATTGACCGCCTGGCCAAGGTGCACGACGAGGGCTGCGAGACAAGATATGACTTGCAATCGCCAACTGCGCTTGACACATTATTGAATCCGGAACAGCGACGCCATCTAGGATTCCAGCGCTTTACCCTGCAAAACTGGGTTGACCTCATCCTCTTCTTCGAACGGACGTGGTTCACCAGGGCCTGGACACTACAAGAAGTGGCGCTGGCTCAGTGCGCAGCTTGTTATTGCGGTTCTTACAATATAAGTTGGGGTGCGATCCCATTCGGCATCACTAATGATGGAGCTCACACCCCTCGCACCTATGCTGAAGTTTTTGTCTCTCCAACTCAACATCAAACGAACCAAAGCTCTTTCTCATGCTCGCCTGGCAATGCTGATGAGAGACCTTGCCTTTGGAAATGCAGATGAGTCCGAACCATCCGGAGTGTTCAATCCATGCGATCAGATCTTTGCATGCCTTGGCATCGTCAGGAAGGCCGCCGCAAACGTAAAAGGAGCTCCTCTTGGAATAATACCCAATTATCGAAAACCTATCATGGACGTCTACACCGAAGCAATGACTTATATCTTGACTGGCACTGGGACACTATCGCCGCTCTCGAGAGTTCAACATTCTGCGGAATCGAAAGGAATTGGTCTTCCGTCATGGGTTGCAGACATGAGTGCGGCTCGGAGCACAAGACTGCGAATCTCTAAGGGCTTCATTATCAGCGGATATACTCTCACGGTCCATCTTTACAGACATGCGGCTGTAACGCATGTTGGCGATTCGCGGGACGAGATGTGCGAGTCTAATACCTTGGATAAGACGGCCCAATTGGCTCTGGCTCGCTCCGAGTTGACCTCTGCGCAGGGTTTACTGATTGACGATGTTTGGAAGACGATGTTGTGTGACGTTCTATCTCCACGTCACCGGCGGTATTCAGATAACGATCTGCGGTCTGGTTTGACCTGGTTCCTTAAGTGTATGTGCTACGGGCTCAGCTCTCAGGTGAGCGGACCGAATCACGCCAACGATATCCGCTCTAGGACTAAATGGCTAGAGCTGCTGGCAGAGAGGGATGACACGGGCACCATCCTTTCTCCAAAAGCGGTCATCGCTTCGTTTCGAGAGTCGGATCGCGAACGAGGATCACAGCGGGCAGAAGCACTCATATTCGAGCAGTTGTTTGACCGCAGCATGTCTGGTCGGCGATTGTTCCTTCTCGATACCGGAGAGATCGGTGTCGGTAGTGACGATATCCAGCTAGGCGATACGCTATGTATTATTGCGGATGGCGCGAGGACGCCGTTCGTGCTTAGAAAGGCGTCTTCCGCAACAATCAACACCTGGACATTAGTTGGTGAAAGCATACGTACGTGGGATCACGTATGGCGAGGCAGTTGATCGCGTGGAAAGGAATGGTGAATCTTGGGAAGAAGCTTGTATTCTTTGAAAGGGAGGAGGGAGGCTGTGCGTGTACTTCCCCCATAGCACGAGAATGGTTGAGCAAGAGACTGCCTATGGGCCTTTTGGAGCACTCATTGTTCATCATCAGTTACCTGCCTCGTGGAGCTAAGCTCGGTAATCCACAGATTTGCACACTGCTCGTTTACTTACACTTCAGAGTAGGCGTCGAACATAGGAACAGTTTACCTTCAAGATGATTAAAGAATAGGAGCATGAGAGGAGGAGAGGGTAGCAAGGGAACTCCCCAAAGTTGAAGAGTTGTGGCTGAATCTCGCCCTGCTCTCTCCAGCTGGGGTGGGAGCGTCCGCCCAAGCCGTGGTCAGGATTGCACAGCCACATCTCAATTGCTCAGTTACTTAGGGGCTCAGGATAAACTGGCGGATGCTCAGGTCAAGATCCGTATAGGAATTGTTTATAAAGTTGACATTCCTAGGTGCAAATAGGGTCACCGTATCGAACTCTCAATCTCCTTTTTAGAGAGGTGATAATTGGTTTAGGCATAGTGGAACCTAATCTGGCTCCTTTTGCCTGACTGCCCGTGTATCGCTGAACTTACCAAGTCCGAAGTACTTCTCCAGTCTACCAGTTTGCCCTGTCCCTCCGCTTCATCCAACCTCTACCAAAGACTTCATCGTTCCCTTATTCACATTAATTACTCTGGCTAGTCGCACAGCATCCTGGCCTCCTCGACTTGGCCCAGACGGTGGACTACTGCCGCGCTCGACTTCGCATACCAGCCCTAACATCTGTCTGTCTGTCGACTCATAGATCCAAGGCCTCGCTTCAGCCGATCTCGACCGCTTCCAATATCCTCTCCTACTGCTTCGCTTGTCGATCTTCTTCTCCTACCACTCATTCGATGCTTGTGCTCGACATCCTGGCGCACGCGATCTCTGCGCTTTAAAGAGGGGGAGGACCTGCCTAACGCATCCTTCTTCAGCCCTGTTCTCAGGTGCTACGACCCAGCTTCCAGAAGTATGATCTATGTAGACTGATCACAGCGGATTTAATCCACTTCACACTTCTTTCAATCTCCCGGCTACCGACGTTCATGTTGAATCACTGCGGGAGTCTCTATACCTTCCATTCCCCCCGCTCCCATTCCGACTCGAATAACGACCGAGATGATTTCTGACGAACATTACGACCTTTGTCGTCCCATCCTGGACGATGCCACCATAGAGGAAGAGGATAAAACTGAACGTTTGGAGGATCTGCTTCGGAAAGACGGAAGACTGCGCGGCGCTGCTTTGGAAAATGCGGTTCTAGATGCACTGTGGAAACATCGAAATGCTCAACGTGGAGAGACATCTGAGACGCCCTTGCGACATCATGTCATTCGCAAGTCATCTCCAGCGCCCTGGCAGGTCAACAGAGCTCCCACACCCTTGGGGTCCCCTCCGCCACTTTCTTCCAGCCCTGCCCTTTCAGTGGGATTTCCAGCTTCGCGCCCCAGCTTTTCCCGGCAGAAGTCCAGCGTACAATCTCCCTTTGCCTCTCCTCGGCCTTCACCCCATCTTGGTTTAGCACAACCCATTCCCCACAGCCCGAGCTTGAATGCGTATGAATTCTCCGATGCTAGCCCGGCTCCAGACATCTACGGCGATTATGGTCACGAGAATGTGGACTGGCTTTTGGCCGACGAAACTACAAGCAATGCCTCTTCCACAGTTACTGGTGCCCTAAGTGCTGCAGCTCCTGAATGGGTTCCTCAACCGGACATGAGTCCGTACGATATTCTCCGCTCCGTCCTGGGCGATCGAAAGACAGATGATGAAATTGAGGAAGCACTTAACAAGCACTCATATGACTTGGGGGCCACCATTGCGTCTTTACTCGGAACGGATACGGCCGATGCTCAATACACTGCAGTCCCAAGTAATGAAGCAAATGTTCTGGTCGGCAAGTCCATGGCCGTCAACCAAATCCGGCCCTCGACGCCTGGTACGGCAAAGAGTCCTATTGTTTGCAAATACTGGCTAGCTTCGGGCTCATGTCTCCGTGCTGACTGCCGATTTGCACATGATATTAGCGGTTACCTCTGCAAGTGAGTCGTTTTCCCCTTTCCCTTTTTCCTTTCGCGAACATCGCGACCACTCACCCATGCATTCTAGATATTGGATGAACGGAAATTGTTTGGCCGGCGACGCTTGTCAATTTTCACATGATCCGGCACTTTTGATCAATCACCTTCACACGGGGGAAAGCAACCCTCCCCAGACCTTTCAGCTCCAAGACCAGTACGATCAATTTCCCTCTCTATCGAGCCACAATGTAAGGAGCACACTCCAAGCTGGTTTGGTAGCAGGGAACACGTTCATCCCCACCAGTCAGAAGGGAAGAGCAGCTCTGGGCAGCATTGGCCCGGGTTCTAGACCTCACTCGAGACCTAACTCGCGTCATCAGAATCGACCGGAGACACCATCATCACTAGCTATGGATGATCCCGAAGCATTTCCAAGTTTGGGCTCTCTTGGTACAAAGCGAGGAGCCAAACATCACGGTCATCGATCTAGGCATGGCCACGGAAGCATGGAAAAGGAAACGTCTTCTTCTCTTGCTGACCTTGTTCGCATGTCACCATCTCCGGCACCCGGACAGGCACGAAAGGTCGAGACTAGTCGCAAGATCAGAACTTACGGAGGATCTGAGAGTGCAGCGGCACGAAAAATCCCAGAGCCTCAACACATTCCCTGGCTGGAGACTGGTTCTCGCGCCAATCAACAGTATCTGAAGTACAGGCAAGAAGCTATCAAGCATGGCAGCATACGCAATAAATTCTTGCAAAGGTGAGATTTTGAATCGAATACAATGGCGTCTTTCATCACTGACCATACCAAAGCGCCGCGCAAGCATGGAACCGTAACGATGCTCGTGCAGCGAAGGCGCTCTCATTACGTGGGCAGGCCGAGAACGACGCAATGAGAAAGGCACACCGAGAAGCAGCAAAAGCACTGTATGACGAACGAAACAAACACCTCTCGACAATGCCGACCGATGACGACGAAGAACTCTATATTGATCTCCACGGTCTCCATCCAGAAGAGGCAATCGAATACCTGGAAAATATTCTCCTCACACACGCGAAACGGGGCCGGAGGATCATTTATGCCATCACAGGAACTGGACATCACAGCAAAAACGGCAAAGACAAAGTCGGCAAAGGCGTACGCAACTGGCTGAATGAATGGGGATATATCTTTCGCGAGTTCAGCGTTCCGGGTGAGAGAGGAGGATACATTGGTGGTGTACTAGGAATTGATATCACGAGTCATAGACGACAGCCCATCTCGGCGGAGGCAGGCTCGAAAACCGAGGAAGAGGAGACTTCTCCCACGCCGGCTGTCGCAACCGCGGTGAGTTCGAAGATACAAGTGCTGAAACGTGAGGAGGTGCCCGTTTGAGAAATGATCGGAAGGGAATATGAATGGGACTTCTGTGCTTCAAGCGACAATGATCCAGGCACAGGCTGAAATGTGTGGCAGGTAAAATTCCCTCCACGGTCGATACGAAGATATCATCTCCTCTGGGAACTGTTGGTAGCACTTGGGGCAGGGTTGGTTCCATAATTCGGACCTGATACGAGTAAATAAGAAAATTCTGTTCCTCGTGGCATGTCCTCTGATTCACACGACTTTTTCCTGTGTTCAATATCATATCGTCACTCAATGTTGAGTCAGTTCCTTCCAATCCTTTCCCGCTTCATACATGGTGTCTAACGCCATTGCACACCAAACATCTTGCCAACTTTCCCCTTGACGCCTCTCTCCGCATCTTTATTCTCTAGAAACACCGTCTCTTGTCCCTTAACAGTCAAACTCAAAAGTTCATATTCCAATCGATCCCCATCTCTTGGTCGGGTCATATGCACCGCCACGACTCCCTTCCCTTCGGGTCCCTCGACATTGAAATGCATGCGAAAATGCGTGGTGCCGAACTTGTCGACTTCGGTACTATGCGCCAACGGTCTTGCGCGGGCCCACTTGTTCGACGTTGGTTCACCGTACGCTTTAATCTGGGACGAAGGGCCGAGTAGTGCGCGGCACTCGGGAGAGGACTTGATGCGTTTCACTGCTGCGTTGAATTGGATCGTGGAGCTGTCGGGAGCGAAGAGTTCGGTATACAAAAGGTAAGAGACGGTGACCTGATGGGCCGGCCGGGTTAGCATTTTATGTATCTTCGTTCTTGAGGGCAATTATGCCGCTCACCGTTCCAACTAAGCCCAGCGAGACGAGCAGGAAGTTGAACGTCTGCTGAGTCCCCCGCGCAGCTTTCTCCCCCATGCTCAATTCTGACCAGTTGTAGCGCCCGTCATCGCTGGTTACGGTAATGGCTCGTCGGTTCGGGCCCGAGCTTGTGCTGGCATAGCGGGCTGCTTTGCGCGCTCGACGGCAGCTGGCCGGTCTATTGAAGATACGAGAGTCGTTAATGAGACGGACCTTGGTGTTGGAAGAAAAAGATCGCGCAGCTATGAAGGAAAGAATGGGAGAAGCGGTTATTGAAGTGGGAGAAATTGGGAATTTATCCAGTCGTGTGCCGGCTTGAATGTGACTGCGGCATCCGAGTTGGAAGGTGCGAGCTTTGCTGGACATGATATAATGTATTCTCTCAAAGTGCTTGTTCTCTTTTTTTTTTTTTTGTTTCGCGAGGATTGCATCAACTCTCCAATCGCATCAACACGACATAGAGGGAAATCTGCTGCTGAATCAGGCAGTTGGTGCCGCCACTTTCTGGAGGTGGGTCTTTCTCAATGCTAAGAATGCCCGACCGGTTCACAACGAGTACACCTCTCTTGTCCTGCTGTATGCCGTACACAAATGTACGAGCAATGCCGACAACAGTAATAGAAGCAATTGGACAGGACCTCTTCCATTAAGTCCTCGATATCATCGTCGAGACTGTCAGGACGGGAGAAGCGCCAGTGAACGCCCTCAATATCGGTAGACATTCCAGCCAATGAAAACTACGCTCTCCGATTGTTATTGGCCTAATCCCTCAGGTTTACCCCATGCGAAGCTCAGCTTCACAAATTCGGTGTTCATACTTTAGGCTCGGCCTTACTCGCATATGAAGACTTTGTGAAGATTTGCAAACTCGAGCTCAGAATTAGGGTCATTCATAACACAGCTGAAGAAACCTTGGTTCCATATCTACCTCGATGTCTTGCAGCTTTGCCATAATATGTGTTCCCTATTGTGAAAAGGTATAGTAAAAATTCTTGTACAGCCATTTCTCCGGCCACACTAAGCTGATGCCAATTCTCCAGGCCCGAAGATCGATGCCAATTCCATAAGCCGCCTGATCTGGCAACCGTTTGACCGTCAGTTCGAGGACTTGTTAAGAAGGCTTGAGAAGCATAAGATTCTTTTCCACTACGAGGTTTCCACGGCCTCAACGCAGGAGGCAATCAGTTTTATATGAAATATGGAGCGAACATACACGAAACCGAGAAGCTGCATCTCTCAGACGAATATTATGAGGCCAGAAGAACGATGTCATTGAGTCAGTTCCTGCTGAATTGTCGCTGCTTGTGTACATACTGACTCATAGGTTCCAGATGAACGAACGAAAGGAGTCCAAAATGGATCAATCCTCCCCCAATGACCAGATAAGTTTGAGCAGGGCTAAATCAAAGAACCTCTGGTCTTCATGACTGCATTGTGGACAGTCGAGTGTATAAGCCGTGGCAATGCAAAATGAATGATGCGGCGGCAAGTTTTAGAACTAGAACTTTGTCCATTCAAGGTACGAAACCTCCCCCACCAAAGTTTTGCCCCTCCTTTTGGACAAGGACATTGACAGTGGCGCAACAGAACCGGGATATGGCAAGACAGCTTTGTACGCCGCCATTGTCGAAAGCCTAATGCCAGGAGAGATGAAGTTGAGCCTGGCACAGAGAATCCTCACAACACCATCGTCTTCTTCTTTGGCAGCCGGTGGCGGTTCTCTAGCAGGCCTTCAGACGCTTCTAGAGCATTGCTGGCCATAACGAACAAGGCTGTCGATATTGCGTCTGTTAGTCTTGGCGAAAAATGCAACGGGCCAATCAGGCGCAACATACAACGAGATTTTTGCGGTTCTGAGCATGTTTCTCAAATAACTTGATCGTGTATTCCTGATTTTGGATGACCTTGATGAGTACTCGGATTGTCTGAGCCTCTTAAACGGCTTGAGGATGCTGCATCCAAGACCCCCAGCTGCGGAGCTTTGTCGTTCAGCCGACCAACCATCCGATTGCCTGCACCCGTGGACACACAATGCTTACACGCCCATTGGACACGCTCACAAAAACATACAAGATATTGTGAAACCCCTGCGATCAAGGGCTGAGGAACTGGTCTCGGTAGGGTTCTTACCCAGGGAGCACCTTGTCAACAGCACAATGAAGAAGATATCTCGGTGAGCAAATGGCATGTCCCTCCGGGTCAGGCTACCCATTGACCATTTGCAACTGTCCTCATTGACCGCGAGGGAGGGAATAGATGCCATTGGCAACATCGATCGTCTCGAAAGCTTGGATGCCCTCTACAGTGCAATCTTGGAGGCCATAAAAAGCCAATTTCCTGGAAGATCTCGACAAAATGTGGTGCGGATATTCAATGGCTGGAATACGCACTTTGATCTCTCCACATTAACGAAATTCGGGCAGCAATTTCCGTGCCTTCTGACAGGGTTTAACCGCACGTCTTTATCGCCAGTTCGCCAGTCGGTCCATTGCTGCCACTCGCCTGTTATATCTTTGTCACCCTGTTCCGGCCGAACCTCTGGGACGCTCCTCCTCAGGGAGCCGAACAGCTAGGCCGCTTCAATCCACGCGGTGATTTTCTCTCGATTGTAGAGATACCAGATTGACAAGTTGCTGCCAAGAGACCTTCATCAGCGTTTCATGTTGCTCAGTTCCAGTCTCTTGGAGCGAATTCACCAGATGGCCGGACCAGGATTGCGCAGAGTATCTCAAGAGCGGAAATCTCTGCTCCGTGACGTCGGCATTAGGACTCGTCTTCCACCTGAAAACTGGATTATAACCTCAAACATGACCGGCCCCGCGAACAGTTCATTCAAGCTACTTTCCGAGTTATTTAAAGGTTTCAGCCTCCTCTCGGATGATCTGGCAATGCTGAAAGAGTCCTGGGCGTATCTACTCGAATCCGAGCCAAACGAAATCTGGGAACCTAGCATCCCGGCGTTTGCTAAATCTCGTCTCTGGATAGCAACACCTCCATGCTCGATTGATCCGTTTAGCTCTTCTCAATTTCAAATTGACTCGATGTATCACGGCGCCATCCCAAGTTTTGAACACGGGTGTTGAGGTCGGTATGGTCAAACTAATCCCCCCGGAGTGAGTGCTATTTCATTATCACCGTGCAAGCTTCAACTATCGAGCACAATGAAGAATCTAGATCATCAGATCGCGTCGCTTCTTGTGTCCATCAGTCATGATCTTCGTCGCGTGGTGATCTTGGATGTTATAATTAAGGTCTCTATACCACATCTTTCGAGGGCCGAAGTAGCCTGCCGCTCTAACACCGGGATCATATCTCCAAATCATCATGTGTTTCCGGTCCTTTCAGATACCACCTCAGCAAACTCCTCGAAGTTTTATTGGTCCGCGAACTGGTTTCTCGGCTCAACGCGAACAAAACCTCGACCTCACCGCCCGTGACTATAACAATCGTCAACCCGGGTCTATGCGTATCCTCGCTCGACCGAGACTCGATTCTCATCTTGCGAATCATCGGGTACATCCTGCGCTACTTGCTTGGACGATCTCCTGAAGTCGGAGCCCGGACGCTCGTGTATGGGGCATGCGCGGGCCCGGATTCACATGGCGAATTCATGTCAGATGGACAGAACCAGGGCGTTGAGCAATGGATTTACTCTGACATGGGCAAGAAAGTGCAGAAGAAGCTGTTTGAACAGACGATGAAGGTCCTGGAGGCGAGAAAGCAGGAAATTGGAAAGAAAGTTGGCCTTGGATGAATAAGGATGAATCTGCAGGGGTTTCGACCCAAACTTGATCGTCTGAAGATCGCCAAGTCGATTTGTCCCGATTCACGACGACATGAGAATATTCAAATAAGTTTCGGATTTGGATCGATCTTTCTCACTGTTTGCTCTCTCCCTTCGCGTCAAGGCCTCCCGGTAAGGACAGTAACGCCACCATCATCGTGGGCAAGCAAGGAGATGTTGGGCATTGCTCACGCTTCTCCCTTCGAATTGCACGGCCGATTCCAGTTTTCTGGCCTGTCTTTGTCTTCTGAAGAGGTACACGCATTTCACTCCACGTGCTCTCACTTCTCCTTCCCCTTTTAGAATATTGGGCAACCCTTGACTTTTCATCAAAGGAATACAGCTTCGGATCTCTGTCTTGTCCGTCTGCCACGTTCGAGAAACTTGAACACGGATTCAACAGCCATGCGAAAGAATCTCAGCTCAGCCGTATGTCGGGCTTTCCACTCCACTTTCTTCACTCTCCCCATGTGGCTGAGACAGATCACGAGTGGTCACCCGAACTTTTTGGGCTGTGAACAGTGTCTGAGTGGTGGCCAATTGCCCTGTCGCTTGCCGTGTCTAGAGCTTCATGGTTCTTCAGGCCACCCAGTCGACTCGCGAAGAGCTACTCTTCTCTCTCAAGGGCGTTACACTTCCTTCAACAACTCTTCAAGGGTCTTGATTCCTCGACAACTATCAAATCATGAGTAGTTCGCCGAGACCCGAGACCGAGACCCGAGACCTCAACAAACGAGCCTCAGGCCGATCGCACCCAATGAGAACGGCGGTTAATCAGACCTCGTCTCTTCCACCATGTAACCTATGTTGGTACCGGACGGTTTTCTCTCAAGGCGCCAGCAAACGAGCCCAACAGGATCGCTCTGAACCCTTCAATGACGAAAAGAGGTCAATAATTCTCCAAATTTCACGAGGGGCAAATAATTCCATAATCAAGGGACAACAAGTGCTTACTCCTTTCGTCCAAAGAACCTGACCATGATGTGTCACTGTATTGCTATGTTCTTTTTTCTCACCAGGGCGCGGCTAGCTTCAGCCCTCGGCCGTTCCTATAAAGAAAAGGACCCCTATACTTTTGCATCATGGTATCCTCAGATCTTGAAAAGCTAAAGGAGACAAATGCCCCACCATGTCACGCAGAATTGACCAATTTCCGGAGCCAGGCCCCTCCCAACGGCGCGTCAAGCTTGTTGTGGCAAGTGTTAGCCGGTGCGTACCAACTTTTCCCTTCCTATGAGGTCGACATCAATGCCAAAGCTGATCTGACTGACGTTTTCCCCATAATCCGCGGGATTATATGTGCAGAACTGGCACATTAGGCCTATACCAAGCACTCCAGATTCTAGGCTACAAGGTGTATCACATGGGCGAATTGGTGCTTGTCGGAGGGGTTCCGCACATGGAAATCCTCGACGAAGGCGTCCGGGCCCAATTCAATCGCTTCTCAGGAATCTTGCGCTACGACAAGGCAGAATTCGACAAATGGTTCGCCGACTACGATGTCCTGATCGAAATCCCAAGCTTCTTCGGCCTCGAGATGCTCGAAGCATATCTTGCCGACCCCGAGGTGAAATTCCTCCTTACGGAACGCTCCCCGGACAGCTGGGTGAAGTCGTTTAACAATTTCGTCGGCGTCAATGTCCAGGACTGCGAGTCGCCGCCCTTGAGTATCCTCCGTTACTTCAACAAGACGCTCCGGTACTTCTACCGGGTCAACCGGGTCATATATTCTACTTTCAGCGAGAATACACGGATTGGCGACCAGCGGAACGAAGAGTATCTGCGACAGAATTACGTCCGATATATCGAACGGGTCAAGAAGATTATCCCGCCGGAACGACTGTATGTGCTGCGTCTAGAGGACGGCCTTGGGTGGAATGAGATCTGCCCGTACTTGGGCAAGCCGATTCCGGATGTCAAATATCCTCAGGGCCAGGAACATGCGGACCTGAAGGCAAGGCTCCTCGCGCCTTTGATACGGGATGCCGTGATGAAAATTGGGCTCTTGACGGCTCCGGCTGTGGGTGTTGGGGCTTGGTTTGCATGGAAACGATTTGGACGATGAGAAATTGAGGAGCAGAGAGGCCGTGAACATGATCGACATCCTCGTACCCGGCTTTAGAGGTATTTCTGCTTTAGTGATGATACTCTTCACTCTTGGATAGAGGAAATAAGAGATGACTTGCATTATATAAATAACGCAACTGAGTAGATCGAGAACCGCCGTGGTTCAGGCGATGGTGGCTGAGAGATAGACGGCTCCTGACAGTGCTAGTCGGGCTGGGAGCGGACTTGAGTGGGTGACCTCATTAGCCTGCGCGACGAATCTGCCCCGTTGTTTCTCTGCTATATCTCAAGTGTTGCGATCGGGTTTCTCGAGGTTGTTGCATGTAATTTTTTCCTCAGACCGGTTATTTTGATAAAGTCTCAGGACCAGGATTATCCCAAATAATTACGTCGTCTTCCACCAAACCGAAGAAGCACGACATTGCCATTCCAGAACTCTCTCCAGAGTTATCAAAGAGCATACATCTCTCGTGTGAGAAACGGTGTAGTCACATGTAACACTTTCGGGACTTTTCAGCATGAATTGACTCCACAAGCCCACGCTACGGAACCTTGTAAGCCCGTTATTTATTAGGACAGGATTTTACGAGTTTGAAAAAGGAATAAAATAGAATTTTGACGACGATACATTGCCGGGTTCTCTCCTTGCTTTCGGCAATCATATCTCTGTTCTTCCTCCAGATCAAAATGACGACTCGTTGTATCACCTCATGCGTCTTTCCACCGCTCTCATTTAGATCTGTAGCCTTGGGTTGTATTCCTCCCACCTCCACGATGGTGGAGCTCTTGCTGATCTCACTTTCTAACCTCTTTTATCAACTTCCAATATATCCATCTACGCTGAACCCATCTATTCTCATTCTCTCCGCCAACCCACCCCCGCCCCCTCCCCCACACACATATATCTCTTCACTTCATTTATCCCCGTCTATTCATCGAGCTACGACTCCTTCTTCTCATGCCCACTTCGGGCTTCTGCATCTCGCTGTGACTCGTCCTCCTCCTGACAGGCGCAGAGGCAGTGCCACTCCCGCCTGCACTGACGGCGATGACACCATCGCTCTTTCCAGCCGCTACTGCACTCTCCAACTCATAACTTTCGCCTCTCTCCAAACTGTCATCAACGGCAACGGTGTCGTCATTCTCATTCGGCGCCGTGAGGTCCGGGGAACTCGGCTCGCTCTCTCCATACGCGCCACCGACAGATTCCATGACAAATGCCCCTGCAGTCGGTGCGTCCAGAGCCTTCAGCTCTTCGTCCCGGAACCACTTCGGCATCACCCATGTACGTAGAGGGATGAGCAAGAGGATGATCACAGGGAAACCAATAGCCGCGATGGTCTGAGAGATGGCGAAGGTAGCGCCAAAGCCGATCAATTCCAGGGCCACAAATACCCAGATTGCGAGGCGCCGCTCGATTCGTGCCAGTGGATCACTTGCATCGGTCAATTCCTGGTCACGGGCCAGGAAGAGCATTTTCTGGGTGATTCCATTTCCCACGAGGGCTTGGGCACCCATGACGAAGAACAAGCCGGCCAGCACGCCCTGCGGGATTAGATGCAAAACCACCAGGAGTGGTCCCGTCATGGTGACCAGGAACAAAAGACCTTGCGCGAGATTGCTGAAACGCTGTTCGACGACATGGTCCGTGACGCGGACGATGTGTCCTCGTGCTTTCTCGTCAACCACTTGGCGTGTCACGCAGAGAGAGTTGGTGTGGAAAGGCGCTTGGGGAATGAGGCCGTTCGGGAAAGGAATTCCCAAGAGCCCCGCGATGCCCGTGGTCAGGCCAAGAAGAAAGATATCCCAGTGAAAACCAGGAGGTTTGCGCAGGGGAAATTCCGTGCCTTGGGCGATAAGCGAGGAGACTGGAGACGTTAGATCTGTGAAGAGGCCTTTCGGGATCATGGAGCGACATACCATTATGATCGAACCAGAACAAGACCGTCAACAAGACCGCGAAAGGAATGGCAAGGAAGACATCTCCAACGTCGATATCCCAGAAATGCACGAACCACCCTCGATCAGCAGTGGGAAAGAAAGCCTTGCTGGTCGGCAAGGTTTCGACGTGCACATCTTTCATGTGGCCAATATGAACGAAACCGGTGAAGAAGACAATAGTCAAAGGTGTTCCGTAGTCTTCGATAAACTTCCTCACATGTCGCTGTAGCAAGTTGCTTTCACCAAGCACGCCACAGCCATAGGCGAAGCCCAACACCAACAAGCTCACCATGATGGAGAGATAGGCACTCTCGGCACCGGCCAGGCCCCACTGTCTGGTCAAGACCTGGATCCCCTTCTGCAGATAGATGAAAGCGACGTAGAAGCCAAAAGTATCACAGCTGAAGCGCGTGACGTAAGTCAGGGCGTTGCAACTATTGGTGATGGCGAGGATCCAATGCATGAGGAGTGCCCAGATGCCGATCCAGGCCATGAAGGAGAAGTAATTTGTTCCTCGGGGCACGACGATATCGTAGACCGTGTAGGAGAAGACCGTGATGGGCCCTGTGACACCGACGATGACGAGTGGTTGAGCCGCGAAGACGGAGAAGACCACACAGCCTAGCACCGAGGCCAGCAGGACTTCGTTGACGCCGTACGAGTTGTGGGTTTTGGTGAACATGTCGAGCGAGAAGGCCAATGCTGGGAGGATACTGGAGAGGTGATTAGTACTTGAGACTGGTTCTTTCACGATGGGCGTGGGGGTTTCGGAGGAGATCACTGGAACAGAAATCAAGACAAAGTTTCGGTAGGTAAGTCCGTTGGACGATGGAAAATGCGATCAATAGATATAGATATTGGCTGGCATACTTGGCAAAGTACATATAAACCGTGGCGGGGATGACTCTATAATCCCAAGCATCCTTCCAATCGCTCCAATAGTAGGGAGCCCGTCTCTTGATATCGTCAAACATGCCCTGGAACCAACGAATCTTGTACCATTTTGGGGTGCGGCGATGGGAGGATCTGGTCGTCTGACGCGAGATGTGCTGCGAGAGGCGTTGAATTTCGTCTGGGTCAGGTCGCGAATGAGTCGAATGAAAGGACGGCCGGCCCGAGTGTTGCCATGGCTTCTTCTGCGTCGAGTGAGAAGAGGAGCCTCGTCGGATGAGGGCGGGCACGGTGCGAGAGGCAGTGGGAGAGATGGTTTCGGTTTGGGTGGCCATGTCGTCGGCGATGTTTCAGCTCACGATATCTATGGGCTCCAATATAGATGGAGAATCAATTAGGGTCAGAATGGAAAGACAGAAAAGAAATGCACCGATCGAAATAGAGAGAGAGAAAAGAATATGGCCATGCCTTGAGAGCGTCAGATATGACCTTGTAGCGGCCTCAGCAAAAGCCTCAAATTGTTGAGGATGGCACAAGGTGAAAATTGAAAATGGCGGTGGATCAGCTTATAGGGGAAGAAAGGGGGGGAAGCCGCATGAGGGGCGGTGAGACTCAGACTTTTCACGGAAAATAGTTGATCCGGCACTAAACCCCGCACCTAAGAAAAGGGCATGACTGACGACAATCACATGACGTCACATGACGCTGGATCCCGTGATCTTCATCGTCGATATGGCTTCCCCCTTTTTCTCTCACTATCGGACGCCTCGCCGACCACAACTAGGGGCCGTGGAAGGATATTCCACGGGGGGTAAAAGCGTCGCTTCCATATTTTGGCGCTTAGCCCTCCAACCCCCAGGGGTCACTACGATCGAGATTGCCAAGACTTCGAGGTCATGTGATGTGACGGGGGGCACGTCACGTATTTGGCCTTTTTGAAGTCACGTGAGCAAAATTGAACCCTCGACAAATTCTCGCGGGCGCAGGGGGGTCGGAGTCTAAAAAAAGCTTCGCTCCACGCTACGCTTTAATAAGCAGCTTAGCAAGCAAGGCCATCTAGACATTCTAGAGCAGGGCCTTGCATGTTCGCTGGACATAATACTAGGCCAATGGTTCTGTCTTTGATTTCTAATGTCTTCAATCAAGACTCCCCAAGCTCCAACCATTTTCTGACTGCTGGAGATGCGAGTCTCCGCAGTTTACCCTAATGTGACATCCTCGACAGCAATGATGTCACGGATAAAGGAGTGAACAGCCACAGCCGTATCGATTCTATATCGTCAATTCACTTTTTGCTTGTTGCTGCTGCTTACCCGGTTTCCCCAGATATAAGTCCCACATGTCCATCGCCCGAAGGCCTTTGGTTCACATGTCCAATCGTCTCAGGCAACAAGCCCAGCATATGACCACATCAACTGCTAGGACCAGCAATATGTCAGAACCACAACGACCCAACATCACTCTATACACGGACGCAACGCCGAATGGGATCAAGATATCGATTGCTCTCGAAGAACTCGGCATCCCATACAAGGTCGAGCACATCGACATCTCGACCAACCGACAAAAAGAGCCGTGGTTTCTCGAGATCAACCCCAACGGCCGCATCCCCGCGATCACCGACACGTTCTCTGACGGCAAACATATCCGTCTTTTCGAATCAGGCAGTATTTTTCAGTATCTTGCCGAACAATACGACAAAGACCACCGGATCAGCTACCCAAAGGGTTCTCGCGAGCACTATGAAGTGAACAACTGGTTATTTTTCCAAAACGCCGGCCTGGGCCCCATGCAAGGCCAAGCAAACCATTTTGTCCGGTACGCGCCAGAGAAGATCCAGTACGGCATGGACAGGTACGTGAACGAGACGCGACGCTTGTATGGGGTACTGGACAAGCACTTGCAAAGCTCGAAGTCGGGGTTCATTGTTGGCGATCACATTTCTATCGCTGACATCACGACAATTGGCTGGGTGATTTGGGCAGGCTGGGCGGGGGTTGATATCGACGAGTTCCCGACGCTCAAGAAGTGGGAGGAGATGATGTATGCGAGGCCAGGAGTGAAAAGGGGTTGTGACGTTCCGAAACCACTGAGGATCAAGGAGCGTCTGAAGGATAAGGCAAAGATGGAAGAAGATGCGAAGAAGGCGAGTGCGTGGATTGTGCAGAGTATGGAGGAGGATAAGAAGAGAAAAATCCCCGAAGCTCGAGCTATAGGTACGTGAGATGATGAACAGAGTAACGTGACGGGAGGACACAGCTCCAACTCCTAACTAGTTTGCTATGGCTTCATTCTCTCCCCATCCCTCCACGATCAACATGAAAGGGGCCAAAACAGAGCCAGAACCTGCACCAGCGGTAGCGTTCTGGGAAGGCCCAGGAGCTGGAGAAGGGAGCTTATCAGGGAGTAAGCTGCATCATAGATCTCTCTCTCTCTCTCTTTTTTTTTTTTTTTTTTTGGGAAGACTTTGGCTTTTGGGCAAGCGACCTGCTCGTCAGGGCAAGATCCGCAACCTTCCATGCTGCCTTCTCTTGCATGGTCAGGTCAGTTCAAGTCAAGTGTGCAACCTTTTCTTTTTTGGTAAAAAATGGGGTGGAGGGGGTTCTATGATCGTCTTGACGCATTGCATTGCGTCCTCGTCATCGTCGACAACGATGACGACGAGGATCAAGGGGAACAGAGGGAATCTGAGATCCTTGTGCCTTCTCAAAAAGACAGCCATGAAGCTTGTATGTCACTCTTCTCTTACAATTGAGCCGTGAGTCATGATCCATCACAGCCTTGTCCAGCTATCTCGGACGTGGGATGTCGACTCGGGGATACTAGAAAGTATTGCTGGCCCACGCAAAGCAGAGAGGATCAACGCAAATGCAATTTTGTCCCAGTACCGCTGAGAGTAGCTCCACAGCTTCCATGGTACCTTCTCTTGCATGTGTGTGTGGAAAAATTACTGGTGAGTCGCCTATCCGGCTGATTTTGTGTAGCATATCTTCCAAGCGGTACCGTAACATGGAAAGAACGTTACTCGAAAGCGGAACCAGGTGCAGGGCCTATCGGATACATCTCCCCTAAGCCTTGACGGATTCTTCGCTTCTGTTTCTTGCAAGACGTCATCTATCCAACTGAATATTGAGCATTTAGCTAGTTGCTAGGTTCAATGTTGGGGCTTCAGTTGCTTCCATAGCTTTAGAAGGAAGCTATATGCCCTTGCTAGTAGATACATAGTACCTTGAGAGAAATGCAAGTTTCGTTGCCGAAGGATGTGTGGAGAGAGACCAACGACAATACTTGCAGAGCCACTGGATTGTCGCCTTGGAGAAAAGAAGGCTACCGCTACCTCGAAATGCCAGGGGTGTTTGGGACAAAGATGACGTTGTGATCCTTGCCAGAAAGGCTCCAGCATCGTCGGTCTTTTGGGAAAAAGGATTAGGGTTACTCCACGGTCCTCGAAGAATGGGTCTGCGTACCACAATATATTGTTCACTGCGGAGGCTTGCCCAGCCCTACACCTTCACGTTCGTCCTTGGTGCTACATTGTCTCCTCAGTCCTGTAGACTATTTGATATTTTGCCTGCTGGGGCCTGCATCCACGCGAGGGGACGCTGCACCAACAACGCAACGATGCAGCCGGTGTGGAGGACAATCACGAACAGAAACTTGTGTAGCGAGTAGATTGCATGAGACGGCTCAATTTCGAAGACGTTGTTTGCTTAGTTGACATGTCGACACGTCGGCGATACATCGGAAGGAGAAGTGTTATCCCTTAATGGAAGTCGCCGAGAAAATTTTGGGTGTTCGGTCGCCAGCTTAGCCAAAGCGGCGGTAGCTGGCATGCTGACTCTGCTCACTCAGCCAATTCGAAGCTTTCTGGAACGCTCAGTCAGAAGGAGTTGGAAAAATTCGTATTCTCCCGGCTCGGCGGCTAAAATGCTGGATCATCAAAAACCGGGGGGCTTGCCTCTTTTGAACAGGAAACTTTCCTCTTTGGGTAAGCAAATCACTCCTGTCATCCAATCAAACAGTTATATCGGATTGATACCGCCCTGGCCATGATGCGTGGGCATACTGTCGCCCAGTTTCCTCGCTCTAGAATAGGAAAAGCTTAGGGGAGCTTTTGGGACAATTCTAAAATGGCCCGAGATACGCAAGTCGTTGATCGTTCCCATACCAACAAAAAGCTGATCAAGGCACCGCTTTTGGACAGGGCCGCCGCTCAATACAACAATTTCAAGAGGGAAACTGCCAAGTACGTTTTCGGGCTGGACTGATTGCATATTGTTGAGACAGGTGGAAATGCCCGCTCGACGGTATTGAATCGAACGGTCTACATGACACGCAGTCTGGAGCCACTTTTTTGCATCAAACGTGTCAACTCGAATCAAGAAACACTCAACATTTTCCATCGGGATACCTCCAGACATCCGAGACAAAGTTTGTATTGATGCATCTCCTCGATTGATGTAGCAGCCAAGACTTGACGACATGCGTGGTATAGTCGCATGGGGAGTGGTAATATCATTATGTGCCCGGAGTTGAGACATGCTACTGGGCAGATATCTTGTGATAACCCGGACGCGTTCAAACATGCTCAGTCAGTATTGAAGCCTTGTGGACGCTCCAAGGTCCAAGTTACTTCGGTTCAGTGATCATTCGAAACCGGTCAAGAATCAAAACCTCGCTTGAGCTGTAAGTTTAGACGAAAAGACGTCGCCGAGGAAACTCGCTTGAATCTGTAACACCTTCACAATGCCATGGTTAAGCGAATATGCATGTCGCACAAATATTTGTGAATTGTGACTTGTTATGTTAGCTAATACATTTGCATTAGAGAAAACAACGGGACACGGGGCCAGTGCGTTTCAGGTTATACGAGTGTGGGCCGGATTTCTCGGAAAGCGTATCGAAGCAGATGAAGGACTGATTGGAGGAGAATGATGGGGAACGGAGGGTTTAGCAGGAAGAGGGGGTAGGCACGTGACGGACCGGGTGTCGAGAACTACTCACGGGTTCTTTCGAAATGACCGACGGAAAATGAATGATTGTCGATGACATCCGATGTCCAATGTCTACTAGATCTCAGGTGGCGATCATAAACCCACTTCGGAGGGTTATGGATCCGTAAGGTCCGAAAAATTCTGCGTCTTGTTCGGTGCTCCATTTGGTTGTTGATGAGCTGTACAAACTATAGGACGATATGAGGCAAAGGTATGTAGGGCGTCTACTGCATGTGTGTGGGTTGTCTGTCTGCCTTTCTGCCTTGCCTGCCGTAACATGCATACCAAAAAGCAAAAAGTCAAGAAACAAGGGCCAGGTGGTGAAGAGCGACGGACCAAGCCGGGGAAAACTTGAAAGAATGCAGGACTCCGAGATCAGTCAGCATAACTGACTTACCCAACCTTTCCTTGTTGCGAAGCTGCAGGTCATGTGAAATGTGGGTGTGAACGGTGGATGTCGACTGAGTGTTGGACAGCCTGAAATGAAACATCCGTCCAGTGACATTTGACGCACTGTGCATGGTCATGTACTTACCGTTGGGCAAATGTTGGCGAGGAGAAGGAGGGGTTGTGGTATGCCCTTTGCCTACGTTGTTGTCGTTTGTCGTGTGGGGGTGTTGATCCCTGGGCTAAGTGACTCGTACACTGGTACTGATAGAGTACTGGGTCTTTGTCAGAGGGAAGAGGACAAGAAGGAGGGATGAATAAGAAAGATTATGTGTATGACAACAATTACCCGACTTCTTGGTTCCCTACCTGCGACACAAGCACATGGGATGGAAGGATCATCAAACACATCTTGATCACTGATCAAACATGGGACTTGGTACAGTTGTGTAGGGTTCGGTCTTTTTGGACCCCAAGGTCAAGGATCAGGAGGATTCAGGTATCAGAAATCAGATCCTCTAGACCCTTTTCTATCGCCGAGAGGGGACATCCCTTTTGGGAGGCCTCAAGAACCAAAAAGTGACCGAAAAGGCTACTGCTCGTGGGAATGAGCCAGCACACAGGTAGCAAACGAGCAGAGGAATGGTGCGCCTGATCACCTCAATCCGACCCTGACCACTTTGAAAATATGGGAGGGAGGGGAAGAACAGGACATGTCCCTATCCATGTCAGCCCAGCAGAATACTCGACCGTGATACGGGGATGATTGGTAAACAATCGTATAGAAATGAAAGTTTGCCTACCCTGCTGCCCAAAAATTTAAAATCAAACTCGTGAAAGTCGAGGGTGCTTATCCAAGCAATAAATTATTCTGGAGGGAAGCGTGGGCGTGGGCATAGGCGGCCATGCAGGCATCGGTGAACCAATAAACGGGGGACCGAGTGGCAAAGCAAACAAGACACAAAGCATCTCGGTGATCAAAGCAGACAGAACGAGAGATTCGATCAAGTTCTGTGGTGCAGTACCGGTCATTGTTGTGTCGGAATTTTGCTTACAGAGTTAAGCCAAACCAGTCAATCATCGGCTTAATTAGGAATCAATTGTCTGGAAATCGTTGTACGGAGGAAAGTCGCGAGAAGACGAAAGGCTTCTTCCCTCTCTGGGTGCAGTTGGCGGGCTCTTGGAATCTTCCCTTGTGACTGGGTGTCTGAGAACCCGCTGACTGAAGAGGGGGACTTACTGTGTTTCGTACAAGTGCCTGAGGATGACCCAAATTTGATCGAAGGATCAAACGACGAGCCCCAACTAGATAAGCACTCGGACGAAGGAAAACATGAGTGTCAGAGGGACTCGGATTCTAGCTGACAAACTCCGGGACCGAAGCGAGCGCAATGGACGCTTACTAGGTCATCCGTTGATCCCCAGCAGAAAGCGACAAAGGATTGGAGGATTACTTCCATGGATTTATTCGGCCGCGAGAAAACCCGCCCTTCCGAGTTGAACAGCAGTGTGTGGATTACTCGCGAGGGGAAGGAAAGCGAAGCCGGTCCCGACGAACGCGAGCGAAAAGGCCAGAAGCGCCCAAGCGCTACGGGTCCTTCAGCCCCGGCAACCGATCAGCGTGACTCACGGAAACTTTCTTCTGTGGGGTTTGAAGCAAAAAGAATCAAACAATCGAAGAGAACTGGCAAATTAACGGTGAGAAAGGAACAAAGGAGTGAATTTTTGGGTTCACTATTTATCATTTTGGTCTCAACCTCTTCTTTTGGAGGGAGAACTATCTGCAGTGGAGTAGTACATTGAGTAGAGTCATTTTGAAGAAATCGGTCAGTAGATGGCAATCGATCCAAAGAAAGATACATTTCAGTCTCATTGATTTCCCAGGCTGGCATATTCTCAGCCACGACTACTGGGGTTCGACAATGAGTTTGATGTCCTTTCTGGTGTCGATGCTCATCTCTGGTCTGATCCCCCTTGGGACTGATTTCAGAATACATGATTCATAAGTTGTGTTGAATCCCACATATCCAGTTATCCAGAACACCATGCTCGTAAAAGACATGAAAGGCTGTTAAAATGCCAGATTCGCTAAAGGACGCTCGGGTATCACTCGCCAAAGGTCTCAAGGGCAGTCAATCAACCTGCTCAATAGGCAGCGATTATGGTTGGCTGTTGCCTTGACGGCAGGTAGAAGCCTTCTTGTTCGAAGGCTTCTGACTCTGCATGCGATAACGAGGTGTTGTCCTTAGCATCGTAGAAGGAAGTAGTGGCGATGGCCTGACGTTGCTTTTCACTGAGGACTTCTAATGTATTGGTGGGGGGTGAAGGCGGTATTTGTTCGTCTTCTGAGTCCGAGTCCGTATCGAGGCTCAGTTCAGGAGGGGAATGTCGAGAGGCAGTTCGGGTGAGAGTGAGGTCGTCATCTGTCTCCTCGTCGTCTTCCATGTCGGAATCAACTTCAACGGCGGTGACATTGGTGGTTGGCTTCTCCTCGACCTCATCCTCAGATTCCTCGTCGGTGCTCTGTGCGTCTTCGGGCTCCCAATCGGCCTCAGGCTCTTCCACGATGGTCTCGACATGTCGATGTCTGGTTTCCTCTTCCTCTTGCTCTCCTGCCGATCCGGAGACAATGTTGTTGAACCACCGTTCTTGTTCTTGTTCGGCATTGGCCAAATCAAGCATCAGAGAGTCGAGCATGTTGGCGTGTCCCACCAAGAGGCGGAGATCGTGGTCAGGCCGGGCCGCCTCCTTGGAGAGCTTACCACGGGCACTGTGCGCCAGGAAATAAGTTTGAGTGATGCTCATCTTCTGTTTCTTCTGAGGACGAGTGTAGATGGAGTTGGTTGGTGATTTGGGCGCTGTATCAGCGGAGAAGGTGACGGTGGAAGGCATCTTGGCTGGTGGGTTGGCTGGTAGTGTTGACGCTTTGGTTGTCTGTGTTGTGTGTATCGTCTGTTTGGTTGGACTAGATGTTCATCGATGTGCTTCTTGTTGTAAGTTGTTTGTTGATGATGAGAGAAGAAGGAAGTGGCGGGAAGGGTGGGTGGACGAGTTCTTTTGTAAACGTAGAGAGTGGAGAGTAAGAATGGTGCATTTGACAACTAACGTTAGGATTATTGAAGGTGCCTGAGTAAGGAAGCCAGGGTGTAAGGAAAGGGTGGGGACATACGGTGCGCAGGTCGTGCGTAAAGGCCGAGTGCGAAATGACAAGGGGGGACTGGCAGGGGACCCTGGTCCTGGTCCATTTACAGCCCACCTTACTTTTGATCCTAAACCCGAGTGCCCGTATCCAGCTCGTACAAGTGGTTTAACGACCAAGAAGCGGTGTTACCATCTCTCCGCAGGAGGAAATTCTACTGCTTTCCTTCTACTAGCTTTGGTCCAGGCTGAGAAATCGTCCCGTCGGCCGACCTTCTCATGACGTCCTCATTTTTTTTGCGGTGCTGCTTTTACGCTGTCTCCCTGCCCGCCCGACTCGGTCACGGCTTGCAGGTAAAAACCTGGCTGCCTGAACAATCACTCGGAGGGTTTGTTAAGCCATGCTTCCAAGATCTTGTCTCCGTTACTCTGCTCCGATATGCTCTTGTCTCGCTCGGTTTACCAGTTTTACTTCCGTATCTGTCCATTCTACCGACTTTTGCTTTCGTTCACTGAATTGGCACTAGTCCTGCATTCGCAAAAAGTCCCCGGAACAGTAATAATTGTCACCTCTTGTGGCTGATCTCACATCTCAGTTTGTCGTTCTTACGGCATCCTGTCGTCTTGACCACACCATTGGTTATCTCCGCGGTGTACCTCCTGCTCCCCATCCATCTCCACGGGTGAGTACCAAAACATCAGGTGCTGGTTTTGACGATGGTACTCGTCCGTTTCCAAGTACAGATAATTGAGGATTACTAGCACGACTGGCTCGCGCTCAGCAACTGATTTGAGATTGAGAAAAGAGATCAGACAAGGTCGATTGGCCTTCCCCAGAAACCTAACGAGAATGCATTGCTGAGAAATTCACCTGGATGTTTTTGAGTTTTCCCCCAGCTCTGCTTTGTCTTGGTAAGCCATACGTTGCAACCAGCAAATACGCACCCTCTCTGTGGCCACCACCATTTTTTGCTCCCGTAATCTGCCTGAGTTTCTTCCATGTTCCTTTCCTTGCCAGTGGTTCTGCGTATGCGTGCGCCTTCCCAATGAGTAACCCCCATGGCAGAATTAATAACCAGGTGCTGGTTTCAAAGCAGCCTGAATCCGGAGACGACCAAATGAGTTGCACTTTCCTATTCGATGCAGTACCCAGAATTCTGCGTCCACACCTCTCAGGCAACCCAATTCAAAAAGCAAAACATTGGCTGCCAATATGGACACTGCCTCGACCACCAAACGTGTCCTGCGCATTAAATTTACTGGTGCCTGGCGAGCGCCCTGTCAAGGGTCTAATGCGCCCAGGCGTAGTTGTGTTATGTTTGAACGTGCCTAAGACAACGAAACCTCCACCCCCCCCGGGGAAACCATCGTTTGACCTAAGCTTTAGGGGCTAGCTGGAGCCTGGAGTAACCGCTGAGGGAAGGGAGCTTAGGCTTGGGCCATTGTCTCAGGGTCGCCCCAGGTATCCCCGATCGGGGTCAACCCCCCTATACACCCCGAGATCTCCAGGTAAATATTCCTTACAATACATCCAAAAAATACTATCAGGTCTCAGAAATTGCTCGGCCGAATCTGGTCGGCGACTAGATCGTACGGCCAAGTATTCTCGAAACTCGTTTCTCTGTCTCTTGACGTGTCGAAGCTCCTGATTCAATACACCCAGATACTCTGGTCACCGAGTCGCGAAACGTGTCTGTATTTCGTCGTCCAAGTCACGTTCATGGCTGTGTTGCATATAAATTGCTGGCTGCCTGAAGCAAAACTTCTGACTTTGTCTGTCCACAACCCCAAAATTGGAAGGGGCTGGTACCGTGGGGAATACATCTCCCCAGAGATCTTTCAGTCAAGCCACTGCCACATGGGCTCTCGTCTTTCGTGTTCGTCTTCCCTTTGTGTTTCGTCTTTCGTTTCGGGAGGGAACATGAGGCGACCATTGGCCTGTCGTACCACCGTATGTAAGCTGCCTGGGAGACTGTTGCTCACGCTGCTTTGACGCTTGTGATTTCCAGGCATCACAGGTAAGATAGTGGCGTGATTGGAGGAGAGGCTGACCAGGCCAATGTCTGAGTCTCTGGGACACATTTTGATCTCCGAACATCCTGGGGAATCGGGAACATTTCGAGCATTGTATCCGGTCGGGGGGCACTCGTCGAAAGTGGCGCTGAACTGGGTAAGGCAAGTTGCACGGATTTTGTGCACGGGTGCACAAATCCGAGTCTTTCTCTCGACGTCTCCTTGCTCGCCCGAACGCTCCAAGGTTCGTCCGTCCGCCGAAACGACCGACCAAATTGCCCCTGGCTATTCGCCCCTTCGGGCTTTGGCCAAAAACACCATGGGGACGCCCGCCCGCACACCCGCATCACCGCCTTCGGCCGACTCTGCATAATCATCTGGACTGGTCCTCACATTAGCAGAATTCTAACCAATCTCGCATCATAATGTCATGAGCATCCACTTACTCCCTCTTCCTAGTGAACGGCGAAAATGATCAGGCGCACTCAAAGATAATCATTTGGTATGTCATGATCTTTCCGACTCTTATTCGTAATCTGTCTTTCTTGTCCTCTTGACATTTCGTCTTGGGTGCCCATTTCTCAGCACTCGTATTTGCGCTGTACGGTTTCTAAAAATTGACCAATTTCCTCCGCAACTGGAATTATGACCCAGAGGGGAGGAACCGGATGAAGTAATTCGGGCGACGGGCAATCGACAAATCAGACGGCGACGAGACTCGTGCGTATTGCTGTCCAATCATCCGCGTCCTGCTGCTCTTAGTGTTAGTCATACCTGACAGGAACAACCGTGACCTTTTGTCGAGGACCCTGGCAACACACCCAAGGCTAGGGATTGGCGTGGGGATTGTGTCGATTTGTGGTGAGTCAAAACGCAGTCACGCATACGGTCATAGTCTCTGTTTAGCGAAAGAACCCCCAGCACAACTCACTCGCAAACCAGCCTGAAAAGGGAAATTTGTGCGATTTGGAATTAGTGGTGCCTGGCGCTCGAGGCTTGCAACCTCTGGTTGCAGCGCTAATGGGAGCACAATGCTTGACCTGGGTCGTCATTAAGCCACGGAACGTGACTGGACGAAGTGGCTGAATGCCTGTGAACGTTTCGGGGCAGAGTCTCTTGGCAGAGGGTTGCGTACCACAGAGTTTTGCCTAAACACAAATTGAGCCTAGTTGTGCGATGGTTGTCCGCACGATGGAAAGGTACCCTCAAAACCCTAGTAAAATCGCACAAATCGAGGTACCAAAACATCAAAATTGAGGAACTCACATATCTGGGCCATTGGCGAGCTCTTTGCCTCATCGTAACTCGATTCGCACTTTGCATAGACTCTCCTGGTGTTGTAGCACCTCTTTTGATCGCTTTTGGCCGCGTCTCGTTGCCGTTGATTAAAATGGCGACTTCCTTTACGGCAGCGCCTGGCGAGCCTCCTCTGGGTGCTTTCCGCACCTTCGTGCACCTCTTGAGAGTCTTGTCAATGGTTTCCCTGCCTCCTGGCGTCAGATTTCTGCACTGGCGAGATATTTGAGTCTCTTGCTGAGGCTGAAAAGCGTCTAAGGATGATGTTTGCGCTCGTAACAGGCTTCGATCTCAGCCAATCAGAGCCAAGGATTTGGGAATGCATTTGCAGACACACGTGACTTTGTGACGGAAGTGAGCCAATCGTGGCGCCAGAATTCCTCCTTCGACCGCAGCTTATTTAACGGGGGATGCAAACTTTTCGTACAAGGAAGCCTCTACATGTGACTTCAGACCACCTTAGTGTGCTTTTACGTACTTTCACATCTCATTCATTTCACCACCTACCTCATCACCCTTTCCCTGCATACCTTATCGTCAACTCTATCTCCCACAACTCTTGAGGGTCACTGTGATCGATCACCCTAAAATTCTAGAATATGGGCGGCCGCAAAAGAACGCGAACGGCCGACCATGATCCAGAAGAGCAAGAACCATCTCCAAGACGGGCCAAGTTGTCGGGAGTGCGAACTTCAACTCGACTGGCAATGACCTCTTCAATCCGGGGGAAATCTTCAATCATCCCTACTCTAGCCGGGACTCCATCGATAACTGAGTCCAAGAACCATCGTGGTGACTGTTCTGAACACGGTTCGGATATACACAGTTCTCATAGTGGCAACAATATTCTCAAGGGCCGGGGGTTGGTTGAAGCGGCTTTAGAAATTGTGAATAATGCGGATACGGCCGAGCTTATGATTCTCGAGTTGATGGATAAGTATTCATTCAGTTTCGCCCGCTTGAAAGAACTTCTCAGAGGTAGGCCGGTCACGCCCTCACTAAGTTATTATTGCGATCAACGACTGATTGACTTCCAGAAAACAACCTTCATGTCAGCTTTTCCAATGTCAAGTATGTTGACATCGCTCCAAAGGTCGGCCTGGATCCAGGGACGAACGGGACCGACATACCTCCATTTGAAATGTTTCGCGCCCGGCTGCCTAGTTCTGTCTTTTCCCAAACCATTGCTGACCTTGAGGTCTTTTCGTGTCAATACGGACCCTTGAGCTGGCACATCAATGAAGAGGCTCGGGCCTGTTTCTATCAGGCTACTTCAACAGAATTGTGGCTCTATTTTCCGGCCTTCTGTTCAACACACCGGAAGCAATCCTAGAAGGCAAAATCACAACCAAAGGTCGTATCGAGTATCAATTCAAGACTTTTGGCGGAATCGCAGTCGTTTTCATTGAAGTGAAACTGGACATAGGAAGTTCCACAGAGCGTCTTGACTGTTTTGCACAAGTGATAGCGGAATGCGATGGTAAGTTTAAGATGAGACCGACTTCAACACCTGGTTAATAGTCTTCGCAGCCTGCGCTTGGGCGAACCTTCGGAATGGATTCAACGTGCCCATTTTAGCGATCCTGTGCGATGGGGAATTCTTTTATTTCTTCAAGTTTCTGGACCGACGACAAGCAGGTGGAGGACCACAGGTCTACTTGGGCAACTTTCCAGATGGCCGCTGGCGACAACCTATTGCTGAGATGGACTCTGCCGATGACCCCACAACTTTCTTACTCCAAACTCGCCTTCTTTGTGAGAGCCTTTACTACGTGTTTTTAAGAGGGTATCAATCCGGTCTCCAGGCTTACTGGAACCGTAGCGTGGAAAGGAGTAAGAGTCCATCGCGAGACTCGACTCCAAAGTGGTATAAGGCAACAATCTCGGCTAGACAAGCTCTCGATGAAGCTTGGTCTGCTTGGGAGCTTCGACAAGAGGGCAAGGTAGAAGAGTCGAATAGTTCTGCAGAGAGAGCGCACCAATGTTTGGCAGAAAGGTAACTATCTTGCAACCAAATAATCTTCTAGCTGCGAATGCTGACTATCCATAGCGTTGAAGAAGCTCCTCAAAAGCCACCCAGGTTCATGCATCACTTTACGGAAGAGCTCGTGGGTTTGACATGAATCTTGAAGCTGGCAGGAGATGAGCGAGCTAATCTGCTATCGTCCTGGCCCGGTCTTAGATGATGGATAACCCTCTTCAAGACTTGCTTACCTTCTGACTGCAGTCGAACAACCGACTGGAAGCCGGATTGATGGTCTACAATTCATTCCAAGCTAGCAATGCCAGTAGCTGAAAATATACCTAATCTCAGGGTTCTCAAAACCTGTTTCACCCAGAGAGGGCATCCTTTGCGGCACCAACACGATATGAGCGAATCTTGTCTTGTCCCATACTTTCCTTGAAGGTCCCCTACAAACATAATCCCACGATCGATGTTGCCTCATCAGCCTTGGCGACGTGATCGAGCTTGACTCCCCGAGCTTTTATCTTGTTGACCTGCCAGGAGACGAAGCTTCCCTCACGGAACTACGTGTACGACAGAGAAGATTGATTGAATCTATCTGAGCGAGGTGTAAGCGACAAAAAAGGCCATGGGATCTGATAGGGGGTGTCGTACGGGCGCAAAGGACACAGTCAACGACATCGTCTACCCACGGTCCATGGACTGGATCCGATCAGGGGTTCTGGCAGACAATGGCGGCATTCTACCCATGCCTGGGCGGGCCATGGATTGGATCCGATGGGGTCAGCCAATCAGAGCAAGGATTAGGTAATTGTCGGATTATAGATTCTCCGGATTACGGCGTCGTTCTACCTATCTCTGGGTGGGCCATGGACTGGATCCGATGAGGTCAGCCAATCAGAGCAAAGGATTGGGCGATTGTCGGATTATAGATTTTCCGGATTGCACGTGGCTGACCAACCGCGTGATGACAAAGGCTTGGCAATCTCGAACGCAGCGAGGCCTGAGGGTTTGGGGGCTAGCCCCAAAATGCAGAAGCCTACGCTTTTACTCCCCGTGGAATATCTTGTCCGCGGCGCCTAGTAGATTTTCCCGATTACAAAGTGTTACGTTGTGGGGGCTGTTGGCAATCACGTGAGGCAGTTGGCTTAGCAAAAATGGCATAGAAAGATGGGTGCGAAAGGCTCTGTTGAAAATAGTTCAACGACGTACTAAAAAGCGCCAACTGTGCGAGGGAGGCAAAGTGGATGGAAAGCCTGAAAACTCTCCATTTTGCTAGGGATTTGAGGTACCCTGCCATCGTGCGGACAATCATCGTACAACTAGGCTCAATTGGTGCTTGGACCCACTCTCAATAGTACGCAATTCTCTGCCAAGAGACTCTGCCCCGAAACATTGGCATCGGCTCGCCGAATGCAGTATATTTCTCGAAGGGCTGGGATAAGGGATCCACTTGGTTCAGAGCTTCACAGCCCCATCGGTCTGCCGCTTTCACAGAGTTGGGTACTTTTTGCGATCTGCCAAGGAGGCTATGCTTATTTTTAGACCAATTTCCCCTGTTAACGCCTTGCATCCTGGGCTACCATGTGGTGATAAATGTTGTAACTCTTGCCTCTTCTGGCTCGTGGCCTCAGTCAGGGCTCTTAATCAGATTTGTAGCTTGGTGGCTGAAAATCTGCATTGACAAATGCTTCAGGATCCAATTTTCACGCTTTGTTGAACCAACGCTCGAGGCGGCCACAATGGCTGTGTTCGAGAGTCACGATGATATCCGAATTCAGAATACTCCTACTACCACTCTGAGGATTGGATCGCCTCATTTGTTCGAGTCTCTCGTACGTGTGAGATCGGTCTGACTCATGGCGATGGATTGGCGGATGAAACAGGTGAACGAGCATTTCCCCTTCGGAGGAATAGAAGGCGCCAAACATCTAGCGGATTTAGTTCCGCCAATACGCACGCAATGGCCCGGATCCCCAGCCCTACAAACAAGACAACGACAGCGTATCATATCCTTGGATTCACAACCTGTAGTGCCTTGGAGACATGATTCCTGCTTACGCGATCAGCTATCATTTCGATTTTGGTAGGTAGTGATCGCTGCTTTTAATCTTGAGTAAGGACTCGGACACAAACACGAGGAGTCAACCCCCAGGCAAGCCAGGCAGGATTATCACCTATTTTGTCACTCTTCTGAAACAATTTGAGCATTCGCGCTGACGGGGCCAATACATCAACGTAACCGCTCGCTTACCTCGTTTCGTCCGTCCATTCACCCTTATCAAATCCAGGTATGATCAGCCCCCAATCGAATTTCAACCCATAAGTGGCAGACCGTGAGACAACAATCAACCAACCAGAGCAATCAAAAACCCTCCTCTGGGAATGGCTGACACGAGAAAGGTCAATGCCATTCCACCATTACTCATGCTTTTCCCGACTCGGAGATACTGTAACAATGCTGTCAAGTTAGGCCAGAAGTCGCAGTGGAGATCCTCGTGTTCGTTCATCGTTCAACGACCGGACTCGATCAGTAATCATCCTTCTGCCCCTCATACCAGCTCTGCATATTACAGGGTCGTTGGCCCTTTATGGTCAGCAATGGCAGACGAACCAACTAGAACACAAAAAGACCGCAGCTTCAAATCCTGCTCATGGTGCATGCTTCGAGAGCCGCATCTTTGTTGGTGCCACTTCATCGGTGAACGTTTGGCCTTACCTTCCCCCCGGCTCAGGATTCGCTTCCGAGGCTGTCTGACGCCCAGACAGGTGGTGATTACCTTCGACGTGATGCCCCAACCCTGGAACGGTCGGTTCAGGGCAGCAAGATACCGTAAAAGCATTCGAAATCCGACACAGACGAAGAGTTTGTCCACGCTCCACACAACCTAGTCGCTGACCGATAACTTTGGTATTGTCCTTCTGTAGTGGGACTCTCTACAACTCACCGTCCACCAGGTCACCATGCTGAGTACCGGGGTTTATCCCAAAGGCCGCTGGTTGAAGCCGAGCCCATGCGAAATTGGAATGCACGATGGCATTTTGGACGCCTTAGGGCTCGCCCTTTCTTAGGTTATGGGATTTTGTTTCGATCTTGACTCGATAGGAATGTTTCGACAACAATGCTGGGCGAAGCTATCTCTCTTGTACAATCTTTCTCGGCACTTGACTATGTGAAATAGAGGTCTTCTCAGGAATGTTCGCGAGGAGGTATTGAGGGGGGAGTTGCATTCCTGCGACACATCTGTCTCCATTAGCACAGGTGAGTTCTTCCCAAACACCCCACTTCACCCAAGATGCCCATGAAACCTTTGTCAAACCCTTGAAGGACAATTGAACACTCAAAATTCATGGATATCAAAAGCCAGAAATCCGCTGAGTAGAGAGACGCGTTTTGATATTGTGATTTGGAATCTCCTTCCAAAGTATCTAAATGCACAATCCTCGGCGCAATGCCAATGCAGGTGACCTGTTGGAGTACAAAGCGACCAATCTGGGATCTATCAACCTGCAATTCTCTTGACTATTTACAATTGATAATGATATGATTCTTTTCCCCAGCTTGGGGTCTTTTCGATGCTTTTCTGCCAAGCAACCATGTGAAATGTTTAGTACTGTCGGGCTGCCTGTTGGCAAGCCTTCAGCTGCTCCATGTACCATCCACAGATTGTCATGTTACCCTGGTTCTGGTTCATGCAGTCGGTGAAGTTCTTGATGTCGGTGGCACAAGGTCCCGATGCTTCGGCCGCCGAAGAGGATTGGTTATTGTAGAGGGCATTGGGTTGTTGTTGCTGTTCAACTGGCACAGAGGAAGATCCTCCACTGAACAAGCCACCGATAGCATGGCCGATGGACGATCCGACAGCAACACCACTGGATAAGCACAAGGTTAGTATGTCACTTTCTTTGCCTCTATGCACTGTCCTGGTTCGGGTAGCTTACGCAGCGGTGCTGGCCATCTGACCAAACAATCCTGGGCCTTGGGAAACTTGCGCAGGTGGATGAGCCTGTTGAGTGGGTGCAGTCGACATCGGTCGCTGTTGTTGCTGTGGCGCGACAGGCCGAGGAGTTGGTGCGGGAGCTGCCGGTCTCGACGGTACAGACCGGGCAGGGGCACCTCCACGTGAACGAGGCATGTTGGCGAGAATTCTCGAGGGTGGAATTGGAAAGAGGGAAAGGAGGCAATGGATGGAACGGCGAGAAAAACGTCTTTAATGAAGTGAACCGAAGATGAGGAAATGGAAGACGAAAAGATGCGGCTACAAGTCCTTTTCAAATGAATCTCCAATGCCAAGAACGAGTGTCCATTTCCGGCGCTGTGATTGGTCACCAACTAGAAAGTACTCGAATCACCCTTCTCTGCCAGTCTGCGGGTGGCGCCAGGGGAAAGGTGAAATGCAAACGAAAACATTGATGACTTATGATGGTGGGACGAAAAGATCCTATGCTACAATGGTCGCTATTCCAGTCAATTACAAGATGCTCACCGTGAGCAGCTGAAAATGTAGAAAAGGCATTCTGGGAAGCTTTGGTGGTTCATGTTTGTTCGCAGGACCGTGTCCCGATCCAACGGTGTTCGTGCCTTGCCTGTCAAAATTTCTTCAATGTGAAGTGCTTTATGCGGAAGGTGGTGGGGGCGGAATGTGGTCATCCATGCCAGGAGGAGGTGGAGGTTGAACGTCTGGTGGTGGTGGAGGGGCCTGCGTGTCTGGCGGTGGTGGTGCACCACTCGCCGTCACCGCCGCCGCCGCTGCATATTGTTGGAGGAAAGCGCTGAGACCAGGAGGAGCTTGCGGAGGAGGAGGAGGAACACCATAGGCTGTCTGCGGATCATAGCCAGGGTATCCACCGTAGGCGTAACTCTGTGCGGGAGGCTGCTGTTGCTGCCACGGAGGAGCTTCATGGCCAGGTGCAGATCCATATCCTCCTCCATGATTGTCAGCAGCACGGTGGAGTGCCCATGGGGGAAGTGATGAGCCGCTCTCTCGGTTCTCGTAACCTCGTTCCTGTCGGTCTCGCTGCCATGGAGCCGGAGCACCGGTGGCGGGACGTGCCCATGGTCTCGGATCCGCGCTGCCAGTGTCACGACCACCACCGTACGAGTCGGCTTGGTCATAACCACCCGGGGCGGCCTCAATACGTCCTGCCGGACCGTTTCCAGAGGGACGGCCGGAAAGTTCTTGCATGAGATTCTAGGACATGTTAGTCGTGATTCAAACCTATACATGGGTCCAGAAACATACCTCCATCTCGCGGTCGACGGCGTCAGACGGACCAAGGCGTCGTTGAGGCCCACTAAACCCTCCAGGAGGATTGTTACGCATGTCGGACCCTCGCTGTCGCTCATTGCAGTCTCTCGCCATATGACCAGCATTGCCACAGATCCGACAGATGATATTGGCAGTGAAATTTCTAGTTTCCGGGCAGTCGTACTTGCGATGCCCAATTTGACCACCTGATATTGTCAATAAAGCGCTCATCAGAATGATGGGCCGACTTACAGTTTTGGCACGCTTGATTTTCGTCGTCACGGAGTGTTCCATTGAGGGCCGCGAGTTCTCGAAGTTGATTCCTTTTGAGTTCGTTTTGTCCCTCGGGGATGGAAGCAGCAGTTTCGATGACATTATGAATTAATGCCTTGGCTTTATTGACTTTGTCTTCCGTGTCCGCCATAATAAGACAGTGTAAATCTTCTTCCTGGTTGCTAGTATGAGCTGCGTCTGATCGTCCCTTGCCTTCTTTGACAGAGCCTTTGCCTCGAATGGCAATTTTGGCTCCAGATTCGGTTTCCATTTTCTTCAGCGTGTTGCCACGAGGTCCAATAAGTAGACCAACTTTACGGAAAAGAAGCTAAGTGTTAGTCTCTGATTCATAGAAACGAAGAAATGCTCAGGGGAAGAGAAAAGGGGGAGTTAGTGTTAGTGCAGGATGCCACGTCTACCGTCACAGCCTGGAGGAGCAGGCGATAGCACGTGGGAAGGAAAGGCAAAAGATGAGGGCGGGCTTGTAACAGAGTTAGAGGGTTAGTTAGCATACTAAAATTGATCTCGGGATAATCGTTGACCGGCACGTAAACCTTTTCCTGTGTCTTGGTAGGTCGTCTGTAGTCAGAAGGCGGATGATAGTTAGGGATCGTTTTCATGGCTTTGTCTATCAGTTTGTGCCGCTCATCTTCAAGCCGCTTGCGATAGCGGAATTCTCGAGTGTTTACACGGCGACCGAGATTGTCATATTGAGGAGCGGGTGATGGCGACCTGGTTATTTGTCAGTCTTCGCACGGAGGCTCGAATGGAATATGCAGACACTCACCTGTCGGCTTCTGCTGGGACCACATCATTGATCCGTAGCTTCTGGCTGATTTCTTCAATGCGCAAGTGGAGAGTATATGCGTCGAGTTGTTCCGCTGTCATATTTGCCTGAATCAAGGTAGGAAGGCCCATGAGGCCAGCAGCTTTGTTCTCGCCGACCTCACCCCAACGATTACGCTTCCTACGTCTCTTGACGCCGTCGGCCGCAGGTTCAGCTGAGATATTGTCAGTGTTGCGCAGTGACAGGCCGGTGAGTAAAATACCTCTGGTTGGACTTCGCCCACGCTTGCCAGAATCTCCATACGATGGGGAGTTCACAGCAGAGCCATTTTGCGAATCACCACTGCTTTCGCCTCCGAACCGACGACGCGTTCCAAGAGGAATGTTGTTGGAACCTGTGATGCCCTGATTGCGCCACGACATCTTGAGCACAAAATCGTCGCGATGGTATTGAAGCGATGTAGGGAAGTTACTATTCTAAGGGGTTGAAAGGGATATTCCGTGCAAAACGTTAAGGTCGCAGTTTGCAAAACCGCTCCCAAAGGCGAAGTTCCACTTTTCCAAGTCCCAGGGGCAAAACTTGGAAATTCGATTTGCAATGAGCCAAGATTAATCACGTGGACGACAGAAGTTGTGGCAAATGCCTGTGGCTGGTGAGTGGCTGGTATAAGGAGAGGAGCCTCTGCGGCAATGTAACTTTGAGGACGGACGTCTTCAGGTTCTTTTGACTGAACTGCTCAAATTCAACGAGCCGTTTGAAAAGTTCCATAGATGTCTGATTTAACTAATGGATGAGACTGGCAATGCTTGTCCAGCGCCCAATTGCAACTCGACCCTTGTAAATACGAGGATGGGGATGCTCTTCAGCACAGCTGCTCTGGCTAGAAGTGCACAACACATTGGGAACAACAGACAACCTTCCTCAGCTCTACTTCGTTATGCAACATCTTCAACCACTTTCGGTCACGTGTCCTTTGGCATGAAACCGATTGTCCTTGCTGAAGCTTCCATGGAAAGAGTTCCCTTAAAGCTCTTTGTTACCACCCACACCATTGACTAGCGGCTTCGCCGCTCAACGCCTGATTTTGGAGGCTCGACTTTCCTTCTTCGGGCCAGGAGGCTATCGATCTACCCCCTGGAGCCGGGGGCATCCTGCGATAAGAGGAGTCCATTGACAAATTCATTCGCAGGAAAGCCTGAGGATGACCAGCTTCCTATTCGAGAAATAACAAGTCTATTATTGGTCACCCATACGATACAACTCGCGACCCGAGACTTTCGGATGATCAGGATCCCTGGTCTGATCGTGTCCTTATTATTGGCTGGTGCTCCAGCCTGAAACGAGAGCCATCAACGCAATTCTCTCAACGATCCCAGCAATAATCAACTCCCCCCAGAAAGGGAGGGGGTCAGAGCGTCAAGTGAGCTTTTTAGTTGTGCCCGACATGCAGCTAGGTCACCCGGGGGAAGCCATCGACAGAGTCGAGAACGCAATCCGGAATGAGAGGCAGCTATACGAGAAAATGGGCGACATCCATTGGCCAGTCCGAACGAGGCTGCAGCTGATTCTAACTTTTGCTTCGTCTAAGGTACTCTGCTAGCAGCTCTTGAGTGAATGGCACTTCGTGTGTTACCGCCATTGGTAGTACTACTCGATTATCGTCCTCCATTTCCCTCTCCCGTTTCGCCTCTTTTCATCCCTTCCTCTCCAAGAAGAGACATACCCCAACGGGGACCCTGATCTGCATGGGGAAGATGAGGATTCCCTGAACATGTGGCTCACGTCGCGGGGTATCGATACCAGATCGCTCATCAGGAGGTACAACCGAGTGACAATCGCAATTGATGAAGATATACAATTCCTATTTCGCCTCAAGAATTCTGTCACAAATTGATCAGCTTCCGCACCCGTTGGTCAAGCACTCCAAGGCTGGACCAGAAAATGCAAACGGGAATCCCGGACCTCGTACAAAAGGGCAAGAATAACTGGTTGTCGCCACCACGGGAGACTATCGGACGACTTGTTGGCCGGCTTTGACGCTTTCCTACGTGGCAGATCAGCACTTTCAGTCGACGCAGTGGTGTCCCACATTATTCCCAGCCTCCTTCGACAAGTCAGGGCCGCCGAGAGGCGACTTTATCAACACCACATGCACGGTATCATGGGCCCAATGCGCTCAGCCCACAATCCTCCACAAAGCACGAATGATGCACATTCAATCGAAGAACCTTGAGAGAGTGATGGCTGTACATCTCCGAGGACGACAATGGAACATTCACCCATCATTAACTCTGGGGAACCGATTCTCCCATTACTTTAATGAGGCTCTCGACTCCAAGAAAGAAGGCCTCCGGCTCCTCTTAGTCCAAACCACATCTGAATTTTTTTTTTTTTTTTTTTTCCCAGGCCTCTCGTCGATGAGAGGTATGACATGATATGGTAAGTCGATGCGACCGTCGAGATTCTGTATGCTCACCTCGTCACAGAAAACCTTCCTTATGCCACGTCTGTTATCGGCCTGATCGCAATTCCCTATTTCGGCACCTCGTTCTATGGATCTGATGTCTTTTATATTACCGCAGTCGGCCACCAAATCAACAAAATACTATCGCAACTCTTGGATCAACAAAACGAGGCCACTGCAACAATCCAAGACCAGCCAACATGCAAGAACTCGAAGAGGATTAATTGCATATCATCCACTGGAATGGGTGCTTGCAGCTACATTTCAGGGCTTGATACGTTTTGCTTATGATTAGCTTTCGTGTTACACCTTTGATTCCGCTACTTTAATGACTCCCAGGGGACCCTGTCTTTTGGGGAAGTCTCTCATTGCTGGTTAGGATATGGAATGTAATGACTCTTATCGTGATGGAATGACAAAAAGCCAAAGGGGAGTAATTCGAAAACGGGAAAATAAAACACTGCTTGTATTTCAGATATGATTGAATAGTGTTTACCAAAAGGTAGTCATTCTGAACGAAACGAAATCAAACAATCGTGCCTCGTAATCGTGTTCACATCATTTGGCCTGGTTCCAGATAAATGCCACGGACATCTATTGCTCTCTTTTTGGTCCCGCATTGACAAAGCCATTAACATCGCCAACAAAGCAAACTGTGCTGCGTCTTGAACCATGATCCAGTGGAAAGAAGTTTTTCGCAACATACGGCAAACCAAACGTTACACAAACCCCACCCATGTCCACAATCTGCCGCTCTTGTGCAAAAAGAGAATCTTGCTGACGAAGGCCTCAACCTCAACCCTCGACCTCGAAGTTGAGTGTCTTGCAGAAGCAAAACAGTCAAATTCGAATCAGACAGTCTCATGACGACTCTTATACGTAATGACGGCCCGGAAAGCCATATCCTCCATTACCCAAATTCGTCTTGTTTTCATTTTTCTTGGATTCTTCTTCAGGTTAGTGTCCCCACAATGGCCCTGCAAATATTGGACAAGATATCTGTAGGGCGATATACACTCGGAGATAAAGTTGTACCAATCCGAGTCCTTGTCTGTCGCCGCCAGATTATTAGTGATCCTCGTAGATTCGTAATAGTCCGGATAGTAGCTAGAGTACTCCTAGTCGACAATGCCTGAAACGACACATTGACCCACTCCAGAGAGATTAACGAGAATGTTCTCAAGTCTCACATTCCCATGAGTGAAGACAAGACGAGATGAAGTCGTAGCGTCGATTGATTTGGTGGCTCGTCGGAGGACGCGTCCTCAGAGATCCTTGCAGCTTTCACCGAGGATACCTCCGAAGAGTGTCTGGTTCGAGCTTGGGAAGGTCAGGGATCGACATGAGATATTGGAAGAATTGGTCAAGTTGGATCTGGACCGACAGTTTCTAGTTCCCAGGTTAATCGACGCCAGACTTTCTTGAGCGCGATTCCAGAGATAAAAGACATGAGGAGGACGATGATGTCGTTCTGTTTCAGCACTCCGAGCGGGGGTCAGATCATGATGGGACTCCGGTAGAGGAGTAAGATTGCCTTGTAGGTTAGGTTGACTTCGGTGGACGCACCGGGATATTGAGCGTTCAATAGATTTCGAACCTCATAGTAGAGGTCACAGCGAATCCCGGTTTCATCAGAAGCCGCCAGAAAGGAGTGTTCGCCAGGGAGGAAGGAAGATGGGAGGAGGGTGAGGTTCAGATACCACAAGAACTGAGGCAGCAAGGTCATTTGGGAACTGGAGCCGGCTGAGTGCTAGGCACGGCAGCAGCGACGAGGCCGCCTGGTGGAAGGGTTTGAACTCTCTCTAGGATGTTTTTGAGTGCATGGGTCAGATATGGGAGAAACCCATATTACACCTGGGGCACACACGGTTTCTTGTCATGATGAACAGCAAGAAGCCTGATCCTGATCCTTCTCTTTAGTGTTCATGAGAGGTCTCTTTTCAAGCATAGGTTGCGCAACAAGGGCGCTGATCGGGCTGGAATAGGAAGATAGCGGGAGCACGAGGGACCGTCAACCGTGAAACAAGAACAGCAACTACTTGTTGTAGATAACTCACAGACACAAAGACAACGTTGACAGCTACAAAACAAACGGCGTCCGGCACTCAGCCAGCTGGCGAGTGGCATGTAGTCTGTATGTCTCAGGTTCACTTCACCTCTGGCCCCTGTTTTCCTTCATCACGTGACCGGGTCTTGGCATATTGGATCCGGCTTGTATCCCTTGTTTAAAGCCCCCGCCCCGGGGGTGGCCATTCTTGGTTACGGATAAAGCGTCCTATTCTTCCAAATGCGACGTCGCCACGTAGCTCTCCTGGAGCCACTGATCGAGTTGATACTCGTCGCGGATCTTCAGGCCCAATTTGAACGGCATTGGTTCGACAGACAGACCTGTGGGGTTCTTGTTGCAATCCATAGGCCCACTCAGAATCGGTTGATCTGTTGGATCTACCGGCGGTATGATCATGAAGGCGCTAACCAGTCGTGTGAAGACGATATACAGCTCCTTATTCGCAAGGTGTGAGCCGACGCACATGCGAGAGCCGGCTCCATACGCATAATGATCCGTTCCCGATCCTTCGGGAAGATCTAAGTATCGTTCAGGAGAGAAGTTCATCGGCGAGTCAAAGTGGGTGGCGTCGAAGTTGGCAGCATATGCATTCTGAGACCAGTCAGCTCTTGTTTTCATCTTGAAAGGACTCATTGTGCCTCTAAACAGGATCGGCTTACCATGAGAAAAGTTGTTCCAGCTGGTATGACTGCATCTTCCCAGATAATCTCTTTGGTGTTGACTCTCGGCAGGCTTGTAGGCATGACGGTCCAGAAACGAAGAACCTCCTTACAGAAGGCGGTCATGTAAGTCAACTTTTCCTCCTTGAGACATTGGTTCCACGCGCCACCGTCGGGATAGTGTTGGACGATTTCCTGATAGAGCTTCTCTTGGATTTTCTGACCCTCTGGCGATGACAACGAGGCAATACCTAGCAGAAGACAGGCAGGAGTGGTGTCCAGACCACCAGCGACCATGCTAATGCAGAGCGATTTCACCTCAGCACGATTCAGCTTGTATTCGGGATCCTTCAACAGATTTCCCAAAATACATGGTCGGTCTGTCCCCGCTGCCATCTTTTGCTTCAGTCTCTGCAGCAATGACTCCATGTACACGTCGCGTCTGTCTTTAAGGTCGCTCGCCGTCTGAGTCCTCGTCGAGATCCATTTCATGAACGGAATGAAATCTTGCCAATTGTTGCTGGTGCTCCTAATCGTACTGATTCCACGTTCCACTTCGATAATTTCCTTCAGCAGGTGATCGTCGACCTTGGTATTGAGGCGGAATCCATAGCAAATTGTAAGACTCATGTTGAGTGCCAGGCGTTGAAAAAAAGGATATGGGTCCACGTCAACCCGATGTCCATCCTTCGATGCAATGCTCGCCAGTTCTTTGATGCTGGCAGATGACTCGAGATCAATGTACGGGTTGTATGAATTCAACGCCGTCCGATTGACTGCCGAAGCTGCAGCCTTCCGCCTTCGTTTGCAGGATTCGTCCCATGGCGATGTCCCGATCGTGAAGCCTTGCGAGCTGGAGAGGACATTGTGGAAGGTATGCAGCGTAGGTCGAGAGGTTAAAGCTGACTGGTTTTGAACCCAAAGTTTCCTTATTGAGTCAAAGGTATTTGCCACGACAAATCTCTGTTCAATGTTAATCTTTAATTTCACGGCCTCATCTCTCTTCTTTACCAGGGGAATTTGGCTGTGCGCCTTACTTTGTTGCCCAATCTGACCTGGTACACAGGCCCATACTTTCGAGATAGCTCTTGATATTTTACAGGATGACACTTCCCCAGTTGAAACAAGCTGCCAAACAACGGAATCCCTGGAATACAAGGAAGGGACTTGATGTGCGGAATATCAGTGCGATCGACAATGACAACGGCAGCAACAATGAGGAGCAACAAGAGCCCACACAGATTCACTGTCGTTGCCTGTTTCAAGGCAACGCCGACATGATACAAGGCTTCTGAGCTGATAACGTTGACGTCGTGTTTCCCTGAGATGAGCGACATTGTTTCGGTACAGGAATTCTCGAAAGTTGTCACCTTCTCTGGCGCAATCGAGGCGTACTCACCTAGCTATATGGACGGCCGGGGCAGGTGTTCATCCGCCACAACAGACACATGACCTTCGAATGCTCATACGGGCAAAAGGAAACATCCTGAGCCAAAGCCACGGTGTTACACTGCTGGCATGGAACATTTTCCGCGCCTCAATTACGCAACAAAAACCATCAAAATCAGTCGACGGCATGGCCGGTGGAAAAGCCTGCGGAATCTCCGCCGGGAGCATTGGTAGGAGGCGAGATTGGACGTGTTATCTGTCGGACGACGTGCATTGTCCATTTGTGGGGAATTCCAAATCCATTGTTGCGAGGACGTGAGTGAGGATTTCGAGGACAGAGAGAAGGCTCTCCTCGTCCTTGCAGAGAACTGGGTAATAGGCAGGTCCATACAAAGAAAAGAGACACACCCTCTTCCACAAAGTCCTACTTTGTCGGCGTTAAAATTCAAAACGGACAACGGTCGTACCCGGGGCTACTTGATAGGATGAAACGCTAAACGGACACCTTGGGGGGGCACGGTCAGAATCGAATACAGTTGGCCGGGGAAAGAACGGTAACAGATACCTTTGAACGGCAAAAGTTTTCTCTCTGTCTATGAATGAAGCCACCTTGTCTTCGGCGAAGGCTCGATTCGACCACTACATTCTCCAAAGCCTATCATCGTCGTCGGGTCGCTACCACACCATCCTCGAATGGTGACCGTGTCTCCATCCTCCAAGAATGTTCTATGCAGGGAATTCGACAATGCGAAGGATTGCTTTCCACCGTTGCTTGCCTCTAGCAACGACCCCAAAGTTCCGGGCTGTGCTCCGCTTATGGTCCCTGATCCTATCAAATCGCCAACCTCCATTGGGCATCCACCTATTGTGTGGTGAGCGAGCATTTGCGCGTATGAGAAGATCAAATTTTTGCCGTTTGTTCGACTGAGAATTGCTGGTTCACCACTGGCAGCTATTTTGAACATGAAGTCAGTACGTCCGCAGCAACGAAGTGAGACTTTTAGATTTCTTACGAGTCAATTCGACTTCCAAGTTGATATCAAACACGTTGTCTGTCCTGGACTGGCGTAGATGCGGCAAAAGCGTCGTCTCGTTTGCCATTCCCGGTGTTCGGAAAGGGGACAACGCGTCCGTCAAGACGACCCAGGCACTCACTGATGTACCAAAGTTCTTTGCGTTGAACGGTCCAAGGGGAACCGCTTCCCATTGCTGTATGTCTCTGGCGGACCAGTCATTCAGTAAGACGAGGCCGAAGATATAGTCTTCAGCTTCATCGACGTCAATGGGCTCGCCCATAGGATTGGACCTGCACAGAAACGCTCCCAATTCCAATTCGATATCCAGACGGCGGCAAGGCCCAAGGACGGGAACTTTAAGTTCCTGCTTTTCGAGATATTGACCCAGTGGTCGCCGAATGGGCGTTCCTGACACCACAACGGAAGAGGCACGAGATGAATAGCCGACCGGAAGGTGCAGATAGTTCGGCTGAAGCGCATTCTTTGGATCTCGAAAGATGCATCCACAATTGAAGGCGTGGTTCTTGCCGGCAAAGAAGTCCGTGTAGCCTCGAACTTCCATGGGCAGGTGCATTTCAATATCCTTCATGGATATAAAGGCTTTTTCTCGTAGTTCATCATTGTCTCTGAGGACCTCTGGTAGCTTTGTGTTTTCAGACAGGAGCTCCTGGAGGTATGCTCGAACCTGCCGATGAAAAGGTCGACCAAGCGCGGCAAAGTCATTGAGCGTTGGTTGGAAGAAAACGACAATATTGTCCTTGTTGACCGCTGAAAGACCGTCGAAGCCTCTTTGTGCAGCGAATGTGCTAAGATCAAGTGCGAAGTCTCCAATGGCAATTGCGGGACGCCTGGAATTGTTTTGCAACGTCGTGATGATGCCGAATGGGATATTGGCTAAAGTAAATGGACATCCTTGGGGCACTGTGATCCAGCTAGATGCTGCCATCTTGGCCGTTGAAAGATAGGCCAACAGAGACTTGAGAGAAGGATCTTTCAAGAGACTTTTATTCTCTAGGATGGAGTCCTTCCCAGAGAATCAGAGCCATACATATTCCAGCATTCAGCTGCTCTCCAGCAAAGATTGTGGAAATCCGGTGTTCATGACTGTGGTGGTGGGCTTCAGCTCACTCTGGGCATACCCACATCAGCGGATTCTCCGGTCGGCCACCTAAGGATCTTGGAGGCAGATTCATAGACATTCCGCTTCGGGGATTAAGAAATTAGTTGCGACTTCTTTTCACCGATTAGATTGGATCAGGAATTTCTCATGACTCGGATTGTCCTTGGCCCTCTTTCATCACGAGGCTCCGAGGCAAAAAGACCCAAAGAATTATGCCTTAACTCCCATTGTTCGTCACTTGAATGACGTTTTGGGACATGAATAGTGGATATCTCAAGATGGCGTCAAGTCGACTAGTCATTCGAGATGGATGCATAGGCCCAAAATTCGAAAGCCTTGGCCGAGGCTGTTTTTCCACGTCCATTGGATCAAGTCTGACAGAGCCAGATATCCATTTTATGGCCATCCATAACCCATATCGGGCACTTCTCCAAGAGTCTGAGCCCATTCTGTCCAAAAAGAAGATGCTTCGAATTCAGAGCCTTCTGGCACGAACGTGGCAAACAGGTCACTAGTGCCCAACCTCTCTGCGGACATTTGCTGTCCGAATGGGAGGATTCCTGGTATGGGGACTGCTGTAGCAGTCCTATGACCGCTGGCAAATCCAGGGACGGTCGCATTGCTCTCACCATCCATTGTTGCTGGATACCTTGTGCTGGTGCCCGCCGAATGTTCATCATTCCGATCGTCGTCACTTCTCATATCTTGCAAGCTTCTACGGCGATGCGCCTTTGCTCTCTCCAAAGTCTGCTTGATAATTGCGATGGCTTTTCTCGTCACAACGGTCTCTTCCACCGCATCAAGCACGGTGATTGCTCGATTCACACACCCAAAAATAGTATCTGAATCAGCAAGACTGAGGGGATGGAAAACACCTATGAGCAAGATGGTTACGGCATAGAGGACATACGTCGTATTATAGGACCTGCATAAAAACATCAACGCAGGATACTTTGTCTCTCAGGCGCGCGCGTACCATGTCTGGAAAAAGTTATACTTGGCGAACGTCTCATGAACTAAGCTGATCGTTGCCATGGCTGAGCTGATGCAAATTTGCCAATGATTCTGCACCCTTGTTCTAACATCTTGATCCTGCGTGGAAAATCCTCCAGTGACTGAGCTGTGAATCACCATTCGAAGGTTGTGATAGCCTGGCGATGAGATTAGTTCAAGCCATGGTAGTCAAGCCAAGTTAGACCAACGGAGTTGAACAACAATTCTTTGCTTTTCTTCAAAGGTGATGGTCCAAGTTGATTTGAGCGCTTGAGGGGTGACACCGTTGGTCTTTGAGAGCTGCGGTGGTAAGCTTTCTAACCAAACATCCAGTTCGTGTTCAAGGATGGCAATCTTCCCGCATTTCACCGCGACTGGGTCTTGAGTTGCGTAAAGATCAGACGCTACGTGTCGCATGATACGCGAGAACGAGACCATGACGGGAAGAATTTGCAGACCCCGGTCTTCCGGCATTCCAATATCCTGCGGTGTTACCTTTTGCGAACCGGGGAAAAGGCATGTATGGAAAACGTCGAGACCAAGCCCGTCTGGTCGTCCCAGCGCGAAACTTGTCTGACTAGGGTGTTATTAGACTGTGTTTTGCGAAAGGTCTTATCGAAAGGCAGCTCACATGTCGAGACAATATAACGACCTGAACGACAGTTAGTGCGACGCGGTGCCACAAGTCTCGGAGTACACACCACCAGGTTTGCCATGATTGCTTCGAATCCCTCCTGACCGCATCCATAGCGGTGGACGGCTCACGATTTAATCCTATTGCCAGTGCAATTCTGACCGCCTGACCCACGTACAAATATGTGACTATTTTCATTAGTGGGAGGACTTTTGAACGTCGGGATACTTGGTATGTGGCGCACCGTGGGGGTTGAGCTCATGTTGCGCGACCTTCGCCTGAGAACTAGATCAGCAATGGAAGAGTATTCTACGGGAAAAACATTACCATCATGTAATAACACTGAACCATGTCCAAGTTCGTATGGTTTCCAAGGCCTGATAAAACCTCGCAAGCTTCCTTGAACAATTTTCGGCTCCATTCCAAATTCTCCAGGCCACCGAATTTCCCGGTTTTCGGGTGCGCAAGGACCGCGCCCAGAGACAAGACACTATAATACAAAGCCAGAAAAGGGCAGGGAAATGTCACTTTATCAGAGAACCATATATCTTCGCAGCGTGCCATAAAATCATCTTGGTCCAAAACGGGCTGGATATGATGAAGATTGTCAAAATAAGCGTCAATAAATCTCCTCGAAACTCGAAAATAGAGTCTTTCGCGACCAACAGATCTACCGCTCGGATGGGCCGCCGAGTTTGTGGGCGAGTCGGGGGGGAAAGAGGTGTTGTGAAGGAAGGAAGCGAATGATGTTCGCGTCGTCTGCTCAGAATAGTAGTCTCCTCGTTCGCCAGACAAATTGGGAATTCTTCGGAGAAAGGCGATGGGTGAGGAAGGACCGTAGTATTCCCAGCCTTGGGTGTGTACATTAAGATCGGTGGTGTCGGGTATCGATGCATCACCGTAATCTGTCAGCATTCCCACGCCAGAGCTGCTGGTATCTGCATGAGCAGGGGCCTCTAAATCCTGCTGCGACGACTCGTCGGCAGTAGAGCTCGTCATATGATGAGGCGGGCGGTATTCTGCAATGGAACGCACGGAGTCCTCGGTCAAATTATTCGAATCCGACTTTGGATGAGAATTTTCGGCTCTTCTGAGCTTTGCTGTCAATTCCGCTATTTTCCTCTCCAAGGCCTCTATTGTTCTGTATGCGCGAACTGTGAGCCAATGGCCAGTCCAATGGATGAATGTCTGGTGGTCACCTCGATTCCTCAACTGGCTGTGGTCTCGCATATGTGCATTCCATGCCGTGCGCTTCAATTCAAGTCAGCAGATGATGTCAAGTTCAACCTCGGCGCCACTGTAACATACCCACGCAGAAGGAACATGGCTGCCGCTCATCGCAGCGATTTTTCCGCGTGCGACAGAACTGGCACGCCTGCAATGCTCGAGGTCGCTTCCGCTGCCGCGACGCGATCATGATTGGAACACTTTGGCTAGAAAGTTTTTCCTTGGGCTTAGTTTCGTTGACGTATGGTAGGATGGCCGAATGGTATAGAAGTCATCAAGGATGATGAAAGTGGTACCGCGGTAGATAACTCCGTAGCGTCAGCCAATCACGTGATCCAAGGCCTTGACTCGTCCAGGAGCAGCCCTAACATGAATTCATTCTAGTGAGGTTTTGATGTACCAAGAAATAAAGTGGACGAGCGCTAGAACCGTTGCCAGCTAGAAAATCAAACGGCGCGGTCAGGATCTACTCTTATGGTCGCAGAGCTCCATCCGCCCTTCGACGATATGATTCCAACAAATGTAACTACTACCTATCCAGTTAAGCATGTTACTTGTTCGATCCATTAACCACCAGGGATGATGAGTCGGGTGGTCGAAACAAATCTTTCAAGCCGACCCAACTCTCATCGCTATAATTTGCTTGAAGCTTCTGACATTTTGTCAGGCCCCAATCTGTGACGCCAACCATGTAGCAACTCTCGAACATGAATGCCATGCTTCCTACACCAACCTTAACCGGCTTCAGCTCTTCGTTGCTAGCCCTCTCGAATGCTGCCGTATCAGGGCCATGCGAGCTCATACAGTTGTGGAGGCTTGCGCCGGCAGCCTGAAAACCTCCAGTGCCGCCTCCTTTTGCAATGTAAGATCCGCTAATCAACCCCATAAATTCCGACATGACATTCCGATGGTACGAGGGTGGCCGGAAGGTGTCTTCGGCAACTAGCCATCTGGGAGGGAAAATAACGAAATCGGCGATCGCTGTTCCAGGATGAGCACCGGTTGTAGCCGTGAGCACCGTGTTGAGTGACGGATCTGGATGATCATATGATATGGTTCCGATGGTATTGAACCGACCCAAGTCGTACTTGTAAGGATAGTAGCGGCCTTCCCATGCCACAACATCAAAAGGCGTGTGGCTCTGTTTGGCGGAGAAGAGCTGTCCGCAGAACTTGTTGTAGACCTTCCATTGAGAATTCGTGTCGTGCTCGAAGGATGCCACAGGAATCTGAAAGTCGCGTGCGTTGGCTAAACAATTCGAACCAATGGGACCGAGCTCCGGAAGCTGAAAATGGCCTTGATAAAGTTCGAGTATATACCCCCGCAGCGGTGAGTCCTCATCTACCAAGTCGACTCGATATCTGATGCCGCGAGGGATGACACAGATCTCATTGGGTCGGACCAGGAGCCGACCCATCTCGGTCTGAATATCCATGGCGCCCGTTTGCGGGACGATGAGCATGTCTCCATCAGCGCTATAGAACGCGGTCTTGCTCGGCATAGACTTGTTCACGGCGTAGATGTAGTATGCCACCCCTTGTTTGAGTGACACATCACCGGCTCCTGCCACCATATTCAATCCGCCTATCCAGTCAACTTCGTCACCGGCCAGATCAAATGGATCCCAGCGCAATTGATTGGGGATGTGGTTGAATTTGGCTTCGAATCGGCCACCAGAAGTCTCGGGCTTGAAGTCCGCATGAGCTGCCGATGGAATGATTCTGTAGACCCAAGTTTGCTGATTCTCCCACCGTGGGGCTGTGAATGAAGTCCCCGAGATTTTTTCAGCGTACAAGCCATATGGGCATTTTTGGGGGGAATTTTGTCCAATTGGAAGTGCGTTTGGTATGGCTTCAGTCCTATTGATATTCTCGGTTATTCATTCATCGACCAAACATTGACATTCTTCGATCTTACTCCAAGTTGGCCAAGAATCCAGTCTGATATTTGTATCGCTCAGGAACGGTGAATTGCGTGACAGGCATGGTTTCCGTGTCCCGTTGTCAAACTCGCAGGAAAAACTCGTTCACGCTGACGCTGCTTGCTGTAGAGAGAGATTTGATGCTGAAAGAACTGCGAGGAACCGCTCTTTAAGCGTGGTGCCATAGCGCGATAGATGGTCCTGGTCAAGCTTGCTTCGTGGAGGGGCGGAATTGCTGCATTGCCATGCCCCTGTCTCCAAGTTGTGAGGGGGGACAGCATAGTCTAGTGTCAGTCGATTGGTCCAATCCAATTGCGGCGGAAATCCCGTCAACAACAACCTCACTTGATTTAAGCCCGCCCGGTACAGGAGTTTGCTTACGAAAGCAACTTTTGGGATTGTGGTCCCAAAGTGGTGATGCTAATGAAGAGAAAAATTAAGAACAGTCACACAAAGTAAGGAATGGGGGTCAAAAGACCTGTGTCACGTGAGACACGCCGAGACAAGATCAACAGCCTTGCTTTGACTTCATCCTCAACCTCAACCTCCACTTCTACCTTTCAACCTCGTCTCCTTGTTACGGTGGTCGTCCCCTTCGCCCCCCAAAAAGTTTCAGGAAACCCATCTGACCCATCCCCGGAACCATACTGCCTTGAGATTTCTGGACAAGGGTGATGCAGCCGCCATAGCTGCAGCAACCTTCCCGCTGGCGAACCCAGACCCCGTGCCATCTTACAGCTTCAGTCCAAACGATGTTTCAATACCATCCCCCACGCCACCGTCCCAGCAAGGCCTTGGGAATGCCAATATTAGAAAGGCGAGTGTGGCGAGGAGCGCCCGATATCCGCGAGTAGCTGTGGTTCTGGGCGTCCAGCCTCAGTGGCATGTCCCCCTCTTGCTCTGCCGTGCCCTCTCAACCATTTCGGCAGCATGGTGGGCTTGCCAGACTTGTTTCAGTATCTACAACCTTGTATACGGCGTAGGACAGCACAATGACGGCCATTTACACAGCTTTGGCACTGAGTTGGTTCATGATCCAATTTTCCAGCGCATAGCGGTTGCGCAGATTGGGTTGAGCTTTTTGTGGGTAGGGCACCCTTCCTTTTCTTCCCGCTGCAGTCGAACTCGCACATTGATGGTTAACCAAAGCTTGAGTTTCAGTGCAGCCATGTTCTGGAGGATCTCAACTTAAGCTAATTAAACAATTCAGGCCGGCGCAGCTGCTTATCTAGCACATATGTTTGCATCCTCGCTGATGTCCCGATGGCTTCAACATTATTCCCCTTTCGCCGTCTTGGTTCGACTTTGCAGTCTGTCCATAGTGCTCTCCTTCGGCTGCATGCAAATATTTCGCCTTTCTGCAGCCACTGAAGCGGATCTTTTCAAGCTCAGCCGGAGCTTATTAGCGTGGATCACCATTTCGATTACTCTGATGCTTGTCTACTTTTGCACTCAACAGGATATCTCGGTAGAGATGGATAAGGACGACCGGAGACGGAGACAAACCTTGCGACTCAAGTGTTTATATGTGATTTCAGCCTGCAGTCTTGTGAGTTTGTTTATCCTTGTTTGTCTTGTACATGTCGACACAGTGACGTGGGACGGAGGAGATTTAGGGGCATTTATATCGTCAGCTGCGCTACACTGGCGGGAGCTTTCTGGAGGGATGAAGAAGGAACTATGACTCTTCTATCATCAACGACAGGGGCTTGGTGAGTCGTGGCGATATATGTACGCAGACCAGTGCGGGTTATCCTTAGGCTTTGGCGAATACTGAAACTATTACGATTCAACCTCTCGCATATTGAAATACTGAATCGAGGGGGTTTTTTTTTTTGTTGGGGGTGGGGGGTTAATAATAGTATTAGTACCAATACTAGAAAACAGCTATGTCTGGTAGGACCACTACAAAGCAGCCAGATGGTTACCTGGATGGTAAAAGTTGCGGTGCGATATGACATCAAGCCTCGGCCTGTTTCGACGGATCTTCAGCCTGTCCTCTGAACTTGAGATAGAAAGGTCGCTCGACGAGTTAGGATTCCTAGCATGTCTCCACCGTTCCCGTGATGTGAGCTGGGCGTGTTGCTATTGCATCTGCCACCTGAACAAATAGACCTTTGGACGGATTCTGTCGACATTTCTCTCGGTGTATATAATGTCCCTTCGGTACATCTTCACCTGGGCTCTGCTGCCTTCTGGCGAGGGTTGAAAGCCCATCTGGAGGCGTGTTTATGCAAAGGGAAGACTGGAGTCGGTTGCAATAAAGACGTTAATGTAAAGCCACGGATAAAATATCCCTAGCTAAGCTTTGGCCCTCTCATCATGTTGTTGCCTAACTTCTGTATCTGCTAGGTCGACGTGTCACGGAGATCCTCCCTGTATAAAGGGTTAAAGGTTCGTGCCATCGTGAACAAGATAATCAATCATATGCATCATTAGATATGTAGAATCTGAACAATAAGGGGCGGTGAGTGGCATGGAGCGGCATCAGGCTGACCCCCATCCGAGGCAAGTTTGGGCACTTGGATCGCCAGACGATAAGACGCCGATTTAGCTAATCGGAAGGACTGATTGGCTCCACTTGACTCCACGGCCGATGCGACTTCTTGCGAGTTCCTTATCAGGACTAGAGAAAAAGAGGGTTACAATATACGCGCGGTTTCAAATGTCGTACTTTCTTACAAATCCCTTCTTATGTCTCTTCAAAGTCCTTCGAAATAAGGCTGCTATATATTTCAGCTGTTGGACCGGGTGGTTTCTTGTTCCGGCTCGCAGTGGACATTCTGTCCATATATTCATTAACGCGTTGCATCAACAACGGACGTGAAAGCTTTCGAAAACAAACCTTCACGACTTGTTTGTTCTCACGTCGGTGAACTCCGACACATGCAGCAGTGAGAGAGTCGGTGGCTGTGGAAGATGAACAGTGCGACGGACGAGACTCAACCATTGCTTCGAGATGCAGACGTCGAGGGATCAGACAAAGCCGTGGATGAGGACATTGTCGACTTCGATCCCAATGACGACTCGGAGAATCCTCGAAACTGGCCTAAGGCTTACAAATGGGGAATCGTCGCCTTGCTCGCCTTCATGTCCTTCACGGTGTACGTATAACACACTCCCATATATCCCAGCCTGGTTATCTACTAACGGCTACCTCAGAACATTCACCTGTATTTCCGTTGTTCCCATAGCTAGCGCCATAGTATACGATTTGAGCGAAGGACACTCTCGGAAATCCGCCAGCGTTCTCCTCGTTACAATCTGGGAACTGGGTGAAGCCGCCGGACCGCTTTTCATCGCGCCCTTGTCAGAGATCTTTGGCCGCTCCTCTGTCTACAACGTGGCCAATGTTCTCTTCGTCGCCGCGACCGTCCTGGCGGCATTGTGCCAGAACACTCCTCTTTTCATTGCCGCAAGAGCTCTGACAGGCCTCGCGGTGGCGTCGAATGTGTTGAACCCGGCCATTGTGGGCGATATGTTCATCTCTGAACAAAGAGGCTCGGCCATGAGTCTTATCATGATTGCACCTCTGGTCGGGGGTGCTGTGGGACCGGCAATCGCCGGTGGCATTGCTCAGAGCCTGGGCTGGCGACAGGTGCTTTGGATGGCTGTTATCTTGGCCTGTACATGCGAAGTGATATTCCTCATCTGCTTTCGCGAGACGTATAAAGTGACCATTCTGAGCAGAAGAGCTGCCAGATTGAGGAAGGAGACTGGCAACCCTGCCCTGCGGACCGTTTTTGATACCGAGGAGAGTGATGATGGTCCCAACGTTGATGATGAAAAAAGCTCAAATAAATTTTGGAGATCTATCATGCGGCCGGCCGTCGTGTTTTTGGGTTCGGACGTGCTGCAGGCCATGTCACTTTTCAGCTCCCTACTCTTCAGCTATTTCTACATCATGTCTACCACGCTGCCTGATATCTTGCAAGATCTATATGGCTTGTCACCAGCCTTGACGGGATCTGTTTTTATCACCTTCAGTGAGTTAGGCGCATGTCTCTTGGGTCAGTCATTTTGTGCTAATATGCCTGCAGGTATTGGTTCTGCAGCTGGCCTTGTGCTTTGCAATCTCACTCTGGACAGGATCTACGTCAATCTTCGTGACTCTTCTCCGAAGGGCATTGGACAACCAGAGTACCGACTCCCCTTGGTCATCGTTGGAGGCTTCGGAGTCCCTCTTGTCGTTGCAGCGTACGGCTGGATTGCTCAAGCACGTCTTCCCCTGTGGTTGCTTCTCATATCGCTGGGCTTGCTAGGGTCGACATTTATACTCGGCTTCTTACCTCTGTTGGCCTATATCGTGGACACATTCAAACTCTACTCTGCCTCTGCCATGACCGCCATCATCGTCACACGATGTCTGATGGGCACGTTCTTGCCGCTGACGGTGGAACCTTTAGTTAAGGGGCTTGGGTATGGCTGGGCATTTACCGCTTTATCTAGTGCTAGTCTTTGTCTCGCGCCGATTCCAGTGCTGCTTCTCAGATACGGATCAAAATGGCGGCAACGGTCAGAATACACACAGGATGAATGAGACCAATGTTACAGAAACGATCTTAACAATTGGGCGAGCTTCGCGACCAAAGGTACATCTCCCTGCATATATCTCCAATCCTGTTGAAGTTAGCGGAATGACGGATGTCAACACGGACTCGACCACTGCACCAATTGCGCAAGGATAGTTTCCCTTGTTAGAGATATACCTACATTCATACTAGCTTCTTTCGTGTTTCGTTTAACGTCTACCCATTTCCCATCGAGCTCTTTCAAGGTCAAGCCATCGTAACAAAGTGAAAGCGTTTCACTTTTCCTACTGTCCCATATTTCTGAGGCTACAAAACATCACAGAGCATTCATTGAGAACCATCAAGAACATGAAAGACGCGAGTCAATGAAAGCAGCATTGGCCTTGACTTGGAGAGGTTGCTTCAGGCTTCAGGCTTTAGGCCACTAGACTGGCGTAGAATCTGCAATGAGATCTCTGTTATCTGGCAAAGCCTGTCGAGATTTTGCCAAATGGATTACGTTGAGGGCTCTGAGGGCCGTTGTAGCCAGCAACTCGTGCGTTTATATATAGACTATCAAAGGCAGCCCCCCTGCTTGGCCACCAGATTTCTAGGTTTTTAGGGACTGAGATATCGTCTTACCTTCAGCACATTGAATTCCAGTCTGGACCAGTCTATAGAGATCCTTGCCGATGCTAGGGACCTCGTCGTGGTGGAGTTGTCGAAGTGGTAATTATGAAGTTGCCATCGTAAAAGGGGTAAACGCATTGAAAATGGCATAAAAATATTCCAACCAATCAAAGCTAGCCATTTGCGGAGTCGCGTGGTTCGTACTGTACCACAGAGATGCCAACGTGAGGCTTAAGAAAAACGTCTTGGTTTTGAATCTTGTTCGAATTCTGTGCGAGTTCCTTACAAACGACAACTCTGCAAGCCGAAAAGCGGGTCGGAATCGATCAGGGCCTGGTATGGGAACTATTTTTATACGGAATGAGAAGAATGGCTCCTCCGTTGGAAATCTGTCCTTGCTCGAACACCGGCGTCTATCCGCCTTCATCGTTAGTCAACGACACTGAGCTCTTGAAGAAGGCTCAATGCGGGTAACATGTCCTGTGACTGGTCGGATAGGAGCTTGACATCACGTAACAATCTGGCTGGTCGATCCACTTTGACAGGGTTTGTTTGGGACGGACCGCTATGTAACGTACTCCGTTCTTTGTTGTACATTGTCCCCACGGGGTCCCATTGATGGCGGGGATGGTCTGGGGAGCTTGAAAGACTCTGCTACGAATCAGACACCTCATCACGCCATTGCAACAGCATGAAAGCGGCGTGGATCCCTGAAAACGTGGACAAACATTCCATAGCGAGGGGCAGGAAAATATACTCTCTGCATGGATGCTTCGAATACAGAAGCACGAGGGCCAGCTTTTGATGGATCCTTCCCATTTTCATCTGAGGCTAGGTACCCAACGATAAGCCAAAAATATATCAAGTCGGCAGCATCTGCCTCATCACGGCCATCTCGGTCGTTAGAGGCGGTTTGTTTGGATTCGACATATCTGCAATGTGAGTTCCTACATGCCCTTCCTCCATCACGCTGAAGAGAAAGGGCGATTCATTGAGAGTAGTCTCGGTATATAATAGTCTGAGAACACAAACACAACAATATAAGTGCCACTTCAACCAAGCCCCCCACGATCCCTCCTGCGATGACAACCCCCCATGCCCTGGTCTTCACGGCGACGTGCAAGACGGCATTACTACGTCTATGGTTGGAAGCTCGTTTCTTGGAGCCCTCATCTCAGACCTCCTGACAGACATCTTCGGGCGAAACAAAGCGCTCCGCACCGGCTCTGTTATCTGGTGCACCGGGTCTATCCTAGTCCGCGCATCGCAGAACATCGGCATGCTCATTGTCGGGCCTTTCATCAACGGCCTCTCCATTCGATATCCGCTCCGACCCGGTGCCAGCATACGTATCTGAATTAGCATAACCTTAACAAACGCGGGCCGGTCATCGACACCACATAATGGGCACTCACCTAGGGGATCTTGATCGTGTTCTCCATCTCGCACGGACAGGACCGCCGCCGTCCGCCTTCCCTGGGCCCCACGGACAATTCCAGCCATTATTCTCTTCTATGGCCTTTTCTTCCTTCCCGAATTACTCCGCTGGCTGGCTCGAAAGGATCGCTGGGTAGAGTGTCACGACGTGCTCTCCCTCGTGTGCCAAGGTGATTGAAACCGTAAATTTGTCCTGTGCGAGTTGGCGGAAATCCAGGAGATGTGTGTGTTTGAACGCCGCAATAAATACATCTCATACTTGGAATTGATCAAGCCCAAGATGATCAATCGCCTGCACATCAGCTTGTTCACTCAGATCTAGGTCCAATCGACGGGCATGAATGTGATTACATATTGTGAGTGAAACCAACCCAACCCTCTTGTGATAACCATGATGGTTTGCCTACGTTGGTCTGATGACCACAAAGCGACTCCTGGTGGTGTTGATTATGTCCCCGAACATCATTTCGTGCTCTTACCTCGTGGTTGCCTCCTTTTCTCCGACGGGGGGCCAGTCAAATAAGACTCCCTCCCGTCTCTTTCAAACCCATTCTCGTTGTGAGGCTAACTGAACGAATGTACAGTTGACTCCATCTACCCGAACTCCTCCCTCAAACAGGATTTTCAGTTTCGCCCTCGGTTCCTTCACACCACCGGTCTTCATTCATGTCAAATTGGAAACATATCTGATCTTCGGGGTCTTCAGCTTCGCCATGGCCGTGCACGCTTTCTTCATGTCCTTTGAGATGGCTGCGAGTTTCTCGAGGAAGTTGAGGACATGTTCTTGTCCAAGACGCCTGCGTGGAAGACGGCCGCCGGGTTCAAGAAGGTCCGCGCGGTTGAGCAAGGAGAGAAAGTCAATCCAGAGAAGATTGCGGTGTATCGCCATTGCTCGCATGCTATGAGAGGGAGGCTGTCGATGCTGCTGCTCCTACAACTCTATCGAGAAGACCGCAAGAGTCGTCCGCTACATGGCCTGGATTCATGTTTCGCAGCGTGGGCCGCAGGCCTTCCGAGAGAAACCTGTCACTCTTCCCCAGCAATGCTTGAACACGACGGCGGAAGAGGATCTGGGAACATTTGGTGCTACCAGAGCCGGACGCAGGCCGGATCAATAAGTGAAATGATATGGGCGAGACAAGTGTTCATACATTCGGTTATTCATCTCGTGCCTCGGAGGAAGAAGAGGGCAACATTGATATAACGACAGATGTCCAAACATGGTACATCACTCGACGAAGGACCCCAGTCCAAGGTAGTCGAAAGCTCACAAACCAGGATCGAGGGACTCCAACGTTCTGATAATCTTATATATTGAAAGCTATCACGCGGAACTGGTAGCATCAATGAAAGAAAAGCCCGCCCCTTGTTTTGCCATCCAGAGAGTTACCAGCAGTCCATGTGCCATCCGCTGGTCTCGCCGTCATTCCTGGATTCCGACCTCATTCCAGCATCCTTAGCAAGATTTCTATCATGGGTATCATAAACGTATTCAACCGGTCCCATCCGTAACATGCTATCATGAATTGACCGCTGCCACGGCCAGCAATGGTGAAGAGGGAAGAAGTAATCGTTCAAGATAAAACAGTTTCTCGTCGGGCGACAACTTCTATCTGTCCTCGATGACCGAGCAGGATAGCATGAGATGCCGGCTGAGGCGTTTAGAAACCATGGACCTATACCACGGTCAGCGGCCAAGTACAGTTGGGGTTTGCCGATCAGATTCACCTTGATAGTCTTTGCATCGAGCTCGAGGCCATCTTTGGCGACCAAGAACTCCTGAACATCTTTGCGCTGATCTCCTTGAAGTTGAATCACTTCACCCATCTCGCTATCGGTGACGATTGTGCCATTGCAAGCTATTCTTGTCTTAGCCGCGATTCCCCCCTAATTGGAAAAAGAAACCAAAACCAAAACCAAATCAAGCGTACCGAATTTCTTCTTGATGACCTTGAGAATTTTCTTCTGGTCAAATTTCTTGGGGAGGCCTTGGACGGTGGTCAAAGTCTTACGACCATTGCGCTCTATGTGCCTGGTCAGTCCCATGCGTCTTTCTCTCGGGTTGCGGTTTCTTCTTACGCTGGATACGAATGTGGATGTAATTCTGGGACTGCTTCGCTTCCCCAGTATCGTCGTCGGCCTCCGCGAAGGGGTCTAGGTGAGACAGAAGTTAGTCACCAGCCGCACATGAGACGGAATATGTCCAAAGGCCATGCTGTCACAAAGGGCCATCGCGGGGAGTCCCAAAACATGCTCTCCAGCAGTGGCGGTCGACGTTTGTCGCTGAAAAGGCATGCGATGGAGTGATGGGTGACGGTGAAGATCGGGAAGTGGCAAGAGAAGGACTGGGGGAGAGGGGTCGCTCACCAAAGGTTTTGAGGTTTTGGATAGTTGACATAAACTCGTCTGTTGGAGGAACCGGTTGAGTTCAAGTAATGTGATCGGGTCGATAATATGAGCTATAGAGTGTACAAACTCGCAAGTGAGGGAGAATGGAGAGTTATCAGATGGTGTAGTTGTGAGAGAAGAAATAAGAGCCAGGTCAGGAGTGGTATTGGAGTGCGCAGTACCAGATATCCAGTTGGGTGGGGGAGAGCCGCAGCCACGGCGCCGTCACAAGTTCGCCCTCGTCCCCGACTCAGTCAGGTGCCAAGCCTGCAGTGACAACGCCCGCCACCACTGACAGAATTTGAATGTCCGTCATTGTCCACCAATATTGCCTCCTGATAAGTGATGACTCGGAGGTACTCCCATCCCAGTGCTTTGACAAGTGACCAGGAGCAGGGCATTATTTGGTATGCATTTGACTACGCCGTGTCCATCTCTGCAATTCAATTCTCGCGCTTCGCAACTTTCTTCAATTACGCGGTTGTTGCGGCTTTTCCCCCATGGAATCCGCCACTGGTCGAGGCGAAATTTGCCCCATACATCCCAGCATCCAGACAATGCCAATATATTCGCTCCCTTTATGTTGAAATCGCTGGCGCGGATGCAGATCCCGCTCTCGCATTAGGAGGTGGTGGGAGAAATAACGGCATATACGTCTGCGTGCCCTCTCATTTAGTATCTTTCTCACCACGAAGACCTGATCTGAACATACCACAGCGACAGCGAGCACTATGGGCGCCGTCAGTACCATCATTCAATCTCGCGTGGAACCAAATAGATACTCACGTGCCATGCCAAATGATAAATATCCTGGGGTACCGTTGCTTTGCCTTTGGGCAGGAGTCTCACCCAGCCAATTGAGAAGAGAGGTTAGGAGAGCGAACCTAACTCGGAGTCAACCCCAGGCTGTTTGATCCGCGATCAGCGCCTATCCCTACCATCCCAGCATCCTAGTGATCGTGGTTAATGGTAGTCATACACCAAATCCGGAGGATGTGCTGATACCTGTTTCTTGTAAACATCTGTCGTCCACATCAGCATTGGAACAATCTGTCAACTCCATGTACCACTCACAGCTGCCATGGGCATAGTACTGGTCAGCGTCGAACTGAAATCAGCCGGTTTCTCTTCTTTTGGCTCGACATAAGGGATGACTGAATCGTCGGTCGTTAGCAATGGAAATACAACCAACCGGAGCTTTTGAAATCACCGAGATCCATCCTTCGCATGTCCTTCTTCGAAGCCATTGTCGAGCCTCGATTGGAGACAATGTATGGTCTTCAGTTCAGCGAGACAACGATATGGGAAGAAAAATCAAAAAGAAAGAAACTTGCGCAAACCCGTATCCGGTGAAGCATTATGTATTCCCCTTCCCACTTTAGAAGGTGAGCCGACACAAGGCTGACTTGTCGGCAGGTGTGTGATATTTCATGATCCCATGGAACAAGCGCTACTTCCAACGCAGTCGCGTCTTGGTCCTTGATCGAATTCGAAGCTGACACTGTGGATGGACCAAATGAGGCATCAACAGATATCCCCCTTCATGTAGCCTACGCTGAAAAATATTTTCGGGTTGTGACCGGCGTATCAGAGTTGAATTCCAACATCCTCACTCTCCGGATGATGCTTTGTCTCGCTCTCGGTGGTTGTGTTGCCTCTACGAAATGGTTGGCATGTGGGACAAACTTGATTGGCACCATTCCCGGGTTTCTGCTTAAGTTCATGTGTCACCACAATCTTGGGTGGACGGGATTTCATATTCGTCTCCCTTGTCCCGACTCCCGAAGGCCCAACTCAAATCTCTTTTTAAGCGATCGGCCTGAAAGCACGGTTTATTCCGTGCGCGCCCGACCCGAATCAGATCCCATGTTCCTCTTTGCCGTTATCGAACGCCAGGCTTATTCAACGGGCTAACCCTTTTCGAGGCGGAGAATCAGACTGCAGTGTCTGGGGCATGCGGACTTAAGATATTACTTTGTCTGGAGAGCCGGTTGCGAAAGTAACATCGGGCTCTCCTATTGGTGTTATTAGGGGACGAGAAATTGCAGAATATCCAGCTTGTTTTCGCCATCAGCACCAAGGGCCCTTACCATGAGCATGTTACCGTGATTGAGAATGGAGTGCGGACGTTCTGTATGAAACTGTTGCAGGCATGCCATGGAATGTTACCCTCGGACGTGCATGCCATTGTTGAGGTGGACCAAAGTGTTCAGTTGGGGAGCAGGTGAGTCTCTCGACAGGGTGGTGGAAAGATTGGGGATAGTGATTAGCCGATTGAGGGCTTAGGTTGCTGCCGGTGCCAATACAATACTGGTAACTCGTAGTGAGGGCAAGTTATCTTAAAATATGCTCTTACCGCCTTCCTCGTACAAGTTGACAGACGGCTTGGTGAGAGACCCAGGATGAATATCGGCAACGACGATAGGGGACTCTTTGATGGTGAATCGGACAATCCTTTCTCGACTGAGGTTGACACGATCTGGTTCAGGGCCTAAAGGTATTCAAAGATTTGTTGAAGGTTTTCGCGAGGAAAAATGAATGGCACCTTAATGGGGAAGAGGAAGGCTGAGCGTACTCGTAGGGCGGCATCAGTTTCGTCCAAATCGAGGGATTTGCAGGGGCTTGGCACGTTCCTCCCCCATTCTCCGCATCAAACTTCGGGTTGTTTTTGCAGCATTGCGGTAGCTTCACCTTTGCCTCTACTTCATCACTAGCCTCTTACATCTATCGAACGTCTCTCTGTATTCTCGCTGGCCCCCCTAGGGTCAACGAACCATCCTCTGCCATGGTACCTTCCGGCCAACAATCTCGCCTCTGTCGTCAATGCGCATCTCGACTACCGTCTATCTCTTCTCGCCAATTTACTACCACCCGACGCAGAAATGCGGCGACGTCAATGGGGCCTGGAGCACATGAGGGCAAGCTCCCAGAGTTTAAAATGCCCAAAATGGCCTCCATGAAATCCAATTTCAAGAATATGGGCAAGAAAGAGGTGGGAGATGACCTGGGCAGAATCCCTAATGCCCTTATACTTCCCTCGGCCAAAGAGCTCCCAAGTTGGACTGCTCCCAAATTCAAGAGACTCAGAATCCACTTGTTGCACTTGAGACTGTCTCTTCAGAACTGGTTCGGGTACGAGTGGCGTTCTTTCACCCAACATCACCCCATCCCCCTCCCTCACTGACCCTTTCATAGACTTGCTTTCTATCTCTTTTGGGATGCACCGAAGGATCTGGCCACGGGAAAGAAAATGAGAAAACCCCTCGAACTCGCGAGCAGACATAGAGTGGCCCGATTGCTCCACGCAGAATTTAACACCGCTCTGGGCGTGGGAGATATGAATCGGTTGCAGAACGTTGCTTGTTCCGGACTGCTGTCCAAGGCGGCCGCGCGGATAGAGATGCGAAAGCAGTTTCGTGCCAAAGATGAATTTTGGACCATCAGACGATACCAGGGAATCAAATATCCGGTGCTTCTGGAGAAATGGCCTATTTCGGTCTTCCTGCCCGCTGCCAGTACCCGAGTGGTCTCGGATAGAATTGTCGAGCTACCTTTCCCAAATTCCAGTCTTCGTCAGTGTACCGTGCGGATACGAACCATACAGGAAGTCGGCTACGCGAATGAAAAAGATCTGAAATTATTGCCCTGCACAGAATATGTTGTCATTCAGAAAATGGTCTACAAAGGAGAAGCCGGGCCTTGGAAAATGTGGGGGACAGTCGAACCGTCCACGATGGAGGAAATTGACAAATTGCTTGATGGCAAGCAAGAGGGTACGTCTATGACCGACAGATTGAAGGAGAAGTTCATGTCGATGGCTTCGTCCGCTGGTATGTCATAGAAGGGATAGGGGCAATATTCAAAGAATCTTTTAACATGGATCGAATCACAGCATCGAATCCGGTCACATGCATGAGCTCTTCGCCCGATCCCGACATTACCACGGCCTTCCCTCGAAAGATGGCGGGCCGAAAACTGAGAGCTACCGTTCCAAATCTTGCTTTCCAGGGCTCAAAAATTTATCCGGCAGTGCGCAAGGCATGCTCATTTGGGGCGTCAGAACACCGGGACCCAGAACATAAACTTTGGCATGACCTTGGCTTCTTTGTTTCACTATTCGCAAGTTGTTTATGGGCTTACGTGTGGGCGGTTTTCTGACAACCTTACTAGAGAATCCTCCACCTAAGTCGATACAGCGGGAGGACTTCCTGCGAGGCGGTCAGACGCATGACATGGCATTGCACCGCATCTCATTGTTTTCCCCCTGTACTATACCATCCATTAAATAAGCCGATTCTTTCCGGGATATGGGCACATATCCATAAGAAGTTGAGCCTTGAAAAATTGGATATCTTTACCTTTGAATATTCCCCCCATTTTCAAAACTCTGGTCTTGGGAATCTATCATGTTCAAAAGTGGAAGGGGGAAGGGGAACGGCTTTCTTCTTTGCTAGTACGGCATCTTCTCAACCATGCTAAGCAGGTCCGAATTCAAAAAAACAGGTTCTTCCGCATCTTCTCGACTTAGATTTGAATGCTCGTTTCGAATGGTTGATCGAACTGGAAGTTTTTATTTTATTGTCGGGTGACAACCAATCACCAACCAAGGCAGGCGAAGTTCAAAGAGAAGCTCAGAATGGGTTTCCAACCCCTTTTGAGGGTAGTAGGAGCTCCCATTTTTCTATTCAAACAGCCAGCTTTCCACACATCAATCCTCCTCTTTCTTTTCTTGCTTGTTGCCCTTCCCCAATAAAACGGCCCCGTCAAGACAGGGTTGGTCGTGGAAAATGAAAGTTGAAAAGCCTGTAATCAGGCCGTGGCTGAGGTCATGAAAATCATAACGTCGTTAATGTTCGAAACAGGCCGCTTACATCCAGTCCCTTCCAAAAGGGGTTTATATCGTTCTCTTTCCATTTGAGATATGTTGAAAAAGATGCCTCTGTCGAAGTGCCATAATCCTTCGCTTGAGAATGCCTGCCCCCCCAAAAAAAAGGAAAAAAGAAAAAAGTATCTTTCAAGAACGGAAGTGAATGCACTGCTGTACAAGTACCGAATTTTTCTTCCGATGGGTCCCGATACAGGAATCCTTCTTTGTGGAATCTTGGGCGGAAATTACCAATTCGGATCGAACCTAGGAAATGCATGACGATCATGGGGGTCGTAGGGGGGTCAGGATTGTAGAGGCTCATCGAGCCAATGTTCGTAATCCACAAATGTCATGAACGCATCCGTCTTCTTGGTAGCCGATTACTTCCTTCCATGCGCTGATTGAGGACTTCCCGAAGTACAGGATCATCCCGATCTCGATCCTTGTGGTGTGCTCGAACGTGTCGTTGTAGATTGTCCGGCCGGGGGTACTTGTGTCGCTGATCTGGACAAAATGGACAGATATATCCTGGAGAAGTATGGACCAAGCCATGTCTATAGCAGAACGTAATTAGCTTAATTGAAAAATTGGCATGGAGTGGAGAGAGAATCGTCTCACCTCAGCATTTCGTTCTTTCTCTTGAAACCCTGACCGCCAGGACCACGCGGACAGCCGGAAACGGGACAAAAATGCGTCCTTGTATCAGAGTGCACGTTCATATGGCTGTTTAGGAGGTACTGTGTTTGGAAGGGCGAGGCATTACATCCTTGAAATGTGCACTTATAGTTGCCAGTTGCGACACGAGTCGACATGGAGTGTAGTGCGGCTGGAGGTTTTGGTCTTGGTTTCGGTTCTGGCTCGAGTTCCGGTTCCGATTCCGACTCAGGCTCCGTATCAGGCTCCGGTTCCTGTTTGGGTCCAGGTTGCTGGTTACACGACTCAGGCTCCGTCTTGACGACGATTGATTCTTCCTGTACCGTCTCAATTACGTGCTCAGGTACTGCTGTTAATAAAGGAGGGTTTGATGCTGCTGGAGACGGCGCAGTAAGCGACGAGGCTGGGGTAGAAGCTGCTGCAGAGTTGGCCGGCGTATACTCCGAGGAGGTGGACATCGAACTATCGCGAGTTGTGTTCCGCCAATTAATAAACGATGGCGGACCCGGAGGCGACATAACAGGTTGTGGCGAGTGATATGAGCACAGAGAGGGCCCAGAATGACTTAACTGGTTGGGGGATGGACGACCCAGGATTGGAGATAGGCTCGCATACCGATTTGAGCCTGAGTCATGGAATTGACCTATTGTCGTTCTGAGAGACGGTAATGTCTGCCTCTGTTCCAATGAACCTGCCGGTGAAGACTGCGGGGGGGATTTCTGTATGGTCGGCAAAATCATGTCTGGATCTGGATCGGTAGGAGCGATTGTAAATTTGTCGAGGACTGGGGACATTAGCATTGGGTGCTCCGCATCACGGCCAGGTTCGAGCTGCAGTCGTAACCCTTCCATTCGTGGCGCGGACCTTGCAGGTGGGCGTGTGTTGTATATGGTTTTGGACAGATCCTGTGACTTGGGAGTGGTAGCATCCGGATGCCGGTTCGGGAAGCTGGTTTGGGACACATTTTGAGAGATAGCAGAAGGTGGAACAGATTCCTCGTCGTCCCAACTCTGTGGCGTGTCGATCATAGGAAAATCCGACCCTTCCCTGTTATAGGGGGCCTCCAAAGCGGACACATCACGGTCCCTCGTCTGGGCGGAGGCGTTTGGAAGTTGTCGTTGGGCCAATGTTCCACCCGGTTTGCTGAGATGTCTTCCCGCCTCCGTCTCGTCATCCTCCTCTTCATGATCACTGAGTAAGGGTGGAGGATTCTTTTCCGAGTAAGTTGCTAACTCGACTTGATTGGGATCTAGCGAACGAATCAGTACGCCGTCGCCTAAGGATGGGCTGCTGCGACTCTTCCGATTGTTACGTCTCTTCGACAGTCTGGGTTCGTCGGTCTCCTCTGCGTCGGTAGAATCAGATGACTGGTCACAGGCGATCAGGGGCGGTGGTGTTTCCGACGATTTGAAATTCGGTTTTACCGGCGCCAGCTGGGGCGATCTTTTCAGTATGTCCCTCTCGAAGTCGAAATACTGGTCTGGAGCTTGGGACATGAGTGACCCAGACAATCACATGTCAAGCTTATCGAAGACGAGGTGAGACTGGGCCAGCTGGGAGAATGTCGCGACGAATGGGCAAGTGGTCGTCAACGACCAATATGCCCCGAAATCTGTAGGGAACCTGAATGCCATGTTAGCGTCCGCCACGTCTAGAGACATGGGCAAGAAGGAATTCGGGCACAGTCCGGGAGAGAAGATGGCATCAAATAAATTCCACAAGTGCATCGGTGACCGAGAAACGTGTAAAATAATGTGTGAAAGCTGAACTCGGGCTGGTTCCTGATGTGCCAGGCCGTTTCAGCCCGGACGTCAAGTGCCACTCATAGAACATGTGGGGAGAGATCAGGTAAGGTGTATGGGACCGTTCATGGATCGAACGCTGGAGAGGTTCGGATTCTTTGGAAAAGAAGAGAAAAAGATTTGGCAAGACGCTCTCGTACCGATCGATATAGTTGTGTTTGAGTGAGGCCCCAATGCCCTTAGATTCAACGAATCCGACTGGCAGAAGTCTTGTAAGGAACACGAAGGCCCAAATCGATATGCCACTCGGGCTGGGGGTCGAAGATTGTGAGGTTCAACAAAAGTTGGAGAGGATGATTTCTACTTGCGAGGCTGATGCGAGATCGAATGAAGGGCCCCGAGAGATGTCACAAGCCTCAAGGAGACATCCAGAGGCGAAGGGACTGGAGCCTTGGAGGCTGAGCAGGGTACACTGCCACACGGGAGATGGATGAGTGCTTCCGTATTGATGATGGATCCAAGAAAAAATGACAGGGGATCCTTTGAATAGAGAAATCGAGAGCTTAGGATGCTGGTGTTGAATGGAGATGCCAGTTGGTACGCATTGTAACGTTTAATATTGAGAGGAAATTTTTGATGGCCGATGCTATTCTCGTCTCTGGTAGCGGCAACCAAAAGTGCTGGGAGGCTAAAAACATCGAGCGTGCGGATCGGTGAAGTTGGGTGTGGGTAAGAGGCTCGAGCAGGCTCTCGTTGGGCAAGGGTTTTGGGCGACTGGTGCGAAAGCCAGCTAGGTCACGAACGGTCAAGCCTTGTCGGCAATGGGAATAGTGGGAGGGAGGGAGAGAGATCGATGTCTCCGGGCGCAACTTGTCGGGGCAAGTTCCAAACCGGGTTGCGGGCCAGGATGGTGGTCTTTCTTGGACATGAAAGGATGTCAGGTCTTGATGGGCGCATGATGACAAGTAGCCTTTACAGATGGAGGGCCCCCGAGGGGTTGATACCGGCTTCCTGTTGCTTGCGAACAGTTTCTTTCCCTGTCGTCATTATTTGTTCCACAAGCTGAAGCTAAAGCTAGGGCCAAAAGGCGAGACAAAGGGCGCCGCCCATATTCATCATACTTCATACCCATATCCCATACCTTAGCTTCTGGCGTGAAGCTTTCTCATTTGATGCCTTTTGGGCTTCAAAATCACTTCAAGAGGGCAATAAAGTCTGGCTGTGTCCATGCGCTGGCACCAGGCTAAGCGCACCACCTCGACCTCCTCTCACTCTTGCAGTCGGTACAGCGTGTCGAGATGCATTCTGCTAGTTGAGCGCATTTTCTTTCCTCTCATACAACTTTCGCTAGTGTCCCCCCCTCCAGGATGCTCATTCATGACTTCTAACACCTCATAGGCCTATGCTTTGCCCAATGAGCCTCCAAGCCCAAAGAGCCTCAACTAGACAAGACAAACCAATTTTAAGTTCATGAGACAGCCTCCGATTCCTGCAAGCTTTTCGCCTAGGAGCCGCAAGAACAGGCTTTGAGTTTTGCATGCACAAGACTTGAAATCCTGACTCAGGGAGGGCATCCAACCTATCCCCAAAATACCATCACTGATCGGTCTTTGGAACTAGTGGTCTGAGGAGGCGCTTCACATCTGGAGGATGCTCGGCTCACATCACGAAAAGGATTTTGTTTTACCAATAGCATCGATGCAAGATATGTGTTGTTCTCAACAGTCAATTTGTACGGGCACGGATGGATTGACGGGACTTCAGGGTCCGGGGCCTAAGCACACGGGCTAGAGTTCGTCGTATCCAGTTTCCTTGAACAACTCTCTTAGCGTGCTGACCCGAGGCCTTTTGAGAAGTACCTCGCTTTTCCAATACGTCTACACTACCCCACGCGAATTCCCAGATGAATCCGCCGATCCTCCCTCATTTTGTGACCCCTTTGGCTATATTTATGAGCCGGAATGCCATCCTCTTTTCTGGGTGAAGCTGTTCAGAATAGGATACCTGCAGTAACATGAAACCTGGCGCACCGGCCAAATTCAATTCACTGCCCATCGAGATGTATTCTCACTCCAATCAACAAAATTCATGCATTTAAATCCAGAGGGGATTGACCTTTTTGAGACCATCGGGTGATTCAACTCTCGTCCAAAGCAAGAACGTTGTCAGGCCACTGGTGATTCGATAGACACTAATGTAGCTGACGACCTTTTTGCGGTGGCTTCTTAGTCGAAGCTGGAGTGTCTCCTTTCACAATTCAGCACCGCCCCCAACGTGACAGTTGCCTGTGATCATCCATGCAGGCTATCTCGACCCGTCATGCTTGTTCCTTCATGGACACGATTTAAGGATTTGTAGAGCTTTTTATCACACAACGTGGCCAACATTCCTTGAATCTTCACGGTCAACTTCGGGTGTGAGGCCACGCAATACTCCCTCTGGCGTTTCTTGGCGGGGTCGGAGATTCCTCTTCACGTAGCCGATTGCATCTCAAGTAGTTTCCCTGATGGACAAGCAATAGACCAAATCCGACTGTAACCCAGATGGCAATTGCGTCAGCTCGGTGCCTGCATGAATGACCCGGTGGTGAACAGAACCAACGGGGCTGCTCTCTTTCCATTTTAGTCCGCCGTAGAATACGAGACGCCCTGAATCGTCGGTGACGACGGAAGCAGGAGTGCCCCCCCAAGACGAAATCCGAGGGCCGCGTCAATCAGATCAAATGTCTGGTATCGGGGCTATACAACGCTTCCAGCGGTTTTCCAATAAATGTCAGTGATCGAGCAACGGTCGTTCTGATTCGTCATCAGTCTCGCTGGAAAGGTCATCCTGATCCCAGTAGAGGATATAATGTTGAGCGATGAAGATCAAGTCAAAGGCAATGCTAATATTTCCAAGACCCAATTTGAGGGAATTCCCCGTGAGACCACTCCAGTCGCCTTGAAAGCTGGCGTCGATGACTAGTTGCAAGAGAGACAGGACGCCTCCGATGAGATCAAACAGGATTTGCATGATGCTCCAGCCTTGGGTGGATTTCCGTTTGTAATTGAACCAGACCTGGGGGATATACTTGACAAAGGTGCAAATGAGCTTCACATAGCCCATGGTATAGAGCTATTCTCACGGTAAGCAAGGCAAGAAAACCGTCTGGTGTTGGAGGGGAGCCAATCTCACCACGTCGATCCAGGCCCAATCGTGTGGATCTTGCTGTCGCCCTCTTGAACGATAGACCACCACGACAACAACGGCCGCAACGGCAACCAGGCTTCCCCAGACGATGCCCAGGACGGGGCGACTTGCTCGCTGCCGAGAGGAGACTTTGAAGGGCCACAGCGGTGAGAAGAATTGCGAATAGGTCAAGAGACACAGAATCACGGCGTGCACTCCAAAGGCGACGTCGTTGAATTGCACCGTGGGCTCTGGAGATAACGGATGTCGGGCAGCATATTGTCGGCGGATTGTCGGCGAATACATGAAGCTGCAGGTAGATACGGTGTAGCACACAAATCCAAGGACATTAAGAGTGGGAAAGTCGATAGCAAGGCCTTGAGTGGACCGACGTCTCCAGTTCAGCCAGGGCTGGGGATAGAAGGAAGCGCTCCATGATAACGTGCTGTCTCGACAATCAGCTTGAAGAGTCTGGTGAGACAGATGTTGGACATACTAGATCCATCCCAGAAGTCTATGCCCAATGGAGTCGTCAGCCCAAAGAATTCGTGCATTATCCGCCACTTATCAGAATGAACGTATTTACCTCGAAAGCGCCTTCGCAAAGCGCATCCATTGCTGAGTGTCCGTCATGATCGCCAGCGGGCGGATGAGGGCCGGATCGAGGGTTGGTCTACGCCATACAGCATCTCATGTCGTCGGCATTCGGCAATCTACAGAAGGAATTGAGATTCAGGATCCCGGATTTTATCGTGCTTGACATCCCGGTCGGCGTGGTCTGATCGGGCTTTAGCTTATTGTGCTTGTCGCCCTGCACGACGCTCTGGAGGCTGCTTGGCGGATGGGGGAGGTGGTGACAGCAAACCAGGGCCGCATCCGGTTCTGCTCCTCGCACGGACAACTCACAGACAAGTTAGCCATCACGTCTTATCGTCCGAAGTCATTTTTTCAGAGATCCAAGTGTGCAAAAAAATCTGTATCCTGCACAGCTCTGCCATATTTTTGGCATTCCTGTGCGATCCAGCTATCCCAGTGGCACCCAATCATTTTGCCCCACCTCGAAGCGAGTAAACACGAAAACATTCTGGACATTGACAATCCACCCAACGAACAAAGGCCGAACTCTCTCCTGGGCTGGATGGTCCAGACATCTCGACCCTAGGAGGACAGCCTCCAGCGACGTCCATCTGTCCATCGCCCGAAGCGCCGTCCTGCCATGTCGCCGTCGCCGCAGCTCGCTCCACCCGGGAGCAGCTCTTATGACTCGAGCACCATGCATGTGGGCGACGGAACTTGGGATGCGGGTAGAGATACCTTCTTGTTACCCAATCTAGTGGGACTCAACTTTGCGACCATGAGATACAACGGTGAGGAAGCAAAAAGCATGTGATGAGATGGTCTCGCTGACATACGCCAGGTATGGGGAACAGGTTCTTCACCATGAGCGGCTACCACGATCTGGTCAAAGCACATGGTATCGTGGCGGCCATCACATTCCTCGGGGGTGTTCCGCTCGCTATCTTCCTCATGCGATTCTATCGGCGGCGGCGCGTGGCATTACGACTGCACATATGGCTTCAAATCCTCACCCTCCTCCTCAGCACTGTGGTCATCATCTTAGGCTTTATGGCTGTCGGCCCCGAAAGAGGCTTAACAAATCCACATCATGGCATCGGCGTCGCCATCTATGTCCTGGTTTGGGTTCAAGCCATCGGAGGGTGCATGCTCCACCGAACAGAAAAGAGAAGAAAGCAACTCTATATTCCAATCAGAGCTATGCTACATCATTGGCTTGGACGGGCCATCGCTCTGCTGGCCATCACTCAGGTTGCACTGGGCCTGACCCTGTATGGGTCACCGCTCTATCTATTTGTGCTTTACACACTCTACGTCGTCGCCCTGCTCGTTTTGTATTTCATCTTGCAGTGGCTGGCCGAAAGACGCCGAGCACGACACGGCTCCGACGGAAGCAGCTACTACAGTGACGAGGTGGTCTCTCGGCCAGCGGAACACAAGCACTCTCGACTGGGAAAGCTTGCTCTCGCCGGGGCCGCCGGGCTGGGACTGGCGGCACTGTTCAGCAGACGATCTTCCCGAAATCGGCCTCCAGGAGAGAGTTCTGTAACCGATGAGAGTGGAACATCCTCGTACTACGACGAGAAGGAATCCGAAGCATCCCACAATGGCTTGGGGCATCGCCTATTGCAGGTGGCAGCCATCGGAGGAGCTGTCGCAGCTGTGAAGAAGCTTTTTGGTGGTAGAGGTCGACGAGATGATGATTCTGATGTCGGACCTTACCGGCCACCCCTCGGAGGCAACCAATCGGTTACCACAGACTCCATGTCACGCATTGAAGAAGGAAGGCCCCCTGTTCGACCAGCGACGCCAATGGGGAACAGCCCTGGATACGTTCGACCAACCCATCCCCTCGCTCAGCCTCCAATGACGCCCGGGTCCGGCAGGAGACATTCCGGTTCGTCCTACTCCTACGACGATTCTTTTGTTTCTGGCTCTCCATCGCGTCGCGACCGGAGGACACATACTTTCCGAGACGCAATGGCCGCCGGCGGGGCCGTCTTCGCAGTCCGGCAATTATTCAAAAATCGACGACAACGAAAAGAAGAGCACCGCGCCGAAATCTTGAAGAATCAGAGAATAGAGCAGGAGAGGATTGCTCGCATGAACTCAGTTCACAGATATACTGGTGACGGAACTACACCTCCAAGAAGACCCCGCCGGAACCGAACGGGCAGTCAGACGGCTTCTGATCTATCAAGTGAATTGGACAGCACAGTCCGACCCGGAACCGGTGCAGCCCTCCCGGTAGCAGGTGTGGGAGCAGCTGCAGCAAGCGCCCTCGCAGATAGGGACAGGATCAGACCGGTGGGAGAAGATCCCCCCATAGTCCAACCGGGTCCACCGACCGCTCTGCCTGGCGATATCCCCACGGTCCCACCGCCTCATCAGGATTCATCCGGGAGTGAAATCTACACGACAGCTTCAGGCCGGCAACGACACAGACACCATCTCCGTGATGAGGCGGCCGCCGGTCTTTCAGGAGCAGCGGTTGGTGCCGCCGCCGCAGACCAAACTCGCAGACGTCACAGCGGCAGAAATACTGACTCTATGGAATCTCCGCCTGTGAGCCTGAAGGTGAAGATGCACAACGATGGCCGTCACGTCACCCTTCGAAGGTTAACAGAGGAAGAAGCTGCCGCGCAGCGCGAACAGAGACGTAAAGAGCGCCGGGCGTCCGCGGCCCGGAGAAGGCGAAATTCCAGCTTCAGCAGCAGTGAAGGCGACGCGTTGGCAGCTGGACCTAGCAGCGATCGACGTTGGAGACGTACCGAAACCATGGAAGCAGAACAAGGCGCACAGAATGAAGCGGCGGCGGCTGCTACCGCTGTCGCAGGAGATGCAAGTCTCCCTCAACCGGTCACGGCCCCAGGAACGATTCCAGCATATCCCACACCGCCTCTTCCAGGAACACAAGGTGTTGATCCTCGCACCGGACAGACATATCAAATCCCCGCTCCGCCACCAATCCCTAGCTCGGCCAGCAATCTTGGCCCAGCAGGAAGCATTACATCGCCTGGTACCGAGACCAGCGGCGCGACAGAGTACGCAAACAATCGTCGACGGCGGAGGGCTGAAAGGGCTCAAGCACGCTTGGCGAGAGAGGGCAGGGCCGGTGCCACGGTCGATTTCACTTGATTTTATACGATGCTGCTCATTTACCACGCTGGGATGGGGATGAATGCACATGAAAGCAGACATGAACATGCATATATCTCCCTAGGCCTTTCTATTCTTCTGGACTTGTAGTTACTGATATCCTCCATTTGACATTGCATGGCACGACGGCCTTGGACGCGAACATGAGGAAAGCGGCTGTTTGGGAAATTCTCTGGTTATCCATTAACGACGAGACGAGGTGAAGGATTTTGGTATGGCTTTGCTCTCTGGCACCTGTGCCGGAGAGTTGAAGGAAAGATAGCTGAAGTTGGGACAGATCTGAAAAAGTCCTATTGAAGTCGATGGAGCTGTATCTATGTGTGAGACAGGTATGATCAGAATAGGTTGTAATTCTGTGTGAAATGATTCGATATCATTGTGGACTACCTAGATATAGGAGGTGACGTAGCCACTTAGGAAGATATGCTCTGTCATACTCATCGGATTGATGAGTATCATTCATCCCGAAGAAAAATGGTCGTTCATCGTTACTGAGGTTGTGTTCATCGACAAGTGAAAGTTGTGAAAAGCGAGCAAAGGATAAAAGCAAGAAGCAAATGAACCTCCCAAATGCCCCAACGCCCCAACGCCCCAACTGCTTCTCCCCTTTCTGTCCGTTCTGGTATCAGGCCTGTGCCATCCTGTATACAAGGTCTAGAGGTGTAGATGGTATGTTTTCAAGCCAAGTCAAAGCAAGTTAACACAACAAGTCCGCCAGAGCGGGCATTGTGGCCGGCTTCTGGCCGTAGACCACGTAGCTAGAGAGAAGAAAGGAAATCATTAGTAAAAGGCTCATATACATGGACAGGAACAGAACATGAGTGGAGAAGGGGGAGGAGGGATGACACAGGATGTCAAACGAGAGCAGGTCAGGTGGAATCCATCTGCACTCACTGTTTGTACGAGAACTTGGGCTCAGACGACTCGCTTGACTCTCGGTGTTTATGGAGTTCGCTGTCAGTGTGCTTCTCCGGCCATCCGATGAGTCTTCTGAACATGCTGGGTCCGTACCGTCCGTTCTCCTGGTCGTGCGGTAAATTAGCCAGGGTTTCCACGAAGTCCACCACGCGGCCTAGCTCGGTACTTAGCCAGTCTGGTAGCGAGATGTGGAAGACCTTGGAATCGGCGCGCACAAAGCCAGCTTGCTCTATATACTTCTGGACTTGGTCACCGTCGACACGGGGAGTGCCCCAGTCTTGCAAGACTTTTCCCATCTTGTCGCACATGTATTTGTAGATGGACTTGTCAGAGACAGGGGACTCGTCGTGGTACACAACGCGGAAGTCTGTGACGCCGACCTCGAACCAGCCACCTGGCTTGAGCGAGGAGAAGGCGCTGGATAGGAGCGAGGACCAGTCACTGACCACGAGCAATGGGTCGCGAAGGTGGATGAAGTCGAAGACGTCGGCGCCCCATTTCCAGGGCCCATAGGCGTTGAATAAGTCAAAGGAACAGTTGGGTGGCACGGTCTTGGGGATATCTATCACAGTGTCTGTTCCAAGGATGTGAGCCTCTGGGTATTCCACTGCCATGTCCATGGCCCAGATTCCCGTGCCACAAGAAAGCTCCAAGATCTCCTTAGGGTCCGGTCCAATGGGTGCCAGGTGAGGGCCGCCCATGAGGATTCGGCATTTATCAAGCACCGCTATTTGTCGTACCTGTTCTTCGTTATCTTCAGCATTGCTGTAATTGGGTTTGTTCTTGAGAATGCGCGGATACCTTCGATTCTTGCCCGGGCTTTTCTTTTTGATGTTCTTGACGACTTTGTTCGGCCTTCTTGGGGAGGACGCAGAGCGGGTGCTTGGTCCCTCAGAAGGACCAGGGCTGATGGTTGGCCCCCCTGTAAGACGAGGGCTAGGAGCTCGTCCCTCAGACGGGACAGAGCTGGTAGCTGGTACATGCGACGGCCTGGTAGTAGTATTCGATCCCTTGATATAGTCATCATCATTCATCTCTTCACGTCGTTCTATCACTCCAGCCGGCTTTGCCAGATTTGCAATCCTGGCCGAGTTTGGGTCGAATGGATCATTCTCCAGAACAGTTGCTAGTGAAGGGAGCATGATTTCAGTGGCGAACTGGGCCATCTCTGCGAGCGGAGGTCGGATTCGCATGCTTGGTGAACCAGGTAGCTCATCTAGTTTTAGTGATGGAAGCTTTCGAATTCCCTCTGACGACGGACTTAGCGGAGGAAATGGTAGCGGTAGGGAAATGAGAGGTGGTAAACAGGGGAAAGAGGGAGGTCGAATTGGAGTTGGCTGCGGAGGAGGATCATCCAGAATGTTTGTATGAGCCTGGGTAGGATAGTAGTCTCTCAGAACAGGGAGTATGTTCGTCTGTGGAGTGGCGGTCAATAGTCCAGATAGATTGGACGGCGGTGCGATGAACCTCGTCCCAGCGGATGAGGCCGGAGCAGATATGGATTTGATATAGCCATTATTTGCCAGTCCTCCCGGTGCTTGACCGGCCGGCGAATTTCCGAGCTGTGTTGACAAAGAACTGAGGAGGATATCAAGGGACGAGTGGCTTCCATTTCGAGCTGGCATATCATGTTCATACCAACCATGGCTCGAACAGTCATGTTCACTGTGGTATCCTTTAGTGTCTGCCAGATGATTGGAACCCATGAAAGAGAACGTACGCCGGCATGGGAAGGCCAGTATAAAGCTGGCTGCATGGTAGGTAATATCGTCTACCGACGTTTTCTGTCACTGCCTTCGCGTTGTCGAAACCTGGAGCTGGATACCCATTCTGCCCATTAAGGAGCCGGGGGGTTGAACCTGACATAGTATGTGGAGGAAGGCTAGCAGCGTGAGCAAGATATATCTTTCTCGCGAAGGTAGAGATATCGAGCCTGACGAATGATCTTGATCGGTGCGGGGAGTGTGAGTTTGACCAATGACGCCGGCCAGTGTAGTGACTGCTCGGTAGGGAAAACGAAGCATGATAGGGGTCTTGAAGAGAGAGGTTGAAGAGCAAGGAAGAGGAAAAACTTCCTTGCCTCCTATGGGTATATGAGCCACTGAAGCCCGAGCCTGGTCAGAGGCAGCATGGTCACACCGACTTGATATGTCAAACCACACCAAATCCGTCATGAATCGTTGAACGCGAGGGTGGCGGGCCTAGAGACATGGCAGCATCCGACCGGGGAACGCTCTGCATGTTGCGACATGCATTGCATGGAATGAACGAAGTGACGGCCGGGGAGGGAGAGAAATGGTGCGAAAGAACGTCCGGCAGAGAGATATAGGTGGCTACCAAAACCACGGGTCAGCGAGTCCAGGTTCAAGGCGTCCTCAGCTGGAATTTCCTCTTATGTCCAGGAGCAACGTCATACCGTACCAGGATACCCTCTAACAAATCTGATGGCAACGAGCCCTTTACCACGCCTCTGCTGGTCAAGTATTGACTTTGTGGTGTGGGGTGGTGGCTGTTGATAGGATCGTCTGATTTCTGTGATCAGCTAACCCCTGGCCCCCCCCGAATTGGTTGCTCTCGGATCGGTGAGCTCGAATCGAATAAGCTAGATTTCGGTAGACGAAGCCGGCCAGCCGATCTTTTTATCTGAGCAGGAAACAGAGATCCCAAGTTAATACTCAGACATCGCCACAGTATGGCGGAGAGAGAAGAGCGGAGGTGGGGTGGGATGGGATGTGGGTAAGTCACCACCATCTCTCTGTTGGCTTCCGACTTGGCCAGTTTCCAGCCTTCTTCACAGCGTGCCAGCTGCTCCCGGTCCACTACCCCTCAATATTTTGGATGTCTTCTAAGACCCCTGTTGCATGCTCGCCTCGCTGCAGGTCTGATGGAGCGGTCGAAGGGCTCCGATGGTAAAGGAGAGGAGTCCTTTGTCCACGCCGCATCTGGCATCACTTGAATGTGACTGGCGGTTACAGCCAACCCTTGCCCGTCAGGCCTCAGGCTAGACTTGATTTGTTCCAGACTTGAATCAGAGTCTGAGCTTTGAAATTGGCTGCATGAGACTGATAGTACTACGCGGGAGAATAGAGATAAGGCGTCGAGCCTGAGTGCCTCTGTTGCACAACCCCTTGTGTGGCCATCAGAGTGACTATTGGGTTGAAAGCCATCGCCACTCGTATTTTGTCTTTGGTGGCATGCGAAGGAAGTTCAAGTTCAATTCAGTCAGCGACCATCGTTCGATTTGAAAAAGAGTGAGGTTTGGGAGAAGACTTAGGGCGTCGGTCGGAGGCGGGTCGCTTGACATTATTGAATGCAATGAATGCAATGCACGTTGGTGGCGTAGCCAGTGAACCTCTCATGCAAGCTCTTGCAGTTTGCCAAGTTCAATACAAGCCCTAGCTTCAAGTTCATTTTGTTATGGGGGCTCAGCCTTGCAAGCGTGGCAATCTGGTTCAGTCACGTGGCGACACCTCCTAGGTCATATTTGCGATGACCGGCCCGCTCCAGACAGAAGCCTGTGGCTTCATCAAGGGAGAAGATTGTTTAAAACCGTGGTAGACTCGTACATGTCAAGTGGGAGAGACCCGTTGAAGCGGGAGCAAATATGTGGCCGCCTGGACGACATGGCCGAGCCGGGCTGAATGGGATGCTGCCTTTGCCAGCCTTAATGGCCCGGACATAGACGCTTCGTATACTGTAGTTTAGCTCGGAGACGAATTTGTCAACTTACCCTTGCTGCTCGATGGGGTTCCCAAGGGCAAGCTCTGAGGAAGATTGGATATCGAAACATGCCTTTATTTCTTGGCACGAAGGGACAAATAAATATTGCATTTCAAAGGACTCTTGGTACCTAGGTAGCCAATGCGTGCTCCTGGCTTTGCTGCGGCCTGAGCAGGGCCAGCCTACGTGGCCCAGCTCGAAGGACCATGGCTGTGAAGAGGCATGTCCGAGATGGGAATATGCTAGGGCAAGATATTCGGCTCATGTCACACCGTCCGGCTTGTTAGAAGCTGACCAGAGATGGTGGGAATTTTCACGATTGCATCGACGGCGATCTCAAGGGCAAGTTAGCCGGACTGACTAAGCTGGCCTCTAAGAGAACGGCCAAAGCACGCGGCTACGAGCCATGTGGTTGGTTTGGCCAGCCTAGCGAGCCAGAATGCCGGCCCGAATGTTACAGTACCATACCGAAACAGCGCGCTTCGATCAAACTCTAGGCCTTGTTTAGGGCGCCCAATAGGCTCGCTGCCCTGTTATTTCCCGGTATTTCCCACCGAGTTTTAACTAAAGTGCCCTTTTGTGGATCTGTCACGGGCTCTCTTTACCACTGACACTGGCACGGGCCAAACTCTCATTCTCATTCCCAGCCTCCAAAAGCTTTTTGCCCCTCTGCACAACCTTTGGTCGACATCATCCTCTTCTACTCTTCATCCTCCTCTCTTCTCTGCGCTCTCTCAATTCTCTCTGTGCCTTGGTTTCTTCCTACACCCTTATTTTTTCTTCTGGATTACCGTGGAACACTCTCGACTGCTTCGATGGTGGTAGGGCACCGAGTAACACAACAAGACAAACTCGCCATTTTCACCGTTTCTGTGCCATTCGTTTAGCTTCTAAATTTGCCCCCGTTCGATTCGGACGATTCGGATTGCTGTATTTCTTGACATCGTCTTTCTCTGGGACGGACTCATGCCTTATACCTTTGTGAAACCGTAAACATGGAACCCACGACACCCACTAATGAAGATGTGGACATGATGAATCTTCCCAACGATAACGAGCCAGTTTATGCTGAGCCCCCTCCTCGTCTTGCTGCGCGCTTCTGTCGGAAATCCAATACTCGCCGGAAATCCTCTGCGAATTCCTCCCGTCGAAGCTCGTTGTCCTCCATCCACTCTCACTCTTCTGCACTTTCTAGCCATGGCGGCCCCAACACCACCCATATTGCTCAACATCTCCGACGAGCCTCCATTATTGAAAGTCGAAAAGCCCGTCTCGCGGATAGGGCAGCTCACGCAGAACAGGTCAGATTGAGAGCAGCCGCAGCCAAGGCATCTCAACGCGTGTCTTATAGCGAAGAGAAGGCCATAGCAGCACAGGCAGCTCGAGAAAAGTTACTTGCAGAGATCACAGCGCGATGTGAAGAAGAGGTCAAGCGGGCCAAGAAAATTGCTGAAGAAACAAGAGAGAAGAAAGCGGCGGAATTGGCCCGACTGAAGGAGGAAATGGCCGAGAAGTTTGCAGAGGCAGCACGGCGGAAATCGATTTATCAACAAGGCATACGCAGGCCGAGGACCACTTCATTGGCAGCCGTCGAAGAGAAAAAGATTCTGCCGACTGTGCTCAAACGTTCGAATCGTGTTTATGCGGCAAAGGTCATCCAACGATCCTGGAGGCGGTACCGCGAACGCAAGATCATGAATGCCTTTGGTGCGCTTGAATTGGACTTGAGCCGTGCCAAAGCCCTATCTTTCGAAGAGTTAACAAAGTTGCTCTCCATGGAAAAGACGACAGAAGTTACTTCCTCGGTTCTCAAACATCTCGGTGTCCTGGAAGACGTCCAAGAGGATTCCGGCGCTGTACGCGTTTTCCTCAGTGCTTACCTGGTTTTGGCACATCCGATGCAGGCCCTCAGTCACGGTGGTAACCAACCCCAAGAACAGGAGCTGATGAACAAAGCGGCCTCTTTGGTGGAATTATTCGAGTCTTACATGACGGCTGTTCCACGGGAGGTGATGTCCAGTTCAAGCAAAGACGCCATGTCATTTGCCTTCAATGATTTCACGTCGACGTTTCATGCGTGGAAGAGCCAGGATTTGGGAGTCTTGGTTGATATCATGGTCAGTTCATTTGTCAATCTCGATTTGATTCTACAAGCGACCACACACGACCACGACGGACATGTTGCCGAAGACTATCTTGACGCAGTCCGGCAGGAGCAAATAAAATTGCTGGCTAGGTTGAAAAGGCTTGCCGGCCCAGAAGAGGCCCTTTCAAGAGTCAGAGTCGCCGTGAGGAAGGCACGGAAACAACGAGCCGCCGATCAGCGAAAGAAAGCGGCGGGACAAGTCCCCCGCGCTTCGACTCCCACCAGCGAAGGGCTGAGCGGTGCTCAAGGGGCTCCAATTACACCGCCTGCTTCTCCCCGACCAGATCGTCGAGACCAAGAACCACGAGCCTTGTCCTTTGCCGACAGTCTCGGACGGATCATGACCGTGTTGCCATCCAACCGCGAGATTGCTCACGAAATACAAATAAACGGCAATTTTGAGGTACAGCAACGACCATGGACAGATGCGCGGAAAGACCTGATGAATTCTCTTCGTTCGGGCATGCGAAGCAGCATGCAAGATGGAAGCACCGAAGCCATTGCTCGATGGACTCATGCAATGGCAGTGCTCGTTCGTGAGAAGTTGATGAATTTGATCAGTCCACGGCATCCTCTTTACGACCGGATTGATGGCTTCCTAGATCCTGCCTTGATCAATCAGCAATGTCGTAATGGCATGTTTTCATATGACTCTTTCTTCGAAACCATTGCGGGGTTGATTGCCCAAATCTGCTCGCCCGGTCGAGATGAGAACGTGAGAGCATTTACCGCAAACACAGCCAGTGACACCATTGACCGCCTCCTTGAACTCATCAACATCATCGATCTGATGACGTTGGACCACATCAACTTCCAGTTCAGACTGGCTTCTCGATCCGTCCTCGAGCGCGGCCATGAGCATGAGATAGCTTTGTTTGAGCGAGATCTTCAAGACGGGGTCCACGCATTGGAACGAACCAAGCAGTGGTGGGCAAATGCCAAGTCCCATGTGACGGGGCCAAACACGAACGGCAACGTTCTTTATGCGCGAGGATTGGCTGATACGGTATTGGGCAACTCACATCTCTCCTATCGCAACCTTCCGGAGACCCTGCAACTCGATTACGTTCGTTTGCTAAAGTTGAGGGCGAGGGCATTCCAAATGGTGGCGACGTCCTCAATACTTCTCACTACGAAGATCCGGCTCAGGCGGAATCGAGAATCGCTTTGGACGAAAGATGCCGAACGACTCATGTCGTTAGACCTTTTGACCACTGATAACAGTCGCGTTGTTTCTTTCATCGAATCTTCCCATATGATGCCAGATTCGACCAAAGAGGGTTTGTCCAATTTTGTCGAGCGAGTCCTTCCTCCTGCCATCGCCGCAGCACAGGTTGCAGACTCGGCTGAACAAGACCGACAAGATGCTATCCACAGTCAATCTAAATACGATCCATCAGATGCCGAGTCTGACGGGTCGAACATGGGAGATGTGTTCACCGAACAGATTGCCACTTTCTTGCTGAAATCATTGCGAGAACACGTCTTTGCCAGGCTCTCAGCCGGTGGGACTGCCGAAAGAGTACGAACAACGACGAGTGCAGGAGAATTTCTTGCGAGAGTTGGAATGCCCGAATACCTGGAAGAAGTCAATCGACTGGTAGACGGGCTTGAAAGAATTCGATCGGTCGACCTCAAAGCTCATGAAAGATGGTACGATCAAATAGCGGCTGAGGTATCTTGAACGGTTGACGTACCATGATTCAGTTCAGGAGTGGGGGCTCTTCAATCGCCTGGCGTTTGGTGGATGCGACGGAACCTCGAGGAGGTTGTTGGTGTATCATGCAGTACAAATCCATTTTACCTCATGATGATAACGACGTGAATTGAAGCATTTCATGTGAATCAAAGGCCTGTCCTAGCCCTCCCAAGACGTGGACTTAGAAGAAGAAAACCTGCGGCCTCGGCAAACTCAGTAGGTAGTATCGGTGAGTTGATGGTAAGATATATGAAAGGTAGTCACTAGCAGGTTTGAATGGGAGGGTCCTTGGGACCAAGAGACCCCTCAGTCGCACACGGGAGGGAAACGACCGAAAGGCACGATGATTGTTGATTCGTAAAGTCCCGACCTTAACAAGCAACACCACTGCAACGACACACGTTCGATTCAGCCGCGCGTGCAATCATCAAATCACCACAGCTTGGATCTTCACTTGAGCTTTCATTGTTAAATACCTAGCTATGGAGGGGTTCTTGAGCTCACAAGGCTCATTTCAGTATCTGCTCTTCACGTCCAAATGGCCTATCCTTGATTCCTTAGCCGACCTCAACATCCTCACGAGAAAACTACAAATCCTTCAAACCCATTGACGATCCTCAGAAGATCTCCGACCCCAACACCCCACTCATCTGCGATGAAGAATTGATCGGGGAGATGAACGGCGTGCGGTTTACCTATTCAAGAGGTGATTGGTATAGGGTGTTCAAGCATGATGCAGGCCGCGAGAATTTGTTCTTTGAGCGGAAAGAATCGCGTGGGATTGAATAAATCCAAGACGGCCACAAGGGATCTCACTGCTCGCCGATTCGGAGCCGACAAGATCAAACAAGATATTACGCAAAGTTTTATCAAACACAGCCTCAATCGAGCAGAGATTGGCGAGGAGTCATCTCTTCAGTTTCTTTGCAGAATCCGATACCACAACCACCATAATTAGATCGGGATCTTGAACCCTCGACTGTACACGAAACTCCAGTCGGAATATGATTCATCTGGGGTCTCATTGACCGAGATTATTTCCAATAGTTGCGCTCAGAAGTTGCCATGCCTCAATACTTCATGTCCGTGAAGCTCTGCGATATATCATTCTGCAGCCACCAGGTTGATGCCGCGTACGGTAGGTCAACAGGGTGACACACAACGGTAATGTTTTTCCCGGCCGGGACTGAATGGCCTTCGGCGCATGGAATGTGTATCGAGAGAACACGACAGCCTATGGCGAAGATGCAGACGTTTTCAGACCTGAAAGATGGACTGATGCCCACCCAGAGCAACATGCGAGGATGGAAAAGTCTCGCGATTTGGTGCTTAGGTATGGGAGAAAAGATTGCTCAGATTGACCTGCTCAAGACATGTGGTTACAAATCGAACAACGCGAGGCAACGGCCTTTGGTTCCATCGATGTCCGATGGACAGTTTGACCGCTCTTTTCGCCTCAAACCGCAGCTAAATGGTCTGGGATTTGCCAGAGTTGCATTCGACGGTGGACACCTGGTTTGAGTCTCATCTCAACACATAAATGGGCGCTGGAGTGGTCCCAAGTCATCGTTGAAGAGGACACTATTGAGATGTATATTCAGTATCGATATTGAACTCTCCGCTGAAGCCGAAGTCTATCGGCTTGTCTGCACTCAATAATTGAAGGGAGTTTACCAGCTTGTCGGGTAAGGTAGGCGTATTGGTATGTCCTATTGACGCTTAACAGATCTAGACATTCCTTGCTTTTGGCCTCGAATGATTCCTTATGCGTCGACCATTACCCTTTCCTTTCCCTTTCTCTCTTTTCAACGCCCACGTTCTATCTTATCAAACGGACCTTCCCGCGTCCCCCAATAGCCTTGAATAGTCGACCAATACTGGAACCATGGCGGACAACGAATTGGACGACATGATTCCTGAAGCTGAAGGTGTGAGTGTTGACCATTGTCTACAACATCAATACGCATCTTGAGCGCAGTCGGAGATGGATCCCTCCGAATGGCCGACGATACCATGCGTAAAAAGAAGTCTTCAGTTTCGTCCCCAATGACGAACCCGAACAAGATGGCATGGACATGTAGCACCATGCTGGCTTCCTAGCTCTCAGGGAGTGAAGATACGTTGCGCCCTTGTAGAGCTTCGGAGACTCTTGGACCTGGGCACAGGCACGGGGATCTGGACTATACAAATGGGAGACAAATTTGCCAGTGCAGAAGTCATCGGCGTCGATTGGAGCCCCATCCAGAAGCATCCAAAAAGAAGAACGGGGATTCGGACAAACCTAGGCGTAAGACCCCGAATATCGACGTCGTGAATCTGAACAAGCTGAGGCGCGACGAGCAAAGAAGCCCCAAGATCCTGAATATAAGAAGGGAAAAAATAGAGGAGAAATCACGGAAAATGACGCATATACGCGCAAGACCCTCAGTGGAAACGTCTTCAAATTCAAAAGGCAAGGGGAGCCCAGAGCCACGAAGAAGAATGCTGCATGATGTGAAGGACGTGGCCGCCAAAGGCGTTTGTACCTTGCTACGGTGGTTGATGAGGTAGCGTATCTGTGGATTGACATGGACTTCGAGAGGCTGATCCTATAATGACTCCATCTTCACCAACACGTCTCGCTGTCAATTCAAATATTTATTGAACCATTCCGCCGCCTGCTTCACGGCGGCATTGTAACCGTCCATATTCTCAGTGTTTGATTTGGCTCTAACACAAAAGCCACTGGACAACGTTAGTACAGTGCACGTGTCTTTTTCCGGGGGGATACGAACTGTTTGCAGCCCTTATAAATGCGGAATTCATAAATACATCCGCCCTCTCCACTTTCGCCGGCCTCCTGCTTGACTTTGGCCTCCATATCCGCCGCCACCTTCTCATTGAACTGGCGATCATCCGCGGCCACGGCACTGCAGTACGGGACCTTGAACTTCTTGATCGCTTCGACGACCATTTCGGGCGTCTTGACGATATAGCTGGGATGCCCGTTGAATTGAGCGTCGATCAAACGCTCACTCCCGCCGGGGGTAGCGGTCTCGGCACACAGTTTCGAGCTCGGCCACCCCCCCCAGCAGAATCCGGCAACCCCCAATTTGCCGCCTTCGGGCAACTCGGCCTTCATCGCGCGGGCATACGCGAGGATTTTGTCGTAGACTTTATCCGGATGGCCGAATAGCAGGAACGGGATCAAGGTGGGAAGGATACTCAGTGTGGTGAAGAATTTGCCGAAGACGCCGCCAACGGTCCATTTCGGGAGTGGATCCATGATGTACTCCATCTTGTCCAGCATTTCGGGGACCATGCCGCCGCGGTAAACGACGTCAGGGATCAAAACGCGGCAGCCGGTCATGGACGCATATTTGTCGGCGAGGATCTTGTTGTTGACTAGTTTCAAGGAGAAGCCGTCGGGGAGATATAAGATGGCGGATTTCGAGCGCGACGGGTCACTACCACCCGCGATGTAGGTGCGGATGCCGTGGACGGTTTCGATTGTGCCCGTTGCTTCGGTGTGCGCGTGAACGGAGCCACGGAAACAGTCAGGGCAGGACATTTCGAGTCAAGTTCAGGTTGATGTTGGAGTTTCCGAGCGAAAATGAAGTAACGAGTGATCTATCTGGTCTTCAGGTTTGGTGTAGGTAGGTAGTAGTCTAGCCTGCAGGTCGCACATATATTCTTCCGGTGGTGATATGTTTCCGGTCTTTAGATGTTACGTCCGGTCCGGTTTGGAGGTAAGTGGTTGACCGGCCCGTTACAGGACGAGATTAGTGATTTGAAGGGTTGTAGATAGTATCTCCTACGTAGACTCACGATTGTGGCTCACAGGTCGGGCGGGTGAGAGTCTCAGATCGGAGCAGCTATGTCTGGCATGAGAGGCCCAGATTGGCATAAGTATTTTTATACAATTCGAGCTTTGTCTGCCGCCTGGTTAGGATAACTTTTTTACCTAGCCAGCTAGGAGGGTCTGTTGGTCCGGGTGACTCGGCAATGATGTACCCACCCTTTCGCAGCCCCAGAGGTGCATAAACGCATGAACAAGCATTTTGCTTGCAATGTTTCTCCATCCACGAGGGAAAGCATATTTGCACCAACGTACACAGGATCTCGAAAGATGCAGGAATGGTTCCTCTTCCTTTGGTTGATCTAGCCACCCGTGGCGTCCACGAGGGAAAACCCTAATAGAGAGTTGCGACAGTGCATACCCACTCTACCTTGGTCCCTACCTGGTCCGTAGCAAGAATTTTTACAGTTTCTCATCGGGTAGCATAAGCCATTTCCTGAGAAAGCCTTAGGAATATGAGGCCTCCTCTCCTGTTGTGGGCGCTTGTCCCGGACTCGGAGAATAAAGGGCCACCCAGTTTCCATCATTCCGCATCACTCCTCGTCTAAATTTTGTTTATTTGTCTCCCTCTTCTCGTGACCTAGCGTCCATTGTCAGCCGAAACGTCTTTGTGGCTGACACGGTTGTGGAGACGGGCTTTGCCAGGGCCGAAAGAGCTCTAGCAGTACTAGCCGAAGATCCTCAGCGACTTGACCGCGCAAGAAGGCGGTTTAGCTGCTCTTCACCATCATACACGTCTCATTAATCGCACCACTCAACTCGATCTTAGAGTACCAACCAACCGAGCGAGGAAGAGCGACATTGTCAGGAGTGACGATGGCGGCTAGCAAGAGAGTGGGTATTATCGATGCCATACTATCGGCTCGGTGATCAGGAGATGGGAGAGCAAAAACACATTATCGAAGAACCTGAAAACCGAACATGCCCTGTACCCGTTGGAACAAACTTTGGCCAAGTCGATCACGAGAACGTGAAGAAGCACCGTGTCGAGCAGGGCCACCAATGGAAGAATGAGATGGCTCTTGATTGTGGAAACATCAAGAGCCGCTGGAGCCCCAATTGGACACCGACACCGACGCAGAGGCGGCACTGGGGGAAATGAGCTGAGCCGAAAGCCAAACGGCCCCCAAAAAAGATGAGCAGAAGCGATAGATTGCGGGGAGACGAGTAATACAAGAGCGGGAATACGAGGCGTTTACGTCCCCTTTTCCAATTTATTTATCAAATGTCAAAGGAGCAAGACCAAATCCAAGATTGTCGAGGGTAGGAGGTGTTCATTGCCCCAGCATGTGCTGACATCAATACAAAGGCATATGAGAATGTCACGAACCGCAGGATGAAATGAGGTATTTGGAACCAAAAATGGAAGATATCACCTGGAATGGAAGTCATGAAGCGACACCTTGCTCATCTATTTTTGGACCCCTTCCATTCTGCGACAAGAGTCTGAGATAATGGAAACGGCTCTGAACTGACAGGCCGCAGGAATTGAAGTAGCCAGATTAGTGGATAGCGACGTGGAGTCTTATTCACCCCCGGTCCCCGCCCGCGAGGCCGACACGACAACCAAAGAGGAACAAAGTCCCCCCAAAAAGATGCAAATTCCCAGCCTATTGCAAGTGGGTTTCTTGGGCCAGTGCATTCCTCAAAAATGTCAAGAACTACTGCCAAAAAGAGGCCTAGACTTCGGCAACCACAGATGGATTGAGTACTCCTAGATCCCTTGTCCGGACCACTTGCACACCACCGCGTGGTGGCAAACGATTACAGATGAAAGGTAAATCGATGCTTCATTCGTGGACCAAAGATGCTGCTAGAGGAATCCACTAGTTTTGCACATGAAGCTGCATTGGATGGGTATCTGTACGATTCGAAACTGTCCGCGAGAATCTCGACTTCCTGGCCGAAGATTCCAAAGCTTCTGGTCTTCACGAGTCGAGACCTCACCAGGCGGGACACGGCATAACTAGATTCGAAGACGTTGTAACAAATCTACAGCCTTCACTGCACCGTCCCATTATGTTACTTTTGTCTTGTTTTTGTCTGCTCATCTCCAGCAATATTGATCTACTGAAAGCTATTGTGAACGGGCCGAATGAAGCTTGAAATCCTTGTCCATCATCCTACATCCGTCCATGTATTTTGTATTTTGTATATCGGGTCTTGTTCCCACCACCGATGGAGAGATCGCTCGGACCTCCATGCTGCATAAACCCCACCTTCACCTGCGTCTATTCAACTATTCGCCGACTCTGAGTCGATGTCCTCCTCCGCGACTGTCACTCTCCATCGCAACAAACGGTCGGGAAATTGAAACAAAAAAAGGGTTGCGAGGAAGGTATCATACCACGCACAGATATCAGTCACACAAGCTATCTTAGCTTCAGGAGGACGACCATCACAGGAGGCAAGCTGCAGGATTTGCGCGTGTGGATGTGAAGCTGATCAAAGAACTTCCGTCCATTGAAGGAAAAGTGATGAGAAGGAAGCAATAGGGAGTCCTCCTTAGTACCATATCGAATGCGACTGGATTGGACTTCGATTGAATCATGGCAAGCCCATCTCCATCCATCCGTCTAGACGACATCGCTCTAACGCTTCCTCTCCCACAACAGCCTCACGCCGACGCCGCCTCTTTCTCCCCTTCTCTCAGCAAACCAACTGCCTTTAACCAACTGCTCACCTCCCTCGGAACCCTAGTAGCTGACCAGCGCAACTGGGTCGCCAACACCGCCAACACCGCCTCGCTGCTATGGCATATGTACCACTCACTGCCCGCGCCGTCTGCGTCTGTAAACTGGTCTGGCTTCTACGTGCTTGACCCAAAGGATTCGACACAGTTGATCCTCGGCCCGTTCATGGGCAAAGTCGCGTGCCAGACCATCCGGATCGGGAAGGGCGTCTGTGGCGCGGCGGCCGATGGGGATGGGAGGACTGTCTTGGTCAAGGACGTCGAGCGGTTTCCTGGCCATATTGCTTGCGACGGCGATAGTCGGAGTGAGATTGTCGTCCCGATCCGGGCCGGTGGGAAGGTACGTTTGCTTTCAGTTTGGATTTTCTTCTCAACGTAAGTCATCGATTGGGTGGCCTTGTTGATGAATGCATACAGGTCGTCGGAGTCATGGATGTTGACTGTGCAGAGGTCGAGGGGTTCGATGACGAGGATCAAGAGGGTCTCGAGGCCATAGCTGAGCTGTTGGGCCAATCGTGTGATTGGTAAAAAGACACATCACATTCTGGAATTCATGTCTTGTAGGTGTGCCCATTTCATCCCTCTTGGATTCTCGTTGATTCATGGGTATCAAGGTCGTCAAGCTATCTATTCCCGACAGCAACTCATGCTCAGTCATGATTTCGAAGTTCGGGTCACTCCCTTTTTCTGTCGAACTTGTTCTGCCGCTCGCTCATCTTGATCATGTCATCCCAATGATTCTCCACACCTCTCATGTCCCCGAGCTGGATGCCCTGTTGCAGATGCGCAATTGAAGAATTGTCTTTTCCGTCAATCCCCTACATCTGCATCGCCATGTTCGCACCATCCTTGAAATTCGTTCCGGCTCGTGAACTCTTGATGATCTTTGTGACTTGATCCTCCAAATCATCCCAATCATCCGTTGCCACCTTGGTCATCTCAGTCCCGAAATATCTCTGAATTTCCATCAATTTCTCCCAATCTTGTCGATTGCTGATGAATGTGACAGCCACGCCGACACGTCCGAATCGTCCCGTTCGTCCAATACGATGGAGATATGTTTGTGGGTCTGCGACGTATTTGCCGCCCCCGACAAACTTGTCCGGAACATCGTAGTTGACCACCATCGACACCGATTGAACGTCAATCCCACGAGACAGGACGTTTGTGGTGATGAGAACTTTGGCATGACCCGTGCGGAAAGCGTCAATGATGACATCTCGCTGTGCTCCTTCATAACCTCCGGTCAACGACACCACTTTGTGTCCTTCTGCAGTCATGCGTTGTTCAATGGCGGCGGCCGTTTCTCGAGTCTGGATCTGGTCAGATGGTCGAATCATGTCAAAAGAAATCCGTGGCTTACCTTGACGAAGATGATCGAAGAGCCGATGGTCAATAGTCCGTAGAGCTTCACCAAGACATCGTACTTGGTTTGATCACTGTCACAATCGAGATAGATTTGTTTGATGCCTTCGACGGTCAGATCTTGATGTTGGAGGGTCATCTGATTGGCGTCGGGAGCAAATTGCTGGGCGTATTTGATGACATAGTCTGGGAAGGTGGCGGAAAAGAGAATGATTTGAATATTCTTGGGGAGCATACTGGGAAATTGTTAGTGGAGACGAGCCCAAAAACAAGAGGGTTGACACCACGGACGACTTGACACGAATGCATTGATCACCCAGACCCTGTTGGTCGAGCATGTTGTCTGCCTCATCCAGAACAAGGACCTTGAGCTGTCTCGCATCCAGGACTCTCTTACGAATCATATCCATGACAGTGCCAGGAGTTCCCACCACCACGGAAGCTTCAATCTTTTTGCTTCGAGCGGCTGCATCTTGAGGAACAGCGGCTTCAGTAATGAGTCCTGGCACGAAGGATCCCATGACCTTGACAACACCCACAATCTGTCGAGCAAGCTCTCGGCTGGGAGCCAGAACAAGTGCCTGCGGTGTCTTTTGCATTTCCTCCGTGCTGAGGTCAACACGGTGCAGGATATTCAGGACAAATGCGGCCGTCTTTCCCGTTCCAGATTGAGATTGACCGATGAGATTTTGAGGAGGGTTCATCAAGAGGAGTGGCAGGGTCTTCTCTTGGACTTTGGACGGTCTTCGGAAGTTCATGCTCATGACACCTTTGAGGATGTTTTCGTCTCTGAAATCCGTCAGCACGGAAACACAAGGCTATGAAGAATGTGACGTACAGTCCCAGTTGCTCGAATGAGGTGGCTGAGTACAGAGGATTGTTTGGGTCGGCTTGCATATCTGCCAACTTGATTTCGACATCATATGCCGGCTCTTGTAACTCGGATCCGCCAAAGGGCTCTGTAGCTCCATCCACCTGGGAGGCTGGTTCTGTTGAATCGGCAGATTTCTTTCCATCGGTATTTGCCATGGCATTAGTCTTCCCGGCGGCGGGAGAAGTAGCCTCATCAGTCCATAAGGGACCAGATTGAGCATCTGGTTTGGAGATGCGGTCTGCCAGAGAGCCGCTTGCCGCGGGAGGCTCAGACATGATGGTCTGCGAATTCCAGTAGCAGGAAAATGAGGTCGATCGATAGGACTCAGTTGGTCGACAGGAGGAAGGGAGGGGATGTGTCGATGAGAAAGTGAATCGTTATGGGCGCCAAAAATGATGAGAACAAGTCGTGGTCTGACGTTGATCGGCACAAATCAATAGAAGATTTCGTTGTACAAAAACAAGAATTGCCTGCCCGTCGTGTATTTGGCAGAAACCTGTATTGTCGATTTCAGGCTGCGAAGGTGGATAGAAAATAACAACCACGCATCAAAGCGAATGTGGCGTACTTAGTGCGGGGATGTTACTGGCAGTCCCAACGCCTAATGGGCGTATCACTGGCTTCCATTTTGGCGCCCGAGCCACACATCACAAGCGCCCACTCGCAGCCTCAGATCCTAATGTTACCCAACACCCCCATTTCGCGTTTGGCCATTCAAGGTTATCAATTTCCCCGCCAATGCTCGGCCTTCACATCCAGACGGACACGGTTCCCGATTGCACGGAAAACGGCGTCAATATTGAAAGAGTCCAAGGATCGCGACCTGCTCAGTCTTCATAGACGTTGGCTGGGAAAATGGAATGATGCTGCTGTGTTTACTTGACTGTTCTTCAGAATGGCTCAGGCGGCAACGGTCAGCTTTGGTGCCGAACTCAAGGTTCGTTTGTTCGTTTGGGCCGGTTCGACTCTCCTGACGTTGACCTTGTCTTAGGACGGCTACAAGCCTGTCGACAACTGGGTACGTGGCCCTCAGATCCTTCATAACCATCGCAGCAAGAACAGCCCTCTGAATCTCTGGTCATCTAGGTAAACCTGGGAATCGCCTGGCTCACGGAAATTCAAGAATTCTACCAAGAACGATCTACCATCGAGAAAGAATACAGTCAGAAGTTGACGGCATTGGCGAAGAAATACTATGACAAGAAGTCTAAGAAGTCCAGCAACTTGAGCGTGGGTGACAACCCTGCTCTTACACCGGGGTCTCTCGAGTCTGCTTCCCTCACGACATGGACCACCCAGTTGTCCACCCTCGAAGCGCGAGCAAATGAACATGGCAAACTGGCCCAAGATTTGATCAGTCAAGTCGTGACCCCCCTGGAGTACAACGGAAGAAAACTCGAAGAGTTAAGGAAAAGCCATGCCGAACACCAGGCCAAATTGGTCAAGGAACGAGACTCATCGTACGGGGACCTCAAAAAGTTAAAGACCAAATATGACGCAGTTTGTCAAGAAGTCGAGAACAGAAGGAAAAAGGCCGACTCGTCCTTTGACAAGGCCAAAGCTCACAGTACATACAACCAGCAATTGGTGGAAATGAACAATGTGAAAAACACATATTTGATCGGGATTAACGTGACGAACAAGCTGAAAGAATGCTACTATCACGAGTACATTCCGGAACTGCTGGATTCGTTGCAGGATTTGAACGAGACGAGAGTGTCCAAGTTGAATTCGATATGGATGGTGGCCGCGTCCCTGGAGACCAATACTCTCAAACGAAGTTCCGACCATCTGTCTCATCTTTCATCGGAAATACCAAGAAACCACCCCGGTCTCGACAGCAATATGTTTGTCCAGCACAATGCTGTTCACTGGCAGGAACCGTCCGACATGGTCTTCGAACCATCTCCAGTCTGGCTGGACTCCGACAATATGATGACCGACGAAACATCCAAAATTTTCCTTCGCAATATACTTCAAAAGAGCAAACCACTGGCCAATCAACTCAAGACGGAATCTGCTCAGAAACGGCGAGAGCTGGAAAACGTGAAGAGGGCCCGTCAGAATATTCGGGAAGGAAAGGACAGACGTGACGAAGTCGACTGCGTCAGGTCGCAATTTGCGGTTCAAGAAGAACTTCATGCCATCGACCGAAAACGTCTGACGGCCGAAGTTGAAACTTCGACCATCACCTCGGTGGTGGGAGATCTCAGCATGTATGGCAAGAGTCACTCGCTCAAATCCGAAACCTTCAAAATACCGACGAATTGCGATCTCTGCGGCGATCGGATTTGGGGATTGAGTGCGAAGGGCTTCATTTGCGCCGATTGCGGCTTTACCTGCCACAGCAAGTGTCATATGAAAGTCCCGGCGGATTGTCCCGGAGAGCAAACAAAAGAAGAGAAGAAGAAGCTCAAAGCCGAGCGACAAGCCGCCGCCGCAGTAGCGGTAGAAGCGCCTGCATCGAATGGGGTCAGTTCTGCGCCAGCATTGACGAGACAAGATACCATGAATAGCCTGTCCTCGGGCTATGCAGCCAGTGCTTCCAGGTCCTTATCGGGCAATGTCGCCAGATTATCCACACAAGACGAAAGCTCGACGCCAATGGCCAGCTCCCCGATCACGTCGGTCCCTTCGAATGCAGGATCGACCGTCGGTGGTGCGCCCCGACGAAACAGAATTGTCGCTCCGCCTCCAGCTGCATATGTGAGTGCACCAGCCGATGTGGGTGCCAATGGAAGCAGCCAGCCGAAGGCGAAGATGCTGTACCCTTATGAGGCGAGGGATGAAGGTGAAATCTCCCTGTCAGAAGGTACAGAGGTCAAAATATTAGAACCTGACGGTATCCTCTCCTATTCTGACCATCGTGGCAGCCGCTGACCATTTGCAGATGGCGGATGGACCAAAGTCCACGCCGGATTTGGTAAAGAAGGTCTCGTTCCCACGGCTTACCTGGAAGAACTCCCTCCTACCGCAAGCACACCGGCACACGAACGTCCACCGTCACTCTATTCCAACTCAAGCGCGTCTTTGGCGTCATCCAATGTTGCAGCGGCCACGAAGAAGAAACAAGGTCCAGCTGTGGCCCCCAAGCGAGGGGCCAAGAAAGTAAAATATGTCGAGGCTCTGTATCCGTACACGGCTCAGAGTGACGCAGAGTTTGATATGACAGAAGGTGAAAGATTCATTTTGATCAGCATGGGAACCGGAGATGGTTGGGCGGATGTGGAAAGGAACGGAGAGACAAGAAGTGTGCCCGCAAATTACATCCAGGAAGTTTAGAAGCCCCTGTTCTTGGTCGACGGCGTGGACTATACACGACTTGACTTCGAGGGGATTGTTTTGGGTGACTCTGTTGCATAGATGCATGTCGATGTCGATGGCATAGTTCATGTTTGGGGCTGATTTGCGCGTGGCATGGAACTTGATGCTTCACACAGAGCAGAGCAGAGAAAAGAGTAGGATGGGTCTTTCGGTCTCATCCATTCTAGACTTGAACGGTGCAATATCTCCATCTCGATTCAAAATGGATTTTGACAGCAACAGTACTCCATACTCCTCACTCCACAACTTATCATCTACCACGTACAGCACCTGTCCCTGCACCCGTCAGCAACGAAAATGCTTGTTCTGGACTTGTTCGAGACAATCCAGGACCGAGCCCTATCCACTATTGGGCCTCCTGCCCCTGTCTATCACTCGCTATTTCTGTCTCCCGAATGTTGTGTTTCTGATTGGCCAGCCCCCGACGACGCGCCCGCTTCTCGTAAAATAGCTTGAAACTTACCATTCTTGACGCGCAAAAGACAAGGCATTTATTTTCAGCTCAACTTACTAATAAAACAGCTATCATTTTCGCCCGCCGAATCCAGATTCGGGATGCGGTCCAGTCGTCTTGTATTGGACGGCACCACCTCAGGTGATTTGCTCTTATCTCTCTCTCCTCTCTCTCTATTCAGCACGCGATGGGGAAGGGGCAAGTTCAATGGATCGAGTTCTCTTCATCCTTCGAAACGGGCTCCCGATCGCTCTATGGCGCACCAACACGGCGCTCAAAGGCCCAGCCGAGCAGCTTTTTTCTCTTGGCTTTTCATCAGCTCGTGTCTTTAGACCTGAAAACTGATGGTCCAATCGCTACAATTCGAGATACGGGATGACCCTGCATAATAGCCAATGCCATGCACACGGCTCTCCTGTTCTCAGCCCCACAGCGGTTGCGTGTGTTACCTTTCCAGAAGGAAAAGGTGCTCAGTGTGACTAGGCACAGCTAGCCCCTTCTTTCGCTCTCTGAAGGGCTGCTTGTTTTGAATCGAGAAAGGCACCAAAGAGTCAGCCCTAGGTAAGTCCCAAGACCGTAGTTTCGTTTTGCTTTCAGGCACAAAGAAAAGGAAAAGATCCCGCTTTCTAATAAATTACTTTTACTCTTTCTCTTTCGTTGATTCCCATCTACGTACACATCCGTATCCAAGCGAGAACGAGACAGGAATACAGGACCCTTGTGTGGATGCGATTCGTGGCTCGTGACTTAAACAAGTACTAAAATGGCAGACACTCTTGCTGTCGCTGTCCCTGTCGCTCCCGCTATCACCACCACATACCAGCGAGCGGCCGCAAAGACAATCCCCGTCAGTCCTATCACGTCGGCTCCGATAATATTCACACAACGAGACTTAATCAGACGAGCCGAGGACACCATCGATGATAACACCTGTGGCTGGGTCAACGGCGACTACAGTATGTAAGCTACTTACTGCCAATATCGTTCGCCAGACTGGATGGAGTCAAGTAGTTGACTCGTGAACCCTTCTTCGCAGATACTCCTCTCGCATGCACATATCCCTACCATCGGCCCTGCCTTTGGGGTCCCGAGCTTCATGTGGTAGGATGCTGCATCGATGCTTCAACGGACCATTGTGCCTGGGCGACTTCCTGCGTGCCGTATTCAGAGGTGAACAACGGATGCGATTCGGATTGTCAAAACAACAACCTTAACACGATCTGGTACGTCTTGGGGTCCAAAACAATGTGGAAGCTCGCTTTTTTTTTTTTTTTTTTTTTAAATTGGGCTAACCTCCACTCGATGAACTTTCAGTGATTCAGTCAATTCCCTATGTGCTACAGCAACCTTCGCCGGACCCGAAGGATACACCTACCTCAGCTGCACCAGCAGTTCAGGTCCCACACAAACCATCGCCCTCACATATGACGGCGGAAACGCCACCATGGAAAACTTACCCCGGTATTTCTCGGACTTCTGGTACAGCAGCAGCGGAAGTGCTATAGCATCGTCGTTATCCTCAGCATCAGCTACATCTAGTGCCTCATCTTCCAGCACTCCGGAATCGGCTGCGTCAGACGTCCAGTCCTGGCTAGATGAGCACAAAGGGGCCATCATCGGCGGCATAGCCGGGCTCTGCGTAGTTGTTGCGCTGCTTGTTTTCGGCTGCATCTGCGTATGGCGAAGGAGGAGGGTCAAAGTCAGTGCTGGAAGTGGTGGGAAATATGCTCCAGCGTCGCAACAGATGCCTCACCAGGAGGCGTACCAAATGCAGTCCCAAGGAGCGTATCAGCCTAGTTACCAGGGAAATTTCCAGAGTCAGCCTTATGATGGTGCTGGTGTCTATGTGCCGCCACATCGATAGGTGAGGGATGAAATCCGGAGTCATCGCAAAAGCAAAACCTGGAGGTTGGCGCGCTGGAGTTTGCTGGGTTTCGTGCGCTTGGGGCTGAAGTTTGACTGTGTCGTCCTGGCATAGACTGGGGATTTGTGAAAAATCATCATTGAGAGGGACGAAAGGCTTTGTTCTCATCGTTGCCGCGTTGAGTTTGATTTGCAAGTGCCAGTGGGATATCTACGATCCCATGAACGAGGGAGTTCAGGTACATATCTGGGATCGTCTATTCGTACTCCCTATCGTTTTGAGCCTGGTGTTGGACTGAGTAACTTGATCTCTACGATGGACGGTATCTAACTACCTATGTTCTCAAAATATCATAACGGACACTCTACTACCGTCAATATGAATGAAACCGCCTCTTTCCCAGTACTATATCTCTCGTTTCTTGGTTTTCAAGGATCGAGGTTCCCTCTTCTCTCGATTCTTCCATGATGGGGACACTAACCAAGCATTGGCACCACTCAAAAGATCTCGTCATCTCCGGAGCTCTTACAGCGTCTTCCGTTTTTGTGAGTGTCGAATTGAATAATTGCCTCCTCGTGCTCGTTGTGTGGCCGGCAAGTCGCACAACTCAGTCTTTCTACCATCTTGACCAGGAATATGACCTAGATGGTCGTTGGCAATAACAGCCAGACAAGCGAGCGAGGAATTGAGGACCCCCTCCAGGCGCTCAGACCATCAGATCCCGTGGCTCCAAGCGTGATCGAGTATGCGAGATCAAGCGGTGGCAAGTTCCGCATCTGTGGTGATGTGCATAAGGTTGAGCGGGCTGCATACAGGGCGTCAACCCGAGTCCTCAATGCTCTCTCCGGCAGGAGTCCTACACTTATAGACATCTCGGGACGGGTCGATCTTGCTGACAATCATGGTCCAGATTAGGTGAAAAGGCCATGTGACGTCTGGCTCTGGGATCGATGGAAGATTGAATTGCTCAAACGGCAAAAGATAAGTGCTTGAAGAAATACGAGGGAGGGTGCAATTGTCTTTGCCTCCGAAAGTCGGTATGTGATTGGCTGCCTCGGATTTCATTCTTCTCCGGGTTGCGTACCAAGACTTTCGTCTCTCCCAGCCTTACAAACAAGGATGTCGGAAGAAATGAAGCGGTGTGAGTGAGGAAATATGAATGACATGGACTAACCGAGAGTAAATGGAACAGGGAAGAAGATGGCGCTGGAGGCTGCCGAGTTGATTGATGCATTGAGTTTCGATTTGTTACGTAAATATGTAGATATGTAGATATGTACCATGGTCGATTCTGACATGATGACAGTCCAATTCAGAATGTGCCCAATCAGTTTGAAGATCCAAGTTTATTCGATGTTGAGGCTCACCGTCCCCGTGGGCCATCCGCATCCCGCTGGAGACCCTATCTTCCACGTGGCTCATAATCTCCCCTTATGCACGTAGCTTCCTCATTTCCCACCAATAACCCAACCAAGTCAACGACAAGGGTGCATCAAAGATATAAAGCTGCGGGAAGCCTTCTCCAAATTCCAGGGTCAATACCCTTTGCTCCAGGGTATAGAATGCCGGAAAGTCCAGTGACGGTATACATGCTTCCGAGAAGTGTGGAAGTCCAGACTGAATCAATCTCTGCCCGACGATTGGGATTCTGGCGAAGGGCAAAGTAGATTGAGGCCATACCAAGAACGAGAGCCATGCTCATGGTCTGTCCATTGTGGAAGCATGCATGTGGCGGCCAGAGATGCACCGCATTTTGTCAACCCTCAAGTTGTAGGGAGACAGTCTCCGCACTGAAAGGGCATTTGCCGACTGACTGTCGACCCCTGGTCTCCTCAGCTCGAGGCCCCGGGGTCCTTTTGTTCCTCCTACCGACTTCCGTACAACTCCTCTCAAAAATGAGCAACGACGACGACTTGTAGTTGTTCATCGTCGTGGTAGAAAAGAAGGGGGATGCTTTGATGGAGAGGATCAGTTTATTTCGGACCATGAACAAACAGAAGAAAAAAGAAAAAGAAGCACGAGGGGAAGGAACTGGGTTGAGAGCTCGGACTCGTCGACTCGAGCCTGCGGAGGGGTTGGATCTCCTTTCTTCCCAATTGCTTGATCCATATCGTGTCAAGAGATTCCCTTTGAAACACTTTTGCCTGAACATGATGACCTTGAAACTTGAGCAGTCCTGTCGCTCAGCTTTGCGTATCGCGGAAATCTTCACATCCACACGGCAAGGGCTTCAATGAGGAGGATGTCGACTTGATCGAACATCTATTTCCAAAACAGGAAAAGGCCACGGACGATTGTCCTGGCATTTTTACGGACGCGTTCCCAAAGATTAGCGCTGATCAGGATGGCCGGTGAGCAATGCTCCTGGGGAAGGCTTAACTGAAGACACAAAATCTTTAAAGGATTCGGGCCAAGGACAAGGCCGGGAACGCCTAAGAGGCATTTTCAACCACCTAAATTCCTGCGCATTGGCCAGCCCCACCATCTCTTCAGCATTCTTGTATTACATAAGCACGTCCTCTTCCGTTGAGTTTTTCCGATCCGGCCTGGGCAGAAACTGCATGAGTGGCGGAAGTGACTTGCCGGACTGCGAATTTTCTCCCTCGTGGTCCGTTTGTAGGCGGTCATCGGCTCAGTCGCCCATGACATCTCGATTCGATTCCTCATCTCATGCCCAGTGTCATTTACCCTCTGCCAATGAGTGACAGTGCCCCGACATTCCAGGTTCCACGAGTTTCTCTCCTTGCTCTCCATCTACAAGTGCAATCCTCTCCCTCCATACCACTCAGCATGCCGAGCACATAACCTCCCTCGACCATCGGGCGTGTTTGCCGCTCTTCATCTGACTTTTCGTGTGGAAAGACCCTTGGTTCAAAGCACGACTTTTCCGTTCTAGATCAGTCCACCTTTGGCCGAACAATAGGTTCCTGTCCCACTGAAGAGTCGATCCCTACATCGTCATGTCCATCAAGTACGTCTCCATTTGGGATCACCGCCGGCTGACGGAGCTAATTATGTCATCTTCAGTTGGGTCATGCTTGATGGCCAACAAGGCTTTATACGATTGCCATCAGAGAGAATTATTCACAAATCATCCCCGAGAATATCTCTTGCCATTACCACTCCTTCGACTTATCCCGGCAACAACCCTTTGGCTATTCATTGCAGTTCTGGCATCGTCTATTTGACCAATCAAAGAGTAAGTACGGCCTAAGGGGGAGTCATCCCCATCTCCTCATTTCTAACTCGTGACATAGATAGTCTATCTTCCAGAGAGAGCCACACCGGAATTCAAATCTTTCTCGGCTCCCCTTCTTAATCTTCACGACACTCACCTGACGGTACCTTGGTTCGGACCCAATGCATGGCAAGCAATCCTCCAACCCGTTCCCGGAGGCAATATCCCGGCCACCCAAGCCTCTATTGAACTCAAGTTGACTTTCAAGGAAGGTGGAGCACCGGACTTTCACTCGAATTTTGAGCAAATCAAAGAGAGACTGCAACAAGTAGTGGCCACGGCAAGGGAAAACAACCAAACGGGTCGACGACAAGATAGTTTCTTGGGAAATGTCAACCTGGATAACGTACACCTTGATCAATTGCCCTCGTATCAAGATTCAGGACGGGATAGGATGGCACCGGATCATTCTGCCGATCCTAGCGAGGTGGTGGATTCGCCAGGGGCAATGAGTCCGATTTCGACTCCTGGGCCGAGTAGAGCTGGATCCCCGGCCGAAGATCCTCGACCACCACGAGATGCCCCTCCGGGGTATGAGGAGACTCAGCAGCAGAGTATCCAGGCGGAATTGGATCGAAGGTTGTCGCAGTCTCAACAGTAGAGTCTGTGTATGATTATGAAGCAGGGTGTTTGGGTGTTTGAAACAAGCTTGATGTATTATTTATTGGAGGTTATTACCGTCCCCAATGCGGTCTGTAGCTGTTGTCTAAAGCTCCTACATCGATTCAGTTCTATTTATCATATTGATGCCGATGGCAGGGACCCGGAGGAGCCTGGGCATTCAAGCACCTGTCGCTGACCAATCAGCTTCGTCTCAATTTTAGCTCTCAACTCGAAGCTTTTAGCTTTCTGCTCGAATCGTGACATTGAAAGCTCTCTTTCTCACCCTTCAAGGTCGCCGCCTCAATATCGACGAGTCTCTCGAGTGCTTTGCATTCCATTGGCTGCCAAACTTTCCCTCTTGTCCCATCCAATTCCGCCATCCATAAAACAAGATGGGGATCACAGATTTCTTTTCCGACCTCCTGAGCTCCGTCACGTTCGTGCAGGAAGTCCACGCTGAAGCTCCTGCCGAAGAAGAAGAATCCAGTGACGGAGGAGACGAATCCAAGGACGGAGAAGGAGAAGGTGGTGATGATGCCGGAGAAGGAGAGGAGGAAAGTGATGAGGCCGAAGAGGAGGAAGAGGAGGAGGAAGAGGAAGAAGAACCTGTGGATCCTAAACCAAAGCTAGAGGAGGGTACGTGCAAGTGCATTCAACTCATATTTTGGATCCATCGGATCCATTGGGAGGAAGGAAACTGATTGGAACACATTTTCAGACTGCGCCCGTTCCGCCCAATGCATCGGCTACAAACACCATTTCGACGAGTGTGTTGAGCGTGTCACTGCTCGAGAGAACGACCCGAACGCCAAGGGACCCAAGGAGGATTGTGTCGAGGAGTGTACGTCTACATCCAGGTCCTTGAGAATTGAATTTGAACCCCAGCATCGGAGAGGAGGTCAAACAGAGTTGAGCTGAACTGAACTGACCAAACATAAACACAGTCTTCCATCTTCAACACTGCGCTACTCAATGCGCTGCTCCCAAGCTGTTTAGACAGCTGAAATAGACGAGCTCCTTCCCATTTGTTTCGTCGAAGGCGAACGATCCCCAAAGCTCCTCGTCGGCGGTCATGAAATGAAGGAAAGGAATAGAAGAGGAGGGAAGAAAGAGACCCCAGCCGAGGACTGCAACTTTGCATCCATACACGCGACAAACATGGCACCACCCATTCGGCTGATACTTTTCAGTCAAAGACATCACATCGACCTGCCTCTTCCCATCTTGCTGTCTTATGTGCGTGGATACGGGAAGCTATTCTGCTGTTGGGAATTGTTTTCTGCTCTTTTCTTCCCACCGACCTCATCCATCACATCCATACATAGTCAGGCAAACCCAACCCCCCCACACGCCTTGTACAGACTACTCACCTACCCAAATAAAATATGAGAGAGCGTTTTTCTACACAGAGACAAGATATCAGTTCTGTACCATCCTTGATCTGGAGAGCTATTAATCGTTGTCTCCCATTGGCCTTCTGTCCATGTCTCTTTCTTACCTGTGTCTACATGGCAGGCCTTGACAATCTCACCATGAAACCGTTCCCGACCTGGGATTATCGACTTATATGTGCTGTGGTCTTGTTGGCTAGCTGACATGTGTCACCACCCCACTCCACTCTTCCGCCCACAGGCAACATCGCGCTCGCGGCCGGCCATATCCAGTTCCTTCAGGCGCAGGGGTCCAATTCAGTTTATTTTGGATCGTTCTCCATTTTCTGAACCGACTCTACGTTCGATAATTTATCGCGATGCTTCAATGCCGAATTGTGCGTACCAGGATGAATTCGTCCAGTGGAACGCGCATGCAGCAGTGCTACACATCGTATAATGTCACCGATATCAGAACCATTTGAGATCAGGCTCAGCCGGCTAGACAGCACTCAAGCCAAAGCACCGTGCCCAGTCTAGTATGTTCAGTACTCCGGGTATGTAGGTAAACGTAGTTTATTGGATTTTGGTAGGCTTAATGCAGGGCGACGGGCATTCAATTTCATCGGGCGTACTCCCTTGACCCCATTAGAGGTAATGTGAGGCTGAGAATGTCATTCGCTTCGCTGTCGTAGTTATGTACGTGGACTCGTTCTGTTCGATACCATATCTGCATAAGGATGCGCACGGTTCTGCCTGCACCGTTCGGGTATTTGGGAATCATGGCCCGAGAGGTACTCAGCACTGTGCCCACAGCCTTGCTCGCAGCCCTGCCCGTGCGTTTGCCTAGACAGACGACAACATCGACACCCTCAACCACATCCGCGCCCGTACCAAACTCACCGGGAGCCATATAGTGGTACCTATTCCAACGGCAGGACTGGAAATGTATCACAGCGCAACAACACCGACCATCGACATCCTTAGCTCTGTCCATAGCCATCAATTCATATCAGGATCCGTGTCCTGTGCATGAACGGTCGACATCTCAGCCTCAAGCTCAAACTCAACGTCAACATCAGTACCCATCCACAGTCGATAGCCGATCTTGATCTGTCTTTCGACAGATACAACAACCACAGCAGCGTCGTCGTAGCCGGCACCGTCAGCTCCGGATCCCAATTCGAAAGATTCATTTCTCTAGGTCATTTGGTCACGCATTTCACACCCTCACAGCCCCAGGCCTCGCATTCGCATCCAGTAACTGCGCATCATCATCAACGATAACCTGCTCGACCGACCCATCAATTCTTCGATCCACCTCCCATCTCCTTCTTCTCACCCTCCCTTGCCGTCCAAACAAGCCCAAACACAGCGGACTCGGCAACACCAACATAGCCAACACGGCCTGAAAAATCAAGGCTCTCTTCATATTCTTCGGTGGACTTGCGCCTTTCCCTTCTTTAAGTGCATTCATGATAATCACAAACAGGCCTCCAAATAACTGCCCACCACACCAGCACAACGAACTCCCCAGCTCCGGACCGAGAGGATAATGGATCTCCACCAGAAACTCCAGCACGACAGGGACCAGACCGAAACTCGCAGCACCCAAAATCGCGCATATCACGTCAACGTACGCGAGACTTTTTGATTGCGGGGCCCAGACAAATACCAGGTATGCGAGTCCTAGGAAGGGAATCGCGCATTTGATATAGACGAGGTAGAATTTATATTTGTCGATGATCGGGCAGGAAATGGCGGAGCACACCAGGCCGACGACTATCAAAATGGCGCCCGCGATCCCGGCGTCCGTCTCGCTGAACCCATACGGCTCGAGGATTTGATTGAGCAAGGAGCTGAACGCGTTGAAAAGGCCAACGTACACGATGAAGGGCACAAACAGGAGATAAAATTCAAAAGAACGACTCAAGGTGTGCAGGTCCTTGCGCACCGAAGTTCGGTCCACGTGATCGGATGCCTCAAGTTCGTCGGGCTTCGAACCTGCTGATGGTGGTGTGGGCGGTTTCCGTGGGATGAAGAACGCGGGTATACTTGCGACGCTCGCGATAATACTGATGTACAGTATCATATTGGGGATTTCGTCCGGCTGATCTGCCCAAAACGGCGAGATCAACTGGCCCAACGCCGCGCCGAACGGATTACTGAGCGAGGCGACGGCCGTAGCTGTCGTGCGCCCGGCAGGGCTGAACCAGAGATTACTGTAGCTCGTGGGGGAGGAGAGAACGAAGGGCTGTGCGAACCCAATGATCAGCTGGCCGACCATGACGCCGGCGAAGGAGTTGGCGCGGGTCGCGCCGTATTTGATCCAGTTGCCGATCAGGACGAGGGTGGCCGCGATGATGATGGCAGTTTTGCAGCCATGGTGGTGCAGGACCCAGAAGGTCAGGGGCGTCGTGACGCAGAAGGCGAAGAGGAACGCGGTCGAGATCCAGTTGATGTTCGTCTCGCTGGTGTGGAAGTATTGCGCGGACGTCGAACTGACGGGGGCAAAGGCGATCCAGTCCCACGAGACGACGATGTTGAGGAGCACGAGTTGTAACAGGCCGAAGAAGCGCCGTCGGTATACTTTGTACACGGCCGGGGAGGACATGGTGGTGGTGGAAATCCGTGAGAGCGTGCGGGTGGTTCTCGGTGTTGGTGTTGGTGGTGCCGTGGTGGTCGTGTGAGGTTGAGGTTGAGAGTGACCGTTTGGCGCGACGTTGACGTCGACATCTGCGTCGGCGGGCTTCCCCATCGCGAAGGACAAGAAGGATATACGACGCGATGTGATGTTGCTTTCGGGCGCTGTGCTCTCGCTGAACCTTTACAGGGGTGATGGGACAGGGGGTTGACGGCCCACGGACCTTGTGGGCATCGGCGGTCGTGGCGGTTGCGAGGTGTGTTGAAGAAAGAAGAGATATCTACATGGTCGAAATACCCCTGAGCAAAGATGTCGTCGGATTTGAACTCGAATGCAACGTGAGTTGAAACTTGAGGGGTTCACGTTGGATGTGACGGTAGGTTTTCAGCCGGGAGACTATTTGGCCTGATATCGGTTGCGTTTCAGCGAAAAAGATAGCGCTCATTCCAGCCAATAAGCAACATGATTGGGGGGCCAAGATAAAGCTTTGCCTCGATCTTCTTGTTACCGGGATAGCACGATATCAAGCTACCACTACCATCATCGTCAGAATACACACAATGCAAGGATGGGCTTCCAATTTGCTTGACTCCGAGTCTTTTCGGGGTTGAATAGGATTGTGGAGTCATTACTTCGTTAGCAAAATCGTTGCAGGGAAATCGACTTCCTCTATATGGCTTGCTCCTTCAGGCACTGTAGGAGACTATGCATTTGACGTCGCGATACGAACCCTTCTCGTCCTTCGTCGACATTCACCCTCATCTTCTTAATCGCCGTGGCACCAATAGCCTGTGGAAGATCTAATGAGACATGCTCGGCATTAATGATGTTATATTTCTTGATGGAAAAGGAACGGCTTCAGTAGTTGGTCTAGTTCCTTTTGAGTAGCAAAGTCCGAGAAAATGCGACGCAAGGCAGTGAGATCTTGATCTGTCAACCTTGCCCCGTGGTCAAACAGCAGGAGCATTACTTGAAGGTGATTTCCTCCTGGGACAGCTTTAGCCATTCCGCACCGCACTTGGAGATGATAATGTATCGCCACACAGAAAGGACTCAGAGGAATCCGCGAACAGCCTGTGTCACCCACGTCGATCTCCCGGTTGTTCTCGAAAATGGCCTGCATAATATCGGCATGCCCCAAGTGAGCCACCGTCTGCATTAGATTGCCAAAGATGCCATTGGCATTCTCCATCAACGCGCCGTGGCGAAGCAGAAGCAGAAAGACATTCAGGATCCCGCAAGAGGCCGCTGCGAGGAGAGCACAGTTGCCACCCCATTCGTAGATGGACCCGAAATCGTTGACATCGGCACCATGATGGATAAGGAGCCTGATCATCTGCTCGTCGCCTTGTATGGCCGCGCGCTTGAGTAATGTTCCAAACCTCGCCACCGCCATATTGATGTCGGCACCCTCACTGAGAGCTCTACTCGCCAGCTCCCCATGTCCCATTTTAACGGCTAGCGCCAGGATATCCTCCCATGTGTAAGGTGATCTCGGCGTACCAGGTTTGGCTCCGAACCGGAGCAATAATGCCACCATTCTCGGAAGGCCGGCCCCCGTCGCTATATTCAGGGGTGCTCTTTTGGGCTCCAGTTCATCCTCGATCATTGCTCCGGCCTCAAGCAGCGTTACCACCGCCTCAAACTGGTCGTACGCCACGGCTGTGACGAGAGGCGTCAGATCTAGCGGTTTGAGCCGATCGCTCATGGAAATCTTTCCTCGAGCCTCAAGGTTAGCACCAGCCCGAATCAGCTTTCTCACTGCATCGACTCTTCCCGCGGCGGCGGCAGCTTTCAAGGGATTCGTTTCACCGCAGCCGTTTATGTCGACCGCAGCGTCCAACATGAAGAGATCCATGATTTCCAGCTGGCCTTGGTGGGCGGCTTCTTCAAAACCGCAGTGCTTGACGTGGTCATCTAGTTTCGATGAAGCAAGAAACGTTCTTGTCACGTCCACCCGCCCGCACGCAATTGCCAGCTTTAGGATATCCCAGTCTCGGCTGCCCTTCGTTGTGACATAGCGAGATGCGATCTCGGAGCAGCCTTGTCTAATGGCGAAGCGCAAAGCGGCTTTCTCCAGATCCTCGCGAATGGACTCGCCCTCTTCATAAGCGAGCAACAAGCCTTCGTCAGACAAGTCGTAGGGACAATGGCAGGGTATGTTCTCCAGCTGGTTAAAGAGTCTGTGGATTGTTTTGAGAAGGGGTTCCAGTTTAGATCCAGAACCCGTGGTACACCGGGAGGTATAGTTGGGTAAACTAGACTCTTTTTCATGTTTCGGCCGCCGCGTGTCGTCGGTAACGTGGGGTTTCGGTTGGTACAAGTAGTCTTCGAGGTCGTGAAGATCATCCAATTGCACACTCGCTGCCTCGACATCGGTCTCTGCGGGTGTTTGGGGCCTACTTGATACGAGATGATTCGTCTGCTCGTTGGATCCACGGTCGCTTTCGTGGGCGCGTTCTTCACTGCTCGTCTCCTCCTCTAGGGTCGTGATACGCACTTGTGGAGTAGCTGTGGGCTGGGATGTTGTTGACATTGGGATCTCATTTCGTTCAACGGCGAATATCTTGGCCGTTGTCCAGTTGGCATGTGATGTAGTAATCAGAGCGATTCCGACGCCGCAAACTGTACCCATAAGGAATGATATCCATCTTGAAGCAATCCATTGTGGAGCATCGATCGAGACGGCCATGTTGGGGAGCGGCCAAAGAGTATTTGCACCCTTTTCTGCTCCACGGGTTGAATCCGTGGAAGAAACGCAGATTTAAGATAATGCTGGTCAAATACGACTGCGAAGTGAGTAGAAGAAACAGACTCTGCGACACTGATGAAACGATATGTACTCCGTGCTCGGCAGAGTAGGCCACGTCAATAGCCGCAGGCGGCTGATGAAACTGTGAGACCATGCACTACTACCCTCCAAAATTTACATCGCCTAGACTGAACTGTAAGGAGGCGAACCGCCAGATTCGCCCGGCAATGTGCATTGAGATGTAAATGCGAGACAGCGCCCTCCATGGCAAAACAAAAGGGATATACCAAATCCAAACCTCCTGCCAAACGCGAAGCGTTTATTTTCTCCCCCGATATAGGTCGTAAATACCGTATTGCATTTACCCCCTCTCATCCCTGATAGAAAAAGCAAACATTTCCGAGCTTATGACAAGAAAACGCCGTACGGCAACCTAGTGGGAAAGAGCTCAAAGAGATCATCTTCTTCGCAGCGCCGGTGGGAATTGGAGGGATCATGATCTGCTCTCCGCGATCCCGCTGATGTTTCCCTGTAGAAATGTGTCGTACGCGGTAGTGAAAGCAGTAATGACAATGCTGGCTTTCCTTGGTATAGGCTAGTCTGGCCCACTGTAAGGGGTCGGAGTGTTCAAACGTCTTCGAAGGTCTTTACAGGCCTTGGCGTCGCCACTTATCACGTGACCACGCGTTCATGTGACAGTGACCGGGGGGGGGTATTATTCTGTACACCAACTTTTGTTATTCTGTACACCGGAAAACCTGCTTATTCTGTACACCATGCCTCAACTCTCCTTATTCTGTACACCACCACCTCTCTCTCGCCTTATTCTGTACACTTAACGCTCTCATCCTGTTATTCTGTACACCGCGCTAACAGAGCTTGTTGCCGTTGGCCCGGCGATGGCGAGAAAACACTAGTAAGTGGCGTAGCTGTGGAGGGGTGACGCGTTAAACTCTCCCCGTTATAGGTGGTTGCGAAGCAATAAACACATTTGATTCCCTTTTCCTTGGTAGATAAGTACCGTGCATTTTGAGCTTCTCTGTATACTTTGTAAATTATTGTGGCCTACACAGCCGGATTTGTGTAGAGATCCCCTGCACGGTCGATACCTCGTGCTGACTAAGGTAACAAACCAGCGCCCATAGGCTTGGGTGGGAACCGCCCATAAGCGGGGCAGTTGCCCCCCGGCTTATGGGCGGTTTCCCCCCGGTTCATGGGCGGTTTCCCCCTCCGGCTTATGAGCGGTCCTCCCAAGCCTATGGGCGCTGGTTTGTTACCTTAGTCAGCACGAGGTATCGACCGTGCAGAGGATACCATCGTTAACCATCATTTCTGCATTCTATATAGGCAGACTTAGGTGTTGTGACATCACGTATCTTCGAACTGCGCAGATAACCGGAAAAATAAAAATCCGGACCAATCAAAAGCGGTGTACAGAATAACAAAATGTGGTGTACAGAATAACATTACCCGTGACCGGGCAATATTCTATGCACGTGATAGATTGAAGCGCGCCTTATTCGCGATGCTATCTCTCGTCGACCTCATATTTCTCCATCACGACGCTGACCGAGACCCATATTCCGGCAAGATCGATTATAGTATGTTGATCCTACCATGCCTTTCTGCGATCCTCTCTTCCTCCGGAGCATACCGTCGACCCACCCTCTTCTCCCCTTCTTGCCATTTATCATGCCCATTGTGCGAATGCTCCATCTAAGTGACCTGGGTGACTATATCGGTCGCATCATTCCAGAGATGGAAGAGGTGGGTATAAAGGAAAATGGATCTACCGAACTTGGACGCTACGTCAGCTTAAAGCTGGGCGACTAGTTGGAGGAAGTTCCAGTATGTTGACCTCGTTGTCGATAGAAACGGCGGATGCTCAGGTCTGGAAACGGAAATGGACTTTGGTGAGGTGAAGATTCGGGACATTCAGTCATCCATGATGATGGTATAGTTGATAGCCAGGCGGTGGGCGCCATGGATCGTAACCCATTCCACGAGCGGGAAGTTGACTTGGGAGAGGAACATGATTGGAACCTGGTAGAGGGAGTGGAGGGTAGCTGGACATTGGCGGAGAGCTGGAACCTGTCATGGGAGGGCGATTGAGGGTTGTCCTGGGAGGAGAATTGAGCCCTGTCATACCGAGAGGAGGGTGGTTGGACATTGGGGGAGGGCTGGGATCTGCTACCAGAAGAGGGCTGAGGTTTGCCATGGGAGGAGGATTATGCTCCGCCATACCAAGAGGAGGGTAACTTGACATAGGAGGAGGATTATGCCCCGCCATACCGAGCGGAGGGTAGCTTGACATAGGAGGAGGAGGGTTATGCCCTGCCATACCAAGCGGAGGGTAGCTCGACATTGGGGGAGGGTTATCCCCTGCCATACCGAGCGGAGGGTAGCTTAACATAGGAGGAGGACTGGGATCGGCCATAAAACGGGGATTGAGAGTTCCCAAGTCTGGGAAATCGGAACTTGCCGTTGTAGGAGGATTTGGGGCTTCCATAGCAAAAGGATCGCGATCCGGCACATCAAGATGATGACGAGATGGCAGAGGAGGAGAATCATGAGTTGTTCTCCGACGGGTATTTGCCCTAGGAAGAGAAGGAGTACGAGTTGCCCTGGGAGGACGATTTTGACTGGACCTTTGGGGAGGATCGTGATTTGCCGTGGGTAGAGGATTGTAATTTGTGAGAGGGGGAGGAAGGTTTGGGTTTTCCATGGGAGGAAAGCTGAACGTTCCCAGAGGAGGATGACTGTCCGTTACCATCGGAGGAAGTTGACCTGCCATAGGAGGATTGAAACTTGGGAGGGGAAGTGTGCCCCCAGCTCCGCGATGAACAGGCCGACGAACAGTATCATCCCTAAAGAGAATCTCAGCCATCAAGGCAAAAAGAGAAAAGAGAGTGGAGATATACAACGTACCCAGCCAAAACTGACAGCGGGCCCGGGCGAGGAAATCGCCTGTTTGGCCTGCTAGGAGGCTTTCGTGTCATCCTCCCGAGTCTTGATCTTCTTGGCTCAAACGAAACGGTCTCACTCTCTGATAAATTAAACCGGACTTGTTTCGCAGATCCATTGCGTCTTCTGGGTGGTAGTGGTGGCGGCGGCGAAGGGGAAGGAGAAAGAGGCCACATGTCTTCCGCCGGACCTGTGAACGAAGAGGCTTCTTGCATTTCTTCTTCCGGAGGGAACTCGACTCGGGTCTTTGTAATTGGTGCTCCTGGCGGTAGACATTCCTTTAATAAACGACAGAATATCTCGTGAGTGCGTTCTGGTCTACGCCTTGCCGGAACATTCCTTTCTTCTAGTAACTTTTCGAAGTTGAATGGTGGTTCAAGTCTAGGTCTCTTGTCCTGGGTGAAATCACGTCGGCCTCCATATCTCTCTAAAAAGCCTGGTAAATATATGCACAGATAGCCAGTTCCTGCTGTTTTTCCTGTTGATGGAGCCGGAAGATGTGTCTCTGTCTCTGTCTCTGTCGCCGGTCCGGTTGTCGGTGGGGGATGGAGTAGTTCTGCTCCGGCTGTTGGTGGAGCACCGACATTGTCTGGTGTGGATCGGACATTGTCATTGTGCTGTGTCGTTGGAACACCGATATAGTCCGGTCTGGATGGAACGTTGACATACTGCTGTGTTGGGCTAACGTATTCCTGTGTTGGAGTACCAATATCAAGTTGTGTGACTCTCCTGCTTATTCCTTGGATATGGAAATCGAAATCTGATACCATGCCTCCCGTCCGTTCATAACCTTTGCGCAAGTCATCTATGCCAGGGAGTCTGGCAGTTTGCGGATCAGGGCGGCAATATTGGTTCTCATCTTCTCGCTGTCCTCCTTCCGAGTTCGTCTGAGGCTCTCGCTCTGATTCCTCGGGGGGCCTTGGCATATTGGTTGGGACATAGGGTGTGAAATAGATATCCACAAATTGAGGTTGTGTTCTGCGGCCATTTCCTGGAGTCGGAGGCGTAGCATGATAGAGAAGTGTCTGAAAGGACAGCTCAAGCCGATGGGCCAAAACAGCCAACACTTTGAGGGGTCCAACCACGCCTGCATGTCGAAACAATACAAGGGCGTCCTCAGCAGTGCGTTCGGCCGTCGGCTTTAGCTTCCGGCGGAGCAGTTCAGAAAAAGGGAGACTCTTTTGGTGGGAGGGATGATATCTGATTTTCGGCAAGGTGTCCTTGTTCCCACCAATGGTCTCCATGTCAATTTCCCGTTCTGTGATATTATACACCTCACACAGATAGTAGAGTTTGTGTACTATTAATGGATATTAGCTCAATGGTTTCGGAAAGAAATTGACCATCTCATACGTTGATCCCACTCCGTCAACGCCCAGAATTCCTTGACGGTGGGTGGAAAATATTCGGGCAGCGGGAACCTGTGTTCTTCCTCGCCCGTTATCCATTCTCCAGTCGACTTCGGCAAGGGGAAAATTTGGTCATTTGCTGATGCTGCTTCCGTATTGTTTTCAGTCGCCAATTTCTTATACGTGCGGACGAGCACTGATAGGTCATGACAATAGACTCGAGGCCGACCATCTGGACATATGTGTCGTTCCGTAGGAAGAACGGCTATATGTTGATTTTCACCCTCATCTCGGGAAGCCTTGTCATCTCCCTGAGTTGCCTCTGCCGGGACTGGATTTAGTAGATCGGTCACGGATACTACGGGGGTTGGATTCAGTAGATCGGCCACGGATGCCATGGTCAGAAGAGAGTCAAGAAGGTTAGTCTTGAGGAGGTAGAACGAACGAAGGAGAAGAGGAGGGGGAGAGAGGTCGGCTGGAAGTATTAGGATCTGGCGACCAACGAGTACCTTTGAGAATCTGGAAGTGATACCCCTCAAAAGACACGGGGATTGTGACAGGTCTTTTCGCAGGGTATGCCATTCCAACCTCCTAGATTGACACGGACGAGTAAAGCAATTTTGTGTAACATTCTTTTGCACTACGTGGTTGAACAAGAGATGCAGAGCAACGCCTCAGATGCTTTCCGGGGCGTATGTGCAGAGCCCGACTAGGCGGGAAATAGGCTAGTGATTGCTGCTCATATTCTCTTTCAAGGTCATTGGTGGCCGCCGTGCACTCGACCAGTCGTGTGAGAAAGGGTGTGAAGGGCGAGGAGCAGAGGACAGACCACCCACAGAAAAGTACGGCGTCATCGGCACTTGACGATACCAGGCAGCCCCGGGGGGGGGGCGCATAACGGGGGTAAGTTTGGGAGATATAAATCCTCAGTCTTTGTTACCTCCGAAATACCCTGCACTTTGCAACGTGGATGTCAATCTTTTGTACTTACGTCCTTTTGCTGTGGTGATCTGGGATTGACAGGCCATGGTGGGGGTTGGGCGGCACTCAGGCGGAAAAGGAGGTCACCATATCCGAAAGAACAGCGAGAAACCCTTTGTCAGGAGTGATTGTGCAAGCCACATTTCCAACTCAGCTCAATTGCGGTTCTTTGACAATGTGACAAGTCACCAATACCAATGCTCTGCGCTGTGGGTTGCTAACCCCACCTAGGCCGAATGTACATAACTATTTACTTTAGGACGCGGGTACCAGACTCCAAGGTTGAGGCGGCCAGTTCGCCAGGCCAGGGGCTCCCATAGCCCCCAGTCTCTCGCCTAATTCTCTAGAACGCGTCGGATGCTTTGGCTGATTTCCCACTTCGTGTATCCCCCTGGCTCCCCTGAACGTTGCTTTGGCCATATTGAATTCATCATCTAATTAACCAGAAATCAAAATTGTGCGCGTATTCGTACAGCATCCTTTTTTATTTTTTTCTTTTTTCCCCCCTATGTTCAATCCGCCTGAGAAAGATCTATCGTTCCATCGTCATTCCTTCTGCAACCTCTCCTTTCCGTAATGTCCCCATAGCCGTTCCAGCACATTCCGACCTCCATTGCGCAACATGAACATCTTCCAGCACGCTATCCGAACTATATCCGACATCAATCGCCCATAGACTTCAGTATCTGGCTTGGACTGGATACCGGAAAAGAGCAGGATTAGCCACCTGTCCGGCATCACGATCACAATGCAGTCTTTCAATTTTGGCCTCAGACAGTCTTCTGCTGAGACGGCCGATAGCAGTCGCAGTCGCTATATCGCCAGTTCCGTCTACAGTGGTCCGGGGCCGGTCGATGATTCCCCCGCCATTGGCCATCCTCCGAGCTTTATGTCGGGAGCATTGCGAGGGCCATTTGAGGAACAACAGACGCCTCGTTCTGCGCCGGTATATTCCATGTGACCATTTTGCCGCCCTGGTGCTGATCTTGAATAGCCCCGCCAAAACGTCCTCCGAAACTCGACCCTGCTGAACATCAACGATCCTGTGGCAATGCATTTGTTGACGGAAACTGCGATCAGTGATAGTAGAGACTTCGAAGTACTATCATTTGAAGAAGTGGAACAATTGAAAAAGGAAAGACATTTTTTGAAAGGCAGAATTGAAACAACGAGACGAAAACTGGCTCTTGAAAGCAAGCTGCGGGATGCCGCGCAATCTCTCAATCGGCTTTATTCTACTCAGGAGCATCATGATGCCGAAGGGAATTCACCAAAGAAGTCGCGACGCAGTTTTCTAGGGACCAAGTCTGCGGGTGGTGAAGCTATCAACCGCGCCGACAACGAATATGCCGCCAGTAATAAAAAGGTGGAAGAGCTCTCTCTTGAACTGTCAAAACTGGAAAAGGAGCTGGAGCTCACGGAAAAACGTATTTTGGAACATACCGCTGGCATTCTTCAGATGACACACAGAGGGTTGAAGAAAAATATTCGAAGGACCGAATTACCTCGAAGCCCTGAGAGCATGACTAGCCAGCCTAACGGGCGTGGCTCAGGAACGGATAGTCTGGATGAGTTTGATGAACGAAGTCTCTACCAGGTTCCCGACTACGTGACTGAATTTGGACAAGTCCCCCGGTCAATCAACAAGAGCAGGGCTTCTAACAGAGAGACAAACGCAATTGAAGATGTTGCGGCCCGTTTGCAGGAAGTCAATCGTCGACTCTATTTGATGATCACCGAAGCTGGATCTCAAGAACATTTTGACCCCCCTCCTCAACCGACGGATAATGACATAGTGGGAAGAGTTGGCGCTCAAATCCAAGCATACCTGGGCTATTTGTCCCAAGGTCTGGATGCGATGGAAGTCGCGCGAACCCGAACCAATGCAGCTATCCAAAAATCGATTTTCGACTCCGAAGATCAGCTCGAGGATGTCAATATCCGCCTCCATGACATGTTGGAGAGGACCAATTCGGTCAGTCACAGCCCCTTATTGCAACAAGACGAACCACGGGGAAGGGATTTGCAATCTCAACTAGCCTTCTCTTCCGTCGTCCTCGAACGTTTGAATCAGCGTGTCGAGACGTTGGTCGAACAAAAAGATATCCTGACTCGACAGATTCAACAACAACGAGAACTCAATGGCAAGTCCGACGCTCAACGCGACGCCCGAATCCATGAATTGACGGATCAGTTGGAGGAATCAAAACGACTTCAAGCCTTGGGCGAGGAAGAAGCTCAGCATTCTCGTGACCAAATCAATCTCCTAATGGAGCAGTTGGATCTTGCCAAACAAGAAACTGTGCTCGTTGAACAACAGCGAGGTGCGAGTGATCACAAGGCCATTGAAGTCGAGCGAGCTGCACGCAAAGAGATGGAAGAGAAATTTTTGGCCGAATTTCAAGCCAAACAAGAAGAACACGGTCGGGTGCAATCCGAAATGAATCAGCAAGTCGTTGGCCTCGAGGCCGCCAAAGCTGAAGCGGAATCCGAACTCTCGAAGGTCCGTGCGGAAATGAAGGATCTCGAATCACAGGTGGTTCAAGCACAAACGGAACTGACCATGGTCAAAGCAGAATTGGATGGCGCTTATGGTACACGTGCTCAACGAGCAGCCGATGTGTCTATGAATCCGGCCATCCAAAAGGAAATGGATGATCTGAACACCCGCAATAGAGATCTTGAAACTCAACTTGAGTTTCTCAAAACCCAACACGAAACCAAAGGGGCGGGCAGTGCCGAACTTCAAAACAAGGTCAACGCGTTACAGAAAGAACTCAAGGAGACGATTGAAGAATACGAAGTCATGACGAAGCAGAGTATTGATGATGAAAAGGAGCGAGAACGTTTGGAAGAAATGATCGACACCCTCCAACAACGATGTGAGGGATTAGAATCCCAGTTGAGCGAAGAAAAGGTCAAATGGCTCGGTGTCAAGGCCGGATCACCTGCCGAAACCACTTCGACGATGGTCTTGAAGAATGAGTTTAAGAAAATGATGCGGGAGACTCGGGCTGAAAATCTCAAGATTCTCAAGGTAAGGCATCCTTTCAGCAGGATAATGGTTTGGTCTAACATAATCCCAGGCTGAACAAGCAGAGAGGCGCCGATTAGAAGGCATCATCAAAAACTTGAAGAAAGACCAACAAAGTCAATCTCAAAAGGAGATGCCCTCCACACCAAACGGGCCGATAGATGCTCGCTGATGTTCACCATTCACGACCCTCATGAAAGATTAATGACTGTCGAGCACAACTATTCAGGAAAGCAACAAGGACAAAGAGAAAGCATCCTGCTGGCGTTGATAATGCTAATCATCTAATGCATAGCAAATTTTGGACTTTGTATCAATATTGAGCATGGATCACGGACCGAGTGCGGTCGTGGGAATGGGAATAGGAATAGGAATCGGATGTGGGGGAAAGGACGTACTATTCTTGAAGCACTTTGCATTGGACAATTCAGCACCTCATACGGGATAAACTCAAAACGGACGAGAGAAACGGTTGCATCTGAAGAGGAACGACGTCGGCGACTGCCATTTCCCACAGTTCAAAGCTGAGGCTACGGGAACATTCCTTCACTACTGCTACTGTTGTCTCTCTTTTCACTTCTCGATCATTCCGTCTGCGCTTTTCCATCTTCTGCCTTTCTCCTTGTCCCTTAACACTCTCTTCCTCTCCCTCTCTGTGCCCTCTCCAATTCTCAATACATCCTCATCTTTACCTTGATTGCTGACCGGTAAGTACTATGATTCTCTTACCGTATCCATTCCTTTTTGATTTCGCTAGATGAGAAGTTACCGGACGACCCGCCTTCGGCAACCATCTACAAACAACCTCCTGTTGATCCGGCGGCGCCGTTATACCGGACCACCAACGATAGCATGGCAGACACGTCATCCCGTGACAGCTACCATGGATCTCCTGAGAAAAGAGTTTGCAGAACAAGTTCGACACGATTCGCTCCGACGACAGTTGACTTCTCCGATGGCCTCGAGCCAGATCAGGATGCAATATACAATGCTGAAGCAGTTCGAAAGAGAGGAAACCTCCTTTGGAATCCAGAGTTGTCGACAGAATACACGGCCCGTCCATTCAATCCACCCAAAACAGTCGTCTCAGCCTGGCAAAGTCAACCTTCGACAACATTGTCCTGTCGTCGATCCTTTTCTATCAATGATTTGGACTACATCCGTCAGCCTGCGGTCCCGGACTCGACCTTTTCGCATTCATTCTCTCCATCGAGAGTCTCAATGAAGCCAGTTGGTGTCCTACACATCCAAATATGCTGATGGAATCTCCTCCGTATCGAATCCCGACGTCGCCTGGGTTACTGTCTTTTGGTACGGAGAAGCAACGGAATACAGACTGACGGAACCACCACGGTCATTCAGGACGTCATTCTGGAATTGATTATGGCGACATTCAGAGTCCACGCGCTTGGCTCTTCAAGCTCTCCAGCTCTCGGACAGCAAGGCTAACTGGGAAGCCCTCCAGCTGAAGCCTTCGAGAGCAGGATCATTAGTCCACCAGCCAGAATATGAACCAAGAATGAGTCCTGCTATTTATGTTTTGCCCGCGACTGTGCCCGCATCCCAACTGAACTTCGTTACAGCGATGTTACGCTATCGGAGGATCCTCCAGAGCACAACTCCAGGCAGTTACGTTCACCCCATACTCCATCCACTTTACTGTCATTGGGAAGTATAGACGGTATGACTTGCGTTCCTAGTTGAGAAGAGGCTGAACGAACTCGTGTGAGGGAATTGTTGTTGGCCGAAAAGCGACGAGAACAAAGAAAATTTTGGGTTCGAATGAATGCGTTTGATGACTTGTTGTCAAAGTTTCTGGCCAGTGTGTCGTGTGAGTTGTTCTAACAACGGTGGGAATGCGGGTACAGGCGTTCCCGAACCCTGTCTACAGGGTGTGCGGTAATCTTCTGGATCTCCTGTCAGGTTTAAGTGCACAGGCCCAAAGAAGGCCAAGTACGTTGAACGGTTTCCCAATCCTTCCAGGTCCGCTTGCCAAAACCTATCTTTATTGGAACGAAGGATTCGCGCCCATGTGTTCAACTCAACAGCCTGTGGACAGTCCCAACATTCACCATTCCATGACCTCCTCCATTGTCCGTAATCCAAATTTGTAACATGCACAAGTAAACGATGCTGCATCTGGTATGGCAAGTAAATAGGGTAGAGAAGAGGGATGTTGGCCGTCGCATCAGGCGAAGAGCGCTTCCGGGTTTGGATCGTGGGCTGAAGGAGATCTGCTCGTGGCACTGTGTCAGCTTTGTAGATAATACACGAAAGATTACGGACAAGCAGGTGGTACGTGTAGGGTAGGCTTACATTGCCTCTAACGTCGTGGCGTTCGTACTCGCCGTCGCGGCGTTGGTGGTACTGCTGATGGCACTTCCAATAAAGACAACTTCTACGGCAGCGAACCTAATTCCCACATTACTTGTAAGATTCCGCACGGATTTAGCAGGAGCGGGTTGGAGTCCTTACGTGGCCGTGGCGGCGAAGATCTCAACTCGCCTCGCGGAGGTGAAGGTGACCAAGACGAGGGCGAAGATGGCGATGAAGACGGTCGTGAGCCCAATCCGCCGGTTTGTGTTATGGAGACTGTTGAGCACGAAAATCGTGACGACCGGAAGGGTCGAGGCCAGAATTGTAGCCATCACGTTGCCTGCCTTGTTAATCGTTGACTGTCTGTACGATACAATCTTGGCCCTGTCGCCGATCACTCTCCCAACATTCGGGCATCCGCCACAGAACCAGTGAAACATGTCAACGAAGGCATCCATGAACGGGGGTCGGGTCATCGACGGGTACGCCCCCCATGTCATGACCGGCATATTGTTATCCCTGGCAAGGATTTGGAAACTCGTCAACTGTGTAGCGTTGGGACTCTCAAGTTTTGACAAATGATAAACTTGACCGTATGTCAGCCGGAACCATATTTCAGATCCACAAACCGCGTCGTTGACTATCCGTAACGCATACTCTTTCACTCACTCACCTTGAAGTAACAATTCGTCTGGGGCCCATTAGCATCTGCGTTGTCTTCATGGAAGCCTAAACGAACTTACTGTATTCCTTCAGCTTTGGCATGAGTTGAAGCTGGCAAATTTCCTCCTGCAACCTGAGAAGGCGGAGGATGTTCAGTTCATCAAACCGTCGGAAAATGGCGAGGCTTTTGTCGCCGCTCATCTCAGCCGCCACCCTGGAGTACCCGCTAGGGCAGACCATGTGAGTGTGTGGGGATTGAGACGATGAGCTTGTTGCCATTTTGGGATGCCTCAAAATACGGAAAGCAAAAAGGGAAATGCTACCAGCATCCCATCACTTATTGCCTCGACGTTAGAGGGGAGGACCGCAGCCATGCTAATATCGCTGACCTGTTGCAGAAATCTCACAGCACCACATTATCACGCACTTTTCCTCTTGCTCAGCCGCCTCTATTTCTCACTATTATCTGAATTGCAAACCTGCTCGTACCGCTTTACGGATTGTCCCTGTGAACACTGCTATCTCGGCCCACCGATCATGTAAGCTTGTCACCAGATCTAGGTCGGATTTCGGTCACATCCTTCGTTCCCAAGGATAAATTCAACATCGGGGGTTCGGTTACAGAAAACAGGTGCTGAGGCCTCTCACCTATTAGCTGTTGAACCTAAGCTACGGGATGTGTCTTCGATTTCGATCTCCACCAAGGGGATCCACTGCTGCTCGACCACTAAGTGGCGGCTTCGTCGGCCGTCTTCGACTTCTTGGCCGCCGTGCTAAAAATTCGGAAAAAGATCTCCGACAAGAATTGGAAAAAGAGCTTCGAAACTTTCGAGAAGTAAGTGAACCTGGACCAGGCGGGATGTCTCTTTATCCTTAATTCTTCTTCCGTCGACTTCTCGTGATACCTGCTGCCCTCTTCTAGTCGAAGCATTCATCACGACCGAAGAACAAACGGCCGTCGAAATCCCGAGAAGGCTCTTGCTCTCACCTCTGATGGTGCTATTAGACAAGCGCTGCTAAGCCGGCTGAGCTGGCTGGCACCCCTATCAGCGTACCCGTCCCTACCGAAGTGGGCCCCTCAGCCGAGCCTACTACTAGGAACGGCTCTTAAGATCGATCCCGCCATAATCCTGGGAAGCGGCCAAATGGAAGGAAGCGGAGGAGCTGAAGGTGCAAGTAATGGAAACGAGAAGGAGAGTGCTCTGGGCAGAGCATCCACATACGCTGAATGATTTGGCGTTCATTATAATATTGAGGCTATTACATTTATGACGGAGTGTGTCCAGTTACGAATTCCTCTGCTATACTGGCTGAATGGCAAAAGCGCTGATCAACTGTCAGGCTTATGGAGCTAGATTAGGTGATTTTGGGGTAAAATTATCCATCCCATTTTGAGGTCACTTAGCCGGCGACTGAAATGAAAATGAACAAACAATCCCCGACGACCCAGTTCATGGCCATCTGCCGCACTGGGACCTAAGCAGCAGTGTCTCTTAGAGGACCGGTCCCTGAAAATAGTCTTCTGAAGTATGCTCTAGCGAAAGGCCAAGTTATTCAACGTCTAGCATCCATTGGCTGGGGTGCTGCTTCATTTTCCCAACCGCACAACTGTCGTAGGCTTGACCCATCACAGCTTTACTTCCATGTCGTCAACACGCTTTATCCAGATCGTCCTGATAGCACTCAAGGAAGACAAACAACCGCTGCAGGCCCCCGTCACGTAATGCTTTCAGCGGTTCCAGGAAAGCAGCGTGCGGTCTCAATACAAAGCCTGTAATGTCGCGACAGGTGGTCAAATAGCGGTCGAACGGGCCGCGGTTATCTATGGTCGGACGCAGGAATCGGTGGGACCGAACGCCAGTTTCATGTGTACGATGAGCGTCATGGAAGCTAAGTTGCCGTCGTGACTGGCAAAAATCACTTGTCTGAGTTTGCATGGGCTGGTCCCGACATGACTGGAACGCATCGATTACGTTCTTCCCTTTAACCCAAGGGGTGACGGGTACAACTCACCGGATGATAGCTCTAGAGGATCAGCGCTGCCGTTGCCAGCTATGACTGGCTCGATGTCAACATGGACACCGACACAGGCGGCAGTATTCAAGTGCCAGCGTCCAAAGAACGGCGTCATTGGAAATCGGCCTTCGTTAGGCGCCGTGAACCTCACTGGCGTGCTACCACTATCCACCATCTTGGATACGAGCAGCACATCTCAGAAAGACACTGCATTGACGCATCCTTCATTTCTAACCTGCATAATATCTGTAAGTACCGCCCCGCTCCCTCATATTATCCTACTCTTGTCCAAGACTAGCAGAGACGCCAAGGTGAATCGAAAGGAAAGCTGTGGTGACATTGTGGACATGTATCGATCGCCGAAATGCATCGAGCTTGAGACAATCGCCCTTTGCCCAGGAATACGTCTCTTGATACGGATTGCGTGGCGAAAGATTGAAGGGACTGTCGAACGTCGCTGAGGCATCGCATTGTGCGCAAGCTTAGCGCGAGTCATCCTGGAGGACACGGCGTCTCCTACATGAAGCACAATTGGAAAAGAGGACAAGCTGCATCTAATGAGTCAACGTTAACAGGAGGTAAGCACAAACCTGCGCTGTCGCGGATCAGCGGGTAATTTCGCACAACCGAGGCCTAACCGAAGATCGTCACACATTTGGCATTACGTTTACCGGATCGCTATTGTAAAGAGGTGGGGGCTCGTTGGCTGGTCCCTTGGCGCTCGGTTTTCAAAGTTTGAAACGTCGAATTCAACTCAAACCCTTCCTCCACAATGGGTTTTGACTGTGGTTTCGACGTTTATCCACGCCTCGAAGCAACTACCGAAAATAAACAGAATTACTGACGATTCCTTGACGAAATCATAAACACGTATGATGGCGTCTACGATGATAATGGACGACGCGCGGATGGTAAAGTTCTTCGGTTTATGGTTGGCGAGTGTCCATGTATGCCTAGTAATCCCGACAGATGTGACTACTTCCTCCGCTTCAGCTCGAAGATTAGCGGGCGCCTGACGACCCCGGCTGAACCGTACATCAGAAACGTGTATGCGATTGCAAAGAGACATTTTGGCAGCAGAGTCCACTTCTGGCATGAGATGAATGAGACCGAGGACGAGCTGCAATGGGGCTGTTACGATTGGGAGGAAGTGCACGATGCGAGTGAAAAGCTTAGAGAACTGGAGAAACAGGACAAGCTCACCTCGGCACAGCAGCTACATGAGCACGTCGCCGATATCGTGTGATCAGTGGCGAGTCTGTTTGCTGCTACTTACTGCAAGGGGAACAGTCTGCGCCCGAATCTGAGGCGTGATCGGAGTAAAGGTATCACTGAATTGGACTTATTTGATTTCCATTTCCCTGCAATGATTTCTACGAGGTTGTGTACAGTAAGACACAGCCCGCTGCACCGATGTTGTGGCGTAGTGGTGGGAAGGTAACGTAAGTCCTCGTGTGTTTGCGAGAGCGTAATGTAACTGATATCCCGAGGCGGTAGGTATATAGAAAGGAGTTGTTGAGGTGACCTGACTCGGAACATAGGTTGGCGAGTACGTCGAACATTGTGCGACATGGCGAGGTGTTGATTCTAATTTCGTGTTTTGTTAGAAAGTATTCCAAAGCTGACATAACTGTCAATCAAGTTCCCATCCATCAGTTGCCCATTGCAGCCTTGCTTTAATATTGAGAGTTATGGACCTAGTGCCACTCTCCTTTTCATTTCCTCGTATCGTGTTAGACTCGTAAAGACCCTTTGGCATACTCATTCAGTATGTTTTATGTCCCGTGACCATGACCATGACCTTGCTTGCTTGAATGCTGGACTGAAATGTAGATGCAAATGCGAATGCAAATTGAGATATCCACTCCTGTGTCAATTCCCGTGTCCATTCCCATGACCGCGCCTTGCTATGCCGACAGACAAATCGGATCAAGGCAATACATAAGTCATCCTTTCTTCCCCCTTTCTACTATAGCGGCACGAGATGGTCTTTGCCCAACAATTTGGCCATTGGATCATCTGCCGCCGTGCGCGAGCGCTTGTACGCTTCAAGCTCTTCTTCTGTGATGCCGGATTGGAGTTCTTGGAGTGTGCGCTTTTTGGCCTGGACTCGAGGAACAGTCTTATCGGTGTCTCGATTGGGTTTTTCGTCACCATCCATGTTCCCGGCCTCGGTTTTGTTCTCAAGCTGGGATTGGGATTGGGACTGAGACTCCCCATTCTCCAACATCAGTGCCTCACCTGTACGCATTCCCTCGGCTTCTTCGAACGCGATCCGTCCGGCTTCGCCTGTGCAGTAGCTGTTCTTTACTGTTGAATGGCAGCACGCATATCCCCATACGAAATCCCGCCACCAGCTGCCCCAGACTGATGTATGGTTGTTCGTCAACACGTCCTCGGCATACTTAGAGCGTGCGATTTTGCGTTCTTCTCCTTTGATGTGACCAGACTCGTCGTATTCGACGTACCGCTCATTCTCGAGCACACGGTTGCCGCTCTTGACGGGATTTGCTTGGAGATGTTCGTCGCCTCCATATTTTTCTAAGAGGGCTTTCCGGGCTGCGGCTTTCTTCTCGGCTGCTTCGAGCGTTTGCTTCTTTCGCAGGATTTCGCCCTCGGTGGGATTTGCTTGGAGGTGCAGTTTTTTGGTTCCCGGATTCGATGATTCTTGCGTCTCCCATGCATATCGTTGTGCACGTTCAAATTCGGCGGCGTCGTCGGCAGGCCGAACGAAGCCGTCGTCTGCGTTCGTTGAAGAAGGGTCGTTGGAAGGCGCGAGAGCACTGGTGTCCATGGAGCGGGTTTTGGGATCGTATTTTGCCGAGTTTACGTCGAGATTGCGCAGATAGTTCGCTGTGTCTTCTCTCAAGCGCAGTTGACGGGTGGACGTTGGTTGGGACCGGCCCATGTCTGTTTCTTCCCCGTAACGAGCGTCTGTGTTGTCGCCATTTTCTGGAGCCGACGACGCATTATCTTGAGATTTCCCTGCTACTCGCTTCAGAGCCTCTAGTTCCTCAAACTCTTTGACCACGGCGCTGTATTCTCGGCTGTCGTATCCATTCCAACGATCGCGTTTCGCATCCCATCCTAACTCGACGTCCTCCACGACTTCGTCGGCCTGGATATCTTTACCTGTCCAACGGGCACCTTGTTTTCGAGGTCGACTTAGGCATTCTTTCGTCTTGTGTGTCATAGCACCGCAGTTTTCGCATGCTCCTTTGCGGAATTTAGTGGCCGCCGGGCCGACTTTCTTTCCTCGGTTGTACCATTTCGCACTATCGAGGGTATCTTTCGGTGCAGACTGGATACGTTGGTGTTCGAGGTAGTCGGCGTCAGAGGTTGTTTCGGCCCAGAACGGTCGTTTGGATATGAAGGAGGGAATGTATTCGTTGCGAGACTGGTCTGGGCCAGGAGGTTTGTTTTGCGCCATCGCGGAGGAGTGGTCGTGGAGAGGTAGGTCTTCTGCTTGACTCTTTGACCCAGGGACACCGAAAGACTTGAAATAAAGTTGGAGCGACAAAGTGGGATGCGCCGCGGCTCTGGGAATTGTGGCGATGTTTACATGCTCCCCATGCGCCGCTCAATTTCCACCAACGTTACCAACCACCTTTTTTGCCATAGGATTTGCAGACAAGGTACGATTCATATGAGAATTGAGCACGATTACCCCATGACTTATACTTATGCCTTGTATTCGCAAGGCGGGCAAGGACACGCCTTTGGTCTCTCAATAACGCTCACGTTGGCCTCTCGAGAGCCTCATGGGTACGTTTCGAGTCCGACTCAATTGTGTTGACCACTACCAAGCTGTTCCGATTGACGAATTCGATCCGCCGGTGCCTCGTGGTTCAACAAGCGGAAATGCAAAAGATAGACCCCGAATCTCGGTCATTCGTGTGTTTGGCGCGACGGAGACTGGCCAGAAGGTGTTGATGCATGTTCACGGAGCCCTTCAATATACATACATCGAGTACAGTGGGAGCTTGATTCCGGAGGATGTCGACGTGGCTATTCGCACTCTCCAACTTTCCATCGATCATGCTCTAGCAAGAAGCTATCGCAAGGACTTCTACGATGGGAAACATCCATATGTTGCCCACATCTCCTTGGTCAAGGGTGTCCCATTCTACGGCTTCCATGTTGGATACAGATATTATCTCAAGATCTATTTGCTCAATCCGTCGCACATGACAAGGCTAGCGGACCTTTTGCGTGAAGGTGCTGTCATGAAGAGGATGTTGCAGCCTTATGAAAGTCATATGCAATATCTGGCACAATGGATGTGCGACTACAACCTTTATGGCTGTGGCTATATCGATTGCGAGAAGGTCAAATTTCGTGGGCCGGTCCCAAAATACTTGGAAATGACCAATGCCAGGCATCAATGGCACGATCACTCAATTCCGTCCGAATACATATCCGATGGCGCTTCGCGCCCAAAGCAGAGCCATTGTGCCCTCGAGGTGGACGTGCATGTCAAAGATATTTTGAATAGGAGGAATGTTGAAGCCCGCCCGCTTCACCACGATTTCATTGAGCGCATCCATCCAATCCCCGCCGATGCAAAATTGTTGCAGAGTATGGCAGGCCTCTGGAGGGATGAGACCCGACGAAGGAAGGTTAGAATGGGCCTCGAGGATTCCAACAGCAGCCCATTTCCACCTGAAGTCCTGGTATCGATGTCAGCGGACCCGAGGAATACTTCTGCTGGCGGCTGGATCCACGAAGAAGAGTATCGCGAGAAAGTGGCCCAAGTCGCGGCTGAAGAGCGTGAAAAAAGTGGCGATCGTGAGGTCTCTTTTGACACGTTTGTGAAACCGGCATCATTGGAGGGGAGCGTACAGACCGCGTTGGAGAGCGTTGAAGATTTGTATCCACACAAGATACAAGAGCAGCAATTCTCAAACGGACGGGGCGGGCCCCCTATAAACGAGAATAGCCTAAACACCGATGAGCGAGTTCTCATTGACGAGTCAGAGGAAACACATCCTTCGGACGATGGAAGTGGTGATCGCGCAGGAAGCATGGACGGCATTGGCAATGAGATGGCCACTGGTACGGATGGGCTGGTATCGACGCCTATGAGCTCGTCAGAGTATGAGAAATATGGTATTCGCTTCGTAGGAGATCCGGGAAATCCAGACGAAGATATCTTTGATGTCCCAGAGGAATATCTGAACCATAGCCCTGTCGAGCCTAATGATTCCCAAAAACGAAGACTTGCGACCGCACCGGCCTTCCCGACAAGCAAGAGACGCCGACAGCTGGTCAATGATGGTCCAGACAAAGATATCTTCGATGCTGCAGAAGAATATCCCAGTCGTAGCACCGGCCAGCCCACTGATGTCAGAAGACAATGTTTTGCGCCAGCTTTCCAGCATAAAAAGAGGTCCAGGCTGCTCGTCAACGAGGAAAATCTTCTACCCGACCTTAGTTTGTCTGGATCTGACGATGACCCGGATTTCCCACCTGACTTCCATGACATCGAACCATTAGCAGGCCCGACGACGAAGAAGGATCGAAATATTGAATTGTCTCAAAGCAACCACCATGAAGGTTTCCCGTCAGATGGTCAACAGTCCGAGTACGAGGACGCGTCAGAAGGTCGGAATCCATCCAATCTGTCTCGGCAGTCAACATTGTCATTTCCTACGGTCAAAAATCCCAATGATCCGACCACGATTACTAGGTTGAGCCAAAAAAGCGGTGCATCTCAGAATTCATCGCAGACAACCGCTGCCAGATCCGCAATCTCTCCTGCAGCGCTCAAAACTCCAGCAAAGAGCATGTCGACGGGTTCACAGCAGACGCTGACGGCCCCAACCACGAGTGGCAGCAGTAAGTCGTCGAAGTCTTCGCGGCTCGTCATCAACGGGCTGTCGGCCTCACAAGGAGACCGTCATTTGCAGGTATATCAGGTCCGTGCGCCGAGCTTCAAAGAGATTGGAACGACTTTGTGGCAGCACGGTCTTCCGGATGTCATTTATCAAGAAGCATTTTACAGCAACGAGGAAGATGTGCCTGAGCAGGCAAGAGAGTATGCAGGTCGTCAGTTCAGGCTTGAAAGTGTAACGGTTCCATATCTCCCCGAGTTTGACCCTGCCGGTACCTCTCCAGCAGTCTTTGGACGGAGGCCAGCCTTGCTCCTTGATTTCGCCGCGGAGCGAGTTCGAGATAATCAGAGACGAAAACGATGTAAGATTTCCGAATGGGTCATTGCTGAACCGCCACCTCGCCGGATCGATGTTCTCGCTTGGTTAGAAGACGAGCGCAGAGCCCAGGACGAAGAGACTGTTTCCACCGGCCCGGTCGGATTGCGGAAAGAGGATCTGTCTCAGATTGATGGACCGACACAGAAGAATCGACATGGTTTCAAATATTCGCAGAAGGCGATCAGTACGAGCGTCCAACACGAGACGCAATATATGAGTATGATGAGCCTCGAGGTACATGTCAATACCCGAGGATCGCTTGCCCCAAACCCTCACGAAGATCCCATTGCTTGTGTCTTTTGGTGCCTGCAAACTGATGATGAAGAGCTGGAAACGAACGGAAGCAAGGATGGTCTCCGGGTGGGAATCATTGCTGTTGCCGACGAGCCTCATATCGCCAAAAGGATAGGTCGCAACGTCCCTTTTGACGTTGAAGAAGAATCGACTGAACTTGATCTCCTCACGCGGCTCGTCGATATTGTCCGGCTATACGATCCAGACATCTTAACAGGGTATGAAGTTCACAACAGCTCGTGGGGATATTTGATCGAACGGGCGCGCGTTACATATGATCTCAATTATTGTGATGAACTGTCGAGAATGAAGTCGCAGTCCCATGGTCGATTTGGGAAACAAGATGACAAATGGGGATTTAATCATACGTCGACGATCCGAGTCACCGGTCGACATACCATCAACATCTGGAGAGCCATGCGAGGTGAATTAAATCTGCTTCAATACACCATGGAAAATGTGGTCTATCATCTGCTTCATCGGAGAATACCACACTACAGTTTTCCTGATCTGACCAAATGGTACAAGAGCAAGAATCCTCGAGATATGGGAAAAGTCATGGAATACTTCACTTCTCGAGTTCAAATTGACATCCAGATCCTTGAAGCGAACGAACTGGTGCCCAGGACAAGTGAACAAGCCCGTTTGTTGGGGGTTGACTGGTATTCCGTTATTTCGCGAGGCTCTCAATTCAAGGTCGAGTCCCTGATGTTCCGGATCGCAAAACCAGAGAACTTCATATTGGTGTCGCCCAGTCGAAGACAGGTTGGTGGACAGAATGCATTAGAATGCCTGCCACTCGTGATGGAGCCTCAGAGCGACTTCTACACCAGTCCATTGTTGGTGCTGGATTTTCAGTCGCTCTATCCGAGCGTGATGATTGCTTACAACTATTGTTATTCGACCTTCCTGGGTCGCGTGGTGAGCTGGCGTGGCACCAACAAAATGGGCTTTACCGATTATCGGCGCGAGCCGAGGCTCATCGAACTTTTGAAGGACGACATCAACATCGCGCCAAACGGAATCATGTACGCAAAGACCGAGATCCGCAAGTCTTTACTCGCCAAAATGCTGAGCGAGATCCTGGAAACCCGAGTGATGGTCAAAAGTGGTATGAAGATGGACAAAGATGACAAAACCCTGCAAAGGCTGTTGAATAACAGACAACTGGCTCTCAAGCTGATCGCAAATGTCACTTATGGCTATACCTCGGCGTCGTTCTCGGGACGGATGCCTTGTTCCGAGATCGCGGATAGTATTGTTCAAACGGGGCGAGAGACCTTGGAAAAGGCCATTGCACTGATTCACTCGGTTGAGCGCTGGGGCGCCGAAGTGGTTTACGGCGACACCGACAGTCTCTTCGTCTATTTGAAAGGTCGAACGCGCGAACAAGCGTTCGACATTGGGGAGGACATTGCAGAGACCATCACCAAGATGAATCCCCGGCCGATCAAACTCAAGTTTGAAAAGGTCTACCACCCGTGTGTCTTGCTTGCCAAGAAACGATATGTGGGCTTCAAGTACGAGAGCAGAAATCAAACCGAGCCCGACTTTGATGCCAAAGGCATCGAGACCATTCGTCGAGATGGCACTCCTGCCGTGCAGAAGATTGAAGAAACCGCATTGAAGGTGCTCTTTCGTACCTCGGACCTAAGTCAGGTCAAGAGTTTCTTTCAGGCGCAATGTGCCAAGATCATGCGTGGAAAGGTGTCGATTCAAGATTTCTGTTTTGCAAGAGAAGTCAGGCTTGGGACCTACCGCGAAAAGGGGCCCCTGCCTCCAGGGGCACTCATTAGCACGCGACGAATGTTGGAAGACCCTAGGCTGGAACCCCAGTACGGAGAACGAGTTCCCTATGTGGTCGTAACAGGCGCACCGGGCGCGAGACTGATTGATCGATGTGTGGCGCCCGATGTGCTCCTCCATGATGCTCATTCAGAGTTGGATGCGGAATATTACATCTCGAAGAACATCATCCCGCCGCTCGAGCGAATCTTCAATTTGGTCGGAGCCAACGTCCGTCAATGGTATGATGAAATGCCAAAATACCAGCGGATCAGACGGGTTGAAGCCGGGCTCGGCACCGAAGGGAAAGAGCCGGCACTCTCGAAGAAGACCTTGGAGTCGTACATGAAATCCTCGACGTGCTTGGTGTGCCGAGAATGCCTTGATGGCGAGTCACCATTGTGCCAAAGCTGTTTCCACCAATCTGCACGAAGCATGCTTGAACTGCGGTCGCGGCTCTTGAAAGCCGAGCGTAAAGTGGCACAATTGGCCAAGGTCTGCCGTTCGTGCTCTGGATTGGGCTGGAATGAGGAAATCCGATGTGACAGCAAAGACTGTCCGGTATTCTATTCTCGAACTCGGCATACCGCTGCCCTTGCGAATGAAAAAGCGCAGATATTGCCCGTATTAGAGAGCTTGGAGAGATATGATGAGGGAGCAATGGATTGGTAGCATTTGGTGGACTCCATCGACTTTTGAGATACCCAGTTTGGTTATGATGGGGAAACAGATAGGCGAGGACAGGACGGGACGGGACAAAAAATGACATTGATGAGTATGCGTGGAATAGCAGATGGCAAAGGATTGAAATTTGACTGATGGACTGATATCTCTATAACTAAGGTCTGCCTGTTTTGGCTCTTCCGGCGATGGCTCTTCCGGCTTTGGTGGTGGCTCCACCGGCCGTGGCTCTTCCGGCTTTGGCGGTGGCCTGCCCCCGCCGTGGCTCTTCCACAACCCACGTTTAAAATTTAAGGCATCCACGGTGGAACTCGAGTCCCCAGGGATTGCTTTATTATAAAACTGAGTCACATCGCTCTGAACATATTTTACGTCGGGAGGGCAAACGGCCCTATCGCTATATCCCGGGGAAGGTATAGCCGTTATATTTGAAAATGCCCTTTGTTGCTTGATGGTGGCAGAGCCCGGATCGGTATATCCCGGCGGAGGTCGAACAGCTTCGTTGGAAGAAGCTGTTTTTTTTTTATTTTGGACGATGGGCTGGATAGGCGTCCCGGTGGTATTGAAGTGCTCTTCAATCTGTCGCGACGCAGCTCGCGGACGTAGATACTCAGTGCCTCGCCGATCTTCTAGCTCTCGTCGGCGCCGCTTAGGGTGGACCGTGTTCTGTTCACAGGAATGGTCCCCTACGCCGCGGAGGGGGAGCGTGATGATATGGGTCACCGTGATCTTGTACCGTCTTGAAGACTGGCCAGATGGGAGATTTGAGTGACCCGGGCTTTGGAGGCATTCCGGGTATGGGAGGAATTCTCCTTTTCCTAGATGCTGGAGGGGGGCCCGAGATAGTTCCTCCGATACCCAGAACGTCCTTGAGCTCCGAGGTCTCTTGAATCTCCGACGTAGACGACGGGACTTCTCGGTTTGGGAGCAGGAACTCTAGACCATGACGGGCGGTTTTCCCATGGTGTATTAACCGTGACCGTGTCCGATGAATCCATTGTGGAATCCGTAGTCCTTGGAACTCCCAGGGGGAGAAGGATTTATGCGGCGCTTCTTCCGAGCACAAGAAGCAGGTCTTGCAGCCAATGAGTCATCTGCATTCGCTGGCTCGGTCAACTGGACCATCACGGGCGTGTTGTCCCAACGAGTCGATTCAACTAACGTAACCAACTCGTTCAACTCAACTGTGTTGAGCGCCGAGTCGAGGAGTTGAGCTCGTTCCCTGGTCCAGCTCGTCCGCTCGTCAAGCTCACTGGCGAATGTCAAGAGGTTATGAAGTTGGAGAGGCACGAACACCCTCATCTTTACCTGGAGCATGTGTATTAGTTCAACCACTCCTTGGACTTTTTGAGATGGATAATCGAGCCTTTCAAGACATTCACGACCAGTGAGGCACATGTTGATATTCGAGGGACGTGTTCGACGAAGACTTCAGGTTCGTGTATCCGCGTACAACTTCTAGGCACTGTTAAAGGGGCAGGTTCTTTGGTCTTACCGCAAGGCTACAGGAGGTCTCAGTTTTACCACCTCTGAAAGAAGTGGCTACTCACACCCTGCGCCGCGAGAAGGCGCCTCCTGATTGCAGGGCGGCACTGCAGGAACATCAAAGTGTCCAGGTTCAGCGACGAATCAGTACTCCGGACAAAAATCACGCCGTGGCTCGGTCAAGTTCAAAACAAGTGACTTCGTATCATTATAGGACCTGATTGGTTCGAATCGTGACAACAACACGACGATAAACAAGATAAGACCGGGACCGAGAAGAAGGAGCCGCAATATGAAATCGAGACTGAGAAAGAGACAGCGATTATCATCCGCGTCCATGTCATTGGGTATGCTATGCTTTCAGGAGGCGCGAAGGCGTGAGGTATGGATTTCTGCCACTCGGACTTGTTTGGTCCACCGTACTTGACCCCCGGTCCCGAACACTTTGCTGCATGGCCTTTCTACGTCACTGGATTCGTCCGTTTGCCTGCGCCATGATCTCTGCTGGGGGTTGGTTTCCAGGTGCCATTTCATCGAGCCCGACCGCGAACTCGTATCTTATTTCCTTACGGAGATCCAAGCCAGAAACACCATCACTTTGCCTCAGCTGCCCACGGTCGCCACGTCTGTGCGCACCGTTCGGACAGATTGTTCTTTCAATGCCTTCCTAACAAATGGGTTCAATACAATGGTTCCTCTTCGTCTACGTCCTAGGTGGCCTCACCTTCGTCCCCTTGGTGATTGTGCTCTTCCTCCTCCATGCCTACTATACACTCCCTCCGCCGAAAGATGAGACGGAGAAACCCCACGACGATCCGGCTCAGCTCGTTCGCCCTGGCGACGAGAAAGCGGCTTTCAAAACCGCTACCGACGATTTAGCCGAGCAGTTTCATCGAAACCATGACTCTGATGTGGCCGCGGGATATTTCGCAGTCAGTCGAGAATACGTACCAGGTGGCGTCAATGGCAAGCCCCCCGATAAACTCACGCCGGCGGGCGATGTGATGGCACAAGAATCTCCCAGCGTCTACCAGAGCATGTACAGAAGTATATTTGACCGGTCACAAAAACCAACAATAGAACCGAACAAGGATGGTGCGGGAAAGAACGTGAAGAAGTCAAACAATGTGTTCTATGTGGTCCTGAGGTAGGGTTGAGAAAGGTCCCTGGGACAACTGCGTCCCCTGGCTGACATCAACGTAGACACGGACACCTCATGCTTTACGATGACATACAACAGATGGAAGTTCGCTATGTCATCTCCCTTGAATATCACGATGTTGACGTCTATGCGGGGGGAGAAGAGATCCCCGAAGGAGAATTGTGGATTAAACGACACTCCATTCGGCTGAAACGGAAGAAGACCCGGGCTGGGGACCACTCCCACTCCCTGCCATTCTTCCTCTTTGGCGAGAGTTTGTCGGAAAAGGAGGATTTCTATCATGCGCTGCTGAGAAATCAAGAGAAGAACACTAGCGACGATTCGCCGGTCCCACAACAATTCGAGGTCGATCATATTGTGATGCTGGTTCAGAAGCTCCATTCATCGGAAGAGCACTTGCAAACGAGGTGGCTCAACGCGATGATCGGCCGCTTGTTCTTGGCCATGTACAAGACGCCAGAGATGGAGAATTTCATCCGAACCAAGCTCACCAAGAAGATTTCACGAGTCAAGAAGCCGAATTTCATCACCAAGCTGGCGTTGCGCAAGATCGACCTCGGAAATGGCGCCCCTTTCGTGACCAATCCAAGACTGAAGGACCTCACGGTCAATGGAGATTGTACCGTCGAGGCCGATGTCAATTACACGGGACACTTCCGCATTGAAATTGCCGCAACGGCGCGGATTGACCTGGGATCCCGCTTCAAGACGCGTGAGGTCGACATGGTGCTGGCGGCCACCTGCAAGAAGCTCGAAGGCCATGTCTTGGTGCGGTTCAAACCACCACCGAGCAATCGATTCTGGTTTACATTTGAAAAGATGCCACAGCTCGTGCTGGATCTGGAACCGATCGTCAGTTCGCGACAAATCACCTACACTTTCATTCTCAGAGCGATCGAGAGCCGAATCAGAGAAGTCGTGGCCGAGAGTATTTGTATGCCTTTTTGGGACGATGTTCCTTTCTTTGATACACGCCATCAGCGTTATCGGGGAGGCATCTGGAAGACGGAACCGGTGTCTACCGATGCCACGGAAATCCCCAATGACGATGTCGAGGATGCGGCTGAAGCGAGTGATTCAGGAACCAGAATGCCAGCCGAGTTATCCAAAGATGATCGAGCCGTGAGTATGCCTGTATTGGCCGACAGCAAAGCACCGGGCAAGATCAATGCCGCCAAAAAGTCAATATCATCGCTCAATGATCTTTCGGGCACGAAGTCTTCTGAGATAGTGGACAAACCTGATCCATCAACACCACGGTGGATGCGATCGCCTTCGTTCGCCAGTGCCGCCAATCCCACCATCACGGCAAATCACGCGGACGGCAACACACCGACACGAGAATCTGATCCGAGCTTGAAACGAGAGAGCATTGCCACAATTTTGAAAGATCTGTCGGCTAGAGCAGGATCAGGAAACCCTTCACCATCAGGATCATTAACGGGATCACCTCCGGTGGAGTCGGTCATGGCATCGGCGGTGAAGGACATACCCAGGAGGCCTTCAGATGTTGCTTCCAAGGCTTCAGATGATGGTTCAATGCAACAGGACGATCAGTCCAATCATACGGCTTCGTCGCTTCCCCGACCAACCACGTTAGCTAGGAGACGGTCACTCCAATCTCTGGATACTGGTGATGTGAAAGATGGTAGACCCAGTTCGGCTCAGGAAAGCGCAAAACCTACAAGAGGCCTTGCACAAACGGCGAGGTCGTTGACCAGTGCTGACAGAAAGCAAGCCCTTGCATCTGTCAATGCGGCGGCTGCAGCCGCACAAAAATGGGGTTGGGGAGTGCTTGCAAGAAATAGACAACGCGAGGCTCAGGCTGCAACCGAAAGGGGATCAAACGATCCCTCAGGCCCTCCTACCCCAAGAGAGCCTATGGGACGTGGAAGGCCTCTTCCACCACCTGGAATCCCTCTTCCTCCGCCAGAAAAACCAGCTAGACCCAGTGTGTTCATGGTGCCCAAACGAAAGCCTGTACCGCCCCCATTGCTTCCAAAGCGTCCGGAGGTCAACGGATCGAACGACGCTGGTTTGGCCAAGTCCGCATCAAAGCCACCACTACCAGAGAGGCGGAAACGACAAAGCTCAATACAACCGGACGATGAGTCTGAAGCCGACGTCCTCGTAGTGGAAGCTCCTACAGAATCGGCACCTACGAGTCCGGCCGCGGTCACAGACGAACACCATGATGATTTCTTTGGACATGGCGAGACGCCAGACACAGAGAGTGACACGAAGCCTCCACTACCGGATCGACGGAGTGAAACTCCGCCTCATCTTTCGGAGGACAAAGAAAATATGCACAGACAGGAATTGAGTATGTATATCTAAAGCCAGATACAACACGCAGTTTATGCAGAGAGAGATATGATACCCATGGCAGATAGCACGATATCTATTCCTCATACATCAGCTCAACTTCTTGTCGCACTGGCCCCATAGATTCCAACCAGATCACCTTCCGGATCAACCATTTAAGCCCATGTATGCCACTACCTGTGCCATACGAACCATCGGCCATCTCCATGTTTTTCATCCTGGTTCTATTTGCTGCAGCAATGTCCATGGGGGTTGTTTCGCATCTTTCCGCACCAAGTAAACGTTGAAAAAGAGTTGGAGTTCAAGGGCCAACGTGTCATCTTGGTATCACTATTCGCGCAGAGAAACACTTTACCCCGTCTCGCTTATAGCAGTCTCCAGCAAGCAGTCGGACACAGTATGTTGTGTATGATCCCGGGAATAAAGTCTCCGCGATATGAATGAGGTCTTCGTTGACTACTGAGCCAGTACAGGTCCCTGGGCCAGTGATTCTATCATGCCAGCACGAAGGTGTTATTAATGATCCTCAACAGCGTACCAGTCGCCTGAGGCTGGTCACGGAAGTCAAGATTCGCTTTGGTCACCACGTTGAGGCAGAAGTCATCGCCCCGTCGACGGCAGTCACTAGACCCACCAGGACGCATATGAGCTCTCTAATATCGAGCATGGCTACTGTACACAGGTATGATCGTCTTAGCCGCGGGATGTGCAGTAATTGGCCAGCTGCATCAGGCATACAGACATCCCATTTTACCTCCGACCACAATGATCTCCTTCGATGGGAGGATTTGGGTACGTCAATTGCCTTTGGTCGACTTCGAAAGCGGACACTTGGTTTCGATAGCAGAATCGTGGCAAAGGTGTGTAGGCAGCATCGGAGTGTCGGTCCCGAAAGGTAAATCATACAAATTCCAGATATCCCGTGCCCATTCCTACTCTCGGACGGGTTCTGCATCCGCCAGGCAGCCATCATAAAAAGCAAAAAGGCTTCTGCATTATGGAAATCACTTGGATCATCGCATAATCTACTTTGGAAGGACGCAGTGCTGGTTTTGCAGAGCAGCTGGGCTCCATCCAATTTGCCGTGCCCCTCAAGTCGCAGCTGGTAAGGTCGATATGGAATTGACTATAATTTCGTCCATATCTCAAGCCGCGGCAAGAGTTATTGGATGTTGAAACGAACTCGAATCTGAAATTCTTAGTCAAGGAAGAGCTGGCGTCAGATCCTAAACTTCTGGACAATTTGTTGGGGACAGGAGACTCTGCTCAAGGAGGACATACGAGTCAGCAAATTCAGTTCAATCCACGCGGACGTCTCATGCCGAAGTTTGGAAACTAGGGCAACAATGAGGCGTGACAAAAGCGCCATATGCCATTTGGCATGGTCGTCAGCGTTCAGGCTACGAGGGCTTGACAAACTGTACCGCCGCCGTACACCATGCACGGTAGAGATGCTGGCAGCCTCACGCCAGCGCATGTTCATCCGCCTGAAACATACAGTTGTGCCTTCCATGGTCCCAAACAGTCTTCTTTCTATATGCGATCAACGTTTATCATATTCACATCTTCGCAAGGATAATCCTAATCGTGCAATATTGCGCATACCCACTGCTGTGTGACCTGCAAACAGCAATGATGCCTTCCGCCTCTTCTCCTTAGCAAACCCCAGCTCCACCCCAGTCGACTACAGCTATCAGGAGGTATGAAGCAATCGAGCTCGCTGAAGATATATCAGGATCAAAAGTTTCGAGAACGGTAAGTCATGGCCCGGGGAAAGACTCTTATTTCGATGTTCGATATCTTGGCATGTGAAGGTTCTCCTTGTCATCTCCAATGTAAAGAGGTGTTTTCCAGCCACCACATCATTCTCCAGTCTTCCATTGACCATTATATATATATGTTTTGGGGAGGGTTTCGGTATTAGGAGGTTGGTGGGAAGGTGGTTAAGAAGCACCTACTATTTAAGTATGGGATGAGGTGACCGTAGCAGGCTCACCACCGCCTCGGGCCCGTCCCAGGCCGCCCACGACAGCGGTGTCTGACCGGAGCTATCCCTGGATCCCAAGTCGGCGCCCTTCTCGAAGAGCAGCCTCACCACCGCCTCGTGCCCGTTCAAGGCCGCCCACGACAGCGGTGTCTTACCGTAGCTATCCCTGGACTTCAAGTCGGCGCCCTTCTCGAGGAGCAGCCTCACCACCACCTCGTGCCCGTTCCCGGCCGCCCTCGACAGCGGTGTCTGACCGAAGCTATCCCTGGACTCCAAGTCGGCGCCCTTCTCGAGGAGCAGCCTCACCACCGCCTCGTGCCC